ATTTCTTATAAGATCTAAAAAGCTCTTTATAAAAGCTTTTAATTATAATAATATAAAGTAATCTCTAGGAAATAGTTATAAGCTAATATAATAATTACTATTAAGAATTAGTTACTCTCTTAGACTTATAGAACTAGAAGATAGCTAATAAAACTTTATAATAATTAAAAATAGTAAGTATATAGATAATATTTATAGTTTCTTCTATAAATTAAAAACTTTAAAGATAATTCTATTATTTCTAATTAAAATATACTTTTTTTCTTAAAATTACTTTTTAAAATCTATACTTTTTAATCCTTTAGATAATTATAAATTAAAAGCTTATTAATTTTTTATTTAACTACTAATTTTATACTTTTTAACTTCTAATTTAAATACTTTTTAAACTATAAATTAAATCTATACTAAGAATTATAAATAATTAAAATATTAGGAAATCCTATACTATAATAATTACTATAAGAGGGATTTTTAAATATTTATATTAGCTAATATAGCTATATTAATAGATTAACTACCCTGTTAGTAATTTTTTCTATATACCGCCGTACTATAACCGGACGTGATTTCCTATTATGCGGCCTATTTATAATAGACTTATATATAAGGCAAACCGGAAAAGAATCAGATATCACTGTAAGACAACCCGCAAAATGACTACCAAGCGTGCTGGCGGTAATCAACACACAATGGACTAGCACATATGAAAGGTAGTAAACAACATAACCTCAAGACTTCAGAACTCCAAGCAACGTATCTCGATCTCAAACACAACATGAATAATATTCTATATAATCGTCTTGGTATAAGCCATCAATTCCTCAACTGCCTAGTCATATTCCGCTTTTAGAGTTTTTAGGCATGGCAATGCATGAGCTAGTGTTGTATAAGTGTGGCCCGTAACCAACATCAGTATGGAAAGGAACGAGGAGCGTCCGACATAAAGTATGCTCTCAATCATGATAGCCTCCTCTAAAGAAGGAAAATATAATCAAAGCTTATCATTGATAAATATATAATTATATACCATCAGACTTTGCCGGGGACGATGTCTCTGCATTTAAGTCAATCCAAAATGATCACATCGTATTTAGAAACACTATTAACATCACCATGCATTCATGAGCTCAGCGTCTTTCTGGTGTCCTCGCGAGGATGGCGATCTTTGAATTCAAATATCTAATGACCCTCACATTCTCCAGAAATTGTATGTTTATTTCATTCTTCAGCGACGTGTCTTTGTCGATATGGCAACAACAAAGGACGATATGAGCGTGGAGGTAGGAACGTGTAGAGTCGATCAAATTCTTGGTCAAGAAATTCCCCCTCGTACATGTGGATGCCGTGAGTCATTCGTATAGTCTCATCTTCAAGTTCTTCGTAGCCTTTGGCGATGAACTTATGAAACTTTAAGGGCGGGTTATCTGGCACAACAAGTCTGTCGTGTGGCGACTTCACAGACTCAGCCGTCCAGCCCATGAAGCCCGTCTCAGCAAGCCTAACCACCCATTGGGCTCTGCGGCTTGGTTAGCTAGAAGCAAGAGGAGAAGTAAACTATGAAGAAGTCAAATCGCTGGGAATAAACTTCAAATACTTACACAACATCACGGGACTCATAGCCCAATTTGTCTCCCAGGTTTGGCATTCGCACAAGAGAGTCGAACTCCAATAAGTTTGTAGAATAGTAAGGGTGATTCCCACTCAGTGCAGCAAGATATGCGCTAACTCTGGCCATTCTTCGACGTGGCTTGAAGATAAAAGATGCGAGACTGTGCATATTGCCATAAGCGGCCTCCTCAGTACGCAAAGTACATGTAGAGTAGATTCCGAGATGTGGGCGGGGTACTAGGTGGGGATTCGAGCCCATACTACAGGCATATACCGTCTTAGTTCCATTGTCTTCGTCTAGCTCAACTCCTTGGGCAAGAATCAGCCGGAGCTCTGCATGAGGTATATCAGGTCCGCCATTCGTGAATTCAACGACGACTTCTTTCACCTCTTGTCGAAGTAAATCCTGAGGAATTTCCGAGGTGTTGCTTATGTCACTAAGCTTATAGAACATGTTAGGATTAGTTATTAGGGCTGGAAATAAAATGTTTTCGGAAAGTTATCAACCGTAAATGTTTAGTATAATTCTATATCGTGGTGCTGTCAGCTTGCAGTAGGATGCCTCCTTATATGGATAGATATGATTCTTAGCAATTCAGATTACTTGCTCCATTAGAATGGTGGACTGTATACGTTTAGCTCCTTCTTTGTTTGAAATCAGTTAGTGAACAGTCAGTATTCGCCATCTTCAAGATGTGCGGCAAGGGATGTGGGTTTGAAGAAGTCGGCATTGTTGGGTTGCTATCCGCTCCAGTTCCATGTCTCAAATGAGAACCATTTTTGATCAAGAGAACGGGATTTATCATACATTGGCAGTTGAGAAAACCAGCCACCGGGCTTTTGGGGGAATGTGATGGGGTACTTCCGTGTTGTGCCAAGCCAAGACATATTAAACAATCGTGTGAAGATGTAATTAAAGTACCCAAGTGGATCCAAGAAGCATAAACAGCGGAAATCAAGTTTGTTCCATTTGCTGGACTTCAAAACATTTAGTTGTCTGTGGTTTCCCTAGTTCGCGAACAAAGCGGCATAACCCTCCAACATAAACAAAGCCGCCTTCTAGCGAGTTATTTGGGAACTCAGTCAGCACAGATGATGGACACAATACAGACTGCACCACCGGCATGAATTTCTTAAGTAATCCAAGAAGTAGCTTGGAGCCAGGCTACGTAGGCACGACTAAGCCTAATATTATCCAACGTTGCAATGCACAAAGTTTCTATTTGAAGGTCAAATTTGGTACGCCTTCAGAAGAAATAGTACATTAGAAAATGACAAGGTATTGACATAATTTAAGCCACTAGAGACTCTTCGTATTATTTCAAGTAAGTGAAGGAGCTGTACAGCTGCTGAGAAAAAAAAAAGGGGGGGGGGTTTCCCAAACACCAGTAATTTAATAACTTGACACCACACCCAGGCATTACAACACAATAAACTTCAGCCTTATGCCCGGCTACGAGCCTTTGCCCGGCCGCATCTAAGGTTCAACACCAAAATGGCTTTACCCAGCCGTATCGTATCGTTATTATTTCAAACCTTTTTGTGGAGAAAACTACGCACAGAAGGAAGCCCAACAGTTGTCACAATCACAGGCCCTAAGACAACAACACCTTCGTCACATTTCTTGACTCTTGGATTCTGATCCACCTAGAAGCAAGTTATTGATAAATGAGTAAAACGTGTTAACGTTTACTCCGTAGTAGAGGGAGGGATTTCCTTGATTGTATGAGTCTACTTAGCCAGTTACCGTGGATATAACTACTGACGTTAGGAAGCGAAGGGGGTAATTTCTATCCGTTTCTAACTTCAATAAAAAGCTACGCGTAAGAATGAGTTTACTGTCCTTCGATATGGTTAAATACTACTTTTATGCTTCTTATTTATATCCTCGTCCCTCTTAGCTACTTTATATAAAGCATGATCAAAAGGATCAGTCTAAACTAAGATATTACCTCGAGAGCCAAAGTGGCTCTAGGCCGTTCTAACTATCCATGTCGAAAGGCTCGTCAGCTTAAACGCTTTTCCCGAAGAAGAAATCCTGCGACAAAGCACAGAAAACTGAGGACGATGCACAGAATGAACATTCCCCGGAAACTCTGGAGATATGCATCCACGATGAGTTCGTGAGCCAAGCCTTCCAGTTTCTGGACGTATTTAATATCTGAGAGTGCTTTTCCTACCACCTAACTATCACATTAGAGAATCGAAGATTAAAGAATTCGTGTTCAGATAATCCTACCTCTTCAATATTCGGCACAACGCCAACCAGAGATTTCTCTAAAGTCGGCCGTAAAACGGCTTGCATAACGGCACTCCCAGCGGATATGCCAGTTACAGCACCGACACTCGTGCTAAGATAGAGACCGGAGCTCGCTATAGCCATGTGTTCTTCGTCGACGCCGGCTGCGATGGCCACAAAGATGGCCGAGTGCGCAATTCCGGTTCCGAAGCCGCCGAAGAAGACCAAGAGGGACTGCCAAATCGGTGTCTTTCCGTTCCAGAACAATAGAAGAAGCACGAAGCAGAAGCATGAGCTCACAGGTGCCAGGAGGGTGGCGAGTTTGTATCGGCCGGTATTCTTGATCGCTCTACCGGTAAGGAGTCCTCCGATAGCGTTACCAGCGACGGTAGGGATCAAGTAGGCCCCTGCTTCCCCGGTACTTGAGTTTTGAGTTACTTGAAAATATAGAGGAATGACGAAGACGAGCTAGGATGGCTTAATAAGAGAGGGCATGTAGAGAGAGTGATGAAAACGTACCACACATTGGGTTGCATTCTGCAAAATGGAAATGAAGTATGGTATCAACACATTCCTATTTGAAAGAAGGTGAAGAGGGAAGATTGGTTCCGCGGCCCATCTCTTCTCGGTCTGGAAAAATAGAACGCCAGCGGCTACGCTCGTTTCCAATAATATGAGGATTAGGGGAGAGTTCCAGGGAACCTTCTCACCTCCCACATCAAGAATGAGAAGCAATGAAAGAACTGAGACGCTCATGAAGAGTGCGCCGGCAAAGTCTACCCGGCGCAGACTTTGAGTAAGACTGGGATGCGGAGCATCGCCTTCCTCATGGCTACTCTTCTGCTTGTCGATAGTAAGACCGACGGTCATAAGGCCCATAGCGATTAATGTCAAGGGAGACTGAACTGAAAGGGCCCTGTTTGTAATTTAGAAATCCTTTCATTGCACGCCAAGTATGAGGTGAATGTACTCACCATCGCCAGCCGATGGCTTGAGCAAGGAAGCCTCCAATAGCACCGCCCGAAGATCTACCCATGGTTTGAATGATATTCACGTAACTCCTGTACGTTGCCACTTCTCTGAGCGGGACCAAATCTGTTGAGGTCAATTCCACCATTCAGTTAAGAACCGCAACTTTGCACATACCGGTAATGATGATTGACACCAGGCATACCATCCCAGCACCACCCAGTCCTTGGACAGAACGAGCTACGACAAGTTGCAGAATCGATTGCCCAAATCCACTTGCTTCTCGTTAGTGCAATTTTATTGTCTTAGCATGGGGGGCTTTTACCATAACAGACTACCCAAGGCAAATAAGCCGTAGGAGACTTGGAGCATATTCTTCCTCCCAAAGATGTCGCTTAATTTTCCATACTATAGACAAGTCAGCATGTTACCATTTGGCAGCAACAATCCAGTCTCACCAGAGGCTGCGCTGTACACATGGCAAGCATGTAACTCGATATCAACCAGCTCCCATTCTGCAGGTCGTTGAACTCGGAAGCAATCGTTCCATATGTGGCAAGAACCAATGTTGCATCAGCTTGCGAAATAAAGACACCTACAATTTGTATTAGAGCAGAGTCTACAGAACTTGCCATCCAATCATACCAATCAGTAGTAGTTGCAAAGTAACGAGGATTGATCGAGAGCTTGGGGTTTTCTTTGCCGAAACCTCATCGTTAGATGACGAGAAATCTTCCGGGTCAGCGATTCCCTAACAAGTCAAGTCAGAGGTCATTATTCTGAAAGACGGCGAGATGTTATTTTTGTTACCTCGATATCATGTTGCCTGGGGGCGAGGAGAGCCGTGGTCTCATCAGGGATCAAGTCGTCTATGGGCGGTACTCCGAGGGCTGATTTTGCCTGCACGGGGCGCAATGAGCCTCCCATTTTGTCTATGATAATAGATCCTAAGTTCCGGGCCACGCTCGACATCCAAACTGGCGGCAGGGTAGCAAATAAATCAGAGAACCGTGCGTGTCAAACATCTTTGAGAACCCACTTCTCACCATCCTAACTTCCTAACAAAGAACTTCCGACTGGACAAATTAGGCCCCTGCTGTTTCAATGCTCTACTATCAAAATCGCTATCCCGGCACTCCAACGTGGTCTACCATCCGCCCGACCCGATAATCCGTGCGGTTTCGCAATCACTATGCGTAGAACGATGGCGTGCGAGCGGGTCCGAATGATGAACAAGGGCAAGACCCATAGCTCAACATGCAGCGTCTGTCATGTTAGAGTGCTAGGTGCAGTCCTCGCCGTCCTCCTCGGCTCAGCTCAGCAGCCCGATAGCGGTAAGGAGAAGTTCCTAGCCAGGGAATACACATTGGATGCCCTGTAGGACAATGACGTGCTTTGATGGCGGAATTGAGCAACTTCGAGCTGGCTGCTATCCCAGAAGTGTGGTTGGCCCTTGGCTTCTATGGCCCCCGCACGAGTCATGTTAGAGACAATTCGATATCAATAGTATGAATGTGTCCGGCTCTTCGCAGCCGCAGATTCGTACACCGCAGCTCATCTCCCAGATTGGAAGGAGTTTGCATAATAGAACGCATAGTTCCAGTGAGAAAATTGCGGACTCTGTAAAACCAACGATCCTGAAGCTACCAAGTACTCATATCCCCAGACTGAACACCAAAAGCTGATCCGTTTCGGGTTCACGCCGTCAAAATGAGCGAGCACGAGAACGAAAAACAAACCAGCAATGTCGTGGTAGATTCCGAGGGCTCTTCTCACGGTCAGGAATTAATTCAGGCTTACTGGTCGCCCGAGCAGGAGAAGAGGCTTGTTCGTCGGTAAGGGCAGCGTCGAAACCTGCATCTTCATCTTACACATTTAGAGCTGATGAATTATAGGATTGATATTGCGATTATGCCATTGTTGATTCTCGGATTCGCTGTTCTACAATTGGATCGCTCAAATATGTGAGTCAACGTGCTTCTTATTGTTCACGTAACTTTTGCTTATCCGATTCCAAGCGGCAACGCCATGACCGACAACTTTTTGAAAGAAGTTGGCATTACTCAGTTCGAGTACAATGTCGGCAACCAACTCATGTACTTGGGTATTGTGCTTTTTGAAATACCTAGCAATTTGGTCTTGTACAAGGTCGGTCCTGCTATCTGGATTGGGTTCCAAATCGTCGCCTGGTCAGTACCTCTAGCTTCTTTCTTAATATACTCCAAATCAATGCTGACAACCAGAAAGGGGATTGGTAGCTACATTCCAGGCGTTTATCAAGGGGCATGGATATGGTCCATACATTGCAACACGGTTCCTTCTTGGGTAAGTTATGATTGGCTCTTCTACTGTCGCAGCTCATAGCTAACAAGGTTATCTTTTCACAGAATTTGCGAATGCGGCTATATACCTGCTGGCCTATACACTATGACGCGATTCTACAAAAAGGACGAAATTAGCAAGCGGTTCGCCGTGTTCTTCTTGGGAAACATGGTAGCCAACGCCGGAGCCGGACTTCTAGCCTTCGGAATGTAGGTCTCACCATCTGAAAAGGCTCTCAAGTTCATCCGACTAACCGTTTCAAAGCCTAAGAATGAGAGGGGTTGCAAATCTCTCCGGTTGGCAGTGGCTCTTTCTTGTAGGTGCATCATCCCCCTATTGAGTCGTCTACTGCCAACTAACTGTCACGCAACAGCTTGAAGGAATGTTGACAATTGTCATCGCGGTTCTTTTCATTACGCTATTCCCTCGATCGACTTCCAACCCGGTATCTCTTGCCGGCCTGCGACATTTCACCGAAGAGGAAGCCCACATCATCACACAACGAGTGCTGCTTGACGATCCCACGAAGAAACATGCGCATACTCACGTCAGCCGAGAAGAATTGAAGGCAGTTGTACGTCGAAACCTGTCTAATATGATACTCTGGGTCATTGGATGCTAATAACATTGAAATTGCAGTTCACCAATTGGAAACTCATCGCCCATGTCATGACTACCCTCGGCAGTCTCTCTGCCATTGCCTCTTTGGCGTCCTTTGGTCCCTCGATCGTCGCGTCCTACGGTTACAAAGCTATCGAAGCAAACGCCATGAACTCAATTGGCTACTGGATCCTTATCCCGGTTACTCTCTTTTGGGGCTGGGCCGCGTACGTATCGCCGGCTACGCACGTGTCGATCGTTGTTGGCTAACATGATGCAGAGATAAATGGGGAAAGCGTGGGCCCATGGTCATGTTTGGCACTTTTATCAGCTTCGTTTTTCTAGTGAGTTCATTCGACTTTGTTACGGACTTTTCATGTCACTAATAGAGCTATGTAGATTGCTCAGCGCTGTATCGCTGAAACTGACAAGGTTACGGCCAAGTATGCCATCATCACAGTCGTATATGCATCCAGCTTCAACTGGCGTGAGGAACAGAAATCCCAATGGTTTACTTGGATTATTCTAACTGCTCTTATAGATCCGATCAACGGCTCTTGGATGGCGCTAAACGCAAAGTCAGCTGGGGAACGGTCAATAACTATGGCGATTCTCATCATGGCTGCTAATGCGTCCGGAATCGTAGGCGGCCAGATTTTCCAGGCCAGTGATGCACCCAACTATAAGGTGGGCTGGTCAGTATCAGTGGCCTTGTCATGCATAGGATTTGTCTCTTCTGTCGTAGCGAATGTGCAGTACTGGAACCTTAACCGCTTGAACAAGAAGAACGGAAACGCCGGTTTTGTGTATCACCCATAGAGGGTGACAGGGAAATATCTAGATGGTTATGGCAAAGAACTCAAATCAAGTATCTATAGAACCGTGTACCTTTCCAAGAGTCTCTCTTTAGATCAACAAACGTACTGAGCGAGCCCTCTTGCTCACCAAAATATCCTGTTGGGTAACAGTATCTACGGACCGACCACCTACAAGTCCTTGCATCACCCGATGGGCTGTCTAAAACCATAAATCCCTCACATAAGACATGGACAACCAAGGTATCTACTCAGGGCGTCACTCTCATGGTGGCCCATGGGACGTCTTCTTTCACCCTCCCTTGCCCTGCTGTAGCTTCCAGTATGACCACCTATCATCCAACATCTAAGTCCAATCACTCCACTTACCCCTGTTCGCACCATTCTCTACACTGCGCTTCAACTCCGCATCCTGCCACCACTTCCAAACCCCCTCAGCTGTTTCATCCCCAGCTCCAAACTTGTTCACGTCAAAGGGCCCCTCGTTCTCCCTAAAATACGCCACCTCACACTTTGCAAACTTGACCTTGGGCTGCTGGTCATAAAAGGTGTCGAACCTGGACTCCACACTGTCCAGAAGACTGCTCACGTCTCCTGCGGGATGCAGCTCCCTCCATGGCTCGATGCACGATCGGCCCTTGCAGCTCTTGAGGACCATCATCAACGCATCAAGACGGGGTACGATTTGTTCGAAAGAGCGGCCAGCAAGAGTGTAGTATGCCGATGAATGCTCCTCGGCGAGCAGATTCCTAGTCTCCCCAGAGTCCTCCTACAGAATAATCAGTTGTTGAAGGAATATGGAAAGCGGTCCGTGCTGTGTGCTCACCTTGAGGTCATAGAATTCTTTCTCTCCGGTACACCAGACGGAGTAATAGAGGTTATAGCTCTCGCCTATGATACGGATAGCCTTGTAGGTGTTGTTACCGGCCGCGTTTCCCGGCACGTAAAATCCGGGATCACTCATGCTGTTGTTGGCATACCACCCGAAAACGCCTTCGGGGATGGCTAGGCCCCAGTACTCGATGGTGACGTGCTCGTGCCGCAACTCGCTCCCGGACTCTTTTGTCAAAGGAATGGGTAGTCCGTCAGTGTCGGGGACGGACCCGCCTGCGAGCTGCATGATGGTCGAAGCGAGATCGGTGTGTGCAGTCACGGCGTCGGATATATGGCCAGCAGGGACATTGGGTCCACGCTGTGAAAAGAAGAATTAGCACTAGCCCACCAATCTTTGGGGTGTGAAAGGGGAGCTACTTACAACAATCAAAGGGATGTGCACATCAGTGTCAAAGCCGCACTCCTTCCCTGGATGCATCCTGTGCTGACTGATGTGATACCCGTTGTCCGTCGTATAGAATATGTAAGTGTTGTCCAGCTGACCGGCTGCATCGAGGATCTTGACTATCTTCTCCACCATCTCGTCCACAGACTGGAGGGATCGCAGTCTGGCACGCTGGAACTCATCGTTGTACTCAATGACGGTGTCGTTCAGCCGGGGAAGGCCCTTGACCCAGCTCACGCCTCCCTGAACTTCCGGGTTGAAGTTTTCCGTTCGGGGGATGTAGTAATCCTTGAACAGGTGGGCGTGGCGGTCTGCATACATGGGCTTGTCGGCGAGGAATTCAGGGAAGAAGTGGACATTGGAGTGGGGGGCAATGGGGGCGTGAACGAGGAAGAATGGTTCTTCATGCGAAAGGGCCTCGTGGAGGAATCCGTAGGCCTTCTCGGCAGTAATGTCTGGTGAGTACTCGCCCGCGTAGTTTACGGGAGGGCCGCCGTTCCGCGTCATGGTTGCATTGCGGTACTGGTAGGTGTGAGGATCGAGCAGGAAGTCTGACCCGTTGAAGCCGCCGGCATAAGGCGCGTTATAATTGTCAACAGTATGGTGATTCCAGAGCTTTCCGCTGTAGTACGTGTTGTAGCCGACATCTTGAAGCCAATGTGGCAGATAGTTATCATTGATGCCTTCCCGGACAATCTTGGGATAGCCACCGTAAGGCGCCCAAACATCCGTGACCTAGTCATCTAAATGTCAACTACAACATTAGGTGAATAAAAAGACAGTGCTCACATTGGTATTGTGGGCTGCGCGGCCTGTCCACAGATTGACACGGGAAGGGCAGCACAGGGCGACAGTGCAGTAGTGGTTAGAGTAGAGAGTGCCTTCGTGAAGCAGATACTTTTGCAGCAAAGGCATGTGCTGAAGCGATTGCATGTGCCTGGATCTTAAATTCAGAATTTTCCTCGTTTTTCTCAAATACACTTTGTGAGACATACCAGTCTTGGTCATCAGTGAGGATGAAAAGAATGTTAGGCTTGGTGGCCGCCACTAGCTGCGTAGCAGATGCCACGAGAGCGAAGAGTGTAGATTTCATCATTGTAGCTCTAGATGGCGAGACCTAAACTTGATGAGATTTTGTTTTCTTAGGAGAGAAAGTATGCTTGGTTTTATCACTGAAAGCCAAGGGCGACTCCATGCCCGAACTCTGAAGCTGGTATCGGAGATGGACCCCGGAGGCACTAACATGACACGGCAGGATCCTAGTTCGCGATGGTGTCATTGTATCCTGGTAGCATGTCATCCAAGAAGGTGGAGATGGCACGAGCTGATGACGCCGAGCCGTGGCCCCCCTTAAAGATGGATCGTTCTGTGTCAAGCTGCAGTGGTCTTTTCAGTCGTAGTCTCATACTCGTCATCTTAGCTAGCTGGTGGCATTGAATTAAAAGCCTTGATAGCAATCATGGACCGGCGTGCCACAGCAGACTCTTCAATCACGGTCAATGTCGCTCGCCGTATCTCGAATCTCACTTCTGAGCAGGCCGAGAAGAAACGGGCGATTGATCGGGACAACCAGCGATATCACCGAGCGAAGAATAAAGCGTACATCAAGGCGTTAGAGCAGAAAGTCCTCGAACTCACCGCACAAGTTCATGAGCTCGAGGGTCGCGTACATCAGTACCAAGCTGAGGAGGAGCGACAACAGCAACTCGCCTCCGCGCCGCCTCTTACTCCCAGGACACCATCAACGAGAAGTTCTTTAGAGATAGACCATCACAACCCACTCAACTTTAGTGCTGCCCTCCACCAAGAGCTGACAGACGGCGATTGTGTTCCCACGTTGCCCCTTGATTTCGGCACTGGAATTACGATCCATGCCTTGAACTCCGGTCAAGGAATTGACTTATTCGACTTCGACATCACCAGCCCAATTGACTCTACACAGTCTACGGTGCAGGCAACCGATCCTCTCGCGGCCTCGAGTGCCAACTCGCAATCACTCAATTGGACAAACACATCCTCAGGGAATATCGACCTACCTGCTTGGCAACGACTCCCCCTCCATGTAGATCCCTCATCCAAAATCGAGGAAGTCATCAAAACCATCACCGAATCATGGAGCGCACGAATCTCCCGCCTCGGGAACCGCCAAGAAGAGTTCCGCCAGCCTGTATTCCCCAGCATCGGCTCCCTACTAAACCGCCCGGAGGAAGACGAGCGCGACATGGCCCGGTCCTTCTTCGACGCCATAGCCGCCCAGGTCTGGCGATCCACCGTGAAGACGCTGGCCGAGCGCATCGGGTTCATGTACACCCTATCCCATCTCATCCGCTGGCTCGTCTGCCGCTCCAAGGAGACGTACGAGCTCCTCCCACCCTTCCTCCGGCCGACGGAACTACAGTTGACGGTGCCGCACCCCGCATGGATCGACACGATCGTGTGGCCGGCGGCGCGGGACGCCATGATCACCGAGATGGACTGGGGCCGGTTCGAGGAGTTTAGGAGGCTGGGCGGGAATCGCATCACAGTCCGATGGCCGTACCCGGACTCGACGGCGATAATCGAGTCGCCGGATAAGAAGACGATGCTGCTTCATCCAAGTTTCGAGGCACACATTCGCAACTCGGATAATTGGAGGGTGGGACCAGAGGTGGGAGAGGCGTTTCCGTTTATGAAGCCCTTTTGTTTGGGGTGAATGCAGTACATACCTAGACTAAAGGCGTTTAATGATAATGATCTTCGAATATCTTATTCAAACTCTAATTCAGCAAGGGGAGGAGGTCACATTACGCAAACACCAAAGGACAACTACCGCTCATCCTGGGAAAGGGAGTTTAGTGAGGTGAAGCAATAAGAGAGGAGATCCTCCACCAAATAAGGTATTAGCGTCGATGCGTCCCCAAGTCTTGAGTCAGTCAATGACTTTCCGAGACTTCCGTTTCGCAATCTATTGCTTGCTTTGGTCAGCTTGGGGCAGGCTGTGAGCAGTTGTTGTCTTGTTCCAGGCTTCTAATGGCGCTCGCTCTGGTCCTGTGACAATCTAGTCGGATGCCCCGGAAAGACGTTCTTGAACAGCCAGCTAAGTAACAAATGAGTCTCATCAGCCGTCAAAAACAGTATGAAAATTGAGCCGTGGGACTAGGAATCATCCACGTGGGAAGTGAATGCAAGCGTTGTTACACCAATCATGGCCTGGGATCATCAAAACAGAAACCTGCGCGCAGGATCGCCAACCCTCCACAACAGCCCTAATTTGCTTGGCTGCTAGCGGGTTCTTACACGGAATGGCGAGATTTGAGCCCCTAAAATGCTGTTAGCGCTTATTGTGACTGCTGGGTTGCATCAAGCTGAGACCAGGCTGGTCCTCACGACATCCAACATTCCCCAGTTAGGCAAAAGCACGCGCGCTGCTTTGTGCCAGCCTGTAAACTCGCTACAATATAAGCACCATGGGCATACTTAGCCTTGTCCGCCAGCTACGATCTGGGAGCTACAATGAAAGCCCTCAAGGCGGCACCAGACGCAATGTCACTCGGGACAGCACTGCCGGACCCGCCTCAGGCTGTCAGCAATGTCAGAACTACACCCTTGGGCCAATTTCCGGCCTGTTCGATGATTCAATTAGATTGGGTATTACTGTACGATTCAGACCATTTAAATAATAAAGGGGTCCGTCCGTCATCGTCATCCACCTGCCGCCGTCCCGTCGCGACCACTATCTTTCTGAACTCCGTCACTCTCTCGGCACTTGGCCATACATACTATACCTACTAATTAATCAGATCCATCCATTCCTTTCCTTTCCTTTCATCGCCAAGATGCCCATCTACCGCTTCCCACTCCGCCGTCTGCTCGGCCGCTACATCCCAGAGCCGCTGCCCCCGGCCGGCTCATTCGATGGCAAGACAGTCCTCGTCACCGGCGCCACGTCCGGCCTCGGCCAGGCGGCAGCGCAGCACTTTGTGAACCTCGGCGCCCACACCATCATCACCTGCCGTAACGCGACCCGGGGGGAGACGGCCAAGAAGGCCATCGAGGCGGCGTCCACCAGCTCCACCGGCAGCGTGACGCTCATGCAGCTCGACATGAACTCGTACGACTCGTGTGTGAAGCTCGTCGACGACCTGAAGAAGGACTTCGCCGGCAAGGGGGGGATCGACGCTGCCGTTCTGAACGCGGGCGTCCTCGGCGCCGAATACGTCGTGAGCAAGGAGGGATGGTAAGGAGCCCTTTGCCAACTCCCTCGAATGAACTAACGTTGATTTGTCGCTCGCAGGGAGGAGACGCTGCAGGTCAACACGCTCAGCACCTCGTTGCTGGGCCTCCTCCTCGTAGACTGGATGAAGGCGGAGCGCAGCGTCCGGGAAGACCCAGCACACCTCGTATTCGTGACCTCGCGAGATCACCTGTACACCTCTAACTTGCAGTGGGTAAAGTACTCGGAGGAGGGCGGCATCCTGAAGCATTTCAGCGACCAGAAGAACTGGCCCAGGTGGTATCCCAGTGCCAGGCCTCACTACGCCGAGAGCAAGCTGCTGCTCACATACTTTATTGAGGGGTTGGCCGACCTGGCCCGCGGGGAGGATGGCGAGTAAGTTTTATTTGACTGGGAGATACGTCTAGAGCCTCGACTGAACAGTTTCTTTAGCCCCCAGGTCATCATCAGCCCCGTCTGCCCCGGTCTCGTCCGTACGGACCTTGCGCGCAAGACCTCCAACGTCAACTGGTTTCTGAAGCTCGGGACGCACATCTTCTTCTTCGTCGGCGGTAAGATCCCGGAGTTTGGTGCCAGATACTTTGTCAAGGCGGCTACGCGACCCAAGGAAGACCACGTAAGCAGATCCCAGATGAACATACCTAGTAGATTAAGCTGACAGACGATCGCTTCGACAGGGCAAATTTGCCATTGCCTGGTATTCATACGAGAACTACCTCAAGTAAGACGGACCTTGTCATTCTTCATCCCTAATCTACTAACAAGCTTCCAGGTTGGGCCAGACGGTGCGCGCAGTCACCTGTGCGCATGCACGAAAGGTCCAGAAGTTGGTGTGGGCGGAGGTGATTACCGAGCTCACCACCAAAGTGCCATCAATGGGGAAGTATGCCCTTCCCAGCAGCAAGCCGACAGACGCAGAATAAGGGTGCATCTCTCAAATTACAGTTGTGCGCCAAAGGGGATGGAAGTGCGATTCATTTAGGATTGAAACCGAATTGCTCACACGTCATTGAATGACAGCTCAAATATTTCTCATATGTTTATACTCATCTTAATAATACCATACATAATACCCTCCAGTTGCACAATCTCCAACGTGGCTGGCTCCTTGTCATAAGGTTGTGAGCAGCAGAGAAACATACCGCGGCGAGGTCTCACTTATCAACTACAGAATGGGTACAAAAATCCCTGCTGGGAGCAATATACCGACAAAGGGCCACATCCAACGAGATCTTACACCAAAGCCAAAGGCAGCTCTAATCCCTCTTCTTCATGTACGGCTGGCACGCCTCGTGAATCCGCTTGACACCAGGATACGCCATCACCTTGTCAAACGCCGCCCGATTCGCAACTCTAGCCCACTCGAGCATTCCGACGATCCAGAAATCAGTATAGCTCACCTGGGCGCCCAGCACAAATGGCCCCTCATCCTTGTGCGTAAGTGTCCAATCGCTAAGTTGACTCAGCTCGCCATCTGCCGACTTCCAGGCCTGTTCCGCCTTCACAGGGTCGTCTATTTCCTCCAATTTCAGTCCGATGAGGGCTTCACGGCTTTTCCTGAAATAAATCTGAGCCCGCGGCGAAATGATGTGATAGACGCTGGGCATGACCGAAATGCGGAAGATGGGATTGATCACGTCGCGGAATTTCTCCTGGATCTTAGTCCCGAGCTCAGATGCGAGGGGCACGGCTGGATGCGGGTATTTTGACTCGATGAACTCGGAGATGGCTGGCGAGTCCATCAAGTACGTGTTTGTTGGTAGGTGGTGGATCGCCGGCACGGTGTAGTCGGCATATGATGATTCGTGTGGCGGTATGCCGCTGAAGACTTTAGTTCCAGTTTTACTCTTGGCATTCATGGAGAAGAGGAACACCACTTACAAGCCCTTCAGTGTAGGCTCGATATCTGGAAACTCGAGGAATACAGTCTTGTATGGGATGCCCTTATAGTTGAGCATCAGGCGAATGCGCCAGACTAAAGGAGAGAAGGGTTCATTCTGGAGCGACCCTAGATCGTAGAGGATAATCTCAGGTTCATTCTGGTCCGTCATTGTTTCTACCAGTGAGGCATACAGATGAATTTGAATTTAAGAACGTCAATGTGAGGTTGTGAACTGGGTAGGCTTCATTATATTGTCGCGTCACAACGCGGGGTTTTTTGCAACCTACGCCCTTTGAATCAATTATGTGGACAGGCTGATGCCTAGCCTAATCACGGAGGTGCTTCTAATTCAGGCGACGGTGTAACTTGGCCAATCAAACTAGCCGGGTCCAATGGCCCAATCCTTCGTCTTGTTGTCGTAATGATTAGCCTTTCGTATTTGGGCCGTCCAACACTTCAATGTTCTACCTTTCAAATGGATTCTACACTCGGATTTCTCATTGGGTCTAATCCTCACTTGTTGGTAGCCGGTAAGCATTGAGTGCAAGATTTAAGACTTCCACCTTCGGTTCTGAACAAGGTCATTGTTTCGACTTCCCTTGCATTTCCACTATGAGTTCGAAGCCAAGTTTATAGCTCGTCGGGTCGTTACAACATTCACTCCTTAAGTTGATTTTGACTCTTAAAATGATAGCTTACGATACCAAACGCTAATAATTATTCCAGCCGATACTACCGCATAGTCCCAATCTGAAATCATTGGCCTAGCTGGGAAGACAATTCAAGGGAGGCTCAATCATCTTATTCCCTGGAGAGGACAAGCAGCAGACTCCAACAAGAAGAGAATTCCTCAGAATGCAAATGTATTGTCGGGATTTCTGGAAACTGGAACCCCTTCGTCCTTATCCTCTTCCTGGGACAAGTCACTACCATCGTGAAAGAAACTCATCTCCTGTTGAGAAGAACATTGCCTCTTGGCCTCATTACCAGCACCACCCACAGACATCAAGCGCTTCCGCTATTAACTTGTCAGTAAATAAAAAACAAGACAGTTGGTCTCCCGGGAAAGTTAAGGCATACCCCTGTCTCTCTCGCCGGCAAGCCTGCAGCATGATCTTCCCACACACCCTGCTCAGTAGTCCCAGGCTTCTCCGAAGCCACGCACATGAGACCCGCTACATACTCCTTGTCGCACATGAGAGCAGAAAGCTTGCTGTCAATAGCCTCCCTCTCGCGGATGTAGCGCCCGACGATTTCCTCCTGGGCGTTGAGGAACCCGACCTGTCGCGTTGCGAGCGTGGCCTCTTGCTCAGTCTGCAGATGAGCTCGCTCGACGCACACCTTCTGCATGACTTGCGTAAGGGCACTCAGCTCTGCTTCGCTCTTTGCCTTGGCCATGGACTGGGCCAAGAAGGTGATTTCATCTTGCATGTGGCTTAACTCGATCTGGTCGTTGTTCTGGGGCGGCATGACGGCCTCGGCCTGTCTCATGTGCTTTCGACAACATTCCAGCGACTCAGTGAAATACCACAGGACCAGCCCCTCATGGTGAGGCTCGTCTTGCTTGAGCTCGTTGGGCATCCTTTCAGTGCGTTGCAAGTCTAGATGAAGACAGATGGGAAACCAGGTAACAACAGAATGCACTGGACGTAACGTTTTCGCTTTGGGGGAGAGGCTGGCCGTTATAGCAGTGTGTATAAATAGAGAAGAAGAGTAGAGGAAGCATACAAATTGCACCTAGCCTAGCTGAAGTATGGGCTTCACTTGTAGCAAGAGCAGTAACATTGACTATAGGTGCTACAAGTGACTGATTCAAGGTCAAGGAAGACTGGTTCGAAGTGGTAAGAGGACTAATTGAGTCACGCCACAGTTGCCTCTGAGACCAGTCATTTGGATTTGGTATTGGTGATGGTGATTGTGGTAATCTGTAAACCGTGAATATGCTCAACAAGCCTGAACGCCCGATTTACTTGGCGAGGATGTCGGCCGACAAGCTCGTTTCTACTTTATTTTCGCCTCAACCTCTCTTCTGCATTTCATTTTTTGTTCTCTTCACCTTCATCACGCACCTTAGAGTCTACTACTCGAAAACGCCCAGAATGACAAGGAGTGAGTGGTGTAAAGTGTTTCGGGGCGGAGTGAGCTATAGGGTAAGTAGACATGGTCGGATGATACAGGCAGGAGCGATTTAGGTGCATCACATCTCAATAAATAATGTTCCATTCTCGAAATGCCAATCGCACACAAAACACCTCAACAGATCAGCACAGGTGTCATCAAGGCCCTCACCAAGCCGCAATGTCCGACGTCCTTGCAAGATCGGCCATCCAGCAGCTGCCGCACGAACTCATCCACCACATCCTCACCCTGTCTCCGGATCCCGCCTCGCTCAGCTCCCTGTCGCGATCCTGCTCCGCCTTCCACGCCGCCTTTGCAGCCAGGCCGGCCAAGATCATAAGCACTGTCTTGTCGCTCACCATCCACCCCTCGGTCCAGCGCGATGCCTACATCGCTGTGGCAGCCTCCCGCCTTTCCCCCGACGACCCTGCCGGCTTCGACCAGTTCCTAGACGAGACGCTCTACCCGAAGCCAGCCCCTCCTGTGCCCTGGACTCTCCGTCATGCTGTCGATGCCGTGCGCTTCCACGGCCACGTGCAATACCTCGCGGAGGCCCTCTCGCAGCAGATCCTGCAGGCAGAACCCTTCACAGCGCCATCATACGGCGGCAACGACAATGACGGCGACTCTGCATCCCCGGCCTCCCCACCACCGCCGCCAGCCACGACGTCGGAGATCAATCGTTTCCAACGCGCGCTCTATCGCTTGCAGACGTTCTGCGAGCTGCTCAATCGCGAAAGCAGCTATGAAGAGGTCTGCAAAGTCAAGGGCTTCGCGACAAGCCCGGACGTGTGGCTGGCCTGCTACGCCGAGTTCGCCACGTACGAGATTGAGCAGCTCAGCTGCCTGAATGATCTGCTCATGGCGCTCGTCGCCCAAAGTCAGTCAGCTTCCATTCCCGCCCTCACCCTAGGCAGCCCAGCCTCTAACTATAAATTGTCGTAGAATTCAATGACATAGTACTCCACGACGTTACTTGGGGCCATCTCGGCGTGCGCCTCATCACCTCGGCGAGCTCCAGGCTAGGCCAGGAAGTCATGAGCCGGGGGCTGGAGACGCTTCATGCACTCTACGAGGCGACATCATATGACGACTCTCGGGAGATTCTGCATCTTGGGGAGACCAAGTACGATCGGCCTGTTGAAAGGAGAAATTTTCTGATTGACAGGTTCGACGACCTGGACGGCCGCCAGTATCTCGGCCACATTGGGGTGTTTGACGATCTTCCACCCGAGGTGAAGGCGAAGCTGATCCGCAAACCGTTCTACCCCGATCCAGACCCGGGACCTGGGCGAGTGTGGGAGAGGGTGCATCTAAGCGAGGGGATCCCTATCGGACTCGTCGCAGTGCACCAGTTCCGGCACTATCGTCGGTGGGGATATGTCTTTTGGGACGAAGAGAGGCTCGAGAAGCTAGGGGCATTCGATGAGAGGTGGGATGATGCTGCGTCGTCGCCCGCGGCGCCTGAGGATCCGTTTCTGGTGTATTGGGAGATTCACCCGGAGGAAATGGCCGCCTCACAAATGCTGCGTAGTAAGGTCTGGGCACGTGGGGGGAGAGGGTACTGGGACCACGATGACGAGAGCCAGGTTATTTTTCCTGCGCGCGATCCACAGGATCAGCTCTCCAAATAATGATTTTCGGCGTTAGCATTTTACGGAGATGAGGATTGATGAAAGCTTGCTGGCATTCAGTCACAAATGATTCATCGACGCCAGCGATAGCATACGGGAACAGGCCGTGTTTATGGGGGCAGGGGCCTCCAGAAGAGAATACGTGGATTGGGGTAATTCAATGTCTTTTCGATGATTTATGAGGATACGAGCCGACACTAATAAACATGTTTGCTTTACGTCTTGAGTTGAATCACTGCAGTTCTTTACGAAGTAGACGTCTCAAAGTCAGAAAGTTATTTGAAGATGAAGTATATTGAAATGAAGTAAAAATATGTTCTTATGAAGAAAAGAAAACGGAAGAAGAAAAAAGCTGAAGAAGAAAATCAAGAACTCCAGTTTGCTCATGCAGATGCGTGTAAAATCCCAGAAACAATCATCAAAAATCAAAGAAAACTCATAAAGAATCGATGGCAAATAAACCGCGCCGCTCATGCCTTGATCTCCTTGATGTCGTGGAGGAGCTTCTTGTCCGACTTCTTGATCTTCTTGGTGTCGAGGGTCCCCTTCTTGTAGAACTCCTTGCAGGCGCTGCGGTAGCGCTTCATCTCGCTCTTGCTCTTGCAGGCCTTGCCGTTGTCCTTGTCCTCCTTGCAGAGGGCCTTCATGGCCTTCTTCTGCTTGCGGGTGCGCATGAGGCGGCCCTTCTTGTGGACGAGGGTCTCGCACATCTTGACAAAGGTCTTGTCGGAGTTGTCGTTCTTCTCGACGATGGACTTGGCCTTGGAGCCCATCTTGGAGTGGTGCTTGGCGAAGACCTCGGTGGAGAAGCCGAGGAGGAGGGCGGCGAGCATGGAGAACTGGACGAGCTGGACCATTTTGGCGGTTGTTGTTTTTTTGTGAGGTGGGATATGTGAGATGTGTGAGATGTTTCTCGAGGGTGGATGATTTCAGAAGTTGGTTTGTAGGAGTTGTAGTTGTTGTGTTGTTGAGTTGTTGTTGTTGTGATGATGGTTCTAATCATCGTCTCTCCCAGTCCTCTTTGTATCCCAAGCCTCGACGATGCGCAACTATTTTTACAACAGCCAAGACACCCAGAAGCCGTGATCAAACCGACACTTACTCTTGGCACCTTGGCACCTTGACCAGACGGCGGCACAGCCCGCCTGTGTCATACCCAGTCCCGGTCCCAGGACCTGCCGTAAGCCCCAAGCCATTCAAACGGGCATCGATTCCCCATGGATGACTCCAGCTGAGTCCCACCAGCCGAATCCAGCAGCTGCGTTAGTAAGAGGAGCCCAAGCATAAGGCGCGCGGACAGATCCTCTACCATGACCTATCAGGGCCCTGGGCTGAGGTAATATTCGAGAATGGCCCCATTTAACCTTATTTAATTTCTCTACGCCGCTCTTGTTATCCCGTGCGTGTCTCCATTCCCAAAAAAAGCACACAGCACCCATGTCACGTCCATCGGAGATTTGTTGGCGGGACAAAGTCCTCCTCCTTCGGAGTCCTCTCCCTGCGGCTGAAATCTATGCAGAGTGCCCGCTCGGGGAATTCGATGTCATGATAGGCGTAAAAGACTCTGGGGAGATGAAACATTCATCGCCTTAGTAATGTAGCCCACGATGCCTTGCCTGGCCGCGTAGGGCGTAAAACAGGTCACTCGTTCCGGCTTGGCAGGATAAGGCACGGACCCTGCAGAAGGCAGCTAAATAAATCAACGAGGCTGTACTCTGTAGATCTGAATGAATTGAAGCACAAACAATGGACATGGTTTCTTTTCCATACGCGTGGCTGCTGTGTTATGGCAGAAACAAGGTAAGCTGACACCCAGCTCAGCCACATGATTTGATGTTGGACTGGTCGGCCCCCAAACCAGCCAGTTCGCACGCTGCAAGACTGGAAGATCGACGGCACTCCATTGACTAAGCCAGCAAGCCAGATGCTGATTTGCTCCTTGTCGATGGCTTTCCTTCTTGTCGCGGTGGGGCCTTTGCATGACGGCCAGCTTGTTTCATGTCCGACCAGGTGCCGGGACCGAACAACAGCGTCATAAGTCTCCAGCCGTGCCGTACGTAGGTTGTGATGCGCGTGTCTATTATTATATTCACCAATCGTACACAAACAGGTCTATAGGAGCAGTAACACCAACCATCGGTCTGGAACCAATGGCGATAGCTGATTCTCGAAAAATATCCTGACTTGGCCGTCACGTAGTTGGACTTTTCGCAGTAAGCGATCACCCCCCTAAGTTTACATTAATCGATTGATTTTTGTGGTAAGATATGTTATGTTAATTTGTCTGATTCGCTGTCGCGCGATCGCGGTGTGATGGTCTCAGCCATGACCGCGTTCTGAGACACTACCCTATACTCTAGCCCAAAACAAACCAACACACATTCAATAGGTAGTACATGTAGAATTAGGAAATGGGTGTTTCTAAATGAACCTAATATTGAAAATTTAAGCCTTAGTGACTAGTCTTTGCTTGACTGTTCTTTTTCACCCTTGCGAAGGCAGTAGGTAAGTAGAAATTAAAAAAGCTGCAGATATTTTACAACTCTGCAACATCAGGAAGGGTTGATGTCAGTCTACCCCCAAAAAATCAACTCCCGTAGGAAAATAATTCTGGAAATAGAAAGGGAGACACTAATCAAACTTCATTACAAACTTCAACTGGACAAGTTGGATCAATATCATGTTGATTGATTACTGCTGCTCGTCATGCCCTGAGCGGGTGAAGGCTTGAAGGATGTAAAAATAGCATGTCAGATTCTAGTGCGGAAAACAACTCCGTCACCAGCCCCGTTTCCCGTTTTTCGTGGGTCTGCGGAGCAGAGTCAAAAAGTCTAGGCCTTTGGCGTATAAAATCCATGGTATAGGGTAATCTGGATCGTGGATTAGAGAAGAATTGATAACGGCTCACGTGATAACTAGAAAACCCCCCCCACCGCCTGCCAAATCTGGCCTCTTTTTCTGCCGTCGCAAATTTCTTATCGCCAGCCTTATCCAGAATTTTTGTTTTGGTGGCAGCAACACCACCACTTTCCAACCCACGAGCAGCCATGGGTGTCGCGAAGAAAACGAGAAAGTTCGCACAGGTGAAGCGCGTGCTCGGCCGCCGCGACGAGCGCCTCAAGAAGCCCAGCGCCCAAACGAAACCCAACGCCCAGACGAAGTCCAGCGGAAAGGGCCCCGCGAAGAAGACAGACGAATCCGAGGTCGTTCGACACATCCCTCAAGTCCCCTCCGGCCTCTTCTTCCAATCCAACCAGCAGCTCGGCCCTCCATATCATGTTATACTAGACACCAACTTCTTCTCGCACAGCGTGTTAAGAAAAGTGGATATTCAAGACGGTCTGATGGATCTGCTACTGGCAAAGTCCATCCCCGTCGTCACAGACTGCACCATTGCGGAACTCGAGAAGCTTGGGAATAAATACCGGCTGGCGCTGCGGCTAGCAAAGGATGAGCGGTGGAAGAGACTCAGGTGCTCGCACTCAGGCACGTACGCCGATCAGTGTATCGTGGACACCGTCATGCAGAACCGCTGCTACCTGGTCGGAACGGACGATAAGGAATTGAGGCAGAGGTTAAGGAAAATCCCCGGTGTGCCGTTGTAAGTTTTGCCCTGATACCCACCATAACTCTTGACATTTTCTTTCTTTCGAGAGCTAACATTGAGAAATTAGGGTCGGCGTTGGGAGAGGAAAGTTCCATATTGAGAGATTGCCTGAGATTGCTGTTTGATATTTGAGGATTTTGCTGGGAATGTGTTTGAGGCGTCGACGTATAGGCGCGCGGCTATTGGTTATGTTTGTATGCAGGCATTAAAGAATTCATGAATCTTATTTCGACCGGTTCTCGAACTTCATCCAACCATCTGTGACTTGGAAGAGTCTTTGTGGATTCTGCATTTGGCACATAGGGAAGAAGGATCGTTCTAGAACAGTAATAATTTGCACCATTGTGAGTTTCGTCCCGACACTATAAGTCTGCCTCTCCTTCTTTGTTTGAAGTTTCTTGATTGAGATGGTTTGGGAGAACTTGCTAAGAATGGCACGTAACGAGCAACATGATGCCGGTTTCGTCCACTCCGCATTTTCATCACTGTACAAGATGCCGATAATTGTAGCTTTTAGTATCGATGGGGCAAAGCCTTGTTGACATACTTGAGTGGCAGTTCTCGTGTGATACCTTGTCAACTATGAAATCTCCGTTTCTTATGATCACATGTGCTAGCACTTTGCATGTTCCAAGTCGTTGCTAAACAGAGCTTCCTTTACTTTGCCCAATGGCCATTCTCAAAGGAGATCAGTTGCGTGGCGAGTCGTATATGATTGCTTTTTACGAAAGCTATAAGCTAGGCCTTGCCCTAGAAGCGTGAGTCCCAACAAGACCAGTCGCAACTTCAGTTTCTACTTTGACCACCACACCATTGGCTGAGCTTGCTACCATTTTTCTTCCTTATCAAGATGCACACGGGAACTTTTCGCGGCTTTGACGTGCTCTTCAGCACCAAAAACTGCTCTGCCGCTGACTGGTACAAGTTTTGGACCGACTTTACCACCGCCTTTGCGTGGGAAGGGACGGTTCTCATGTTACCCACGTCGGAAAATGGCACCGAGAAGGTCACAATGTCGTTATGCGCAGACATGGAGAATTTCGATCGCGCTGTGCATCTGCTGATGCACCATGGGTTCAAGAACGAGGAATCCTCCACAGGAGAAACACAATTTGAATCACCGGAGAGAATTCCGGCTGTTGATATAAGTGCCCAACAATCCTGGTTCGAACTAAGAATGCTTTGCGATGGAATCCTAAACCTCTAGGGGCATGGAGGTGTACTGGGTGGAACAACACTTGTCATGGAGGTTTGGTGCTTGGATACTTCAACAGTGGGCAAAATTCTGTAATTTGGAGATACCTATTGGGAGACCTTGTTGACAATGCCCTTTATTCTCAGAAGTTTTAATTGCGTTGAGATCTTGGGTCTGACATCTTGCCTTACGTTATTTTGAGACCCCCTCACCCATCTTCTTGGGAAGATGTCTTGAAACCTGCCGGTGAGAAGATTATCAATTTGTTTCCATCACTTTACGAATATGGCGATCGTTATGTGACGGCAAAGCCCGTTAGTTCTTGGCTTATCATTGGACATCTGACCACTGACAATCGTGGTGCTTTGGAATTCGAGTCTTGTCCTCTTGGCGCTTCACGGGGCCGCCATATTGGGGTGTCTTTGTTGAGCAAGAACCAACTTAAAATAAAACCAATCCTTTGAGGTATATGGCTGTGACGCTTGTGATCTCCTACCTATCCTAAACCCTTATATTCGCAGAGATCGTGGTGTAGTTCTTTACTGCAATGGGGCTAATTGCTGGCTTCATCTCTCTTTAGCTGGGTACCTAGTGTGGATGCTATAGGATTATAGCTTGCGTTTATGCGATAATTAATGCGAACTTGTTCTATGGCGCGTGGGAGGTGATGCAATTGTATATTTTCTATCTGCTATATCTGGATGTAAGGACTGATCCTTATCTACCGGAACTGTCATGTCCAACCCCATGACAAGAATCAACACTAGAGCCTCGAGAGTCATTCGGATTTTAGCCTCATCATCCAATCCCTCGGTAAGATGATTGAAGAATTGTTTGAGTGGCAAAATTGCTTTGGCAATCGAGGTATCGATAGCATTTAACTGTTCTGGATGACTTGGATAGGTCCGCTATAGTCATCCCCCGTGCTGAAAGTCAATGGGCATGAAGGGGAAGGCTTTGTACTAGTCAGTGCCATTAGATGCTTCAAGGTGTCCTCTTGCCCAGCTGATTCATAGAGAAATGGTGGTAGTGAGTAACCAGTGAATGTTGGTAGTATGACGATTTGCATTTCCTTCATTAGACTGTAACACTACCATAGAGCCAGACCATACGAAAAAAAGAACACGCGAAAATGATGACCTGCCATCAAACACTAATTTTGAATTCCTTCGCGTAGTAGCTTTTCCTTGAACCCTTTAAGGATCTTGTGTATTTCCCCGACCTTTTTGAGAAATTCAATGGTGTCGTGTATGTCGTCGGACTCTCCGATGCGATCATGTAGTTCCCTTTGCTCCTGTTCGTCTTCGACCAGGCGATAATGCTTGAGAAGTGAGTCCATGTGTTCTACACTCACGTTCCTTGTCGTCGAATTGTCTGTCAACCACTTGAGAAAACTAAAGTCAGAAGTCTGCAAGGCGTCGGTGCACGCAAGTCTCAAAGCTGACGGACTACGCCCAACCTCGTTCAAGGTTGCACCATGCTGAAGCAGCATTGAAATTTGATCTTCCAGCTCAGACATGCTTTCGACAATAGGTGGCTCCTCCAGTCCAGGATACTGAATAGGAACTTCCACGAGTCCCCTTCGCTCCCTCCAAACATAACTGAATACCGCTGACAGCATCGACATAGTGCGGTGTCCTCCTAGATATTCGACCTGTACGTCAGAAGTTGCGTCCGCACCGGCTTCGAAAAGCATCTTCATGCAGCCTGTATTCTGGGCAAAAGTAGCGGCAAAGAATATCGGCGTGGCTTCACAAATCTTTGCTCGGTGAGGTAAGCGGCTGAAGCTTGAGGCAATTCGAACATCTACGTCGCGTGGGGCAATTTGAACATCCACGCCGCGTGCTATTAATCTTTCGACGAAGGTCGTCACGCGAGGGTCCTGTAGCATCAAAGCATGGTGAAGGGGGCCGGGTGTTCCTCTTCTCCGAGCCTCACGAACATACTTGCGGTCAAAGTATTCTTGGGAAGTTAGGGAAAGAAGTTTCGATGCGGTCGACAGGTTTCCATGGTAAATGGCATTGACGACAGCAGAGTGGCCTGGCTCTAGCTGAGCTCCCGATTCAACCAAGCGCTGCACAAAATCATTTGCCAGATCCTCGTCCGACATGCGAGAAACAATTTCCAATAGCTTGCGCAGATCTTGGCGTCCCGGAACATCTAAATTAGGATGTTTCAGGAAATAGTCAAATGTGCAAGACATTTTCGCCAAAAGATGCTCGGTGATTGACGTGAAAGTCTGGCATTTCAGCGAGAAGCCGGACAATGTCCATCCGACCCTCGCGGGCCGCTAGATGAACGGGTGCATGCCCCTTGATGTTTTCAAAGAGAGTTCCAACCCCGGACTGTTGTAGAATAGATTTGGCAACCTCCAATCCTCCATTGGGGGACTTGATGGCTAGGTGCAGTGCAGTATTCCCCATCATATCCTGGGCGTTGACGTTCGCTTTCGAATTTCCAAGACACTGCGTGACAAGCTCCAGATTGTCGGACGAAGCTCCGTAAAGGAGTTTTCCGTTTAAAGACGCACCGTCATTTTCTTTCCTCTGCAGAAGGGCTGTGAAAACGCCTTTAAAATCCTTGGAAAAAGCAGAGGGAAGTGCCGATAAATCCCTTCGGGAGCGGTAGGCCCCGCGGCTAACGAGCATCTCGGCGATCTTTTCGTGTCCCTGTTGTATGGCTAGTTCAAGTGGAAACCTCGTCCGGTGTTGTATTTCTTCTTCAACGTCGACCCCGGCTTCCAGGAGAAAGGCAACAATCTCTGTGAAGCCGGCGGCAGCAGCGTCATAGAGGGGCGGATCCCACGAGCATTCGAGTTCGTACTTGGAACATGGTATTAGAACACCGTTCACCTTCATGAGATCGCTCGGGGCTCTATAGATCATGTCATCGTCCCAGGGGGCTTCATAGCTGGTCTTTGAGGGAAAGATATCTAAAGGTAGTCCGTATGAGTTCAAGTCTGCACGGTATGTGACCGCTCGTTTGATCGTCTCCAGTCGGTTATGAAGGACGGCCCAACGGAGGCAAGAGCAACAGTTGGGGTCGCGAAATAAACTTCGCGCGTAGAGTCTCTCGTTCAAGATTTGATAGAAATGGCGGCTAGTCCGAGCAAATGCGGCATGGTATCTCACGTACAACCGAGGCTCCCAGCCCCTTTCGTTACGGTAGCGCTTTGCGTCGATTTTGGAAGGGAAGCCATGCTCGGGGGGCGCTGAATCCCAGGTACACAGTTCGGCTATGTACTGGACGATCTCAGTCGGTAGTCTTTCGATAGGCGACATTTTGCTCACAGGTGATGCGAATCTCCTGTTGTTGTTTGGAGGAGAATGTGCTCTCAGCAACGAGGTGCTTTCATGGCACAAGCACAGAACTTCTTGTTTTTTGTGGGGCAACTTTTTTGGAATAAAGTGAAGAGCAAGTGAGTTGACTGTGGATCCTCGCAGTTGATCAGTCCTGTGACTGCAGCTCAGGTTATGTAGTTACGGGCGGTTGCCCTGCCTGGCACTGCCTTAACGTGATAGGTGTGACCAACACGTTGGACGGACGTTGTTCATTGCAACAGAGGGTTGGCGGTTGGTCCTTGCGTGGTTGACAAAGGAAGTCATCAATCCTTTGTTGTTTTCGACCTCGACCAGGACTATTCATGTTCCATTTGTTTATGCTAGATCTTTGTGTTTCTTTATTGCGTCTTACTTGGCCTAAAACGCTATATATTTCAAAACTCGTTGATATATGAAACAAAACCAAGAGTTTACTCGAAGTAAAGTTATTATAGCAGAACTGCTTCTAATTTCACTGGATTCAGCTATTTTTATTAATAGTAAATTTGGTCGAAACCTCTTACTGCTTCAAGCTCCCCTTTTTTGATTAACCCCTATTAGAACCTGAATAAGTACTACTATAGTACTACTCTTTAGCTTTTTTATAGCAGTTAAGTAGGTTATTTGCTCAGTTACTAAGACGTTAACCCCAGAACTAATACAATTTTATAATACTAGTATGTTTTCTTATGATTTTATTCAATTATCAAATACCTTACCCGGGTTTAGAATCCAACTAGCAAGATGTGAGACTAAACATTAGCCAATAGTTTTGGACAAAGACTTACTGAGGATCTAACGTCTCCTTGAGCGCTTTCATGACCCCGATCGTTTCAGGACCGAGTTCCTTATAAAGAGAAGCCTGGCCAATATTAGAAGCCCATCTTGCGAAAGATTGCCCAAGTTGCGTGACTTACCTTCTTCCCAAGTCCAATTCCATGCTCCCCCGATACAGTCCCCTCCATCTCCAGAGCTCGCATCATCATCGAATCAACGCAGTTAGAAACCGCTTTCCGCTGGCTTGGATCATCTGGTTCATACATGACCATTTGGTGAAAATTTCCATCGCCCACATGGCCTAGTACGCTGCTATATAAACCAAGTTTACTGGCATTATCTTTGGAGATCGCTGCGGTCTAATTAGCAGTGCCACCCCGATAGAGTCTACGTAGGAAATTCCATACTGATCAGCTCTGCCATGCGCGAGAGGGGAACAGCAACGTCAGTAGACCATATTTGAGTTCCTTCCGGCCGAGCGGCGAGATTTGCCCAAAGAGCTTGCTTCCTTGCAGACCACAGAGACTGCATCTCCTCTTCAGTGTTGGCTGACTCAAATGTATGGCAGTTGCTAGACTTTGCGATGTCTTGGGCTTGTTTTAAACTGTCTTTGACATTTGTCTCTGAGCCAGAAAACCTGGAATCGTTAGTTCTTAGGGGTGCGCTGTTGCAACACGAGACTTCCAACGTACTTGAGAAACAACGTCGGGTTTTCCTCCCAGGTCCTTCCTCCCGCGCCCCCGCTGCTATTAATCACTTTCATTTGTACATCATCCATCAATTCAAGTGCAGCGAGGGGAACACCATGGCGCATCATCTTGAAAGCGGCCTCGGCTGCCTGCTGGATAGTGGGGAATGTAGCCGTCGCCACACTGAAGGTATCTGGAATAATGGCCAACTTGAGGGTTGCTTCAGTAATGATCCCTAGAGTACCCTCAGAACCTACGAATAAACCCGTCAGATTGTACCCAGCTGACGTCTTGCGAGGCCTGTGTCGCGTTTTGATAATCGACCCATCCGCTAGCACGACGGTAACATTAACCACATAGTCCTTCATAGTTCCGTATCTCATAGCGTTTGTTCCGCTACAGTTGGTCGCAATCATGCCGCCAACTAGAGCGGTTGGGCTGGGGTCCAATGGTAGGAAGAGTCCGGAGCTCTTGATCTCTTCATTCAAAATTGTCCAATTGACACCAGCCTGAACCACAATATCCATGTCCTCAGGGTGGAAGGCAACAATATTATTCATGTCGGATAAATCGAGACAAACGCCTGAGAAGGGAGAGCTGAAGTTCCCTTCGACACTTGACCCAGCGCCATATGGAACCATCGGAACTCGATAGCGAGAACATATCCGAGCAACATCTGAGACCTGTTTCGTGGATTTTGGCCTAACGATTGCTGCCGGACGAACGTCGGTGTTGGATGTAGACCATTCTGAGTAGCCATGCTCATCGATGTCATGCTCGTCAACACTGACAGCATCCTGTCCCAGGATCTTTCTGATCTCATCGACAGCCTGTTTTCTGTCAGACCAAACGTGATTGCATAGGTAGGATTGCACACACACACCTTCAACATTGTGGCTTTGTCCGCATATTTCACAACTCGGTGGCTAACATTTCCTCTCCACCGTGGAACAGGTTCTACGGGCTTTTCCCGCACCAGCCCGAGCGACACAACCGAGGCAGAGACTATACCACCTATGATAGTTCCCACGACGATGTAGGTAAAAGGCCGTAGCTGTTTATTCGCGTAGGAAGCGGAAAAACACCGCGATTGAGGAGCGTGCTTGTGTTTCACGACTTGAGCCAATTGCGGCCGTGGCGTGGCACGCAATAAAGTCCATGGCTTGAACATAATTATCGTCTCGAATTGGGAGGGGCATGAATTTACCAGTCGTCGTCAATCATGGAGTGAGCTTGGCTTAATAAGTGATCCTGTAGCGGAAATATTTCCCCTCTGCGTCCGACTCTAGACATGGCTTTGCCCTCAAAGTCGCTAGGCATCACAGGCCGGAGACTACGATGGCCAATAATGGTAGACAGTAACCCAGAGATTGGTTAGAATCATGTCGCATTTCGGAACAAAACACCTCCATACTTCAATGATAGAAATCACTTGGAACGTTATTCGCCCGCCTCTCCGCTTCGTATCAGGAACCTAGTCATCCCTCTAGGGATCGCCCTAGTATACAACGAGACATTCGTCATTTGCATGTCTCCCCTATAATGGGTCTAATGATAAGTAGGATAAAGTAGCGTAAAAGCTAAGTTATGGGGTGTATTCCACCGACGCCTTACTCAAAACCGAAATTCTTTACGACAAGATAAAAGCGGAACTTGGCACACAGGGTGATTGATGAATCTGACTTAACGATACTCCGTGGAAAAGTCCTGATAAGCCCTTCTTCCTCCCGAGGCCGCCACCACAGAACGGCAAAGGTTACATCCGTGAGCTCAATCAGAAACCAGTCAAAGGGCCTGACCAAGCGAGCCATTCTACTGTTTTAGCTTGGCAGCATGGCGCCCGTCGCCATTCTTACTACTGATAAGGAACCCATGCCAGTACACGTACTTTGAAACTAGGGGGCCTGATTGCTATATAGACCTTGCCCCTTCTTAGGCGAATCCAACGCATCTAGCAACAATTGTGGCCCAACGCTTTGCAAACACAATGTCGCAACCTTCCTCATCCGCCCTTGGCCATACCGATTCCAAGGTGAAATCTGAGGCCCTGAAGTTGGATCCTCACGAGCTTGAGAGTATCGGAGATGCAGATCAAACCATCATCTCTGAGGGTAGTCCTAATCACCAGGTGGTCAGTTTCAACACAGAAGGGGCCAGCACCATCGAGCAAGATCCTTATGTCCCCTTCCCCATTGACCCCGAGGTTGTTGCGATCGAGGATGAGAATAACATCCTTCGCATCAGGAGCATCCTTCTCGGAATGATCTTGGGCGGTGTTGTGAATGCAGCTAACCTTTATCTCGGTAAGCCTCTCACCTCCCTTTCCCATTGAGTCTGGTCTGCATGCCAAAGATCAGCTTGCATAAACATCACCTTTGCTCGGACCAGAAAAACAAAAGTAAAAGAAAACTCACAACTGACAGGATTAAAAACCGGTCTCACGTTCGTTGCATCCCTCTTCGGATCCCTACTAGGTTTTGCTGTGCTCAAGACTCTGAGCAAAGTTGTTCCGGAGAATTTTCCTATTCTCGGCGGCCCCTTTGGACCCAAGGAGAATGCAATCGTACAAACGAGTGCCACCGCTGCCGGCGGCCTGAGTAACATTTTTGTCAGCGCCGTCCCAGCCATGTACCAAATGGGCCTCCTCAAAGACCCCAAGGCAGACTACCCCCGTATTGCTGTTGTCACGCTCGGCGTGGCCTATGTCGGCTTCTTCTTCGCAACACCGCGTAGGTTCTGACGTGCCCATGGCCCTACAGGAAAATACAGAGAGGTTAACATGATGGTTTACAGTGCGCAAGATATTCATCGTGCAGATGGCGAGGCAGATGGGACTTATTTTCCCAACCTCGACCGCCACCGCTACCACGATACAGTCCCTTCACATCGCTACGGGCGGGCAGCAGAGTGCACGGGGAAAGATTCGAGTTCTATTGTATTCCTTTCTAGGTGCTTTCATCCTCCGCGTCGTGTCAAACTTCGCGCCTGGGATCCTCTGGGACTGGCATGTCTTTACCTGGATTTACATCTGGGGCAACTACAACAACCTGGCTATTTGGGCAGAGAGCTGGGGCTGGTATATACAGTGGACACCTGCCGTCATGGGCACTGGGATGATGGTCGGCATGAACACAGCGTTGTCCATTTTTGCAGGCTCTCTCCTCAGCTGGGGGGTCATTGGACCAATCCTCACTCGTACAGGCTCAGCTTCTGGTCTGGCCATTGGTGGTGACAGTGAAGAATGGAAGCCTCTGATGACGTTTGCCAGTATGAACCTCAAGGATCCAGTGGGCAACCCCAGTCCTCGATACTGGCTGCTTTGGCCGTACGTCTCTCTTTTGCCTACCTCACTCCATTTCGGTCTTCACTAATAGTTTGCAATAGTGGTGTGTTACTAATGGTGGCTGTCTCCGTCGTGGAAGTTCTCTGCCAGCATCAGATCTTTCGACACAGTGCATCCATCGTCGTACGGGCTGTTGGCGCTGCGGCCTATGCTGTGTTCAAAAAACTAGGCCGCACTCCACCGAGAGCCCTGGAGCGGTTTGCGAGGAACGACTCAAGCGAAGCGAACGAGTTCGATCATCATACACACGAAATTAAACCTTGGATGTGGATTGTTGGTTTATTCGCCTCCATTGTAGTAACTTGTGCAAGCGCTCGAGCACAATGGGGGATGCCCATCGGCATGACCATCATCTCCATCATCATTGCCGTTCTATTCACCCTCCTTGCTATTCTCAGCACGGGAATGACAGACATGACACCGCTCACAGCCGTCTCCAAGTCGTCACAGTTAGTCCTGGGTGGTGTGACCCGCAATGGCCATTATGACAAGGCGAGCGCAGAAACGTTGAACTCGATTGGTGGTCTTGTGGCCGCCGGTGTTGCCAACCAAGCAACAGATCTTACGGCCGACTTCCGCATAGGGTGAGCCACCTTTTGTTATGTCTTTATTCTTCTCATCTGAACTATTCTATTTCTATCTGGCTATTGCACTAGTTGATTTTCGACTTGACTGACACGAGCTAGCTTCCTACTCCGGACCCCCCCTCGGGCACAATGGATTGCTCAAGGCATTGGAAGCCTGGCTGCCATCTTCCTAGCACCCGCCATCTTCCTCCTCTTCGCACAGGCTTACCCGTGTATTCTAGACGTGTCTAGCGACTCGTGCGCCTACAGCGCGCCTTCTGCGACGGCATGGAGGGCCGCCACGATTGCCGCCACCAGCCCCACGCTGCCTATCCCCAGATCTTCGGGCATCTTCGCCATCTGCTTGGCAGTAGTGGGCAGTTTGACGACAGTGGTCAAGTACTTCTTCTTGGTGGGCCCTCGTCAGAAATACCGCAATTACCTCCCCAACTGGATGGGTTTCGGCGTTATGATGGTTGTCCCCCAGCCGTGCATTGGGCTGGCTGTCCTTATCGGCGCCATCGTATCCAAGGCTTGGGAGAAGTTCAGACCTCGTAGCCACAATGACTATCTGTTTGCTGTTATTGCGGGAATGATCTCAGGTGAGGGAGTCGGCGGGATTTTCAACGCCATCCTTGCCATCGCTGGAGTATCGGTTGAGACGACGGTGGGATGTCCTGCTGGCATGTGCTAGGAGGCGAATGCGTTCGTGAAACGTTGGGACTTGGAAACACGATCCGATTTTACAATTATTCGTTGTGTCGTCGCCCGCCTAAGGTTCATGAACATATGTGGGTTATGTAGTCATTTCGTGCATACTATACTTTTTTCAATTGTGTCCCAGTCAATCAATAGCACAGTCAATGCAGTCTCCCTTAGCCGCCAGTAGGAGGCAGTTTCCAAATGTAATTTTTAATTTCCAATTGGAAACCGCAGCAGGATATCGGTGAAGTCACTTGTATCACTCACCACCCAGATGGTAGTAGGCCTCTATGTACATGTAGGTAGTTATAGGGTAGGCAACTCAGCCGCTGTAGGGACGCACAAGTCACGTGATTGTCCCCGTGGCAACATTTGGCAACCTGCGCTAATACTGAGCTATCTCGAGTAGATGGTGCAGTTTCCCACCTTGCTGCAAGTATAGTAATTGTTTTCCTGCTTCACCTACCGCGGAGCCTCACCCTCTGTATTCTGGGCTAGCCACGCACTCCCATATCGCATAGCTCGCCATCGATAAGCGTGCTTTGTGAGCCTGTGGCCACTCTGCATCTCACCACTTTGAACTGTAGAATAGCTGGGATACGACGCCGATGCACCTTGCGAAGCTGGTTTGAGAGGGCTGGATGGACCTGTACAATGGCAAAGATTGGACGCAAGCGAAATGTGACATCTCGAGAAAGGACTGGCTGTGTGACATGTCGGGCGAGGCACATTAAATGCGACGAGGGACGGCCCTCGTGCCAGAACGTATGTCAAGTCAAGTTTCCATTGCCTGGGTATGATATATTGTGTCTGAGCACACACTGACTAACTGGGTCAGTGCATCCGTCTCGACCTCGAATGTGGCGGCTATCCCTCTCGTATTATTTTTCGCGATCAGACAGCATCTCTCCGACAGAAACATGGGGGTTCCTCCCCCGGCCCGGAGAAGGCGACACCCATTCAGCTCGAAACAAACCAGCCCGATGCGAGCAAGGTGTCTGGTGCTCCTCAGCCTCAGGGCTTTCGAGCCTCACCGGCGACCAGCTGGTTCACCGCGTTGGTAGCAAACCTGCAAACTAGCAGCTTGCAGGCCTCCAATTGTTCGGGCAATGTGGAAGATTTGAGTACCACCAGCCATCTGCCCACCGAGGCAGTTGAAGTCCGCCGCAACTCACAAACTTACGAATCTGCGCCGTCTGCCGCTTTGGTTCCCTCCTCAGTAGATCTCCCTGAACATCAGCATTCGGTGCCCGATGTGGAGATGGAAGCGGGCATGGAAAGTGCGGAAGGGGGTGGCAGCAATCGCAGTTACAATGCAAATCATGACCATGAAGACGATGCCTCTCATGACCACGATGACTACGAAGATCCTGACTCTGATGAGGAAGCATCTAGTGCTAGATCCAGCAGGAGGAGCATCAGCGCCGGTTCAAGTATGGCCGAGCCTCCACCTATGTCACAACCAGGATCAGAACCAGAACCCCGGCCTGAGCTTGAGAATAGACCTGAAAATAGAGCCGATGAAGTACAGATCCAGGCAGCTCAGGGAATTGAAGATATCGTATCAGATCACAACCAGCTACACCATATGGTTTACAATCACACGCGCTCACAGGACGCCGTGGTCAGTATTAACACGCAGACAAGTCCCCCGGCTTTGTCTCGTGGAGTAGCATCTCACATTGCGCCTGAAGGACTGATGGAGAGCGCCAAATTTCCCCAAGACATTATTTACTACCATCATCTGCGAGATGATACAAGTACTAGCCTTCTCTCTATCCTTGGCCTAGAGGAAATATTCAAGGCAGACCACCTCGATCGTGGCTTCTTCAGTGCTGCCCTGGCACTTTCGGCGCTCAGCGTGTCACACAGTCACGGCCAAGGCCAAGCCAGCCCAGCTGAGCAGCGACTTGCCGCCAACGCCGGCCTGCACGCCCTTGACCACTTTGTCAGCGCCTTACGATGCGTTCGCACCGTCGAGGATCCCGTCGATGCCAGTGCCAGCGCTACAGGCAGCATGGATGGCGGCACGGATGTTGGAACGCCCTCTATGCTCCTCCCTACTGACCTCAAACTCATCACATGCCGACTCGCCACTATCCTCTTCCTCGCACTCTTTGAGCTCCAGCGGGGCCAGATGAGACCCTGGTACGTACATAGTCGAGCCGCCGCGACGTTTTTGTCACATCATATCAACACCGTTCGTGAGAATGTAGCTGGACCAAGCCTCATCCGGTCATTCTCTCGTGTTGCGGCGCTGCTGGATATTTACGATAGAACTTACTCGGTGCGTCCAGCGCTGCCAGAGCCTGGCATGTCCCTTGTGCTCTCGGAAGCGCTACGAAGCTCACCGAGCTCGTCGGACCGCTTGCTCGCAGTTCTGCCCTTGGTAGTGAAGCTCGAGGAGGATTGGCGGAGTGATCCCGGGCGCGAGTCACACTGGCGTATCATGGCGGACGATCTTGTTGAGCAGCTCCACGCATGGTATGCCAGCCTACCATCCAGTGAGCTTCCTGACCTATCCGATGCGGACAGCACATCACCTGGAAACGCTGGGCCCATGGGCATAACACCTATCCACTTCACTGGTTCCCGCCAGCCAACAAAGGCGGCAACCGACATGATTCATTACCTTGGATCTCTCGTGCGGTTGCAGACACGCTACTTGAGCTACACAAAGGTCCTACCTGACAACGCCGAGGAGACGGTGTCAATGATCTGCCGATTGGCCGCTGGCGTGCCCTTATGCTCTTGCGTCAGAATGCACGCTTACGGGCACGGCATGCTGCCGGGGCTAATGAACGCTTACTATCTCACAGACAACCAGCAATGCAAAGCGTGGATTCGAGAGTGGGTGGCGGCTTTTCCGGCAGCCCGCGAGGGCATCTGGAACGCCAAGCAGGCCCAACGGCTCATCTCCTATGTAGATGCAGAATACGGCCCAACAGGACCTCGCGCCGGTTGGACCATCATCAAGGTTCGCATGATGGACATGGATGACACTGACCCTCCAACGGACGACGCAGACTCGGTGCGGGGGAACCTCTACCAAGGCCTAGACTCAGAAATGAGTGCCGATCCGGACAAGTTCTTTGTGGAGATTTACGCAAGGCATGCCCGAGGGTGGAGCATCGACTTTGTCATGATTCCCTAGCGACTAATGGTACAAGTTTACGCCTGCCGTCGTTCTTTCTTACCTAAAAGGGGAATCAGGGGCTTGAGGGTCAGGATTCTGCCGCTTGGATGGAAGCATTCGTGATTTGTCGGGAGGCTTATCGCTCTTCTGGGGGAGCGACGATGATACACCTAGCTACCATAGATAAACTCAGGTTCTCCATCACCTCGTCTATCTAGCTTTTACCATTACCCATCACCGTCTTTGCCTCCTTGCTGTTTCATCTTATCCCCCTCATCGTGTCCCATTTCGATCTTCTCGAAGCTCACCTCTCAGATTCAAGTGCTCCAAAGCCGTCATGAGTCCAAGCGCTTCTTCTCCTGCGGCTGCTCAGCCAGTCGGCACCAATGGCCAAGAACCCACCAAGACATACCGAGAGATGGATGCGTCTACAATGACTACCAGTCTTGTGCCCGAGGCTGAGCAGCCACCTGTTCCCGGGTTGCAGGATCCGGGGCGCTTGACACAGAAGCTCACCACCGCGCACATGGTTCAAGCGCCATGGGTGGCTGGAGAGGGCTGGGGCTCACCTCATATGGGACCGTACGGTAAGATCGCATTAGAGCCCACAGCCAGTGTCCTCCACTATGCTACCGAATCGTTTGTAAGCTCAAACACGCCATCTCCTTCCAAACGTCCCATTCTCTCTTACTTATCGATCATGTGTAGGAAGGGATGAAGGTTTATCGGGGCTACGATGGTAAGGTTCGCCTCTTCCGTCCTTGGCTCAACTGCCAACGGATGAACAAGTCCAACGCTAGGGTCTGCCTCCCAGCCATCGATCCTGATCAGCTTCTGGCCCTCATTTCCAAGTTCTTGGCCATCGAGTGCCGGCGATGGCTTCCAGAGCCAGGGTCTCACCTTTACCTCCGCCCCGCCACGATCGGCAGCGGATCCGCCCTCGGTATCCAGAGGCCCCCCGAGGCTCTGTTCTTCCTCTTTGCTGCCCTCTTCCCGCAGTCGTCAAACGGGCCATCACCAGGGATGCGCCTCTTGGCGAGTGACTCGGACTTGATCCGGGCGTGGCCTGGTGGTTTTGGCGGTTCCAAGGTTGGTGCCAACTATGGGCCCGCCATGGTAGCCCAGGCCAAAGCCCGAGAGAACAACTGCGGCCAGACACTCTGGCTGTTTGGCGAGGACAGGCAGGTGACAGAAGCCGGCGCCAGCAACTTCTTTGTTGTGTGGAAACGCAAAGACTCGGATACCCTCGAGCTGGTCACAGCGTCGCTCGACACCGAGGTCATCCTCGATGGAATCACCAGGCGCAGCGTCCTCGACCTTGCACGCCAACGGCTCACTAAAGACTCGGCTGACCTACCCCAAGGTTTCCAGCCCGTCCAGGTAGTCGAACGAACATTAAATATGCATGAAATTGTCGAGGCGCAAAAGCAAGGCAGACTTATCGAGGCGTTTGTTTCAGGTACCGCTGTAAGTCTTACCTTGGGCTAAGTCTTCTTCTTTTTCCCTCCTGAGATATGTGAAACTAATACTGTCATAGATGTTCGTCATGCCTATTTCTGAAATTCTGTACGACGGCGTCAACATTACTTTACCAAGGACAGTTGGCAAGGACGGGACAAAATTGCCGGTCAGCAAGTATTCTTCCACTATTAAGATGTGGCTTTCGGATATTATGTTTGGCAAGGTAGAACACGAGTGGGCATACGTGATTGATGAGAATTAGAATATATTATGGTCGACCTCTCTTGCCTAACCACTCAATTACAAGTTAGGGAAAAAAAAGAGAAAACCATGAATAGATGAAATAGACACACTACAACAGAATCATAAGAATACGATGGCACAAGAAATGTTAGAGTGGAAGTTGGAGATGCTCTACAGAACTTCCAGCCACGCCGGACTAAATGGATATCCAGATTAATACCAACCTGTTAGTTGCCATCCCCCAAGCTGCAATGTTTGGACCCCGTACGCGGGGTAATCATCATCAAATGACGATTCTTAGATGCAAAATGAGCTTGTGTAACATTGTTGATTCTAGTGTGCGAGTGAAACAGCCCAACTGCGCCGATGAACACGGAATAACCCCGTCTCCTGCATGCTCCGCATACTATTTCACGTAATTGAATGTAATATCTTATTTGACTATCCTATCACCCCTGAATAATACCATTCTCCCGACGAAAGAATTCATCTGCTCTTTTCAGTGCGATTTCGGCGTGATTCTTGAACGTCTGGTAGTCAGCACCTGTACTTGGCAAAAAGGTGATCCGGACTGTGCAGATAGGGAAGGGCAAGGACCATTTGTGTCCGGACGTACCTTCATAGATCCTGACGTGAGACCTCCAACGTGGGGTAGAAGCGTGACAGAAGGAAACTCGAGGAGCGCTGGGTTGACATGAGGCCTAGGATTCGGTTCAGCAAATCGTGCCGTGTTAATTACTAAAAGGATAGAAAGGAGGAAAGCTGACAAGAGGGAGGGCTCTTGGCAATCTCTCCTGTTCAGCATGCGAGGGGAGGGTGACGGACTCATTATAATGTACGTCTAGTCCTGCTGCTGCGACCTGCCCCGTCGCAAGCGCTCCACAGAGTGCATCTTCATCAATGCATTTCCCTCTAGCAATGTTGACTATGCGCATTCCGTGTTTCATCCGGGCGAAGACCTCCTTAGATAAGAGGTGATGGGTCTGGGGCGTGTAGGAACACGCCAGCACAACACAGTCCACCTTGCCAACCAGCTCGTCTAGGCTCTGCGCAAGAGTGATGGGAGGAAGTGAGAGCGAAGCTGCATCGTCGCCCTGGAGAGACAGGGCAGCTCGCAGATTCGGTCGGTCGAGGCTGTGAATATACATACCCAACCCGGCGGCGTGACGCGCCACCGCCTTGCCGATGGCGCCCATGCCAACTATTCCAATGTGCCTGCCCAAGGTATCGACGGCTGTTTTGGCTGAGTCTCGCAGGGCGGGTAGAAAATCCCCTTGACGCAGCATCTTCTCGTATCGGCCCAGTTGGCGGAAGACAGAGATTACGAGGTAGATGCCTACGGCGGCAGTGGCCTCATCCCCCCCGGGAGTGTTGAAGAACTGTATCCCCTTCTTTTGGAGGCCTTGAATGTCCTCCTCGTCGTAGCCATGCCCAAAGTTGACGATTAGTCGTAGAGAATCGGGGAAATAAGGAAGGCCTCGTTGCGTCCATCCTTGGCCGACCTTTTCAATGCCCTGCGGAATATTGAGCCCTAGTCGTACAATCCCTACGATATCACTGCACTCTCCATTCCTCAAAGATGTGTGGAATCCGTCAAGAGTGGGAAAATCGTACATTCGAACACGATATTGAGACTGGAAAGACTTCCAAAGAGACTCGTCAGCAAGACCCTCCGGCGAGCCAATAACGAGAATTTTAGGTTGTGGTCCCATTGCATGAGAGAGCAGAGGTTAGGAATCAGTCTTGCTTTCCTTTGGCAGAGAGAGGGCTGATGGTACAAAGTTTCGTCATCACCATCAATAACACCCGCCCGGGGTCCTGCAGGATGTTTATAGTTCCTGATGATGGTCCAAGGTTTTAGTCCCGGCCTGCTGGGTATCGCGAAGCGGGTGAGGTTTTTCCGGACAATCTACGTGTATAATTTCATCGAACAGATTTAGCCTGTACTTAGATACCCCCTATCCTAGATAGGATAAATTGACTTTGTTATTATGCCCTCTTAAGCGATGCTGGTGAGGTTGATATGCCGCCCGATGCGAGCGTGGACTCGTCGTAAAAATAATACAAAAAGGGTAAACCAAGCGACGGACCACACTGTCCCACATCCACGATGGTATCGACTGCGGGGTTGTATTATACACTGGCTGGAGTAGTGTACTCGCTACTTATGCTGCTTGAATCGTGACTTATAATTCAGCATGCTCCTTATAACAGAGTAGACTGTCGGTCGAGAGTTTTGGCTACATATCACCGTTAGATGAGAAAAGCTTGATTGATCTGCACAACATGACAACTTCCGCGCCCGGCAGTTTCCAGCATCTCTTTGCGAAGTAAGTCCAACCGGATTTGCGCCAATTACAATTGATTGACAATGAGATGACATGCGCTGACCGGCTGCGGTTACTCAGGGTGGACGAACTTGAGAGCCACTTTATCGACCGTGAGTCTGTGTGGCTGCCAGTGTATTCGCAACTAAACCTTTTCTCCAGGTTTGCGCAGGGCTATCCGGATCCCATCTATATCAGCACATGCAGAGGCACGTAAAGAATGTTTCGAAGTAGGTCTACATTTCCAGAAGGAGAACCACATCGGCCGGCGACTCACTTAGACACGTCTCTCAGATGGCTCAGATGCTCCGCGAGGAAATGACCCTTCTGGGGATTCAAGCTCAGCTCAAGGATATAGGCTATGAGAAGCATACAGGGCTAAAGCTGCCTCCAATTGTTTTAGGACGTTACGGACAGGACCCCAAGAAGCCTACCATTCTTGTGTACTGCCATTACGACGTCCAGCCCGCCGAGAAGTCTGATGGTTGGTCGACGGATCCCTGGGAGATGACAACCGAGGAGGACGGCCGCTTGTGTGGGAGGGGAACGTCGGATGATAAAGGTCCCTTGCTGTGCTGGCTCAACGCCATTGAGGCGTTCCAGGCAGCTGGCATGGATGTACCAGTAAACCTGCTCTTCTTGTTCGAGGGCATGGAAGAGAATGGCTCAACCGGCTTGCGAGCCGCTCTTGAAGAAGAGGCTAGCCAGTTCCTCGCTGATGTAGATGCTGTCTGTATCAGTGACCTTGTCTGGGCTGGAAATACATATCCTAGCATCGTCCAAGGTCTTCGGGGGGTTTTGTTCTACGTCCTCGATGTTACTGGTGCGGAAAAGGATGCCCACAGTGGTCTTTTCGGGGGCGTCATCTCGGAGCCAATGTCAGACTTGGCAAGCATCATGTCTTCTTTGGTGGATTCCAAAGGCAATATCCTCATTCCGGGCATTTACGATCCGGTGCGGCCAGTAACTGATGTAGAAAAGGAGCAATGGGGGAATTTAGGGCTCTCAGAAGGCGATCTTACAGATTCTGTCAATGGCCGGAGCTTGCATAGCGATTTCATCGAAAGCCTAGTTCATCGGTGAGCAAGGACCTGAACATTGACGTTGAGAGGACTGCGTTCCCTCATGCCATATGCTAACATTGATTTAGATGGAGAAAGCCATCGCTGAGCCTTCACAGATTGGAGAACGCAGCTCCCGGGGCAGGCGCCACGACTTCTATTCCGGCCAAGGTCAGGGGAAAGTTTAGCATCCGTACTGTCCCAAATATGGTCTCTTCTGAAGTGGACAAGTTGGTGCAGCAACATATCAACACTCACTTTCGAAGCCTTGGCAGCAAGAACGACCTGCACATCAATTGCGTCCACCAGAGCGATTGGTTCTTCGAAGACAGTTCTCACTGGAGTTACCAAGCCGCAATCAACGCGACCCGCAACGTCTGGGACCACGAGCCTGGTCTTTCATGTGAGGGGGGCAGGTAGGTTCTCTTTTGAGCTTCTCTTGCGACAAACCGTTGACGTGATAAATTTAGCATCCCTATTGCATTGGATTTGAAACAAGTGCTGAAGAAGAATGTTCTCCTTCTTCCTGTTGGGCGAGCAGGAGACGGAGCTCACTCTATAAATGGTACGCTGCTTAGAAAGTCTTATGGCGATTTATGTGCCGTATAAATCGTTTCACTAACTGATTGTTCTCATCAATAGAAAAACTGGACAAAATCAACTAGTAAGTGGTTCTCATAGTCGCTTCTTGAATCTAGCTGATGTTGTTCTAGTATAAATGCTGTCAAAATGATTTGTAATTATCTGGCTGAAGCCATGGTTTTATATGAAGCAAGTGGTTAATTGACTGCACCAAATTAACCGGAGGTGCTTCTTATTAGTTCTTTATGGTCTGTTTGTCCGAGTCATCTTAATCAATCGTGGGAATGCTCTGTAAAAGATAGGAATCAATACTATTCAACTGTCCACGCTGCTATGGCTCTCTTAGATGAAATCCAAACCATTCTCCTTTACTGGCACAGGCACATGTCTTCCCACCAACCAACACCTAGCTTCAACTCCAAACGCAACCCTTGGATCTAAGATGCCCTTATGGCTACAATCGCAAGGTGCTTATTAGAGATCCTTAATAAGCTATTATAAGATTTCATTAGACTACTATCTTAGAGTAAATAATTATTTATCCTTATTAATTATATTGATTAGTTAGCAAATTAACTAATTTTTAAACTGGAAGATTTCAAAGTAATACAATTAGGCTACCAATATAAACTAAGATCTTCAAATTACTCACTTTTTTCTAAGAAGTAATCTAACCTCCTACTTTTGCTTTCCAGCTCATTTTCAGGGTAATTTTACAAGCACTCGTAAGCTCTGGTAATCCCTAGTACTCACTGCTCGAAGCCCATGATAACGTTTTGAATGAGTGAGCCGTCGCTAGTCACCCGCCACTTGAAAAAGGGAGAGAAGGCTGCAGCAATTGTCGTCATGAGAATGCAAGTTGTCCACGTGTCTCCATCATTGCAACAAAAAGCCCTCGCGGTGGCACGGGAGACCCGCAATTGTAATTTCTCTGCGTGTGAAGTGCAGTCGGAGGCCCTGACTCGCCTCGTCAACACATTCCTATTCGAGCATGGTCAACCTCTGTCGGCCAAGTGGTACTACTTCTAGACTAGATATAGATCGAGGAGGATACCGTCTCCGGGTTAAAGCGGTGGTTACGCCCTTTGGTGGAGCAGATATCATCCCACCTCTTCAAGCTGGGTATTTAAGATCGAAAGACCAGAATTAATGTTTGTCCGAACATCACGCCGATCTTCTCGTTCCTCGATGTCTGTAGTATTTTATTACTCTATTGATACTACTTCGGCCATGGTGAGGGGGGTTTCTCCGGATAGGTAACCAGTGGATGGGTTAACATCCAAAACCGCATTATCCCTGGAGATTCCGTAGTTGGTCCGTCTGGGTCGTATTCGCTTGATCAAGTTGCTGCTCGGAGAAAGTTATTGCTGTGTGAAACTAAGTCACAATCTTCACAAGGAAGCTTGGTCCAGAAAGGCTAGGGGGTAGACTTGTACCATTTATTACATGTGTATGAAGCAAGCCAGTTTCTTTCACCCAATAGAGAGTCCTCGTATTACACATCTTTTTCTTCCACCTTCTTTCTCGTTTAACTTACTTGGCAAGTAATTAGCCATTGCTCAGCAGGGAGCCAGTCAAATGTCACCACCAGCCATGGCTACACTTGAGAAAGATTCTCACTCAGAGGCCCCTCTCGTGATCGTTGTGGGAGCAGGTCTGGGCGGCCTCTCAGCAGCTGTCGCTATCGCATTGGCCGGACACTATCGCGTGCTCGTCCTTGAAGCAGCGTCCAAGCTCGGGGAGATTGGCGCAGGTATCCAATTGTCATCGAACTGCTCCAAACTTTTGATTCGCTGGGGTTGTGCCAAGTATCTCGAGCCCAACGTTGTTGCACCGCATCATGGCCGTGTCTGTCGGTGGCAGGATGGAGAGATACTGACAGACCGAATCATGAACCCGACTGCCGAGGAGAAGTTTGGGGCCCCATACTGGCACATTCATCGGGCTGATTTGCATCAAGGCCTTTTGGATAGAGCAAGAGAGCTAGGTGTGGAATTGCGCACCAACGCCCCTGTTACAAAGGTCCAAACGGGTGACGGTGAGACAAGCCCAGGCGTGACATTGGAATCGGGTGAGACCTTCGAATGCATATTTGTCGTTGGGGCTGATGGCATTCACTCTAAAATCAGGACCACGTTGTTTCCTGGGTTTGAGAAGCCCCGTCCTACTGGTGATCTTGCCTATCGCTTTCGTGTCGCTACAGCTGACATGCTGGAAGACGAAACCCTCAAGCCTCTGGCTGAAACACCTGATACTCACAGCTGGTGGGGTCCCGGAAAGCACATCGTCGGATACATGTTGCGTGGAAAGCAAATGTACAACGTTATTACCTTGTTCCCTGACGATGGGTCTCTTGGAGATGCCACACGTGGAACAGGGACAAGTGATCATCTAAAAGAGATTTACGATGGATGGTGTCCCAAGTAAGTCTTATCATGCTTTTTCTCGATGGCGACATGTGTCCTAATATTGATTGAAACAGAGTTACGCGGCTGATCGAAAAAGCGCAAGAGAGTCAACTGATTAAATGGAAATTGATGGATCTACCACCTTTGGAGAAATGGAACGTCGGCCGCTGTGTCCTTCTGGGAGGTAGGCTTCCCACAATTGAATATGCGAATCGAATATGCCGGTTGACCATCTCCAGATGCTTGTCACCCAATGTTGCCGTATCTTGCCCAGGGCAGTTGTTCAGCAATGGAGGACGCAGCTTTTCTAGCCGAATGCTTGAAACATTTACCTGATCAACTGGAAGTTGCTGCAGACATTTACTCCAGATATCGAAAGCCGCGAGCTACCAAAATCCAGATGTTTTCCCGGGATCAAAGAGCCAGGAACCATCTTCCAGATGGCCCTGAGCAGCGCGAGCGAGATGCTCTCTTGAAAAATCCGGATCAGCAGACCAAGTCTCATGTGTGGACATGGGATGAGGCCGACAGCAGCCCCGCGGGGGATTGGGTTACAGGATTGCATGGCTATGACGCGGAACACGAAGCTGTCAAGGCTATTAGGTCTGAGGGGCTAGCCGTTCTGAAAACTTGAAACCAAAGGTTGCATAAAACTTAGGTTCTCGTGGCATGGCTAGCTAAGCAGCAGGTAAAGAGCAAGGCTTTAGCTTATTTCCTCCAATCTTCTGGAACTCTCCTTTGTTCGACAGCGAGCTTTTCAATGTGAGCAATGAATGAATGAATATGTGAGAATCGTGTTATTGAGACGACGCCTTCATAGATAACAAGGGAGTTTCGCCTAATGCCTTTCTTCATAAGAAGAAAGAACCTTTTGATGCTTCGGTACCTCCTTGAGGCTTAATTCAAATCAATGTTGCTAGGTGCGGTGGAGGATCACTTTGGTCGGAACTTTCCCTGATGGATATGCGCGGGAGAGTCATTTGCCGTATTGAGTGCCTAGACGCGGTGGAATTTTAATATTACCCCGACCAATCGGCAAACGGATCAGTACGACTTGCACTAGTATATAGCCAAATATCGTGGTTGAAAATGGCTTGGTCACTCTGTCACGACATCAATTCTCACCATATCACCGCTATACTAATTTCTCATTATCATGACGCCTGTCTTACGTGAAATACCTGGTCTAGGTGAAATATCCACAGATATTACGTATTTCAAAGGCTCTGTTGCACAATTTCGAGGGATTCAGTATGGCGTTGTCCCGCAGAGATTCCAGCAGCCTAGACTTCTCGAAGTGTGGGAAGGTGGCCGATTCGAGGCCAGCAAATTTGGGTCGGTCATGTTGGATACAATTTCCTGAACTTAGATTGAAGGAGCAAGGATTTTCTAACAAACAAGCAGCCCCCCTTGTCCAAGCCCTGCTTCATCCTTCAATTTGGTAGGAGCAAAGCTAGATGTCCCGCAGACTGATGTGCTACCTCCTGCAGACGAGTTAAGATGTCTTAATTTGGACATCACCGTGCCGACTCAGGAACAGGGCTCTCTGTTACCCGTTGCCATCTTCTTCCATGGGCAAGTAGCTGTAGCTCTCTACTTTCGCGTTCTCTCCTTTCGCTGATAGATTTTTAGCGGCATGAATTGCACATCTTCAGGCAATGTTCCAGGTTACAATGCCAGCAATTTTGTGGCACTTTCTCTACGAATTGGCCGCCCTGCGATTGTTGTGACAGTTAAGTAAGTACAGGATCCAAAATTCTGTTATCAGCAATACTCTTGCTTACAAGCTTCATTGACAGCTTTCGATTGGGTGCTTTTGGGTTCATGGCATCTGATGATATCTTGAAAGATAATCAAAGAACGGGAGACAAAGGGGTTGGTAACTACGCTCTGCATGATCAGTATATGGCAATGCTCTGGGTTAAAAAATATATTTGCGGCTTTGGTGGCGATGCTGAGAGAATCACCGCAATTGGCCAAAGCTCTGGCGCCAGTGAGTGATTAACCATTGACACAATCAACAATCCCTATTTATTTATGGACCATCCGACTAAATGCCGGTAGGTGACCTTCACATTATAATGATGTCCCCCCTCCTTCGATCTCAACAGTTGTTACAGCAAGCTGTTGTCATATCAGGTAATGCTGTGATCGCGAGTCGGGAACTGGACCATCAGCAGCATGTTTACGACAAATTCCTCGAACACCTCGGAATCTCGGCAAACATGCCGCCAAATCAGAGGCTAGAAATGCTCCGCTCGATCAAGCAGGAAGATCTCGTGGCCGCCTATGTTTGCCTAGGAAGCCCGTTGCCTAACTGGCAAGCAACGGTTGACGGAGTTGTTGTTGAGGCGTTGCCCAATTGTGATGGACTTGCCAACCAGGTGTATGCTCCGTCAATCAAACGAGTCATGGCTGGATTTTGTGAACAAGAGGTTTGATCTGAAATTATTTGAGATTGAGGAAGAGAGGAGTACGAGAAAAACTAATCTTCTTATTAGGGGGCCCTGTGGAGCGGCCGCATCAAACCGCAACAATGGACCGTGCCGAAGATAATTGATAGAATGGCTGCCTACTGCGACCCTCGAGAGACGTACGACATCCTTGGGAAATATGCAATCACGGACGAAGACCGGGATAACGAGCTTGTTCCCAAACTTTCCGATTTCTGCGGTGGGGTGGAGTTTAGGCAGCCTATATATGAGCTGGTTAACAACTGGAAGCAAGGAGACGCCTACCTCTACCGCATGCGTTTCGTTAACCAATTTGATGGCATGTTTAGCGGTAAGGCTCACCACGGTGTCGATCTACTTTTTTTCTTCCAAACGTATAATCATCTCCTGCCCAAGGAATATACAGCAGCAGCGGAGGAGATGGGAAAACACTTCGTCGAATTCCTTAATGGGATTTCGCCGTGGGCACCTTTTACAGAGATGAACAATGTTATGAACTATGGCCCGGACCACGTGGGGTCACAGAGTCTTGAAGCGAGCCTGTACGGGCAGTGCCAGCCCTTAAATGGGTGCAAGGACTGGTTTAATAAATGCACATCGGTTAGCAGGGCCATTAGAAATGAAATCGTGTATACAAGAGGTGGAGAATAGCTTCTGAAGACTTAGACTTCTATCATCAACTCTACTACATAGATTATATAGCGGGTTGACTACTGAATGAAAATCAACCCATTCTACTCCGAATATTTCTCCCGTTTATGTCGAATCACCTTATACTCGTCTTACTTTTAGATTATTTCATACATAAATGGGATTAGCATCTATACCCTGGTTTGGGAGAACCTTGGACATGGTTAATTAGTACGCATAAAAACCTCTCTTCCAAGACCCTCCATGCATGCTATCCTCACCTACATGCGTGCTAATAACTCTACGAACGATAGTGCTCAAGTCTTAACGTTTAGGGATGACGCACAAAGATTTGCAGTGTTCTCAGGCGAGATCGTACTGTTTCTCCAGCTTGTAAAAGTAGCTGGACAAACTAAGTACTGCGTAGCTTCTGTAAGGCAACCACGTAAGTCGCAAGCAGAAAATAGCATCATGCACCAACTGACTATTGAACGATGGTATACGTCTCCCAGCCAAAAAAAGTAGCAATAGGCCGTTTGGCATTACCAGTAGAGGTAGTGTATTGGAACTACAATTGACATGGTGAGCAATTTTCAAGAACTCGTTGGGAGTGTCAAGCCAACATCGATACAGTCTCATGGATTCATTGGCGTAGTCATCACGAGATATTGACAACCAGTTTCATGGATGTAATAACGTCAATTTGAAGATTGGTAGAATTACCTAAGTTCCTTGATATAAACAAGTAGGGCCTTAGATTTCAGTACTATATCCCAAAAGCATATAAGAGAATGTGATCGCGCGGTTCCAATAGTGCAAGTCTAGTTCTGAATGTTTAAGACGCGTAAATTCTGACGTCCGCGTAAATGTTGCGCTCATGCTTTAACCACATGAATTACCCAAGTCCACCCATCCTCAATCAACAAATGAATAACAGGTGGCAATTCGAATATGAGGCAGGAGATTTCTCATTCAAAGTTCGTTAATTCTCTGTTTAGTAACGCATATTCAGCGCAGCCAATGACTCAAGCTGCTTCACTTTGACATATGCTGCATCCTGCGAACCATCCATTCACCAGCAGTATAAACCTTCTCCTCGCCAACCTTGCCACCAACAGATACGATGGGTTCGTTGCGGTACTTTTCAACAGGTTGCATTAGCACATCATCGGCGGGTCGAAGGAAATAAACCAAGCTGTAACGGTCCACATTGGCTTGGGCTCCAGGCGCTGGTACGACGCGATGCTTTGCTGATTTCAAATGCCCATTGCTGAACTTGACCATGGCATCACCAAGATTTATGATGGCGTGACCTGGTAGAGGTTTGACGTAAGCCCACTCCCCTTGGCGATCTGGATCGTGGCTTTGGATCTGCAGGCCACCGAGCCAGTTGAACAAGACAGTGACACTGCCAAAATCGGTGTGGGAGGGGAGACCAATTACATTGGTCTGTGATGGATCATGGGGAGGCTTTTTGGTAACACGGATATGATCCCCAGAGAGAGAACCAATCTTGTTCTTGTCAGCAAACACCTCGGATGGAAGACCGAGCTGCTCGGCTAAAACCCGAAGGACAAGGATACCCAGAGCATGCGAGTCTCTCGTAAAGTTTTGGAGCTCTTCCTTGTGCTGCATAAGCTGGGGAGGATAGGTTCGGGACTCCGAGTTGCCCACCAAATGGTCCTTGGCTATGTTAAAGAACTCGGTAGTGTCAGGGCGCAGATCTTTATCTGTTTTCTTGACCGTCCCTGCTGGTTTGTAGCCAAACATTGATTTGCCCTTCTCTGCACGGAATTGCATCTTCTCGTGAAGATCCAGGTTGAATGCTTCTTTGGAAAAGTTGACGACATTTTCAGCCTCGTTGAGAAGTCCTCGCCCACTAGAGTGATCCGTGAGGTCTAGGTAAAAAAAGCCATCGGTTTGGACTGCTTCCAGTGTCTTGCTTATCTCATTTTTGTCGGATGATACGAGCTTTGCGTATGAAATGCGCGCGATAGGTACGGTGGGCACGTCATCCGGGAAGGGAGGTAGAGAATTCTCGTTGCTGACCATGTTGACTAAACACTGCGTGGCTATCCTATGAACTGGAGTTGATTAAAAAAAATAAAATGAAACCAGTGATAATGAGATCGCACTGGCTAAAGGACGGAAGACTCAAATGATAAATATAAAACTGGGCCAGCTGTCCGCGTGCCTGCAATGGCAGTGAGCTCAACTGGCATGAATCGCGGATATCGGCCTTTGCTTTTCTTGACTTGTTTTCCCGAGCGAGCATGTTTAACAGGGGATTGCTCGTCCCCGGAGAAGTGTTTGACCGATCAGTCAGGATAGTCACGGTATAATGTTCTGTGGTGGAGTAAGACATCATGATCGGCCCTTCTTTCCGTTGAACAAAATACCTGGAATAAAAATACCTGGAAATATATTCTTTATCAAGTTTCGTAAAGTGTTTACTTCCCCCTCCTCCTGAAATCAGGTAGCACGAGATGACAAATATAAGTCACTTATATGTAGTTCTTCTATATCTGACAAAAGTATTAGGTCAAGTTTTACGTAAAGTACTGGCGCTGCGATATTATCAAGGTCAATAATGATTCTTCCTCTGTTTATCTAATATAGGCGAAATTCTAGTTCTCGTTTGCCAGGTGATCTCTATCCAAAGTAGCAGACATGTAACAAGATCTATATTTACCACGCAAGCATGTTTGAAACCCTCGCCTCCTTTCAATAGAAGGTTAGCATCAAGGAAATTACGTAGAACTTTATCAATAAAGTGTATCACTATCCATGCACAGAAATTGACAGTAGACCAATTCTATTCAGGATCGATTGATCGTTTTGACGAAACTGACGGTGATGTGCGAATTGCATTCAAATATTTCCAAAGCTCTCAATTAACTGAACGTGCTAGACTATACCCTCTGTCTATTTCAAATATTCGTCGTTACACTCTAGAGCCATGAGCTGAAACAATGGCAATCCATTGAACCAACCAGCCCTGGAGCTCCCAACGTTTTCATGGGTGTGTTCGGCATCTTGGGCAGCGATGCTTTTCAGAGTTCCCCCACGGGCGCAAGCAGCGTCATTGAGCAATTGCGTGTGACATAATTTGTCAAGAGAAACGAACCAGAATGTAGCTGCCTCCACGGTAGTCCCAACGGTCAGCAGACCATGATTCTGAAGAATGCAGGCTTTCTTGGAACCCAGAGCATTGGCAATAGCCGCGCCCTCTTCGCTCGCCAAAACTACCCCTTTAAAGGAGTCATAAACGACTAGGTCATTCCAGAATGCACAGGAATCTTGGCTTGTATAATCGATGACTCTTCCCCAAGCCGAAAAGGTGCGACCGTAGAAGCTATGGGCATGTGCGGCGCAGTTGACCTCCGGTCTTGCTTTGTGGATTTCGGCATGGATAGCATACGCCGCAAGGTTGAGAAGACGATTTAGCCCTCCCCCAATAATGTTTCCCTCGTGATCGACATGAATCAAGTCGGATTTCTTGATCAGCTTGAATGGCATTCCGAATGGGTTGACCCAAAAGGTGTTTGGATCGACTGGATCTCGGAGGGTAATGTGGCCTGCAACACCTTCATCGAAGCCATATTTGCCAAAAATGCGGAGGCTTAGAGCCAGCCGCCCTTTGAGATACTCTCTCTTCTCGTATTGGTCGGCAAACTGTGGTACACGAGGAAATTCCCCCACGCTAACGGTCTTCTCTCCGGGTTTGATCTCCAATTCCGACAGATCCGATAACTGGGGAGATGCGCGGGCTTCCGTCGCCTTCGTATGTGTAGTAGTCGAGGCTGACATGGTAATTGTTGCTTGCTGCCGCTGTTATTGTAGTGGTTGTTGTCTCTTTGGATTGAATATGTCTGCTGGTGGTAGTGGTGGAGTTATCAACCCCATTTATTCGTTGATTTGTGCATTTGTGCAAAATAGACCCATGCCTTGCCTTGAGTTGTTTTGCTACTGCCGGAGGAATCATTGGGTGTTCTAGATCAAGGCTACCCTCCATTTTGAAGGGAAAAATTAGCCCGACCTCTAACTCTTGACCGGTCTTCCCTGCTTTGACTCGCACACCAATCGGCATAGTCTTAGGTCGGACGACAGTCGTGATCACACTTGTGCACCTTTAATCGGACATTTGCTTTCTGATGATCCAGGAAACTCATCCCATCAGTCGCTTTCCTATTTATCATCAGAGTGGCCCGAAAGAACACAGAACAAGCATCAGCTCCAAACAAGTAGCCCGACTAGCAAGCATGGCCGAGCAAACCCAGAGCATCGCTACTCCTTTTCACTTCACCGACTTGAGGCTTACTAAGCCCGTCCGTGAAGATGATCCGTTCGAATACCAGAGCGGCTTTGGAAATCACTTCCAGTCCGAGCTTATCCCCGGCACTTTGCCATTGGGACAAAACCATCCCCAAATCTGCCGCTTCAATTTGTACACGGAAGTGTTCACCGCGTCTGCTTTTGCTGCCCCCCGTTCTGCGAACCAGAGCTCTGTGTTTTACCGTTGTCGTCCAAGCTGTGCAATCGGTGAGTCCACCAGCGTGTTCTACCATATACGAAAGAAAAGCTGACTGGCTATCCCACAGATGGCCACGTGGATGTGGAAACAAGGTCCGCCTGGCAAAGCTGCTTTCTGGCCACCAACAAGGCTGTGAGGTCTATTGCTTCGCAAGCCGAGTGGGCACCGTTTGAACTTCCCAATGAGAAGACGGACTTCATCGATGGCATTCGCACGGTTGGGGGCAACGGCGATGCTAGCTTGCGTGATGGGATCGCTCTCCACATCTACGCCATAAATGCTAACATGGACCGTCGAGCCCTTGTCAACGCAGATGGTGATTATATGCTGATTGTTCAGCTTGGTCATATCATCTTACAGACTGAGCTGGGTCGTTTGTACCTTCAGCCCGGCGAGATTGCAGTCGTGCCACGGGGCATCAAACACCGAATCTCTCTCGCCAAGGGGCATGAACAGGCCCGCGGCTACATGATTGAGCTGTACGGTTCACGCTGGGAGCTGCCGACACTTGGTCCCATTGGTTGCAGCGGCTTAGCCAATCCCCGCGACTTCCTCTCGCCCGTGGCTTTCGTGGATGACGAACTGGACGCTGAGTGGTTGGTCTTCACAAAGATCACCGGCAAGTATTCTGTCCATCGTCAGGATCATAGCCCCTTTGACGTTGCAGCCTGGCATGGTAACTGTGTTCCTTACAAGGTATGAAGAGGCTTAATCGCCCTTTTGAAGGTAATAATATTATCACTGACTAGGAGATATATAGTACGACTTGACCAAGTTCGTCAGCGTGTCCTCTGTTTCCGTGGACCACACAGATCCTTCAGTATTCACTGTCCTCACGGCGAAATCAAGAGATCCGGACACACCAATTGCAGACTTCTTGTGGTTTGGGCCGCGATGGGATGTTGCTCAGAACACCTTTCGACCACCTTTTTTCCACCGAAATGCGGCTTCCGAGTTTTTAGCCAACATTTACTCCGAGTCTGCCGGCGCTGGCCGTTCCGCAGGCTTCCGCCCTGGCGGAGGAAGTTACGAGGCTGGTCACATTGCACACGGCGGCTTCTCGCAACCGTACCTGACCGAGATGAGGCGGATGAAGAACGAACCAAGAATCATTTCTTCTGGTAAGAATTCTACGTCATCTCCATGTGAATAAAGAAACTAAGTCAATGTCACAGGCTCGCTCACTTTTATGCTCGAGAGTAGTCGATCACTGATGTTCACGGAATGGGGGATTTCGTCTTCCAAGCAAGAAGCAACGGATGCTTCAGTTTGGAAAAAGTTTCCGGTATTGTACTATTACGTGTAGAAAATATGATTTCAGCTGCTGATGAGTGTAACAGGATCGATTTAGCACTGATCCTGCCGTCCGGCAGCTCCTCCAGAAAGTTAAAAGCAATTACAAGGCAAGGAAAGCAGCAGACGAGCTATTCCACGACGACGACCGCATTGCAGAACTCGTCAAGTCAAGTAAGGATTGATTTACAAGGAGGGTGATGTAATGGAGAAAGGCCATTTGCACCTCTAGGGTGGGAGACAAGGAGGCTGCCATGGGGAGCAGTAGTGCAGTATGCAAGTAGTGCAGTCGTCGTGAATGTACATGTTACAGATGCGGCAAGCTCCATCTAGTAGTGGATATAGTTCAAGTCACAACATTATTTGTAACGGTCGGGGAACCGATCGTATAATTGAAGTGTTCGAGTGTGATGATGGTAGACACAACGACGTCATAGGGTAAGTTGATATCTTTCACAGGGAGCGACAGATTACATAATACGGCATCTCATATAGAAACCCCACCTTTATCCGGTAGTCGCCTAGTGGGTGAACACCCGTCGTTCTACATTTCCACTTGCGGTAAGGCGTAGCTGCTCGGCACTTCTGCCGTTTTTGTTTTAGTGCCAATCTTCCCCATGTTTCCCCAGACGCTTCACGATCCCCGGATTTGAGATCCATCAACCCTCGCTCCATGGGCCTTTCTTTTCCTCATTATCGCAAGTAAGCCAATTTCGTCTATGGAAATGACAAGCAGAATTCAAAGCTCAGCAGTTTCACCCCCACCAGCTGACAACAACAAGTCTGGAGCGCGGTCCAAGTCCTGCACCGAATGCAGAAGAAAGAAGATCAAGTGTGACACAACACGCCCCGCCTGTACCCAGTGTTTGGCAGCATCTCTTACTTGCAGATACGTTGATTCAAAGAAAACCGGGCTCCCAAGGGGGTATGTAAAGGGATTGGAGCGCAAGATCAGTAAGTCTACAATCAGACCAAGGAAAAAGGAACCAAAATCTCAAGTGGAACATAGGCGAGTTACAGCAGGACAAGACAAGACTAGAGGACCAGATCCGACAGCTCACCGCCAACACATCGCCGCATGATGAATCGACGCAAGGCAGTGAGTCGTCCAGCTTGCACCCGGCACAATTGAGACCACGAATACCTTTGGAGTACCATGTACTGTTGCAGAATCCCTTTGAAGTAGCTACAAACTATGTCTCAACCAAGCTATCAGTCGCTGAACAGTCCAAACTGTGAGTCCCTTGCCCTTGCGTACCTTGCCCCTGTGCTTAAACTCACCCATTAGTCATTCCGTTTACTTCGAGAAATGTTCTCCTTTCGTGCCGGTCATTCACGAAACGGGATTCCGATTCACAAGTGATAACCTACACGTGCGACTAGCGATGTTTGCCTTGGCCAGTAGACATATTGAGGCGTTATCTGACTGCTCTGAAATGCTGTACAAACTTGCAACACATACCACCAATCGCACGCTAAGTCTTCCCAACATGAACACAGTGATTGCAATGGCTCTCTTGGCTGTATATGAAATTGGCCAGCCCAGCACAGCAGCAAATGTGATGACGACACTTAGCTCAGCTTTAGCACTCATTGGCGCTTTCCAGTTAACTCGAATGGACGATCCAAATTTCTCAACACCCGCTCAGTGGCTGTCCAAGCCCAAGAACTGGGTTGTGGAAGAAGGTCGCCGTCGAGTTGTCTGGATGATCATCAGTTTAGCACGATGGGTTGCAATTGTTTCGGCACGAGCTCCCCATGCCCTGAGGAGGTCCGATATCCACCTGCTTCTGCCTGTCAGCAACAATGCTTGGGTTTCTGCTGTGAGTGGCTCCAGTCAATGTACCCTATTCTTGGGGAGTTTTTCCTAACCGATCACAAGGGCACTACCAGGCCTGAGACGGAACTAATATCCAACGCCAATGGCTGCAGTACATCGGGCCCTTTTGCTAGATTCATCCAGGCTCAAGACTTCGTCGCCCAACTTCAAGAATTTAAACAGTCTCAACACGATCCAGAACATAATCCTCAGACACAACACAGGCGAGGATCAGAATTATATACCGCCATACAAAGGTTCATACAGGAGTTCCCACTGGATTGGGAACAACAAGTATCGCTCCGTGATGAGTGCATGCTGGATCCCACGACACTGTGTATAGCTCACTGGTGGGCATCCCTCTACCAGGAATTTCTCGGACTAGATGGTTGCTTACATAGCTATAGTGCGTGTCTACTACTCCATGGACCACAGTCACAACAAGTCCCGATGAGTATGGAGCGTGAACGTAAAAGTCGAGAAAGTCTTTCCCTCCACACAGACGAACTGCTTGACATAGCACACATTGTTCAAGATCGACCGCATCTTGGAAACTTCATGCTGCCCCACTGTTGGCTTCTCACAGCCCGAATGCGGCTGCCAGAACTTTTTAGACGAAGAGGCTATCACAAAGGCCGTGACGCTGATCTTTTAACGAAATGTCTTTTGAACTCTGGCAAGTGCTGGGGACTTCACGGCAAGTGGCCCCTAATATTGATGTCCAATTGTGGGTTGATATGCTAATGCTTCTACACCATAGATACGATGCTGAGTCACGTTTGCAACATTACTTCCGGTCCAATGGCGCTCAGTGACTCTGTGAATTCCATTGAGCCTGAGCCTCTAGATCAGCCAGTTGCGTCAGAAAAATGGCTTCCAGTTGACTTGCCTTTGGGTGAGAGTACTGGGACAGTTGAAAGTATCCATTTGCAAGGTGATCTTGCCAGTCATGCTGACTCGGATGTGTTCATGGATGAAAATTTTGCCATGGATGATTTGGGCATGTCGAATTGCCAAATGCTTAACGATTGGGCAATTGGGGACTTTTATGATTGGGCTACTCTACCTCTAGGGATATAAACTATTTATATATAGCTCCTACTATCAAATGAATAAACTTTCAGTTTTGATAAATGTATAATTCTTTTTCTTTAAATTAAACAAAGAACAGAAGAAAATATTTATCCGAGCGGTGGTTATCAGTCCCTCCCATCATTAAGTGGGAAAAGCCTCAAGGGTTAGGAGCGCTCCCACTTACTACAAGTACACTGGTTCAATGGAACCCCTTCTGTCGTATCGTGATACTATTCTGGGATTAGCGTTATGACTAAATTTATTAAAAAACAACTGACTAGAACAAGATGCTTCTTATCATTTTATAAAAGTATGATCGTAGTCTTCGGGCATCATTTCTCTTCCCCTAGAATTTTTCTACAATACTCTCTGCCCTAAGAGGAGCTACCTTAACAGCGCTTGGTAAACCACTTACTCGTTCAAACATCATACTCGCCATGTGTCGCTCAATGCAGCGCATCGACATTAACTCGGCCTCCAATTACGAGTCTGCCGTTACTAAACACTCCGATATCGAAGTCAGCATAGACTTTGAGCGCAACATTCTCAGCGGCACGACAACAATCACCCTCGAGTCGCGCGAGGCACAGGGGGTTGCCGAGCTAGTCCTTGACACAAGCCTCCTCGAGATCCATAGAGTCTTCGTCTCTGACAGTCCGGCGCGATGGGACCTCAAGCCTCTTGTCGAGCCAAACGGCCGCCCGCTTCACATTACACTGGACAATGTCTACAGCCTTGGTGAAACCTTCACCGTAAAGGCAAGTGTGCCAGATGTCCTATGCGCCCCGAGAATGCGACAAAATGTAGCGGAGAGACTATTGCTAACCAAAGGTCATTGTCCTTTAGGTTGACTTCCAGACGAAACCCAACTCTACAGGCCTTCAGTGGTTCAAACCTGGCCAGACCGATGACAAGAAATACCCGTTCATGTGTAGGTTCTACACTCGCCCATGAGTGTTGTTCTCGAGGATATCAAGGATCGTTGAACACTGACCAATTCGCCAACTCCAGTTTCGCAATGCGAGCCGGTGCACGCCCGCTCCATTTTCCCCTGCCAGGACACACCGTCAATCAAGACCACATTCACCATACGTATATCTTCAGTCCTGCCCGTTGTAGCGAGCGGCGTCCCCGAGCACGACCTGGTCTTCCCTCTCGTCAACGATATATCCGAGGCCAAAATCTACACCTTCCAGCAGACTGTCCCCATATCAAACTACCTCTTTTCAATCGCGAGCGGGTTGGTCTCCACTTCTCCTCTCATAGCCTGCTGGTTCGGCCTAACGATGTGGTTAGGAACTTGGTGGGAGCACAAATTACCCCTCGAAGCTACTTGTACTGTGCACCTGGTGACTTGGAAGCCTGCAAGGCGGAGCTGCAACCCGATTTAGAGGCCATTATGGCCAGCGCCGAGGTAAGTGCATGTTTACCAGCCATTATGCTATAGAAAACCAGGGTGTTGAGATCTGACTGGGGATGTATGCCATTTCTCTAGAAACTGATCTACGAGTATCCCTGGCCATGGTACAACTTGGTCATCTTACCAAAGTCCTTTCATTTGGGTGGCATGGAGAACCCTGTCTTTAACTTTTACAGCGCTACAGTTATATCCGGCGACCGAGAGAACATCTCGGTTGTAGCACATGAGTTTGCTCACAGCTATAGCGGTAATCTCGTAACTAATGCTTCTTGGGAGCACTTCTGGCTCAACGAGGGTTGGACGGTCTATATTGAGCGTCATATTCTGCGTGAGCTACGCGGGGAAGATGAGAGGACCTTCCACTCTATCGTGGGATGGCAAGATCTCCTTTATGGCATCGAATCGTACGGCGGCGACCAAAGTCCCTCGACTCGACTTGTCCTGGACTTTGAAGGTCAGCGGCCAGATGATGTCATGTCAAAGATTTCATACGAAAAGGGCTACACCTTTTTATGCTACCTGGAGAGCATCTTGGGTCAGAAAGAATGGCTCAGATTTGTTCCGCATGTACGTTGTACTATTCCATACTAGAAGGTATGTTGATGCTAATTTATCGCATTAGTACTTTAAGACCTTCTTCTGCAAATCAGTAGACTCATCACAGTTCAAATCTTGCCTATTCGACTTTTACGCTTCGGATGCCGAGGCTATCTCAATTCTCGAGCGCGTGGATTGGGAAGCCTGGTACCACAAGCCTGGGGCACCCCCTAAGCCCAATTTTCAATGCAAACTCTACGATGATTGCATCCAGCTAACAAACAGGTGGACCAACCTGTCAACACAATCAATGTACCGACCTTCCCCCCAGGACATGCGCGGCTGGACCGTAGCCCAGATTCTAGTTTTCCTGGACACCTTGATACGGAGCCCCAACCAAATTCCTCTCGACTACGTAAAGCAGCTCGAGTCGGTATATGGACTTGCAAAATCCAAGAATCTCGAGGTAATCTCACGATACCTGCGCGTGGCTCTACGGGCCAACGATCGAGACGCCATCGAGCCGACAAGGAAGGTTTTAGCTGAAACGGGCCGGATGAAGTTTGTGCGACCACTGTACGTGAACCCTCATTTTACCGATCAAGGCTCTTTGCAGCAAACTGCTTTTGGGTGCCAGGAACGGAACTGACAGCAGTTATCAGATTCGAATGTCTCATTGCGGTAGATGGCAAAATAGCCTCCGAGACTTTTCAGGAGCTAAAAGACTTCTATCACCCGACCTGTGTCAGGCTGATAGAGAATGTGTTGCATGGAAAAGGGCTTCTTCAGGCGTGATGTTGTTCTCGACTTGCGAAATATATCAATGCATGTTGATCGACAGTTACAATCCAGTTGATTGACTCGCTTATTATAAATGAGAAGCCAAAGAGAAGGAGATTCAAGCTTGTATGTATTGTACATCGGGTAATAATTCGTAGACTTGATCACATAACAATCGATCAGTATCTAGGACATGGAGCATTTAGAACCGAAAGAAAAAACTGTGTAAATTTGTTATAAGGGGTATTTATAACAAGTTCACATATATCGTCAATTCAAGGTTGATAGACCAAATTTCAGCCTACGCAGCGCTTGACCCTTGGCTATTGAGTAAAAATCACGTCTATTCCCTGTAATGGTTCAAGTAAGCTTTCCCATGGCTTACCACCCGGACGCCCTGATCCATACATCGACGACCTCTGAACCCGCCGAATCGCTCTCCGAGTCAACAACCAGGTACCACCCATACATAGCACCCGTGACACAGGCATGGTTTGGATAGACGCGAACCGTCTGTCCCACCTGAACTGGAATTGGTGGCAGAGCTGTAGCGGCACCGTCGTTCTGGTCATCCGGTTGCGTTTCCCACGAGATGATTGAGTGCTCCTGACTGATGCGCGCTACGACTATACGGCGCTGTTGTTCCTCCGTGGAGGCGATTGCCTCAAATCTTGGTACAGAAACAATGCCCCAGCCACTGTAGGCATGACAAGGCTCGCGGCCGAGACCCAGGGTTCCCACAGCCAGGAGGGCCTCGGGCTGCTCTCGCTCATGTCCGTTGTACACGCTACAAACCTCGGCGACGACCGACACGGCCACTTCATCCTCAGGTTTTGCTCCTTGTAGCGCGGAGCATGCGCACGCAGCCAGCTGCTGCATGTCGAGAACCGTGTAGACGCCTGCGTGCAGCTCGAGCTTGGCCTTGAGCCTGCCAAAGGAGCCTTCTTCGACCTGCCTCATCGCGTTGCGCAGATTTGCACTGTCGTCTTGGTTATTGTCGGCAGTGAAGTTGCGTACTGAAACGATTTGCGGAGATGCCCCGACGCTGATGGTGAGCTCGGCGGTCTCGCCGCAAGGCAAAGACGGCGCACTGGCGTGAAGTGCCTCTAGACAGCCCCTGATCTCGCCCGCCAGGTTGTCCATGGCCTGCTTTGGGGTGCAGTCGTTGTAGCTCAAGCTGCTGTGCGAGTACAGCCCCAAAAAAGTGACATGTCCGGTTGCTTCGAGTAGTGAGATCTTGTCCAGCAGCCCGCCCTTGTTGAGCGACGTGGGCGGGAGCCCTGCGCGATGGTACCCCGTATCAACCTTGACATAGACCCCGACGGGGTATTGAGCAATCTCATAAAAGGTCAGGGCGGCTTGGTCGAGCTGTGCCGGGTTGTCCACGAGCACCGCTATGCTGCCAGGGTCAAGCTCTTGGGCGAGCGTAGCCAAACGTCGGACCTGCGACGGCGGTAGAGGGATGCCATAGAGGACGTTGGTGCGGCGGCCATTGGATCTGTATTCCTTGAGTAGAGGCATCAGACGCTCAATCTCGGGAATAGTTGAGACAATAAACCTGGCCTCGGTGGCCATTTCGTCTCCCACTGATAGTCGAGCCAACTCGGCAGTCTGGAGAATATCGTGTTAGCCGACATCTGTGGTAACCAGGGACAGAGAGACACAAGTGTCACTCACCTTGTGCGTTTTGATATGGGCGCGAAATCCTACGCCGAGAGCATCGATGGCATGCCGAATTGTCTGGCAATGGCGGCGCGCAATTGCGGCATCCAAGATAAGGGCCGGCTTGGGGACATCCTGAATATCGTGCCCGACGTAATAGTTGCGAAGTTCCTGGACGGACGGGGCGTGTCGCTGCGGGATGTTCATCTCTGGTTGTGTTGTGTTCTGGTTCGCACAGGAAAGTAAGACTGCAACACACGAGGTTACGAACTTGAGGGCGTCAAAAAATAGGTTCAGTTCACAACGGCAACGTTCTTACCGGATGTTTTCACGGGTTACTAGGTCAGCTACGGCCCAAGATGGTTCCGGGGTCGGCGAGCTTCTCTGTGCCGGCTGATTTCAGTCATTGGGTCCGGGGCTAAACTAGTGAGATTTCCGGAGCACGGTGTAACTATTTCAAACTATTCTCATAAGGGTAATTCTGTACGGCTGGTCGGCCAGTTGAAGAAACACCAATGAATCATAACGCCACGTAAGTTCCTCACAACCCCGTGATTAGATTGGGCCTCGATTAGCTTCTGGAAGAGACATCTTGTACTATTCGAATAGCTGACTAGTCTACTGCCATTCCCCACTCATGGTTTCCAGTGGACGCTCAGTCCAATCCTAGACCTTTTGTGCACAACTGGCTTATGTCTGGATATAGGTCGAACCTGCGCTGGTTGCTGGTGGGAATCTGTCTGCGATGCTGTCCAATTGCCTCAGAGTCAAGCTCAGCATAGACTATTGCCTTCTCTCGGTTCGCCATGACCATGACCTGGCCATTGGGGTCTGTGATGATGCTGTGTCCCCAAGCCGGATATCCCGTGGGCGGCAATGCTTGCGAGCACAGCGCGACGTAGACTTGATTGTCGAGCGCTCTGCTCCGGGCCAATACCTCCCAATGCAGAGCGCCCGTCGTCGAGTTGAATGCAGAGGGGTAGATAAGGGCAAAGACGCCGAGTCTCGCAGCTATCATAGCTGGCTCGGGAAACCGGACGTCGTAGCAGATGCCCAGCCCGACTGTCCCGTAGTCGGGTAGCTCCACGATGGTGAGTTTGTCTCCGGGGGACAACACATCGGATTCACGGAACGTCATCTTGTTCTCAATGTCGATGTCAAAAAGGTGAGTCTTGCGGTGTGAGCCAAGGCCAGCGCCATCTGGCCCAAATGCCAGCGTCGTGTTATAGTATTTGCCCGTTAATGGCTCAAATTCGGGTATGCTTCCTCCGATGAGGTATACATTCGTATCCTTGGCCAGAGTCGATAGAGCGTGGTATGTCGATGACTGATCCTTCGAGGGGGGCGAGGGCGTCAGGATCTCGGCGTACTGAGGGAAGAGCGCCATGTCGTATGGCGCATTGAAACATTCTGGAAGGACGACGATGCGGGCGCCCGCATTGGCTGCCTCTATCACTCCTGCTCGAGCTTCGCTAACATTGAAGATCTTGTCCGCGGCTGCGATCTTGTCAATGCCGGATCTTACGAGGTGTTGTACCAACTTGTAGAAGGAGATGGAAGGGTCATACTGCTTGAAAACTGGACACAAGCAAGCTTGACGTGCTGCTTGAGAACTGGACACATCATGACTGGTGCCATGCTAATTGTGTCGAGAAGATGCAATTTGAAACTGCCAATGCTCATACACGTACTCCTCAACTCGGTGACTGTCGAACTTTTGTTATGCAACGAAGGGTCGAGTTTATGCATGGCCTTATCCGCCGTTGCGTATCCCCTCCGGCAGTTGATTGGACGCCAGAGACGCACGCCTGGTTGGATTTATCCCAAATTCACGTTTACGTATTAGGTAACGTAACTTAGGAGATGTTTTTGTCCGACTGTTGTAGTGCATTTCCCTTTTGGGTAAACCGGAACGATAGATGGTGTCATATTTCGGCCTCGTCCTGATTCTATTTCTACATGTACGGCACTCCTGCAAACTATCCCCGATACCCTTGACCATCTTTTCATTTTTCGTCTTATTGCAGTATCAACATTCTCTACTAGGTTGTCAGAGTTCTATTGTCCAGCCAAATCAGTATCATCATGTCGGCCGCCAGCAAGAAGGAACTCCGAACTACAGGAGCGCCCGCTCCTCTGCCCTTCTACTCCCAAGGCGTTGTCCTCGGTAACATGGTGTACGTGTCTGGATCTCTGGGCATTGATTCGGATACTGGAAAGTTCGTCGAGGGAACTGTTGCCGATCGTACAGTTAGTAACTGGTCTACCGCCTACTCCTCCCATTAGTAGGCAACATGTCGAGTATATATATAAATAGCATCTAACCTTTTTTCTTTTGTTCTGCAGACGCGAATCCTGGAAAACATCAATAACATCCTTGCCGAGGCAGGCACTAGCCTCGAAAACGCCGTATGTTTCCACCCATGAGTCCGACATGACTTCCATGCGTGTGTTGGTCTAACTCGGTTGCTTTGAAAATGTGGCAGGTCAAGCTCAATGTCTTCCTTACAGACATGAGCAACTTCGATGTCATGAACGGCGCCTATGCCAAGTTCTTTGACAAGGGTGTTCGACCTGTAAGTCAGCGTACAATTCAATACATCATCATGGCTGCTAACCAGGGTCGGCATTTTCAAGATCCGCACATGTGTCGCTGTCAAGGAACTCCCCTTTGGAGCTGACGTTGAGATTGAGGCCTCCGCACACCTATGATCCACGCAGGGTAATTTAATCATGACAAATTCTGAGGCCGCAATAGGGGGAAATGCAATATTTTCCTTCTACTGTGTTGGGCGAAAGAGACGGATTTGGGAAGATGCTTCACGATAGATAACTCCAACTAAATGCAATTGGAAGTCAAATAGCTACCTAAACTCTAGCGAATGCGAATCGAAGAATCCCTCACTCTTGTGCCACGATCTAATCACGGATTTCCGCGGTATTGCTACATCATGGGCAGACCAGGAAAGGTCATATTCTTAAGCTTTCGTATACATTGAGTTGGGTTGTCGGGCCCTGATAGCTTCATTCTCTCTTTCTTCAGTACTAGGGATTTCCAACCCCCGTTACAAATGAATCCAGGGGCCACTCAAATGGGGGTTAAGTTGCACAAACAGGGACCCCTAGGACACATCTTTACCCAGCCCACCACCTTGGGAGTAGCTTGGACCCTCCCCCCTTCATGTGCATTCAGGAATGCTACTCGTCGTATTTGATACCTAAAACGGCAAGGCGAGGAAGCTGAATGCAAAATGGACCACAAGGCCACCAACACACAGATGGCTCTTCTACAACCGCCATTATTCTCTTGATGCTACGTATTAGATATTTATACATCTTTGTCTTAAAAGTCATTTGGCACCTGTTTGAAATACGCATCCCATCACAGTCCTGTGTGGCCAAACTTTGCAACGAGTACTCTCATCGCCAATGGGGCATTCTTGTTACTAATACCGGCAGCTCCCGAGGCGTGTAAGTGGAACAGGCATCCATAATGCGAACAAGAGGCCGGAGAACAAGGCTGGCGAGAGCTGCCCGTACTGATTGCATGGCTATTTGTTTCGTTTTCGGCATGGGGATTTCGACTAAGCTATTGCAATCACCCGAGTCTCGGCAGGCTTCTTTGCCAGTACGCCTAGCTCCATTACCGTGGGAGCACTAGGTGACATGTTCGAACCCGGAGCAACGGGGGACAACGTTGCTGGGCCATGCAGGTGCTGTGGTTGGCGGGCCAGTATTTGTCATTTGCCATGTGACTATGTGATTGCTCTCCCTATCTCCAGTAACACTTCATATCGTCTCTTCTTTTCTTATTTTTGCCACAGCTCTCTTGTGAATATGAGCAAAACTACGGGCATGAAAGAATGGTGCTGGTCTGGCATGGCGTTGCATGATAACAGCACCAATCGCAGGCAGCGTAATGATGGCCAAGAACGTAGGACGGAGGTGGACCCAGTACGTGACGGGCATTTACATACTCTTCATACTGCTCATGAACACGCTTTTCCTACACGAATCCTATAATCCCGTCCTCCACGTAAATGGGGCGCGGTAGTTGCGCTTTGCTACTCAGCAGTGGCCGTATCAAGCATATCACGAATAGAGATATGTTATAAATTAGATGGATAATAAATATAAAGATAATGTTCAGGTTACAATTAGGCTCAGGGTAGTAGGTATATAATAGCAAGGTTAGAAAATAGAAGGGAAAAGGGTGGGCAAGCTGCGCCATCTTTACCTAACTAAATTATCATGCTAATGAGTGTAATTAACAGAAGCCGACCTGGGGCAAACCATAGCGAAACGCGGCCAAGATACTCAGATCCAGTCTGATTAAAGAACAGATACGCTACCAAGCCATGTACCACCACACCTAAGGCTTCTCGTTCACAACACTCGGCTCGCCGACAATGTCAGACGAAGTACGCCTCTCCTGCGCAACCTTGGGCACGCCGTCCTCCGACTCTGCGTGCCCGCCCTCGAGGCCGCCGTCGGACAGGATGACGGGCTCGCCGATGATGACGCGGGGCTGGACAGCGTACTTGCCGTCGCCGCGCTGGATGCGGTGGGCGGGGATGAGGGAGTTGGCGAAGCGGGGGAAGATGGCGAGGCCGACGACGAAGACCATGACGATGTGCATGAGGGCGAAGCTGTAGATGAAGGGCGGGTCGTTGGCGTGGTTGTTGATGAACTTGGGGTAGGCGAAGGAGAAGACGATGCCGATGGCGGGGGCGGTGATGTACTTGAGGAGGACGGGCCAGATCCAGTGGAGTCTCCAGTTCTTGCCGGTCACGATGGCGGCGTTGATGTCGCTCTTGAGCTGGTTGCCCTGTTTCCAGATTCGGGTCAGCAAAGGTCTTCCTCAAGGAGCGGTGGTTCATTCCATATTGGAAGTTATAAGCGCAGGCAAAGCCAGTAAGAAACAAGTTTGCTGGTTGAAGTAGAAAACATGGATAAGGGAGAAGAACATGTTAAATGGGGCTGACTTACGCAGTAGAAAGCCGCGTACCAGAGACGGGCCATGAATACGTTGTTACCCCAGAATCCAGGGGCAGTAACGGTGGGCGTCTTGCTCAGAACAACGGAACCGACAGTGCTGAGGATGAAGATCCCGAAGCCGACACCAGCGCCAACCCGGGGGTCGACGACATGGCCCAGCAGACAGCCGATGATGTGGGCGAAGACGTATCCAACGTTATACAGGCCGAATCCGATCCAGCCAATCTGGTCAACGGGGTCCCTCCAGCGATACAGGCTAGTGGCGAAGAAGATCTCGCACCAGACGGTGAAGAAGAGGGCGAGGTCGTTGACAAACATGTCGATTGCATCCAGAGTGTTGAACCCAAACTCGCTGCAGTAAAGCAGGGATATCAGGGAGCCACCGCCGAGGACGGAGAGGGAAACAACCCAGTGAGGGACACGCTTGCCCCAGTCCGTGTCGCAGATGAGAGTGACCAACACCTCGCTGAGGGCAAAGACGCAAGTGACTCCGAGAAGGAATAGAGTGAGGAAGAAGAGGGCGGAGAAGAAGTTGGAGCCGGGCATCTGGGCAAGAGCTTCGGGGTAGGTGAAGAATCCAGAGCTGAAGGTGGACAGTCGGGTCTCGCCAGGGGTCATGCCCAAATATCCAACGATGCCCATGACGGCCAGAGCGGAGATGATCTCAATAGAGGAGTTGCTGAGGGCGATGATGAAGGCGTCCTGGACGGCGTTGGCAAACTTGTTGTTGTATGACGCGTAAGAGGTGAAGTAACCGAAACCAACACCGATGGAGAAGAACATCTGGCCGAAGGCGTCCTGCCAGACTGTTGGTCCCTGGAGCGACTCTGAGCGCCAAACACCAACATAGAGCTTGAAGCCGTCGGAGGCATTGGGGAGAGAGAGCGATCGGATGGCCAAGATGGCAATCATGACGAGGGGCAGGGCCATGGTGATGTAGATGACACGGCCCTGGAGGCCGACGCCCTTGAACGTGCACATCAGGACCAGGAGCCAAGTGAAGAAGCACCATCCGGCAGTCTCGCCAACGATGCCGCGGCCGGGGTACGACTTGTAACCGCCGTCCTCTCCACCTACAGGATCAGGATTGCGGACAACAGAGTACAGGAAGTATTCGGTCGTATCCTTGCCTGCCCAAGGGAGAGGAGACTGGAAAGACTGGCGGAAGTAAACCATGGCCCACGCCAGGATGGGCACGTAGTACCCAACGACAGTGAAGCCGTTGAACACAATCGCCAGACCAACACCCTTGGCACGGTGATTGACATTGTTGAAGGCGGTGACACAGCCACCACGAAAGGCTTGGCCCAGGACAATCTCAAGAATGAGGATGGGGATACCAATAAGGAAGAGGGCGAACACGTAGGGGATGAAGAATTGGAGGCCATAGTTGTTGAAGACGACAGAGGGGAAGCGCAGCAGGTTTCCCAGACCGACGGCACCGCCCATGGCGCAAAGGACGAACTGAGACCGAGACTTGAAGTTGTCTCGGCCGTCTTCGTCCTTGTCCGCGTCGGGGGCCACCATGAGCCAGAGCCTCTTGCCGAGGCTCAGCTTGGCCTTTTCTTCTTGGCCCGCCATTTTGGGAACAGATAAGCGGACGAGTCAAAATAGACGCGAGGGCAAGGCAAGACAAGACAAGGAGTCGGTGTGCCTGTGAGGGGAAAAGGAGGGGAAGGGAGGAGAGGAAGATAACACGGGCAAGTGCGTAGAAGAAACCTAGGGGGGAGGGGGGCAGCTCATATACACATATGCACAGACGTGATTTGGAGTAGTCTCACCTCGCAGTAAAACATTGAGTGAGAATCCTTGAATATCTTGCTTCTAGTAGGGAAAGTACGCCGAGCCGCCGAGTACGCCAAGAACCTTGGCAGTGATACGAGAGATGATCAGCTGGTGGCAAGTGGTCTGGCTCGCTTCTGTTTGGAAGAAAGGTTCGGCCGATTCCGTATGTTTCTGGTCCTTTTCCATCCTTCAGGCTCTGGGCCATCCCCGCAATAGTTGCAAAAGGGGTGTGATTCATCCCTACGAGGGCAATAAACCTCACATCCATGAGTCCATGAGACACGCGAGCTGGAGCTGGGCTGCACCAAGCGGGAGAAGCTGTGGGGAGTGTGGGTGGATTTCTAGAAGCCTGCTCAAATCGAATGGCAAGGGCCGTTAAGCTTTTGGTTATGCATAGACCGTCCCACAAACCCCCTTTTCCTCCTTCATCATCAATACTTGCCCCCAGTTGAATGTAACAATCTGACCATTGCCATTGCTCCACTCGTGCCACAACCGACGTAAAAGGGGACTACTGGGTAGTTGAGCGATAAACCGCGGGAGACAGGATCGTGGTGTCCAGCCTACGCGGAATTAATTTGGGATAGCCGCGCCACGCGTCCTTTTTTCATCTGGATTCGCTCTCTTGCTTTGAGCAGCAGCTCCTAGAGTCATAGCAATCGAACCCCAGGAATCCATCTGGAATGGTTCTGAGGACCCTCCCCCGCCCCTTTTCCCCAGACGCCAAGCTGGCCGACTCGCTGTACTTACGAGAGAGAAAGTGACGATTGAGTTTTACTTAGGTAAAGATGCCTGCTTTCGATGGATGGCGTCTTCATTTGCCAAGCCTCTGGGCATGGATCTTAGTCAACAAGGCGCTTTTGATCAGGCCCAACTGGGCAGGCCTCTGTTTCGTGGAGCCTTGGCCAGGGAGGGATACTCCCGGGTGGATATGGGGAAAATGAGGAATCTTGGCGGCTGTAGCATGGATTGCTGCCGTGTTGCCGGTCAGTCTGGCGATTATTTGCTAGGTGACTGCGCCCACAGTTGGGCATATTCGCGGCTGGCAGGGGAGAGAAAGCGCTCAACTCATGCCCTGAGCGTCCTCCAGCGTGTCGTCACCATTCTGTCTGGTCCTCACTCTGGTCGCGTGGTCCTCTTTGGCGCAGTTCCAAGATCAGCGAGCACTTGGCGAGGGAGAAGAATGGGTGTGTTCCCCTCACCTCGGCGTCTTGGGTGCCGCTCCCACTGGTGCCAAGTCCAGCGCGCCAAGATCTGGGGCCTTTTGGACGCGTAAGAAATGATAAGCAGCATTCGAGAAACAAGCAGCCACCGATGTCAGCATGCGCCTGGCGAGGCTGCTGGTTGGCAAAAGAGCCTCCGTCATTGGGTGTGTGCTTCGCCGCGCCGCCAGCCACTGGAACGTTGGTTTTAGGTTATTGGCTATAAGGTTAATTCGTAAAATTGAAATGAATCCTTACAGAAGATGACAGCGTGTCTTATCTCGCTTACCAGCGGCCTATCTTGGTAGGAGGAATGACGGGGGGCGACAGGAAGGGTGTGGTCAATACACGCGGTCTGTCACTCACTCACTCGAATTGGGCCTTGAATCTGCCACACCTAAATAAGCATAATTTAGTCAGTAGCTAAAATTTAACTCTAACCAGTGAAATTGGCAGCTTCAACGAGCCCTTCTGTACGCTTTTGTGGTGACTTGTTTCAATTGAGTTCAATCGATCTCGGTCTGTCATTCACGCCAAAGCGACAGTATTGATTTTACATTAATTGGCTCCCAATGGATAACAACTCCAAAGAATAATGCTGCCGAATGAGGCCAGATTTTATCCCCTGGAGCAAGCACGGGAATAATCAAGTTGCCGAAACGAGATGAGCATGTGATCGCGACGGGATCACCCCTTTCTTTTTTCCCTATACCAATTGCAATAAATGTCTGAGATGGTAGACCAGTGAGTGTTACCAGTTATTCAATGCATTATTTACCAAAAGAATGGTATCCAAATCGAACCTGCATGTAGATCAATGAAGCACAACATTGGCATTTGGCCACATCGTATTGCCACATGATGAACTTTATCTTAACAGGTCCCATGCCAAGTGATCTTGCGGGGGTGGCGAAGCTTGGAGTTATCCACAACCTCGTGATAACATCTCGCAGTTGTCTGGCTGGACTGTGAGATCTTGCGTCCTGCAGGCCAAGATGGTGTAGACCAAAGAGATATGAATCAGCGGATGCAACCTCCTTCTAAGAAGGATCACATGTCGAGATGGCTATAAGACCATGGCAGAGGACTCAAACAGGAGCGAGGCTTAGGGCTTGGCACCACCTGGACTAGTGTCTAGGCGCCCAGATGGCTAAGATTAATCCCATCCTCTCACAATGACCTTCCTATATCTATCAATTTCAAGAGCATCTATCGATCGAGGAGTCGGACGTTCCCACTTGCAGCACGCCCGATCTGGTCGCCTGCAGAAATGCAATGTGAAAGGGTCAGATAACCCCACCACTTTAAAGGCAGACGTACCGGGGTGGTTGATAAGCTTTTGCGGTTTGATTCGAAGGCGTGGTGGCTCTTACGCGTGGCATCCAGGGGTTGTCGCGGAGCCTATGATCGGCTTCCAAGTAGAATAGTACCTGAATTATGCGATGTTGTGCTTGCAAGTGGAATCCCGAGGATGTAAGCTGTTGGGTCTTAGTAGTTCTTGATGTGGCTGAGGTCTCCCTCTGGGCGTTTGCTCTAGGGAATTGACCTGGACAAAATTATCACGTCACAGGACTAACGGCGGAATTGGAATGGACGGTATGGAAACAGCTCGCTGTCTTTTCGTATTCATTGCGTTGAGTTGTTCCGGGCCCTGGCAGCTTCATTGTTATTAAAGTTTATTATTCGTATTCTCCCACACACACAGCTCGCTGTGAGTACGGGCAACTGGAACTACACGGCAGTGAACTTGATTACACACAATGGGTAAATAAGCGAACATATTTCTGGAAGGTTTTAGATATAGGTAGGTGTTTTCACGTGTGGCCTGATCTCGGGATATCTCCCTTGCATACGGCAATAACTACAAAAAAAAAAATAGGTAGGTGTTTAACGTATACTTTCGAAGCTTCTTCCCTAGTAGTGCACGAGTAAGTATATTGTCAAAAGAAACCGAGAGTTTGGAATTCGTCTAAAAGATAGTGCGCCTATAGTCATCTTGATAGTCATTTAGATTGTCTATGCAACCATTCTTCAAAATTGTTCTTCCCAGAATCTGTAGCAGGCAACCTTGAACTTAGCTGAGCTATGTTTGACCCGCTTGAATACATTTTGCAGTGGCTAAATAGGGAAGGTTTGATCACTCAGCACAAGAAGATGGACGGTTTTATTAAATAATATGAATCTTAGAGATTAGTTTATAAGCTAATTGAACCTTAGCTCCAAGGTTAGAAGGAGAAGTAAGAGAACGAGGAGAATTAGGAGGAGGAGAAGAAGAAGAAGAAGAAAAGGAAGAGGAAGAAATCTAAGAGATCAAAAAGATGTATATAAAGACTCTAATGAAAAGCTAAAGAATAAAGTAAAAGAATAAAGAATAAGAATAAAAATAACTTAGTACTTTAATAAAATGAAGTAGAAGAAAGAAAGAGATAAAAAGATAGGTAATTAAACAAGACTAATCGCAGGAATGAAGAGAAAAAAAAACTAACTTAGCAGAAATTTCAAATAAGCGTGTATAGCAGAACAAAGATAAAACAAAACAAAACATAAGAAGTAAATGCGAACTTCGAGCAAAGAAAGGGAATTCAAATAACACAAAGAAATACACTCATCTTACCTGTCTCGTGAAGTACAAAAGTGATCCTTTGTTGTTCACGAGAGAATAGAGATCACCTCCCCTGGGATTGCCAATCTGGGTTTGATCGAGGCTGAAAGGCAGTTCTCAAAATTGGAGATATCATGGCGTTTTCTCACGCCCTCCTGCCTTGATTGGGGTCTCGTGTGCACAGTTTGCCATACTGAACGGAGCCCTGGTCGCAGGTCGACAGACTGAACTATGCTGTTGCCTATGGGAAGCCCAATCTGTTTGGCTTTCTGGTGTCACGAGGGCTGCGCCTAGCTGGTTGGGTGTATCTGGGGTTTGCAGCCTTCGAAACCCTCGCAGACGTCACAGCCTTTGAAGCCCTTGCAGCTCTCGCTTCTTCAGCCTTTGCAGCCTTTGCAGCTCTCGCTTCTTCAGCCTTGGCAGCCTTTGCAGCTCTCGCTTCTTCAGCCTTGGCAGCCTTTGCAGCTCTCGCTTCTGCAGCCTTGGCAGCCTTTGCAGCTCTCGCTTCTTCAGCCTTGGCAGCCTTTGCAGCTCTCGCTTCTGCAGCCTTGGCAGCCTTTTCGGCCTGTTTCTTCTCTCTCTCGGCCTGGAGTCTCATAGCCTTCTTCTGAGCCCTCGCCCTCTTGGCCTCCTCTTCTTTCTTTGCCTTCTTGGCCTCCTCCTCCCTGGCTTTCTGCTCATCCTCCTTTCTCTTCCTCTCAAGCTCCGGGATTCGTTCACTGCGACGAAGTGCCTGCACTGGCTGGGAGTCGCTGCCATTGGAGAGCTTCCGAGACTTTGTGTTGCGCTCGCTCTGTTCCGAAAAGGACCCCTTTCGCTTCAAGCTCCTGGATGTGGGATTGTCTGGCACATCTAACGGCGAGGTGGACCGCGTGCTCACCACCTGCTGCGACTGATCAGGCTGAGGGGTGGTATCCTCTGGAACCTCTTGTATGGCGACAGCGGCATTTTGTTTCGCTGCGTTGGTAGCTCCATCAAGAGATGCTTCCATAGGGAGGCCGTCTTTTGGTGGCTTCGCGCTCATCTCAACCAAACGCAGCTCGGTTTGGACAATTTTTGTAAGCTGGTCTGTGCAAATTACCATCAATTTCATATCGCCCAAATCGCGAGGCTGCCAGAAGATTGACCCCTTTGATTGACCCCTGGCCGCGAGCTTTTGACAATTCTCCTTGGCTTGGTCGAGGCCCTTCTGGGCCTTTTGTAGATTGGCCTCCCAGTCAGGGTCATCTCGATCAAGGCTGTGGTGCTCAAAGGTCAAGGTGGCCACGTATAGCTCGTGATCAGCCAGCATCTCCTCTTGGTGTTCTTTTTGGACGTCTAAGATCCAACACATATGACCTAGGTATTCTGTCCATGTCGTGACTGGATCTTGGCTCCTGGCATCAATGTCGGGCTTGAAAGTTTTGTAAATCCCATGCTTGGCCAACCGCCGTTCGACGGCGGCGCCGTACTCGTCAAAGCTCTCACAATCCTCTCGCCAATGTTTTTGCAGCTGGGCCCGGAGTAGCTGCTCCTGCTCCCATTCCTCCATCAGAACTGAAGGGCTGTCAGTCCTTATGTCTTCGAGAAACTCGTTGTACTCTTCCTCTGTTCCCATGCATCTGTTCTTGCGCCAGGAATGGATCGCGAATTCCTCAAACCCGCCCGTGTCATGGAGCCCACGGTTATAACGCTGCCATCTGCGGAAGAACTCCCAAGTGGCCAATTGCTGCTCGAACACATCGCTTGCCCTGTCTTTCGGGATCCCCAAAGCATAGCTCCAGAGTAGCAGCTTGAGACGATACTGTTCACTGCCCCTTAGCTCCGTCAGACCATCAAGGGAGACAACTGAGCGACCTCCGTCTTCTTCCAGCCGATTGCAGTTTTCCATGTACCAAGCGTAATTCCTCTTCTTGATTTCCTCGTCTTTCGAAAAACCTTCCCGACACCAAAGCATCGGGGTTTCTGGCTCTCGCGGTGGGCTAACACCAGTGCGCGGTTTCCAGGTGGGAATCTGGCCCTTGTCTGCCACCTCTTGTAGTCGTTCGTCAAGCTTATCGAGCAGCCCAACGTGAATGATTGCAGAACCTGTACGGACGAGCCGCCCTTGCTTCTTCCTGGCCGAAGCATGGTGGTAAGTCTTTTGTTGCGAATGATCGGGGCCAGGGTGGAACTACTCACTTGAAGTCTCGAATCTCCTTCTGAAGCCTATCGAGGAGCCGTTTGGGGATATCATCGGTGCCGCCACCTATGGTGACGTCTAGGTCTCCATAGATTTTGAAATAATTGTATATATAGCGCTCCAGGCGCTCATCATTCATGCAGAGCAGATCTTCCACACTTTCCAGCTTCATAGGTGGCGGAGAGTCGCGCAATTGGTTGGGGTCGAATCTAGCATCTCGAGGAGGGTCACCGGGGCTATGGCCCTGGGAACGGGACATGATGGGCAACGGCAGAATTGATGCGGGTGAAGTCAATTGGATGGTGTCGTTGACGTCGACGACGTTGAGGGCTGAGAATGAAAAAATTTGTTGGGATCACAAGCCACCTCAGCCCCCTCATCTCATTCTTGTACGACCACCGCCACACCCATATCAATCCATCCACGGGCCAGATGCCGGCTTTTGCTCAATGTCGAGGGCCATCGCCGGCAGCCAAACGGTCTGGAAGGTAGGTTTACACAATTGATTCTATTTTTACCAGATCATGTATGGTTGTCTGGTTGATGGGTTGTTTTCTCACGACAAAACACACACAATCATGCCGAAATGTGTAGCAAGGAGATGGAAGCGGTTGGAAGATCAGTTCTGTTACACAGCTTTCCGAATGACACAAAGAGGGCAAACTTTTCTTGCCATGAACAAAAAACAAATTCCAGAAACGAAAACTCTTTCTTCCACTCTCACTCTCTTTCTTCCACTCCCACCCTCTTTCTTCCACTTCCGTCCTCTTTAATCCGCCCACATTCTCTCCCATTATTTCCCCTTTCCGCACCCACCTACTCGACATCTACGGATTTATATCTTTGTCCACGTTATCACCAACAACAGTTACGAACAATCATCAAAGACAACCATCACAGACACCATCACGGACACCATCACAGACACCATCACAGACAATACTTGTCTATTCTCGTGCCTTGAAGCGTGAGCATGGGGCGCAATCTGATCGCGTCGTTCACGCTGGCGAGACCTTCGTCTGAGCTTACACCAACGATGTTGGAGACACTGGAGAGGAGCAAATTTTTCGTTCCCCAGTTTGAGAGTGTTCTGAAGCTACCGAAGGTTACCCGCTTAGACTTTAAGCATGATTCCACCCCTTGTTCACCGACAGGAATCACCTTCGGGTCAAATGAACGTTGCGGCGTTATTCTGCCTAGACACAAGATGATCAGCCAATATCATTTCAGTCTGACGTTCGACCGCATGGATCGACTCATCATCATCGATCATTCAACGAATGGGACAGAGGTGAAGTACGGTGATCAAGGTACCGGTCTGTGTAAGCAGAGACAATGGATTCTTAATGATCCAAAGTTGCCCGGAAAACTCCGCGATATCGAAATCAACATCGCCGGCGTGTTATCGTTCAAAGTCGACTGCTTGATGATGCCGAGTGAGCCGTCGTACACGGATGTTGTTGTTGGATTTCGTCGTCTCTGTCAAGCGAAGGACAACATTGACAATGAACTTGAGGGATTATGCATGGATCAAACTAGTGCCATGTTGAAACCGAAGGTCGAAGACGTCTGGCTCCATTGGCCAGTGGGAAAGGGGACTTCGGCTAGCATCACATGGTGCTGGAACACCGCAGACGGATCTGACAAGGCCGTGAAGAAGCCTCTCGCGGGAAAGTACAACGAAGTAAGATGGCTTCAAGAAGCTAGGTTTCTGGAAAGCCTCAAAAAGGTACGTCTTAATTCCGGCCGTACAAGGTCATACTAACAGTTCAAAGAACCACCACGTGGTCAACTTCCTAGACAGCACGGACGATCCCTCGATTGAGATAGAGTACCTGGGTGGGGGATCTTTGAACGAGCCCAAGTATCCTTCTCCGGGTTCGCAGGATCCTTACCAGTTTTCCCAAGAGGAAGCAAGATCTATTCTCGCCCAATGCCTTTCCGCGTTAAAAGAGATGCATGCACAGTCCCCAGCGATTTGTCATCGAGATATTAAACCAGCTAATATCTTGATAAACCAACGAACTTTGTCCGGCATCTGCGTCAAGCTTGCAGATTTTGGCGAGGCAAAGACAGAGTGTGATGAAGACACATGGGGAATAAATCCTGTCTACGTCGCCCCGGAGTTCTGGGACCGAAAGAATTGTCATCCAACCATGGACATTTGGTCACTTGGCCTTACTGTACTTGCCTTGATTGATGAGGATCTGCAGAAATTGTACAACACCGGGGACTGTGCATTCTGGACTCGGATGGACCAGTCAAAAGATCGTCTGGTTCAGTTTCTACGGCTCACTATGTTACGGGAGCCACCCGATGAGAGAGCATCGGCAGAAGAATGCTTGGAGCGCCTCCGGGCAGAGGGCGATATCAAGGCATGCGGGTGCAAGTGCAGACCCTGCGACCAGAACGTCTTTGAATCCGAGAATGAAGATGCCGAAAGACCGACCACGCCTAATGTCCAGGAGGATTTTTCAGACTGCACAACACCTAGACCGAGCAAGTTGGCTGATGGCCAGTCGGAAGACTCTTCTACCACACCAACGCCAACGAGAACGCCAACACCAGCGCCGACTCCAGCGCATTCGCAGGCCACACATGTTTCACCACCTGAAGGTAGTGCAACGGACATGTTGCCTACAACGCCGAATGTAGGTGGCTCGCCGACCACTTCGCTCTGGGGGAGCTCTCCTGTGAACGCAGGAGAGCAAGTTGCTGCCCCCGCCTCACCGGCGGACAGCCCAACTAGTGAAGAGGCTGTTGCACTCACCGACGAGGCTCACCGCCCCGTCAAGGGAAAAAGAAGAACCGAGTCAGATGACGAGGTGTTGGGGTGTAAAAGACCTAAAGTCTAGCGGGTACTAATGTCTCAAACCGCACATTGTTGAATACGCGACGGCTATTGTCATATTGTTGATCACCTTGCATGGCAGGTATGATAGAAAGGAGGTTAGGAGTTGTTGCTAATTAGGCGGACATGTATCTACTTCAGAGAAGAATGACTTAGAGCTGGCAGCATAGATGGCGTACTTGCGAGAATGAACACCCCGTCGTCATCATTGGCGACGCCTATTTTGGATGATTTTGGATGACGACAAGAGTAAGACGGCATTGAGTTGTGGTGGACGAGTGTGATTGAGTGATTGATAGTTGTAGACGGACGTGTTCCCCGACTCACACTTAACTCTACGACAAGCGACAAATGGGTGACATTTGACAGATATAGTAGAGCTTTTCACCCCTAGACTTGCGCCGAGAGGTATCCTCCACCCAATTCGAATAGGCTTTCGAGCCACGGCTGCATAGCCTTCCCCTACCGTTCCACTATCTGGTCAATCTCATCGACTGAAAGAAGACCAAAGTTCTTGGGGATTGAATGTAAGGGAAAGAATGTGAGGTCTACCGGTTCTTCCTTGCTCAAAATGATGAACTGGCTACCCTTGAAGAAATGGATGCGGAATGTATCTGTATTGATAGGTAGCCATAGACCGTCGTGCGCCGCCTTGAGTATATTAAGAACAGGGTATCTTGATTATTCTTTTGTGTGGTCGAGGCTGGAGGGCGTTTTAGATATTGTTGGTAGCGAGTTTTTCTGCGGGGATTGTGTTGCTACTCTGGGAACATTCTTTCAAAATAAACACCTACGCCCAAGCAGTCATATCACGTGTGTTTGTCATAGTGGTAATCTAATGCATGTGTTCGAGAAGAGATCGCCGGTTTAGACTAGAGACAAGGAAGATTGGATCTGCCTTTATGCTTCACTGATAGGTATGACCAACTCTAAAGATTTTTAAGGCAAGTTCAGTCCGGAATAGTACATATCATCCCGTTGTTCCAAGGAGTAATACTGATTAACATTTCCTAGTTTGTGTGGTGATTGGCTTTGACCTCGTCCCATTTATCTTAGCATCCCTTCCGCCGCCAGACATAACCAGCGGCATTCCGATGTCAGCTCACGGCAAGCCCTTAGCCTGCCAAGCAGCCAGTCCCTGTGGATTTGATCTGTCGTCTCGATGGCAGCGATGAACACCGGCCATGCAATCCGAACTTGCTGGCGTTTATCAGCGATATTCTGAGAATGGACGAAGAGGAGGTGGGCAAGCTTGCACGCTGAGTTCTGCCGGAAGCCTTCTGCGACTTCGTTTTCTCCAGTGACGTGATAATAATAAAGAATTGTGGCCCAGAAGAAGCAGACGAGGCGTACTACGACCTCCGTGCCGACTCTCCATGTGAGTTCATTAGCAACATCGGCTATGATGAACAAATCCGAGTAAAACTACAGGTTATTTTTAGCAAAACTAGAGGGCAGGACGAAGGTAATAATTTATGTTAAGTAACTTACTTCCTGCGAATCAAATAATCGGCTGAGCCATGATGACGGGTGGTTCTCGGTATCTGAGCAATGCTTGCCGTTGGCTTCCCAGTTCCAAATGTGAAATCGAGCCGACAAGACTTGGAAACCGAATTCCATTGGCCGCGCGAACGTGGCATCTCTCAATCGTTGCTGAGGCGAATACCGATGTTTCCATAGGAGCAGATTAGTGCGTCGAGCATTGGCGCAGAGACGACGGAAGTCGAATAAAGGGCTACGCGATCCGGTGAGCTCGGTTAAGAGGGACTTGGATGCGCCCGAAATGGTCATTGATATATCGACATATCTGCGTAGATGGTCAGTCACGCATCTAGCTTAGAATAAAGAAAGGAAATGCACTCACATTGACCACACAATGATTTGACAACACATGGAGATGTTGGCAGCCTCTCCTTCTTCGTCCGGATGGTCATATTTTGCTTCGCGGCGAAGGAAGATGACATTCGAGCAGGCTAGGGCACGAAGACCCTCCAGATGAGTTTTGATACGCTCTGGCGAAGTCGAGTAGTGAATCTCGTAGTTTAGCATCAGAAAAATGGATAACAGAAGGATCTCGACTCCTATCTTCGGCCTGACGTCTGCCACTCGTGCTAGGCCCACACGCAAATCCTCCATGGCGAGAGCGTAACGACGCAGACCGCAATCGGCGCCATTACTTTGGAGACCTTGCCGATGCATCTCACTGGCGGAGATGGCGAGAACCATGTTCATGATGATGCTGTTAGACAATGCCAGTTCCTGCGTGATGTAGCGAAGACAGCTGGTGTCTCCGAAATCATACTGGGCAAAGACTGTTGTGGATGAGAAGAACTGGAGGTATTGCTTGTCTTTTGGCTCCAGGATAAGAGAGTTTCTGCATCGAATCTGCGGCTCTGTGATGGTTGGGGCAAGGGGAGGTCGTCGCCGAGAGCCCGCCCGCCTGTCGACAGGGGCTCCATCTCTGGCATGTCTCGTACGGGGATGGAGACACTTTGAAGCTGGTTTGGCCACTCGTGGTCTTGTAACAACGCTATCTGAAGTAGGCCAGTCGCAGGAGAAGCGATGGGAAACGCAACGTGAGCAGATCGGGTGAACCTCGTCGCACTTCACCTTGCGCTTCTTGCAGGTCAAGCAACCTACAATCAGAGAGCCGATGTTAGCATCTGAGCTGTACCGGCGAGAATAGTTCTGCTTTGTTGTCGACTTACCGGTTCTGGATCTGGTCCCTGGGCCTGACATGGCGGCTCGAACTTGGCGATCTTGACAGCCACGAAGAAAGAGCGAGCCTTGGCCACTTATTATTTCCGGCGAATCTGATCACTCTGTCACAGGCGAGTTTCCAGTTGATCCGATTGGTGGTCATGCTTTCCATTCTGGTGTAATATTTAACGCGGTAATCTAATCCTTGCTAACTCCGCGGACTTTCCGTCCAGGCAAAACAAAAGTACATACACAAACGGGAGGAGTAGAGTTGTATCCCCAATTCGCATTGCTATAGATGAATCAGGTAAATTAGCTTCCTACGCTCGCTCAAGCCCAATCCCCCGTGAATTGCAGCGTCTTCCCTGACTCGATGTCGTTCAAGAGGCCCTGGATGGTCCACGGCTGGTATTCATACCCAGGTGGAATATTCGTGGCCTTGAACGGCGTCCCTTGAAATAAGTGTGCGACAATGTTGCCATAGTTGGCATATGCATAAGCCTCTGGATCATGGTCTGCCCACTTGCCTATGTGTGTCTTATATATGGCCTGGTCGGCCTCGACAGCCGCGAACTTGGTATTGTTCTGACGCTGGTGGTTTATGAACCCCAGCAGCTGGAAACAGGCAGTGCGCTGGAATCTACAGAACTTCTTGTCAGCGCGACTCGCGAGTAGTCTCAAGAAGGGGAGTCTCCTCCACTCACCGAAGCTTGGTGTGGACTTTGGTCGCGAGACCGATGTTACTCTTCCCGCCAATCTGGAGGCAAGTAGCCAAGGAGATGGCGTCCTCCATGGCCTGTGTAGCACCGTTGCCAGAAGATGGGAGGAACGTGTGGGCGCTGTCTCCCACCTGGATCACACGGCCATGAGGCGACGCCCAGTTCTCCCGGGGGTCGCGCCACATGAGCTCCCAGTCGATGATGCCGTCCTTGGGTGTCTTCTTCATCAATCGGGTGGCTATCTCGGGAAATCCAGGAATCTGAGCCGTTATTTCAAGGACCTTGTTGACATCGATGTGATGGCTCCAAGACTCGTAGCCTGTATTGGTCCCCTAGGTTTGCCGTATCAGACGATGATTGTCACCCAAGTATAGGAAATCAAAGCTCACCTTGTGAGTCATGTGCCAAGCAATGAGGTCAGTGTATCTCTGAACGCCGAAAGAGAGCCCTTCCCTGCGAGTGAATACCGTCAGCGTCAATCGTGTCTTATTCTGCTAAAGCTCGACTCACCCTAGCCACATCTCAACAAGTGGGCGCGAACCATCATACAAAGGCCATCGTGCCGCAATGTCAGGATCCTCCATAGCGAGTTCGATGGGAAACGCAGTACGAAGAATGGAGAATCCACTTGGGTAAGCTCGAATGTCGTGGCCACTTACGAGGTTATGACTCTTGGTGCCCACACCATCAGCAGCAATGACAACATCAGCCTTGAGCTTACTGCCATCCTGGAGGATGACACCTGCTTCCTTTGCCTCCTCGTCTTCGAAGTAGTCAGTGACGCGGTGACCATAACTCACTTCAACGCCGACACTTTTGGCTTGGTCCAAAAGGGCGGCGACGAACTTGGGTCGGTTGTGGCGATGCCACTTGACGGTTCTCTCTGTACCGTCTGGGTGGGTGTATGTGACATTGACAAACGATGGTTCTTCGGGCTCAGAGACACGCTCTCCAGTGATTTTATGGTAAGCAATCAGTCCGGTGTAGTTGATCCTGTCAAACTCCTCGGCTAACTTGGGCCAATGGAGCTGGAAGTGACGAATGACTTGGCTGCCAATTGTGAAAAAGTCCCCTGTCGAGAGCATAGAGTATTAGTGTCGATTTTGCATGGACATGTATAACTCCACATCAGCCGGAGAGAAAGACGATCTACCTTCAGTACTTGGGGATGGGACCCTCTCAATGACACGAACATCGTGGCCTTTGCGTCTGCATTCGAGCGCCGACATGAGGCCTGCCACTCCGGCACCTACAATGAGAACGGAGAGACCCGTTGGTGGGTGGAACTTGACTTTGTCATCCGGGATGAGCATGTCCGTGTGCTTGAGATCTTTGCGAAGAGACATCCTGAAGGTATGTAATGGGCTTGGTTTGTTGAGTGTAATGTTTAGTTGGCTGATATTGGGAACGAGGTGAAGTGACTGAGGTGAGGGTAGCAAAGTAAACCTTCACCACCATGATTTATATAGGAAATCCCCATGATAGCCATCCTGAATATTCCGATGACGAATTATCTGATAATTGAAGATTTACATCAATCTTCCCACACTGAAGCGAAGCAATTGGCGAAGAATTCCGGATTGGCTGCGCCGCCAACCGCATAGATGCTGAAGCCGACAGAGCCAATCGGATGCCGTCTTTCGCGTACGCTAAAGGAAAGGTAGAGATCTTATGCGGAGTGAGACAGAGGTACGAATCCCCTGGCTTGTTCGGCCCTCTATCCAACATGTACTGTTCTATAATTGGCTTAGAATACAACTGAAATGCTACGTTGCCGCATGAGATGTGCAAGACGCTGGTTTGCTTTCCATGCCAGCTGAAAGGGATTAGTTCTTTTGGCATCTTAACTGCTTGACTGCTCACCGTGAGATGGGTTTGGATGGCGCAGACCAAAGCTCCACATGGAATATCATCCCTGTAGCGCGAGTACGTGGACTGAGCAAATCCTCGCAACTCACCTCAACCGCCATGAAGCTGATTCACTGTGCCAGCGGGCGCATCGAGAGCGACTGGGCAGAGGGCGTGCCCCCTCCGTATGCCATCCTGTCCCATACCTGGGCCCAGCCGCGGGATGGCTCCCCCGGCGAGGTGTCCTACCAAGATTATGTGATCGGTCGCAAGGCCTCGCCGTCCCGGAACTGGGACAAGATAGACAGGGCCATCCAGATCGCCATCGAGGACGGGCTTGAATACATCTGGATAGACAGCTGCTGCATCGACAAGAGCAGCAGCGCGGAGCTGAGCGAGGCCATCAACTCCATGTTCCAGTGGTACTCGGCCGCCGCCGTCTGCTACGCCCACCTGGAGGATTACGATAAGGAGGCCAAGGGCAAACTGGCGGGCTGCAAATGGTTCTACCGCGGGTGGACGCTGCAGGAGCTCATTGCCCCGGCGAGGGTCGAGTTCTACGACAAGGACTGGAGGAACCTTGGATCGCGCCAGAGCCTGAGCGATGCAATTGCCGATATCACCAATGTGGACAAGGAGATCCTTCTAGCAGACAGTGTAGAGACGACCAGTCGATTTCTGTATCAGGCACCGATCGCGAAGAGGTTCTCCTGGGCAAGCAAGCGCGCAACGACCAGGCCGGAGGACCTGGCATATTGCCTGCTGGGGATATTCCAAGTCAACATGCCGCTGCTGTACGGCGAGGGACGCAGAGCCTTCATTCGGCTGCAGAAAGAGATCATGAAGGACAGCGACGACCTCACCATCTTCGCCTGGCAAGCTCCTCCCGGCTATAAAGAGTCAATGTCCGAGTTCCGTGGTATTCTAGCAACTTCCGCGGATGAGTTCTCGCTCCCGGCTGAGGTTATGCCCACCCATGCAGCGGGCTTCAACCCAAGTTTTGAAGTGACGAACAAGGTGAGCGTAGTATTTGGTACTACCAACAAACCAATCCAAAGACTGACTTGATTCTGTAGGGTTTGAAAATTGACGTGCCCCTCAAGACAACAGCCAACAGTGAAGACATGTGGATGTCGTTGAATTGCCGGTATGGATTCGAGCATGCGACTCTTGGAGTGCTCCTCCGATATCAGGGCGCCAACCGCTATATCCGTTCCAAACCACAGCTTCTCGAGTTTGAGCCGCCTGGAGAGTGGACACGGCCAGGACAGATCTTCATCATCCTGGACACCGCTGTGGCCATCACTAGGATTCTGGAGCCAAGTGCAGTCCATCAGAACTCGTTTGCGTTTTCGCTGAACGAGTACCGTCTTCAGATGGTCTCAGTCTCCCACCCCGACCGCTGGTACCAACCAAAGAACACCATGAATACATATGGAGAACCTAATTTCGTCGGCTGCTACTTCTTCCGGACACGAAAGACCTTGGTCCTGCTGGAGACGGACATTGTCCTGGCATTTGGAGTTGGGCCTAGTGGCGTGCCCTGGGCATGTCTTGGGATCGGCAAAGGCCGCAAAGCCAGCGCGGGAATGCAAGGAAAGGTCGAGATGACCACAGACCTGTATGATGCGGCCGTCGAGGAGAAATGGGACAGGGTCCGCCAGCTTGGCACGACGCAGCAGATTCACGGGATCCGGATCTACCATTCGGTGGATGGGCGCGGTAAATGGGGCCTGTTCGCCTCGGTCGGCCCCCTGGAGATGGTTTCTAAAGAAGGAATCTATAGCGTGAAGATAGGATGTGAGCCTTTTAGCGATAGCTCGTTTGCTCCTGGGCTCAAGGGGGCGCTGAAGCCAGTATGATACTCTGGCCATGGTTCCGAAACTACCACTTTCATCTACGGTAGATACTGGTACTATCGCGCTACCGCCAGTGAAGGTTGTAAGAGAAGGCTTATTTTACTGTTGAAAACCTTCCCCAGACTTTACTGAGTGTACTAATTGATGTGGATAATCCATTATTTACTGGTTGATTATGAGTGATCATTGGTCTTGAAGATCTGGTTGAAGGTCTGACAGCGGCCAAGTCACGATGCATTTCGTCATTTTAATTGAACGTGGCTCTCATTTTCAAACTCCCACTTGTCTCTCTCACCTTGAGTAAATGGCCGACTTAACTAGTCCCTTGGCCAGCCCGTCATCTGAACCTGGAAACTCCATGCCTTTAGTCCTCCAGATGGTGGATGATAGGTGTAGGGTAGCTCAACGTAGCGCAATCACTGCGCGGTGCAGGACCTAGAAACATCTCGTGAGAATGAATAGAGTTTTTTTCGCCGGTGGTCAAATGACTCACCTCTTTTCTTGCTTTACAACTTGCCTCAATTTTGACTGCCTTGACTTCAGATATCAGCTATGTCTGCTCCAACAAATAGGTGTGTGCCCGCTGAAACCTCACAGGAGAGGCGTCGCTTTAGCGCTACGCCCACTAATTCCAGCGCTCTCTCAGGCTCACCTCAATCACATATTCAAGGTTGTGACCATTCACTTATTACGAACTGTTCATCAGTTCTTCGATGGCATCGAGAGAGATCAAACTCTACATTTCTAAGAAAGAAGTCGATGATCACTCGGCTGCTGGATACCTTCCCAACTGCTTCGCTAGGCGACACTGTGGTCAATGACTGTCCGGTTTCCCATTACCAACACCATGGATCGATTGACACCTTGGATGAATGGCGACTGCCTTCATGTTTGCCTGCGATGAAATATTACGCTAAGCCGTGTATTGAACTAGCTGAAGTTACTCTGGATTTGCTGCGCCTCATAGATTGCATGGTTATCGGACCTTCTCATTGTCTGGGCCTCTACATATTACATCCCAGACGCCCATCATCATTCGGCTTCCCCATCATGCACATAATCAAATTATAATCGTATTATACTCAGCTCGTCACTTGTAATTGCCCATACTAGAAGAAGTGACCTAAATCAGCCCTGACAGGATAACGTGCCACCCCATTCCGGCTGTCGTTATATCACAGGCGGACGCCCGGCATATCTCCCTCGCTTCAAGACCGACCTTCATATACGTCTCATCGACACCGTCTCTCGATCCACCCTCACCCAGATCATTATTAATCCAAGCATGGATGAGCCAGTTGACGGGATTGAATACGCATTGACTCTGGTCGGCGGAGTTTCCGTGGTTGCCTTCACATGCACTTCGCCAACCGCATCATCAAGGGCGTTGTCAAAGGGCGTAAAAGGGCCAAGTTGGATCACCACGCAAGGGGAAGCCTACTGCTATCATTCAGCAATCGCTCCGTGCGTCAGATGTCTGGACGGAGTATTGGGAACGTCCCGGCTGGAGAGACCATCATTGTAAAGATCATTAAATTTAGCGAGCTGAAACATGATGCTAAGATCAATGGAGCGCGGCCAGTGGGAGGTTACGGAATGGGAGTAGGCTACTTCTTTGTTTGGCGGGAGACTGTCGGCTGCACCATGCCATGTTGTGCCCGCTTCCCCATTGAAGCTGCGCCTGACGGTGAGGCGGAAGATGCCCGATCCCGAAGCTAAGCACGAAGAGCGAAATCCCCAAGACGTCGAATACGACCTGTGCAGTGGTACCCACTAGGTAGTTTAGCATTAAGATATGAGTCTCCCCTTTCCTTAGATCTTCACAGGTATCTTATACACGGGCTCTACGGGGCATTGACCTTGGCACTGCCTTCGGCATCGTGCTCGGTTTCGGTATCGCAGACTAGATCCCCGGATCGCCGGAGTCAACAACGAGCAACGTATACTAGGAAAAGACCATATTTAATAGAATTCATGAAAACTAAGCAAATAGTAAGAGCAAGATGTTGAGCTTTAACCTATGCTTGTGTCATTTTGCTCGGTTCAATTTGACGGTCATTCGCTTTTTCTCTTTTGCTATATCTGGTACGCCCATGCGCACATCGTCACCTTCGTTATGCTTCAGTTGCATTTGTAATTCACTAAAGACATAAATCAGACGGAATATGTCTGGGAATTCTAATTCCTATCATAGTCCATACTTGGAGGACAACATCGATCAAAATGCTGGGCAAGATAGTTCCAGTGGTTTTTACGAGGACAACTCTTACTCGCGAAGCGGGTACGGGCCCGATGATATGAATTCTTATTGGGACCATAAGTTAGTATAATTGGCTGTGATGGCGGCTATAGAGCTCACTGTTATTCTAGAGACGGCTTCGAAACGGATTCCAAACATTCATGGCAACAAAGGTCGCATTATTACGAGGACGAGTACTACAGTCAGGATAGGCAATCTTATCTTGAGTATCACGGCGAAAATACTGATCAGGCCAATTCATATCTGCCTAGACATGACTCCGCTACATACTCGACTACAACCTCCGAAGCCTTCCGCAACGACGGCTCTGTTGACTACGATGAGATCGACTGCTTGCCTCGAGCACACCCGTCACGAGAGCCATATCCTGCATGGGCGTCTGACCCAGATCTACCAATAACAGCTGAGGAGATTGAAGGAATTTTTATAGATCTGGCGGACAAACTTGGCTTCCAACGGGATAGCATGCGCAACATGTTTGATCACTTTATGACCCTTCTCGACTCCCGAGCCTCACGCATGCCCGCCGAGAAGGCGTTGGTATCGTTGCATGCAGACTACATCGGCGGTCACAACGCCAACTATCGAAAGTGGCACTTTGCGACATATCTCGACATCGAGGCTGCCGATTCAAAGGCAAGTGACGGCAACGTGCCTAACGAGTCAGAAGAAGCCACATCGATTGACGAGAACCTCAAAATGGCCGAGGAGCGGTGGAACAGTCGCATGCAGGGTCTGACTCCCCAAAGGCGCGTCATTCAGCTTGCCCTTTTTCTCTTGTGCTGGGGAGAAGCGAACCAAGTCCGCTTCATGCCAGAGTGCCTCTGTTTTATCTTCAAGTGTGCAGAGAGCTTCCTCGACGCCTCAGAGGCACCCGTGGAGCCCGTGGACGAATTCTATTTTCTCAATAATGTCATTACCCCAATCTACCACTTCCTTCGAAACGAAGGCTACAAGATTCGCGATGGAGTCTACGTCCGCCGCGAGCGGGATCACGACAAGGTGATTGGTTACGATGATTGCAATCAGCTCTTCTGGTACCCCGAGGGTCTTCGACGTATTGTTCTAAACGATAAGGCCAGGTTTGTTGACTTTCCAGTCTCCCAACGCTACCTCAAGTTCAAGGAAATCAACTGGAGCAAGTCCTTCCTGAAAACCTACAAGGAGTCGCGCTCGCTAATGCACCTCGTCGTCAACTTCAACCGAATATGGATCATCCACTTGACTATTTTTTGGTTCTATACTGCTTTTAATGTACCGTCTTTGATCGTTGGACCAGACTACGAGCAGCAGGTGAATCAGTCACCTTCTAAAGCCAAAGCCATGTCTGCTGTTGGCTTCGGCGGCGCGATTCCACCTCTTATCCAACTTCTTGCGACAAGCGCCGAGTGGTTATACGTACCGCGGCGATGGCCTGGAGCCCAACCTGTTGGCTTGAAGATTGTCATGTTGCTCGTGGTCCTCGCCCTCAACGTCGCCCCCGGCGTTAAAGTCTTTGTTTTTCCTGGCCCCAAAACGTTAGATTACTATCTCGCTATGGGTCACATTGCCATTGCAACACAGTCCTTTGCCTTTTTAGCAATCATGCCATCCGGGAACCTATTTGGCAACTTGTTCAGGAAGAAGTCGCGTCGCCCGACGGCCAACGAAGTCTTTACCGCAGACTACGCAACCCTGCATGGAAACAACAGGGTCTTCTCTTACCTTTTCTGGATGCTCATTTTCGGTGCCAAGTTCGGCGAGTCGTATGTCTTTCTCGCTCTGTCGTTCCGGGATCCGGTCAGGTACATGTCCATTATGGACGTGGATAGTTGCCAAGGAGACAGGCTTTTCGGGTCGATTCTCTGCAAACACCAGCCGACAGTACTTCTTGCGGTTATGATGATGACGGACCTGATCTTTTTCTTCCTTGACACGTATCTGTGGTACATTCTTGTCAATACGGTCTGTTCCGCGCTGCGCTCCTTTTACATTGGCTCTTCGATCTGGAGTCCATGGCGAAACATTTTTCAACGCCTTCCCAAGAGGATCTATCTCAAGGTCCTGGCCACGCGTGAGATGGAAGTCCGTTATAAACCCAAACTGCTGATATCCCAAGTCTGGAATGCCATTATCATCTCCATGTACCGCGAACATCTCTTGTCAATTGAGCATGTGCAGAAGCTCCTCTATCATCAAGTGCCTTCGGACAGGATCGGCAAACGGACATTACGAGCGCCAACTTTCTTCGTTGCTCAAGGTGATCATTGGTTTGAGAGTCAATTCTTTCCTAAGAATAGCGAGGCCGAACGCCGCATTTGCTTCTTTGCTCAATCTCTATCGACACCTATCCCAGAACCAATGGCCGTGGATGAAATGCCAACCTTTACCGTTATGATCCCGCATTACAGCGAGAATATCTTATTTTCACTCCGAGAGGTCATTCGCGAAGAGGACCAGTACTCCCGCCTAACGATGCTCGAATATCTCAAGCAACTATATCCCCATGAATGGGCTTGTTTCGTCAAAGACACAAAGGCGTTGGCTGGGGATCATGATTCGTCTGAGGGCTCTGACTCTGACGCGGCTAATCATAGCCGTCAAGTTAACAATCTCCCTTTCTATTTCCTTGGCTTCAAGTCATCCGCCCCAGAATACGCGTTGAGGACTCGAATCTGGGCTTCCCTACGGGGTCAGACCTTGTATCGAACAGTGTCAGGCTTTATGAACTACAATCGCGCCATCAAGCTACTCTATCGAGTGGAGAACCCAGATATGGTCCAGCTCTTCCATGGACATGGAGAGAGTTTAGAACGCGAGCTTGAACGCATGGCCAGACGCAAGTTTCGCATAGTTGTAGCGATGCAGAGGTATGCCAAATTCAAACAGGATGAGCTGGAAAATGCCGAATTCTTGCTACGTTCCTATCCCGATATTCAGATTGCATATCTCGACGAAGAGCCAGCTGAAAATGAGGGAGACGAGCCACGTATTTATTCGGCCTTGATCGATGGGCATTCTGAGTTACTCGAAAATGGTATGAGGCGCCCGAAATTCAGAGTCCAGTTATCCGGCAACCCTATCTTGGGCGACGGAAAGTCTGATAACCAAAATCATGCCTTGATTTTCTATCGCGGCGAGTACATTCAGCTCATTGACGCCAACCAAGATAATTACCTTGAAGAATGCCTCAAGATCCGCAGCGTCCTCGCAGAATTCGACGAGATAAGTACCGTCTCTGGCTATAGTAACGATGCCAAGGAAGAAATCCCTGAACCTATCGCCATCGTGGGCACTCGGGAATACATCTTCTCTGAGAATATCGGAATCCTGGGCGATATCGCTGCCGGCAAAGAGCAAACCTTTGGTACTCTTTTTGCACGTACTTTGGCCCAACTAGGCGGAAAGCTACACTATGGCCACCCCGACTTTCTAAATGGCATCTTTATGACAACCCGAGGTGGCGTCTCCAAGGCTCAGAAAGGCCTCCATCTGAACGAAGACATCTACGCTGGTATGAACGCAGTTATACGCGGCGGCCGGATTAAACATTGTGAATTCTATCAATGTGGTAAGGGCCGGGACCTAGGCTTTGGTTCCATTCTCAATTTTGTTACCAAGATCGGAACAGGCATGGGGGAACAAATGCTCTCGAGAGAATACTACTATCTCGGGACACAGCTTCCCCTTGACCGCTTCCTGTCGTTTTACTACGCGCATCCTGGATTTCATATCAACAATATTTTTATTATGGCTTCGGTTTACATGTTTCTTATCAGCCTTCTTAATCTCGGCGCGATTCGGCATGAAACTATCAGTTGCAAGTACAACCGGGACGTCCCAATCACAGACCCATTGTTCCCTACAGGCTGTGTCAATACCGACGCTTTGATGGATTGGGTCTATCGATCCATCTTGTCCATCTTCTTTGTGTTTCTCATGTCTTTTGTTCCTTTGACTGTGCAAGGTTTACTGGAATCTGATCCCTGGCGAGCAGCCCTCCGCTTTATCAAACACGTTGTCTCTTTGTCCCCGTTTTTTGAGGTGTTTGTGTGCCAAGTCTATGCCAACTCGGTACTACAGAACCTCTCTTTCGGAGGTGCCCGGTATATTGGCACGGGACGAGGGTTTGCTACGGCTCGGATTCCATTCAGTGTCCTATATGCACGTTTTGCTGGCCCATCCTTGTATTTTGGCTCGAGGCTATTCTTGCTGCTCCTATTTGCAACAATGACAGTGTGGCAGGCAGGTCTGGTGTGGTTCTGGGTCACCGCATTTGGCCTCATATTTTCACCTTTTCTTTACAATCCTCACCAATTTGCTTGGGACGACTTCTTCATCGACTATCGTGAATTCCTCCGGTGGCTGTTCAGAGGACATGCTCGCTTCCACGGCTCGTCGTGGATCACCTTCTGCCGCTTATCCCGGATCCGAATCACCGGATTCAAAAAGAAGAACCTGGGCGACCCTTCCTCTAAGCTCTCTGGGGATATCCCTCGCGCCCCTTTTCTTTCTATTCTTTTCAGCGAGATTTTGCTTCCATTGTTGTCGGTTATTATGACAACACTGCCATATCTCTACATTAATGCACAGACAGGCGTGCTCGCAGAGAATAATAAGGGATCCAAAATTAGACCCACAGATTCTCTCATTCGTCTTTTGATCATGGCCTTCGCACCAATAGCCATCAATGCCGGGACGTTGGCTGTCATGCTATGTCTTAGCTGTCTTACAGGACCTCTCCTTGGTCTCTGTTGCAAACAGTTTGGCAAGGTCCTAGCATCTATTGCATATAGCATATCAGTCTTTGGATTAATCATTTCTTTTGAGGCATTTCTCTTCCTTGAAGGATTCAACTTTGTCAGAGCCCTTGCTGGAATGATTGCCGTTGCTTCGTTGCAGATGTTGATACTCAACATCATCATCTCAGTAACATTGACTAGGGAGTTCAGGACCGCCTCTTCCAACTCGGCCTTTTGGACAGGGCAGTGGTACTCTTTAGGGCGCCATTCTGTCACTGCACCATTCCGGGAACTCGTCTGTAAGATCACAGAGTTGAGTATGTTTGCGGCCGACTTTCTATTTGGGCATCTGCTTCTTTTCGGAATGCTGCCGGTTATACTCATTCCCGGCATCGACAAAATTCATACCACCATGCTCTTTTGGTTACTTCCAAGGTAAGTTTTGCTCTCCGTTTGCTCTTTACGTGCACTAAACGTTTTTACTTAGTAAACAAATACGCGGACCAATACATTCGATGAAGCGATCAAAGCTGAGGAAGCGGCGGGTCATTCGGTTCGCGATCGTATACTTTTTCTTTCTGCTTTTAGGAATTGGCCTCATTCTCGCACCTTTGCTGGCAGGCAAGTACATCCCTGCCAGTATTTCCAACGTCTTTGACGACGTGGCTGGGTTCCGCCTACTGCAACCTCATGGCCAAGACAATGACAACACAAACGGGACCCAGCAGACCGGTACTGGTATGGTTGGCTATACTGGAGCTGGGTTTACCTCTGGCACATCAGGACATGCATTGACAGCAGGAGTTACGGGTAAAATTAAACTTTTTTAAGCGCGAAGACATGTACATAGATGTATATTTAAGGCACTGCCAAAACAGCTCTCTTCAAATATGTGAAAAATGACACTGGGGCTGGGACGATCATAGCGACAGCTTGCGCAGTTACGTTGCTGAAGAGGAGATTAGCAGCGGATAAGAAGTTGCGGGAGCTGCTGGACTATAAAGCAGAGACTTGACTATGTGGAAAGGTCGGGGAGAATGTCGAGGAATTGTTCAAGGCCGTGGAGCAAGCGATGGGATTCTAGTTTGATCTAGATTACTTCTTGCCCATATCATCTTTTCAGAGTTGGTCGTCTACGTCTGTTGAAGAACCCTCGCTCAACTCGACTCTCTTTTTCTCCCAACTCGGGGGACGTAAAACAGAACCTGGACCCGGGATGAATAAATGAGTGCTCGTGGCGTTACTTTGGGCCGCCCATCCTACTAAGTCGCCACTTCTTGGCATCTGCCTTGTCCCGTTTATTGTCCACGGAGAATAGAGTAAACTGACCTGGGGTGGTACCCAAAGGGAAGGTTACATCGGAGAGGATTTCTGATCCCTGTATTCGCTTCTAGGGTATCTGCTGACATGAAGCATCGTAGTTTGTTCATGAGGCCATTGTATAGGCAGTATTGTAATTCTTGTGCGATATATTCTGGAAGAGATATTGGTAAGGCACATGTCGAACTACTTAAACACATGCCGGTGCCCGCCAGTTCCAAAAACCTCTCCAATGCCCTAGCGTTCTTGTGGTCAAGGCTTGAGCCACAGTGGTTCACGATGAAACAGTCTCTTTGGCTTCTGGCCACTGGTTTGGTGGTGGCTCAGGCCCATTCACAACGCTCCAGACCAAACACCGACGCCAACCTCCAAAGGCGCGGCATCAATATTGACAAATATTTACTTCTTGACATTAGCACTTACACCGAGGCTGCTTCTCTCGCTGGTGTCATGCTGTCAACTGTTGGCTCTGGTTATATTGAAACTGCTACAAACCTTGTCAAAAGCGTGTTCCCTACCATCGATTTCCGTCTTGTCGATGATCACTATGTGGGAACAAACGCCATGGCCCATGTGAACTTCAAACAAACCTTGCACGGGATTGATATTGATAACGCCGACTTTCATGTCAATGTATGGAACATTAATTCCTGATAAACCGCTTTCTCACTAATATATAATTGTTTAGGTTGGACCGGATGGAAATGTCTTTTCGTATGGACACAGTTTCTTCAGCGGCTCACTCCCTCAAAATCCCCCGCGACAGAAGCGGGACACCGATGATGTTGTCCAGGCTCTGAGAGGCGCCGTTGATATTCTGGGCCTCCCCGTTCAGATACCACCCGATACTGCAGCCGTTCCGAACTTGGTTGAGTCTACCGTCTACTCGGTTATTGGGACCTTAGGTGCTGAACGAGACCCCGAAGCACGTCTCGTATATCTTCAATACGGAAACGAGGTCAGACTTACCTGGCGCGTTGAGACTGACGTCGTAGAGAACTGGCTGCTTACATATGTCGATGCTTCTTCAATGAACGAGATATTGGGCGTTGTTGATTACGTGTCTGACATGGCGAGCTATCAAGTCTATCGGTGGGGGGTAAATGACCCCGATGAGGGTTCACGCACTACTGTCATGGAACCTTGGCTCTTATCTGCCTCTCCGTTCACCTGGATTAGTGACGGCACTAACAATTATACCACAACGCGTGGAAACAATGGAATTGCACAGGTAAACCCTTCCGGGGGCTCGTACTACCTCGACAATTATCGACCTGATTCTCCGGAGCTTCAGTTCGAGTACCCTTATTCGCCGGATCAGACAGACCCCGTTGAGTACAGGAATGCATCAATTACTCAGCTGTTTTACACAGCCAACATGTTCCATGATCTCCTATGCACACTGGGTTTTACGGAGGCTGCCGGGAACTTTCAGGTGAATAATAACGGTCAAGGCGGCAAAGGAGATGATCCTGTGATTCTTGACGCGCAAGATGGCTCTGGATCCAATAATGCGTACTTTGCTACCCCACCAGATGGAAGCCCTGGACGAATGACGATGTTGATGTATACTTGGACCCCTCCTGAGCGTGATAGCAGCTTCGAAGCCGGCGTGGTTATACATGAATACGCTCATGGTCTTTCCAACCGACTCACAGGCGGTCCAACAAACTCCAACTGCTTTGGCGGTGAAGAATCAGGCGGCATGGGCGAGGGCTGGTCCGATTTCTTCGCCACTGCTGTCCGTATCAAACCCAATGACACTCGAGACACGGACTATCCTATAAGTGCATGGGTCAATGATTGGGCTCCCGGCATCCGCGCATATCCATACTCGACCAGTATGACTACGAACCCGCATGTCTACTCTAATATTGATAAAATGGGTGGTGAACCCCATAGCATCGGTGAAATCTGGGCCAGCGTTCTGTATGAGATCTTGTGGAACCTCATAGATAAATATGGCAAGAATGATGGGGACTTTCCAGACTTTGACAGCAATGGTGTCCCCACTGATGGCAAGTTCCTTAGCATGAAGATTGTCTTGGACGCCATGGCGCTGCAACCTTGCTACCCGGCCTTTATTCAAGCTCGCAAGGCTATCATCGATGCGGATAAAGCCTTGACTGGGGGAGCTAATTATTGCGAGCTCTGGGCCGGATTTTCCAAGCGTGGGATGGGTCCTGATGCAACTAATTCTACGTATAAGCCTCGCATGGACGACTTCAATCTACCAGTAGGCTGCTTGAATTGAGGCTTTGCTAGATGAAATTGATTAGTTGACAATCAACGGATGATGATGACTATGATACAAATACTGTGTTAGACTTTTGGATCAATATCGATCTGACACCTTGGCTTTCTTACGCTACATAGGAACGTAGTATATAAAGGGGCTCGGATAACCTTTTCCATTCATAATGATGAAGTAAGAAATATTTCTTTGCCTTTCAAGAGGGAAAGGAGAGATGGATTTGCAATTGGATTGTACACAATAGAAGGTCACCTGGCAGGCATAGGCGAGAGCCGAGCCCGAGTATCCGGAAAAACATTGTTCGGTAACCTTAAAGTGCAACGAGATCGAGCTGAACGGAGATATGAACGGTGGCTTAGAGTAGTTCGTTGTTCTAAATGTAGCATCTGCCAGCCTAAATAGAGCCTGCCCCTTTGTTCAAGGTTTAACGAATCCCTTGCATGAATGTTCGGCTAGTTGTTCGCTAGTTCCAACCTGCTCATCCACTGATGGACAAAGGAATGTTCTCCGGAAGTGCCGTATCAAAGCATCCTGGTTCAAATGGTTTGGCATGTGCTCTGGTGAGATGTATAATAATCACGAATTGTCTTCTCAGTTTGCTTTTCCCTTCAGCATATTGAACAAACGACTAAGTGGTAGGCTTCAACATCGGTCGCTATGTGAAGAAGATACATGCTTCGTACTAGTCAAGCCACAATACTTCTGGAGAGCTGATCCAATTCCACCGAAGATCGACAAAACATGTGATCTGGGCTCGGCCTCCGCGACGTTGTTCTGGACCTTCGAGGCTGTGCCGATGCTCCACACACTCGGCTTCAGCCTTACTGTCCTTTCTCCTTGGGGAAGTGTCGGCGTTTAGATTTCGTTTCGACGCTGCCGTAAGTGCCTAAATTCCATATTGAGTTTTGAATTCAGCCTTGCGTAGGTCTAGAGTGAGCACCTCCAACGGCTCTTTAACGCGCGTTCATCCGTTTCAACTGTAAATTCATCAGCATTCATCGTGCGGCTCACAGCTTTTTCCATATAAGACTTTCTGATGTGTATGGAACGCCGTAAATTGACTCTACTGAATTGATTCAGTATCTAACTTCTTGTACACACAGTCATGCTGTCTCTGAACATATTGAAGGCGCTTTGCGCTGTATTTGCCTTGGCCATTCCTCACGCGGCAGCACAAACTTCTACGGACCCCTGCGCTGCGGTAGCAACCGCACAAGCCAAAGCCTTTAATAACAACATACCCAAAGATGGAGATCTTGTCCTCTCGGCTCTGTTCGATGCCGATACAGCATACAAGTGCGTTCTCTCCGTGCCGTTCAACAAGGACCATGCCCTCCAAATACTCGACCTTGCGATGCAATACGCCGGTTTCCAGACCACCCTCGCCTACCTAAAGAACCCTCCCCAGTCATACCTACAGGCTCCCATTGACGTTATAGACCGATTCAACCAGATTCGGCAAAAGATCAACGGGAACAAGTACCCAAATTTATACGCCTTCGACTTGGATATGCTTGCCATCGTGCGTGACACTCACGAGGGGCACTTCTCACTCCCTACCGGTGTTCTGAACCTATTCAAGTGGTCACTCCCAGACACGCTTGTGTCGTTCTCCAAGGACGGCAAGGAAATTCCACAGGTGTATTCTGCGCAAGACGTGTTTGGGAATGTTTCTAATCCATCACCGGTGGTGCAGCTCGGAGGACAATCCGTCTTCGAGTATCTAAGAAGCTATGCTTCCAACACAAGCGATTTGGGTCTGGTTGAGCCACATGCCGAGTGGAATGTCATTATGCAAAATTCGGCATATTCATTTGGCGCGTCCGGCTCAGACGATTATCAGTCGTATTATCCCGGTTACTTCGAGAGCACCCCCGTTTACAATGGCCCCTCCATCGCGGGTTCATTTGCGAATGGCACTCGTTTCGAGTGGAAGTACCAGGCAGGCTCCAATCAGCTTCTAGGGCAAGGCAACTTGACGAGTGGGCAGGACATTTATGACAACTATGTGATGAATCCCGATTTTGGCTCTAACGACTCTAACAAAAAGAGAGCTGCAGGGCCCTTCGACCCTCGCAAACTTCCAGGAAGTCCAGTCGTTAAGAGAGATACTCCGGCAGTGAGCGCAACGGCGGTGCCTCTTCCAAACTATCCCAAAAACCCGATTGTTATACAGGCCAACTTTTCTTCTGGCGGTATAGTCTCCGGTTATATTCTCGAATCCGACTCCATCGGCGTCCTTAGTATACCCAGCTTTACCGCCCAGGATGGAAAGGCAGACCCTCTCAGCTTCCACGATGCCGTCGCTGGCTTTATCAACCAAGCCTCATCCAAGGGGATGAAGAAGGTTGTGATCGATCTTTCTGGAAATGGCGGCGGCAACGTGAACCTCGGCTACGATACGTTCAAGCAGTTCTTCCCATCTGGCCAGCCCGGTTCCGCTGTCCGAGCCCGCGTCACTCCTCAGGTGAACACTTATGGATCGATCGTGACTGGAATCGCCAGAGACAACGGCACATTCTTTGATAGCGACGTCAAATCGAGCTTTGCTGCCGTAACCCTTGGCGCTGGCCAGGTCAACGCCGACTATACTCTGAACCAAAACCGATCAGCCTGGAAGTCGTGGGGATCCTTCTGCACTCCCCAACCCATCCATGGAGACAACTTCACCAAACTCGCGACGTACAACTTGACTGACCCGCGAACGACTGCCGATCTCGGATTTCAGATGGCCAACACCAATAATTCGCAAGCATCTCCGGCCGCGCCCTGGGCGGCAAGTGATATCATTATCCTTCTGGATGGGTATTGTGCCAGCACATGCAACATCTTTGTGGATCTCATGAAGAACGATGCCGGGGTGAAGACTGTTGCCGTGGGTGGTGTTCCCCAGAATAGCCCCATGCAGGGAGTAGCCGGCACTCGTGGAGCCAGCGTGGTGCCATGGTACCGGTACACAGGTCTGTCTGAAGCGATCGGCAGTCTCATTGCACAGGATCCCAACGATTCCGCAAAGGCGTTCACTGCGTTCGGATTGAATGCCAGTGACCTCAACGGGCTGCCACCACGAACCGACCAGGCGCCGTGGAACGTCAGGGAGGCGGGCATCAATGCTCTGGATATGATTCGGTTTGACAGCCCCCAGGAGCCTCGGCAGTTCGCCTATGAGGCAGCCAACTGCCGGCTGTTCTACACACGGGACATGATCCGAGATGTTTCTCAGGTGTGGCGCGCGGCTGTTCAAGTTGCTGGCGGTAACAACTCGCAGTGTGTGGAGGGGTCTGTGAACGCGCAAGGATCCGGCGTCAATGAGACAGTGACAACATCTGTTGGGTTCACTGCTGCTGACATTTGGAATGGTGCCGCTAATTCTACCAACGCCACCCAAAACAGTAGCAACACTGACTCATCTGGCTCAGACCACGGGGTCGGGATGGCTGGTTTGGTTGTTCTTCTATCGCTGATGGTAGCCCTCACATCTTAGAAGGAATAGTTCTTTGATCTGGACGTGTGTATAATAAATAGTCGGTGTTTAATGACGAGGAGGTGGTTATTTGGTTGTTACGTAGGGGCTGCTCATCGTTTTCTGCCCTATTAATTGGAAAAGGGGCAACTGAGAGGTTCGTCTTAATGTACAACAATGTTTCTTTATCCATGAACTTGGTTCCATTATCTCCGCTTGTGACCCAAGACTCCCGGCATATTATAATCCTTGCTCATGCGGGGAACAAGGAGGGATCTTGACCCACGAGTAAGCCATCATCCCCATCTCCAACCGAGGCACAATCCTTGTCCACGTGATTCGCGATCCTTCTTCTCTTAAAGGGGATAAAATCCAACAACATTGTGATCTGTTCATTTCTCTCTTTGAGCCATCTCGCAAGAAATCTGACGAAAATGCCCGTCTCACTCACAAGCCCTGGTGCGCTCAAGGCGCTCTACGCCGGAAATGCGGTATGTCATTGTTGCGATTCTTCTTGATGAATCCTAGCTTACTAGAATATTTGGTATTCATAGCTCTGGTTTTCAAGGTAAACAAAGAGTTAATGAAATGCATTTGAGGGTGCCACTCTGGAGTTCAATCACTGACGACAATCAGCGCCTTCGTCCACTTCGCTTTCCGACAAACATTCATCATGAATAAGTTGAGTAAGCGTAAGACCAGCGGTAATGAAGTCTTCAAGAGGATGGCACAAGGAGATGGCTGGCACCACGATATCCTGGCATATCTCGGCGCCATGAACACTTCACTGGCGGCGCTGGCTATCCTTCGTCTGTACGCCATGCTCCGACCCACGAGGGCTCTGTCGACCGGAACAGCCCACGGGGACATCCCATTGGACGTGCTCGCGTTGATTGTCCTTGGGCTCGGTAACGCCTCACAGGCTTGGATGAACTTCCGCACCGCTTTGACGAGTGATAGATGGACCATGGGCAAAGGATTCGATAGGATTACAGTCTTGGATGCCGTTTTTACTGTCCTTGACTGGGTCGCTGCGTTTGGAAAGGCAAGAATGCTCTAAGACGTTATGTAATCCTGTATTTGGAGAAAGCTTACGAGGCGTTACATTGAATCACGCATACTGAAACTAGGTATTGGGAAGGAGGATGACTCCTCAAGAGGAAGAATGGATTCCAAAGGTGTAATCTTTCAAGGTTCCCTTGGATGATGTACACAAGAGAATTAAGGAGGATATCGAGAAGGGTGTGTGGTCGCACACCACTGGAATGGTGAACTAGTGATATTATGTCGTTTCAACTTTCTTTAATCAAATAAACAAACCAAGAGGTAGTTATTTACCTTGTTTTTACCAGCAACACAAATATACGCACCTGGCAGGGGGACATTTAGTAACTCTGGCCAAATGGCCTGCAGTGAGGTCTACAATGAGAAAAGAAACACAATTTTAATCAGAATTCAAACCATAAGGGTTTCAACCGTGTTCATTACTTTTAAATTACCGAGTCGCTAAGAACAGAGCGCCTAGGTTCCACCAATGAGAGCATGTACCGACGGTCCTAACACCATCGGTGCGATTTATGTGTTAAATTGTTGGGCCTAGCATCTTCCGTTGCGATTTTTGCTTTGCACTCGACCCCTCGTCAGTGGTCAAGCAACCGCTTCAACAGTCTCCCGTCTAGATTCGTGCCAATGCACCCGCTAACAGCCGCAGAGAATTCTTCAGAGCTTCCCATCAGATCCTGGAAGCCCTCGCACTCCCACAGGTCGGTTATGATGCAGGCAGCGAAGAGGGTGACAAGCTCTCTCAGCTTATCGGGGGCTGGGTTATTAAAAGAAAACTGGAGCAGAGCTATAGCATCCGGGGCTATCTCTGAAATCGTCTCGAGGTCGTATAAATGAATCCCCAATTCTTTTTGGAGGGCTGTAAGAGCTAGTTGTTTCAGGGGCGGAATCATGTACTTGTCTGCTAACACACACACCCGGGCATGTTGGAGGAGCAGATCTGTGTATGAATTCACGACTACTCGCCTGCCCACCGATTTCGGTTGAGGGGGCGGCGATTCCTCTAAGTCCGCGAGGCGTAATGTTTGAAAATCGAGCCAAAGTCCTGCGGGGATTGTACAACCTGGCATTTTACAACCAGGCCTTTTACAACCAGGCAGCGTGCAAATTGGCAGTGTACGATCTGGCAGTGTACCTGCCTCTTCCTCTCTTTGATTTTTTGTCAACTATGTTATACTCTCCGACTGTGGGTCTTCTCTGTTTCACTTACCGAATCTTGGTTGCAGGGTGATCTTCACCTAGCCTTGAGATCAAGACAGGAGCAGCATAGCGTCCGGAATACAAAAAGTGCCAGAGACCAAGAAAAGCACCAGAGTCAACGTCTGTCCAATCCACAATTTTTTCTCCAGATTCCTGTAGCCCGTCATTCACCATGGCGTCGAGGGCTGACGAGTGGTTCGCGAGAACTGCGGAATGGATATGATACTCCTTCTTCTCGGGGCCTACGATGAAGCGGTAAACGCTCGAAGATGCAGCACTGTATAATTAGTAACATGTCTTCCCGTTGAGATAAGAACTAACTCACGCCTCGACAGATATCGCCTTCACGGCTTCTAGCTGAAAAATCGAAATGTCAATCATGGTGTTGGCGGCTGCGCGGCTTTAGGGTAAATCTTAGGTGACTTGATGCTTTGCTGCTGTTTGGAAAGTGAAGAAATTTGGAGACAAGCTGACAAACCAATAACACAGGAGTAACTAGCTTAGAACGAGGGGAAGTTGAAGCGTATAAATAGTCAAGAAAATTTACAATCGCGCTAACAGTAGTTTGTTTGTGTACAGTATATCTTTATGTAGACAGACAAACGCGCTATACTCATTTACTGTCGCAGTGAGACCGAATAGAAGTTTAATCAGTGGAAAGATAAAGGGCGGCATTGTGATTCTGTTATCTAAGTATGGTGAAACAGTCATTGATTGTGTTGAGATGTCGGGTCTGGCATGTTCCATTGTCGCTCTGTACTCTGTACTCGAACTCTCATCTGATAGTAAAGCAGTGCATAATGAATTCGCGAAAAAGTGCCCTTTAGCTTTCAACATCCTTATTTGATTGGAGGTTTAACATTCTTGGAAGGTTGAATCGGTTCGCAACATTCTTGTACTTATGCATCTCGCGAAAAGATGACGATGGTAATCGGATGTAGCTCCCCTTCTTCAGTCTCACTCCTGTTGATCCAGTCGACCCTCTCAGACTTTGTCCATCCTGGCACAACTAGATCTTCAGGATTGCTGCTATCAAAAGACTCTACTTCAACTGTACGCAGTGCAGTAAAGGATTTGTCCGTAAGAAGTGCACGAGGGACCACGTCACCACAAGGCGCGTCGGAGGCGCGGATATGGATCGATTCCAGCCGTGGAGGCAGACCATTTCTCAACTTGGCTGCTAGTTCATCCTCATCATCACGCGGAAAGTCTTCCTGGAGATCTTCACAGCTCACCTTGAGTTGTCTCAGGGCTTTCAACTTTTTCAAGGATCCCAGATGGCCATCCGGCGAGAAGTAGCCTCTGAAACCGCTAGTCTCGAAATCAAACGTCTCGAGGCGTTGCCCATACTTTCTCAACACGGCTCCCATCTTATCAAAGTCGATCTCGTCGCCTTGATCATCCGAGTCCATTCTCCCAATAACGGCCAAGACAATGTGGAGATTCTGAAGCTGGGGGCACCGTCTGAGTATATTTTTCAGACCGACAGCATCAATAATGGAAGATTTCATCTGCAGAGATGTGAGGCTGCTTGGAATGTGGCTCCAATGCATTCTCTGGACATCTTCTTTTGCCCAGGTGAAGGCAAAGAGCCGAAGAGTCTCGATTTCAGGATGCAAAAGCACGCCTTCGATATCTGAAGCGTTTTCAAAGCCATTGCCGATATCGTTCCTGAAGCGCACTTCCCTGAGCTGTGCAAAGGGATGACCAGGCGGGACAGCATGCTGATGGGCAGTCTCTTGGCTTGGCATGATACTTGTGGCCTCTTCGTCCCTATCCTCCTTCTTCGGATCAGAGCCGGACTCCCCACCATCATCGTCATCATCATCATCATCGTTAATATCCTCGTCCTCGGAAAGCATCCTCCCAGACGAAGGGGGCTTATCTTTCGACCATATCTTGTCGAAGTTGTCGAAGAAAACATCTTCTACATCTTGCCTTCCACTAAGGTAAGCTCCAATTCCGCCGTCCACCGCCGCCTGCCCACAATCAAGCATTCGCAGGTTAGGCGTGAGGATCAGAAGAATGAGCAGGAAATCCTCCTCGGGCCTGTCTCGTTCCGCCGCTAGCCACCGCCGCAGCCATCTCAGTTGCCTCTCATCCAGAGAATCGGGTGCGGCTAGAAGTTTGTGGACGACGTCGGTTGCCTCGAGATTCCAGGCTCTCCAGTGATCCACGTGGAAGTCTCGGATGATGCGCCCGAGAGGAGGATCGTCGCACAGCGTGCGCAAGAATGCCTCTATTATCTTCTGCTCATAATTTTCCTCGCGCCACTGGAACGCGACTGTGCGGTAGATGAGAGGGCGGGAGACATCGCGAAACCGGCGGCACACTCGTGAGAGCGCGATCAGGTCCTTCGGCGGTGGACATTCTATCTCGGCGATGTAGCCCTGCTCCCAGTTGTCAAAGGGTATCGTGCATTCAAAGTGCTCGAAAATTCGATGAAGGGTCTCGAACGGCAATGAGTCCATGTTTGGTGATAGACCCGGGCTTAGTCTTTGATTGTTGATGGTTGTGGTATGTTCACGGCAAAGTTCTGAAGCGTGAATTCTGAAGCACGAAACACCCTGGCTCAGAGTGGATTCTTCTTGGCAAAGGATGTGCAGGATTGTGATTTGTCCATGCGTACCGATATCTTCCTATGTTATGCTAGCTTGCCACAATAATCTTCAAATGATGGCAGAGTAAGCGACCTGTTCAGACTGAATTGCATAAACGAAACAGATTTCAGTTCACATACATGAACTGAGCAGTGTCGCATGCACTCATCCACCGCCGCAACCCGGGACACGCTCGTTATACTAGGAATAATTTGTTTGATGCGTGCATAGGTGATATATTCGCAGCTCGGTTGGGATTAGATGATGCCTCTGAGAAAATCACACATACTGGCAAAGACTGAAGAGGCCTAACTTAGAGCCAGGAAAATGGTATAAGAAGGTAGTGAATATAAACAAGATGTGATCTCTCAAGTAATGTCTGGATATGGGACCGCCCCTGCTGCAAAAGCCACTCGTTCCATCACAAGTCTGGAAGAATTGGTGTGAGACCGTCTCCAATAAGCTCATCGAGGCCCTTGTGCCAGCCGTAGTGCATGTATCCCTTCGGTAGGGAGCGTCAACAAGACCCGCAGGGCCTCAACATGCTGATGTACAAGGACGATGAATTTGTTCTCGCCATAAAGCAATTCAGCCACCTCCTTATGGATGGCCTTACAGACAACCAACAACTGTTTAGGGATGTGTGGACAGTCGCATTCTGGGCTATCAATAGTAACACGGTCCGGCTCCACCCGCTTTCGAAGCTCGTATGCACATGTGTGAAAATTGCTTTTCACAGGTCGAATGACACCCCGCGAGGGCGGAGTAATAGTAATTGGGCATTCACGTACAAGACTCGCGAGAACGTAAATCCGTCTTCGAATGTTCATGGGCAGCAAAAGAAGGGGCGATGCCGTTGAAGTTGATATTAGATCCATGGTGTTGATCTTTCTACCAAAGACACTAGGCGTGAGGGGATGAATCCGGAAGCTAGGACGATCTGTCTTTCCTGGGAACTGTTATTGTAGGTGGCAGGAATAAATGTCTGGCTTGCCTGACCAACAGAGAAAGATAGAAGGCCATGGAGCTGAGAATTACTAAGCGCATGAGGCACCATCGTTGAGTCTTTTCCACGGCAGGTGGCTGTGCCACGTCGTCAGCATGTACACATGAGTATGTACCGTCACCAAGCGGCCTTGCTTGGAGGTTACTTATGTTTCACCAGAACAGTGCTGTGATCTATCTACTTACTTTCCCGAAGAGTGTATGGCCAGTGTATCGCTACTCTAATGTGACTCGCCCCCAAGAGTGCTATCACCGGTGTGCCTTTACTCTGATGTGGCTGTTGTAAAATTAGCCCAGATACCAAATTCCCAACTTATAAGTTAGCATTCTGGTGGCTCCGCCAGAGTGCAACTCCAGGTTTCTCTGCAATGTCGAATGCAAAACTGCTGGATGCTACCCATTCATTCAGCTTATATAAATGAAGGGAGCGAGGGGGGCTATTAGCTTACGACACAGATACAGTCAAGTAACCACTTCAAGTAGCTATGAAACTTTTTATTACAGAAAGTTTTGACTCTTTCTTTGTAGGAAGAGCCAACTTTTGATGGCCTCAATGATCATTGATCTCATCCCGGGGGCCATTTCATTGTTACCATGTAGCTTATTTGGCTTATCTAGGATAATACAATCTCGCCGCTTATGCAAGATGAGATTGGTACACAGAACTTGCAAAGCCTTACTGGTTGCATCGCTAAGCAAATTTTCTAGTAAAATTACGGCTAAGGCGGTACATTCTGTCAACTCTTAGGAGTCTATTTAACATAGCCCTAGAAGTTCAATGAGCAAGACAAACGAAATTGAGAGAGCATTTCCCCCCTCTGCTTACCCTTCTGACATTTATGTGAGATTGCACTGCCTAATACGACTATGCCACATCAGAGGGCTCTCCGATGTTTCAGCTACTGCCGATGCCGCTCTATCACCGTGCTGCATGACTAGAGAATATGCGTCGTGACTCAGGGCCAATTCTTCCGTTGCATCGCATAAAGGAATGCCCAATTAGGGCGAAGAGTAGAGGTCATTCCCTACTCTAGAATGGAACCAAGGTTGCAATGCCGAACACCACCGATCGTCGACGTACAGGATGACCCGCCTTTCCCTTCCTCTCATGCATCGCTAGATAAAGGGCCAGAAAACGCCGCGCTACACCATGTGATGGTTTATCAACGAAACAAGAGGCGACCAAGCTGAGTGCTTATTGGCGAAAACAACGGTCCATCCAACAGGATGAGTTTCGATCGCCCAATCGGCTATTCTCGTTCAAACTCTGACACGGCAGTGGCACAGCAACACGCTTGGGGGAGTGAAAGGCCCCGCCAGAACACAGTTGGTTTTATGATAAAAACTTTGGTGTTACATTGTGGGTTTCCACGTTGAACATGGCCCTGAAACAGCAAGAGCGAGTGATCACATTGTTCCTGATGCGTTGGCCATCACATTACCATGCCCTCGACACGTATCATCGACCCCCGAGAAGATATTGTCCGAAAAGCTTATTGCCACGTTATTGAAGTCTTTATTATTAGAAACCATAAGTCTCCTTTCTTCATAGCTTGGTCAACCATGGAGTTGGACCTTTTTTAATTATCCTCCAACATGTCATTTAACCAGCCTAACGGGACCTCAGCTCTCGGCTTTTGCGTGCACAGTCTTGTTGAACATGCCGCCATCAGGTTCTACGATAAAATTGCCTTGATCTGTGCAAACAAGTCCCTCACATTTGGGGCTCTCAACTGCCTTTCGAACCAGCTCGCATTGGCCTTGGTAGACCAGGGCATTGGCCATGGCCAAATTGTTGCCGTCGCTCTAGAAAGGTCACCCGGCCTTATCGTGGCTTTGCTGGCAGTGCTCAAGGCGGGTGCTGCCTATCTTCCTTTGGACCCTGTACTTCCAAATCAGCACCTCAGACACATGTTGAGAGACACCTCCCCGAGCTGTGTACTCGTCGACTCTACATCAAAAGACGCATTCACACCATGGAGGAGTATTTGCTTCAATATTGATGACATGCATAACATGCCTACTGGCGCCCGAAACCCAAACATCAACGTACAAGCTACTGATCTAGCCTATATCACGTACAGTTCCGGGCCGACTGGACGGTCCCAGAGCGTTCAAGTCACCCACGGCGCTGTCTCTCATATTCTATGTTCAACTTTGCGAAAACTTGGTTGTAATGAGACGGACCGTCTACTAGCCATCACAACTGTTTGTTCTGGCATTGCAGTACTGGAGCTTTTCTCACCTCTTTTGTGTGGTGCTTCCATCGTCCTCGCTCGGACCGAGGATATCACCACTCCTAAGGCATTGCTTGGTTTAATGAGGCAATACCGCATCACTACCATGCAGGCCACGCCAACAATATGGCAGATCCTGCTAAATCAAAGACTTCGGGAGGCTCCCCGCTTGACGAATCTAATTTGTAACGGCGGAAAGCTGCCACCAAAGCTAGCGCAAAATCTCCTTTCATGCGCAGACTCGGTCTGGAATTTGTATGAAACAGCTATCCGGTGGAGTCTGTAAGGCATAGTCTGCAGGCCATTGGATAAGATATCTCACCAAACATGATAACTCATCTAAGTTTCAACACACTTGTAAAGTATGTCCGTTGCTTATCGCGATCTCTCTTTCAATGGTTATGAAAAAGTGTGACAGGCCATGACAAAGAAAAATAGGGAGAGTGTAGGGTAGCCTTTTTCAGAACAAGAGATTTACTTGCATTGGTCCAATTCCATTTCACAGATCACTTCACTAAGCAAGTATGCATCAAGGGAAAGTAATACTTAATTCATAAAAATCATTCAAAACCTTGTCTAATATTGTCCATCTCTTACAAATTTATAACTATTCCCTCCGCGCTGCATCATTCTCTAAATATTGGGTATTCATAGCCAGTCTAAATCAAACATTCATCTTCTCCATGTTTAGGCGAGGCTCTTCAGAACCTGGTTCCTGCGCGCATCAATGTACTCGCTGCTGAGAGGGTAATCGTTGTATCCAACCTCAGAAGCAGGGATGTAGAAACTGGCGCGATGGTACTCGTTGGGAGCCACTCCGTTCTTCACACGCCAGACAAAGTCAGGGGTCGCCAGGAAAGTACGGCCAAAGGCAACGATGACATCCCATTTGGCGTAGTGGCTGTCAAGGATCGAGGCTGCCGTGGCGGGAGTGTAGGCACCGGCAACCACAACAGGGGAGTGGTTGTCCCAAATTTCCAAGATGAAGTCGAGATTCTGGCCGTCCACTTCTGCGTCATTGGAGACGCCCAGCAGCTTACCTGGGTCACCACGAGGCTCAACCAGGGAGAGGTAGGCTAGGGGCGGCAGGGCCTTGAGCTCGCGGACAATGTAAGTGTATTGGGCAATGATGTCGGAGGACACTGCGCCCTGGAAGGTCGCGAAGGGAGACAGGCGAAGAGCAGTGCGCTCAGGCCCAATGGCAGCACTGACGGCCTTGACGACCTCGAAGAGGAGGCGGGAGCGGTTCTCGATAGAGCCACCCCATTTGTCGGTGCGCTTGTTGACCGAGTCGGAAATGAACTGGTCGATCAGGTACCCGTGGGCACCGTGGATTTCGACACCGTCACCGCCGGCAGCGATGACCCGCTTGGCGGACGCGACGAAATCGTCGATGAAGCCCTGGATCTCCTCCTCTGTCATAGCCTCGGGGACGACGCCGCCCTCCGACATGGGCACGGCGCTGGAAGACCGGTACTTATACCCGCGCTTCTTCTGGTACTCCGGGTTGGAGGCCCGGCCCTGGCTCCAGAGCTGCTGGAACCATACGGAGCCGTTCTTGTGGACGGCGGAGATGACGTTCTTCCACGCGGCCTCCTGCTCGTCGGTGGCGAAGGCGGGGCCGTGAGGCTCACCGGCATCCTGTAGCGAGACGCCGGTGGCTTCCGAGATGATCAGGGTTCCGGGGGTGGCGGCTCTCTCGCCATAGTACCTCTGGGCGAAGGAGTTTACAACGTGGTTCTCGTCGTTGCGGTATCTGGTCAAGGGCGCTAGGGCGATGCGGTGTTGAAGCTGAGCCTTGCCGATCTTGACGGGCTGGAGGAGCTTACTGTCGGCTGGGACCTTTGCGGCTGTCATTGTGAGTTGTTGTTGGGGGGGATGTTTTGACTTTGGGGTATATAGTTGAATGTGTGAAACAAATCGCTGTCTATAATGCTGTCTATGAGGAACAGTGGATGTGAGGTAGAGTGATGTTCTTATTATGCTGATGAAAAAATAAAAAATGTTAGTTAAGGAGAAGATGCCCACGATCTTTATAGCTCAAAGTGAATAGCCTCAAACCCACTTGCCATCGGTACCTGAGACTGATTAACGAGCAAACTCCTCTCGCAAGTGTCGTAGCACATCATCGCTCCACTTCCCGCTGGAATCGCGGAATTTGGAAGATTCTGGGAGGCTCATGCGATGAAAGTGGAGGATATGACATCCCGGCATGTCAAAGCCAGTATCTCCCTAGAACAAGAGTCTCCCGAAACGATTTTGCAACCGATAAGGTTCGGATATGATGAGCAATCAAGCGTTATTATTAATTACGCAGCATCCATGGCTGCAGGCTCGAAAACTGGCGGATTAAAATTTGTGCCGGTCTCCTTGCAGTGAATGGTTCCGACATTCCGATATCTTGCTGCAAGTTCGTCTCCGCGATTCCGCGGGTCCATGGCTGTGACATTCCGTGCACAGAAAAGGGATAACGGCCTGTTTACGCAAGCAAATCTCCACTCTTTCTCGGTTCTGGCAGCCGGATGAGTTCAAGACCGTGATTAAATAATCAAGACATGATTCGATATTGGCTGCGCAGCCTTCAAGTCTCCGAAACTCCGCCACTTAGGTGATGGCAGTGATTCTTCTAAGAAGGCTGGAGGCCCCGATTCCAGGAACGAGGAAGACTAGCTGATATCATTCACTTAGAGTATTTCATTTCCCTTCCTTAAGATGCGACTCTAAATGTTTATTAAGCGACGAAGAGCTTTTACCCTAGTGACGAACGGCATGTGCTTTTATTTTAGCAATTGCCTAAGACACGACGCTTGGTGATAACATCGATTGGAGTCTTGAGTGTAAAGAAAATTACGACATACCCCAAAGAGCGAAGAGACGCACAACATTTATACCCAAACCACTTACCTCCAAACGAACACTAACATTCATGTCACTGGACTAATTTATGTCCAATTGGAAGATATCTGACGCGTCTTGAGGCATCTAATCGCCTTCTTATTCCCTCAATCGGTAGTGCTGGTGGAGTCTCTCGTAAATACCTTCGGGACGCTGGCGAATGGGAACCATGGATTGCCCAACAGGCCGCTCTGTGGAAACTGTCCTCGATCCATTCGGAGCAACCGAACCAGAAGAAGACTGTTTTGCGCTCAGGAGAGCATGAGTTCGGCATATCCAGGTTGGATTGCCTCGAGCAGGCTGCAGAATTACAAAAGTGCTGCCTGATTTATGGCGACATATCAGGCAACATTCAAAATCCGCCAAGATGCAAGGCCATCACTATAGTTAGACTCATCATTATTTAGAAAGTTTTAAAAGGCACTGCCTGTGATGACCTCTCGCCCTGGCATACAAAAAAACTTCACGTTGAAAGCGCTGTGCTCTTCCCTCCAGCACTTTTGAGGAGGCCCCGAACAGGATCAGAAACCATGGCGGTGAATTCTTTGCACAACATCGCGACACTGATCAAACGGTTCGTCTCTCTGTGGAGGAATGCTGGATAATACTAACATGTGGTTGCCAGACTGGAGGCAGTGACTTCTAGACTAGAAGACATCGCTTCCTCGGCGGATTCATTAGGTTTGCATCCTAATGAGGCTCATATTATTAGAGACATCGCCACGGCCCTTGCTCCAGCTTCAACTGACCCCCAACGACCCCAGCAGCCATCCTCTGAAGGAGGATTGGCGAGACCTCCTGAAGATATCCCTGTGGATGTGACGCTGTTTGACTCTTTCATCAAAACGGGAATCGATCCGTTCATCGATTTAAGCCAGAAAATTGGAGGGGTAGTGGCGGAGCAGGTGAGTCTGGTCTGGTCACCGAGAAGATTTAACTTCAGCGTTAGCTAATTCCAGACCAGGTGACTATTCTGAGAAGAGGCTTTGATGCTCAGCGCCGCATTCTCCTTGTCATTAGCAAAGCCAAGAAGCCCCACGGTGATAAAGCAGCAGAGAAAGCGTACCAAAACGTCTTGAAACCGATTGAAGACGTAATCTCATCTATTCGTCAAATTCAACAAGAAAACAGAGGGACGCCAGCATTCAACATGCTCTCGACCGTTGCTGACGGATCATTCGCCCTCACCTGGACGACAGTTGAAAGCAGACCCTGGCTTCAAGTGGAAGAGTCACTCACGATGGCTCAGTTTTTCGGTAACAAGGTTTTAAAAGAGCATCCAAAGTAAGACTGACACCAACACCTAAAATCCCAACGCTAACAACCGATGCACTAGAGGATCTCTGGAAGCGCAATGGGTAGGAAAGTATTACTCTCTTTTTACAGAGCTTGCTTCATTCTTGAGAGAAGCTTATCCTTATGGCATCTCGTGGAATAGCCAAGGCGATGCTCTCAGCAATGTTATCGCAGGAGACGTGGCATAACATATGTAGCTTGTTGAAGGTATTGGCTCTTACCGAAGTCAAGGGGAGGCAAGGCCACTTTCTAGTCGGTCATTATCGGTTGACGGCACTTATTTCATGAACAGCTTCGTAGAGGCTGTGGAGGCCTTGCCATGCGTCTCTAAATGTTTCGGCCCCTGCGAGGTTCAACATGGCTTAAAGAGCAAGGGGTTTTCGCCTGTGATCAAAGTATAGACAACCAAGAAAGACGATCCATTGCCAAATTCGTTTTAATCAACAGAAGCATCAACAATCATGTTTAAGGCTAAATATCCAGGATGACGGCATATATCTGATACATCGGCTGAAATAAAACCATTCCACAGCCCTAACTCTGCAATCTAAAACTATTCGCCACTAGGCGGGGTGATTTCCGTGCCAAGCGCCGGAGCCTGTCCCAAGTTTGGATTTCCTTGCGCATCAAATGTCACTTTTTGTGCCATTGTATACCTTGCTGGTCCACAGTTCCCAGTCGATATGCTGGTTGCATGGTAGATATTCTGTCTATGTGAGCAAGTGCATTTGAAATGTTCAGCTGGGGGAATCAACACATACCCAAATCTCCTTCCCATCTGGCGAGGTGAAGAAGGCATTGTGGGCGGTGCCATAGTTCCCGTTTGCTGACGTGAACACGGGGCCAGACTTCTCCCATGATGAGATATCCAGCGGATCGCCTCCATTGTAGTATAAGAGGCCCAGCGCGTACTCGGGAACATCACACGTTGAACCTGAGTAAGACAACCAAATGTCGTCTCCATGATAAAGAGCCTAGACATGCAAGTGATCTATTAACCTTTCCGCTGATGACTTCCGACATATGATATTTACTCACATAGGGGCCCTCATTTAGCCCGGCGGTGGCAAACAGTCCTGCGCCTCCTCCCATATGCTGCTCCCATGGTTGATCAGGCCTCGATATAATGTGCCATTGATCGACAGTCCATCTATTAGTGTCGAGCTTGGTGATTCCTATACTTTGATAGCCGTCCTCATTATGCATGCTCACCAGATGGTAGCGTCCCTTGCCGGGAATCTCCATATAGCTACCATCGATAGAATAAGCATCATTTCCGTCAGGGCCGCCCTGCTTTCCGGCTGGAGGTACCAAAGTAGCTCCGAAGGAATAGGTGCAGTCATAAGGGTTAGAGCCAGTGCATCCGCGTAGTACACGGGTACGGTAGGTATTGACAACATTGGCGTTGCGACTGGAATAGAATATATACCATCTGTTATCTATGCGGTGGATCTCAGGGGCCCAAATATCCGCGTTTCGTGTGGTGTCACTGTCAGTCCAGACAGTTTTAGTTTCTCCATTTCGAAGTCCACTCAGGAGGGGACTTCTAGCTATTTCGATATGGGTTGCTGAAGTATATGTTCTAAAACTAATTAGTGTGCCAGCATTACTTGATAGTTCTAGGCATAGGTAAACTAACAGGTAGTAATAGCCATTAGCATAGACTAGAGAAGGGTCTGACGAGTTGTATCTGACTGGGTTTTGGAAACCAGACACAAAGCCAAGCTGAAGGAGGAATCCTAACAGCCAAAATCTAATAGAAGATAGCATGGCGAGTAGCAAGGGGCGCAGTAAGCATGAACTCGATCAAGGGCTCTGAATTGGCACTACAACACGAGACTACACCAAAAATTGTCGATATTATGTGTATTTTATATACCATGCCTGACGATAGTCCCCATCATGGACCAATTGGTTCAGCGTTCCATTGCAGCATGCTCTTCATGTGCCTCAGCACATGACGTTACCCAAATCATACAGAACAGTCGGTTCTTAACCATCTCAACTCCAATCCCGCCAGTCTCAGCTGGCCACTCACACCTTGACCGCCCCCAAGGAGGTCAGCGAGGGAAGGTGGCAGTGCATCTCCTCATCACGGGTGACCATTTCGCCCGCTGGCGAGCACCAAAACCTGCTCCATGCGGCTTTAAGTCGCGCGACTGCGTTGGCAGCAGCATTGCCCAGTTGGGAATAACGTCACTCTGCCCCCGCCAGGTTGTGGAGATGTGATTCCCAATTGCAGAGTTTGCGCCGGCCCAGAAGAGTGTTGCTTCTCAAGTCCCATCAAGCTTGCTGACGTGTGACTATTTAGCATGTGGGAGGGACTGACTCGTCATCGGGCAGCATTGACGCAACGTGTCAGCAGTTGGGAAGCATACGGCGTAGAGGCCGGGTCAGAATGAAGACGGGTGCTGATTTCATGTCAGCAACCAATATCTGGTTCTGGGACTTTTATATATAGCCCGGGATGATCAACTTCCCCTTTCGCAACTGGCTTTCTCCAACGCATCATCGATACCACTCTAAACATTCACAAAGGCGGACAGTGCCAGGCTCATGGTGAGGTCAACGTTACCCCCCCAATATTGGCATCGTGGAGCGCAGGGAGGAGATCGGCTACTACCACGAGGGATCGCCATGTTGCATTCGTCGCTCCTTGACAAATAGCTACCCCGTCCTTGGGTCGGGCACATGGACAGACCCCAGTCCAATAGCCTCGGCATATAGCCAATTCTGACGAACAATGCAACACTTATTTTCTCAATCCCTGGAATGCACATTCCCGAATGCTCTGCAGCCCTAGAGCTCACCGCAGCGGTTTGTATGCGTGATTACGCACACTATCGGATCGACAACGCAGAACAACCTCGCGTAATTTTCCCTTCATGCAAGTGGGTATTCTCCTATCAATGAACACTGTAGCCAACTCTTGCATGAAACTGAAACGTGAAAAGGCGGCAACAAGTCAATGCTGGTGGGGCATGTTGATGAGCGAAGATCCTCAGCTACGGCTATCTATGGACCTATGCAAACTATCTCTCCTTCAGGCCGCCGCAAGAGGCGCCGAGCAGACCTATAACGGCCGGGTGGCTAGATGCGGTTGAATCATGTGTTCAACTCCCAGGATGGCATGAAGGCCGCGATGCAGCTCTCCTCCGATCATACCCACCAATATGTAGGGCGGTATATAACAAAAAACACTGCAATATTACTATTTCAGATTCCCGGGGACTATTTTCCCTCCAGAGCTACCCTATAGTAGAAAACTAAATCTTGGAAATCAGTAGATAGTAATATTAAATAAATATTTCAAAAAATCGTAGATAGTACTGTTTCGGAACAACGCCGGAGTAAGGGCATAACTCATGACTCATCTAAAATCACTATTCCCCGCCGCTTCACACCGTGTTTTTTCCGTTAGGCACAAATTCGCGTATACTCATACCTGAAGAGAACGCCAAAGTCTCCAATATGGGCGATAAAGCCCCAGACGCGCCAGAAAACCCTGGTCATCAGGAAGGAAAGGCTTCTGTTGATATCCTTAATGAGCCTGCCCCAGCTGTGAAACTCTTGTTGGACGAGGAGACAGGCGAATGGGTGTCGAGGAATGAGTTGAGGAAGCGACTCCAGAAACGGGCCAAGAAGAAGGCCAAGAGTGCACTTGCAGAAGGGCCGGCTACAGCTAAGGGGAAGGCTACTTCTGCCGGCCTACCTACCCGGCCAAAAGCAGTTGATGCTCCTATTGACCCTGATGCAATTTTCAAGCAAGGTTTCCTTGCTGATGTTTGAAGAGCGGCCTGTCAAGCCTGTTATTACTCGCTTTCCACCCGAGCCAAATGGCTATCTTCACCTTGGCCATGCCAAGGCTATTGCTATAGATTTTGGCTTCGCTCGCTTCCATGGGGGAAAGACAGTGAGTTATTTGTCTTAAATTATGGAAAGACTTGATATACTAACAACTTACTCCAGATCCTAAGGTGCTTCACGCAAGATTTTATAGAGTTCTTCTAAATTGCTGACATTGCATTGCCCAGGTTTGATGATACGAATCCCGATGAAGAAGCCGAAATTTATTTCACATGGATCATCAAGATCATCAAATGGCTAGGTAGACTTGTTTCCTATGATAGTCATACATCCATTACTAACATAAGCAAATCCAGGCTTTACACCAAGCGAAATTACCTACTCTAGCGACCATTTTCAGCGGCTTTATGAGCTTGCCCAAGACCTTATTCGAAAGGGTGGTGCGTATGTCTGTCACTGTTCAGAGTCTGAAATCAAGCTGCAGCGAGGAGGAAAAGATGGTAAAGAAGGGCCTCGTTTCAGATGTGCTCATGCAGACCAAGATATCCAGATGAATTTGGATAAATTTAAGGATATGCATGATGGGAAATATGAGCCACAGACTGCTTTTCTCCGAATGAAGCAGGATATTGATAGTGGAAATCCTCAAATGTGGGATCTTGCAGCTTATCGAATTCCCAAACATCAGAAACCACACTTACGAGCTCCAGAGTGGAAGATATTCCCAACATATGATTTTACTCACTGTTTATGTGATAGCTTTGAGGGCATTACACATAGTCTTTGTACCACAGAATTCATTCTTTCAAGGGAAAGTTATGAATGGTTGAACAAAACCCTTGGTGTTTATGAGCCGATGCAGCGTGAATTTGGTGAGTAGTGTCTGCATAACATCCAATCACCGCAACACGCCTTTCAATCCGGCTTGACTTTTTGAACTCTACTGACGAGAAGCAAGGCCGACTCAACCTGGAAGGTACAATTATGAGCAAAAGAGGGCTGAAGCAGCTTGTTGATCAAAAAATTGTTCGGGGATGGGATGACCCGCGCCTCTATACTTTGATTGCTATCAAGCGGCGTGGTATCCCACCCGGAGCTATTCTCGCTTTTGTTAATGAGCTTGGGGTCACAACGAACAGAACCTTCATTCAAATTGTTCGTTTTGAACAAACCGTGCGCCGTTTTCTCGAGAGAACAGTGCCACGCCTCATGCTTATCCTTGACCCAGTTCCCGTCACAATCTCAGATCTTGCCGAGCCTGTGTATTTGGACATTCCGTTTTCGCCAAAGGACTCTACCTTTGGATCCCATTCATTGGAGTTCACCAAAACTATCTATATTGACCGGTCGGATTTCCGCGAGGTAGATAGCAAAGACTACTTCCGCTTGGCCCCTGGTAAAGCAGTTGGCCTTCTTAATGCACCATTGCCAATCAAAGCTGTTTCCTATACTAAGGACGAGACAACAGGTCTTGTCACAGGGATCCAAGCTGTCTCTGATAGGGATGCGAAGCCTAAAGCTTATATAAGCTGGGTTCCCGAGACCTCCCTCAAGGTTGAGGCTCGTATTTACCGCTCTCTATTCAAATCTGATGATCCATCGGCTGCTGAGGGTGGGTTTTTGAATGACATCAACCCTGACAGCGAGATAATATACCATGACGCTTTGCTTGAGTCGGGTTTCAATGAAGTTAAGCAAAGGGCGCCTTGGCCTGCTGTCCTCGGTGATAGTGCAGAGGTCTCGGGATCTGAGAGTATTCGTTTCCAGGCTATTCGAGTTGGATACTTCGTAAGTGCTATCCTTCTTCCAGATTAGCGAAATTTATTCATTCTCTTTTCACCATGGCGACTAATAAAAGTTCAACGCTAACTTTTCACAGGCCGTCGACACAGACTCTACGGATGAGAAAGTTATTTTGAACCGTATTGTGTCTCTGAAGGAAGATTCTGGGAAGAATACCTGATGATCTAGCACTTAATTCCTGGTATTGAAGTCATAGATATAAACCCAGGTTTATTCTGAAAAAAAGAAAAGCAAATACCTTGATCGGCTTAGATTCCAAACTATCGAAGAGGCAATCTCTTTCAGTAGATATTTAAAACAGGCAACGTCTTATTTGCACCTATTGGATCCCTTGATATGTAACGGCGAGCATGACAAAAAAGTATATCAGCAAAATCACAGCTACACCTGCTTATATAGGCTATATACCCCCTAATATGGGGTCAGTCTACAGGGTGGTGGATGCCGAATTCACTCTATTAATCCAACCATATGACCATTTTTGAGGTTCTTGACTAAATCTGGCTAGGAGGCTGTCCATCTGCGAAGTGAAGGACCGAATAGAAAAGATCAAGTCTCCAAGAACAATGCGTAACTGATAACCCACCAATAGAGTCAACGATGCACAAGAGGACCTCATACCAGGATCCAATGTTAAGCCAGTGATCCGAATCAATACCAGGCGCCGTATGTTTCTCCCCTGCGATCACACATATCCCGCAACTCACTCTCGCTCCCAAAAAGGATACTGACAAACACACGATGCATATTGGTCGAATCCGGCTCAGAGTGGATCGGAGAATCCTCCTGAGCCCAGCTGAAGCGGATCATCTGCCCTGGTTCAATGGCAGCCTGCGGGAAGCTCTCCAATGCCGTGGCCAGCTCAAGATCGGGGTCATTGGTGTCCCAACGCCGTCCACTTGGTGAGGGTGAGTGCAAAATCTTGTGTGCGTCCGGGTTCGTGAGTATCGCCCTGGTAGATGGACCAAGAATCGAAAAGGCGTACTTTGAGTGCGGCGCGGTAGAGTCCGGACAGGTGCAGTCAAACATCCGACCATCTGTATGCCATCGAGGTACCACCCATTCATCCGTCGGCAAGGTCATGCGAATACAAAACCAGCAAGAGTGTGTGGCCTCCGCCTTTGGATTTTTCTGGCCGGCGACAGCTTCGGCAATGCAGTCGGCCTCGGCCTGTATCAGGAGCCGGTTCAAAACCTCCACGAGAAGCTGTTTCTGAGCATCAGAATTCACGGCGATCAATTCGGCGGCCGTGTTAGCCAGCAGGTCTGCGTCAAAGGAGCCATAATAGCCGTTGGGACGATTTTTGTTCACACTCGTGATGAGCTTAGGAGGTAGAGGCTCTGATGGGAAGATTCGAAGCGGCTCCGGACGGGCAGATTTCTCACGAGATTCAACAGCCATGTCGACGCGCTGCTCTTCCTTCTCTAATGGTTGATGATACCACAAGTGCTAAGTTGCAGCTGCTTGCAAGGTTTAATGTACCGGCACGGTTGTGAGCAAATCAGCCAGATGGTTTAAGCAACAGGTCTCACCACTCACCAATGAGTCATCTGAAGCGCACAACCGTGCACCAGGATAAGAGGCTAATAAATGCACGCTTATGCAGGCGAGTGTCATTACAGAGAGTAGCATACGAGGCGTTATTAAGTTACATGATGAAGATTATTTCCCCGGTTTATACACCACTCTATCCCGCAGGAATCGAGGCGTATCAGGGTCGTGACTCGGAAGAACGACAACATCCTTTTGCCTCGAAAATTCCTTGATCAACTTCAAGCTCTCAAACGCCGTCTTGGGATCCTGATTGATTCCATCCGGCTCCTCTCGTTCCAGCAGCCCAACATTATACGTTGCGTCTCCGGCCGCAAGAAACGTGTAAGGAGATTGGCCGGGCTGGGCGTCTTCCGTGATAATAACAGAGATGTGGCCTGGCACGTGGCCCGGCGTCGGAACCGCCACGACTTGCCCATCTGCAGTAATGGCTTCGGATCCAGTCCAAGGCCCAACCGGGCTCCCCTCGAACTTGAGTAGCTTGAGGTTGAAATTCTTGGGCCAGTGTTTTGACGCGCAGCCCTGCATATCGGCCCAGGTAGGATGCTTTCCATAAGCCTCCCAGTGGTCAGCACTCATGTAGACGGGGACATCGGGTGCCAGCTTCACAATATCTTCCAGTCCGCCGGCATGATCAGTGTGCAGGTGCGTGACAACAATACCCTGCAAGTCTCGCGGGCTGATCCCTCGGGTCTTTAGCTGCCCCACAATGTCATCCTTGGGCTCAACCTCGAGTTGGGTCAGGATGCTGGAGACGAACATGTACGACGGAACGTAGCCGGGCTTCATGCACTCCGACGAGGCGCCGGTGTCGACCAGAATGGGCCCGTCGGCGTGGTGGATCAGGAAAACGCCGATGGGCATCCAGGGAGTCCACGGGCCGGTGAAGCAGCGTATAAAGCGGAGCAGCTGGTTCTGGTTGCTGATCGGCTGCCCGGCCATCGGCTCTCTCATGCGAGCCCGGCCGGTGGTGAGGAACTCGACGAAGCCTCGTTCTTGAGCCATCTTAATGTGAAGCACACTCGCAGCGTGTTTTACGATTCTCAAGATGAAGGGAAAAGAAAAGGAGCGACAGCTTACGCGTGGATGAATCACCTTCCTCTATTAATAACTATCAGGATGGACCCCTGGATGCTGGTCGGCTTGTTAGTTGAGCCGATGTGGGATCGCCCCAGCACGGATCCTTCAGTGACGCCGAGGCCAATTTTGTTTTCCTGGAATTCAGACTGCTCGACTATTGGAAAGCCGTAGCTCTATATGGTGCGTAGCTTGGTTTTCTGGATTTTGTGATTGTAATAACATTTCTTTCCGCAATAGCGTTACATGTTTGCTTGATCAATTTGAGCGTAACGTACCAACAGGAGGACGTTTCGTTGGGCCGCGACAACACGAAAAGAAGATTTGAGAGTAGAAATGATCATTGAATTCATAAAAGAACTGAATTATTTGCCGCTTTAGCATCCGCGCTCCCAGAAATAAACAATATTTGCATTCTTCATTATCATAACATGCTGATCGATCAAATTCATTTTCATTTTCCTTCCTTCTGGATGGGGACTTAGGAAGTCTCAAATTCGGGTATCGTACTGAAAACAGAAGCATTGTAACAAATAGGGTCAATGTAGAAAGGATCAAGCTCAGGGAACGCCGTTTCATGGATCACCGGCATGGCGTTTTCCGCCATGATGGGAATATTGGCATCGTTTATTTCGCCCTCGGGCGTCGTTTGTGATAGCTCGAGGGGCCTGAGAAGTGGTTCGGCGTTCCATTTTTCCATCGAGTCGGCCATGAGCTGAGCGGCGCAGGTCCGGACGCGCTGGTAAGAGGCTTCTGCCAGATGCCAGGTCCGCTTCATATTCTTCAGGCATCCTAGAAGTAAGGTGATGCGGTTGTAATGATGCTCGAAGCAATCTCCTGAGTGGGTGGTGGTAGTGGCGATCTGGGTCATCCCAGAGAGGGATAGGGCGGGTATGATGAAGGGGGTGTGCTTCTGGATATTCGGGCAGAGGGATAGATAATCAGACATACGTCTGGAAGCATCCGTTGCCTTGATACTATGTAGCAGGCGAACAGATGCGGAGGAATGGCCGGGGACGAGAGGCCAGAAGGGGTCCGAGCATTTTGGCAATAACGCATGCAGGTCACTCCGCGGAAGATGAAGGAGCATGCTTGCGTATGCGATGATTGTGTGCGCTTGGAACAAGATCTCGTCGATGTTGCCGTAGGAATCTACAATGTTCCTCTTTTCGACTGGCAGGTGGTTCGACCAGCTGACGAGTGCATTTTGGATAGACTGCAAATGGTCGTGATGGTAATCACGAAGACGATTTAACCGGATAACTTGTCCTAGTATAACTGCTGCCTCAACCCGATAGCTAGAAGATGAGAAAATGGTCTCGTCCGTAGCGAGAGCCCTGCGCTTGAAGTCGGACATTCGAGCCGACTTGGGGATTTCGCAATTTCCCGTGTAGAAGGAGTCGTCGCATGGCAGAAGCACGTCGGAAGGCACCGAGCCACAGCGGAAGGGAATTGCTCGAGACGGGACAGATATGATGATCTCGGCAATGAGCAGCTCCCACCATGTCCTTCTTAGGCTTTCGGCCTCGACTGAGTGCTCGGCATGATGGGTAGTGGAGAAAGAGGCCTTGTTCATGCCAATCTCAAGGGCGATGGTTGTGGCTTGGGTATGTGCTTGCTGGGCCTCAGTCACTTCATCGCGAGAAAATAAGACGATGGCAAGTAGAAGCCAAGCCTGCACCATGCAGGAAGAGCGGTCAGGATTGGAGGTCAGGTCTGTGAAGACTCGGCCTTTGAGCTGCTCAGATTTGCCAGCGGGGAGGTAGTTGGACCCTGCAAAGTCGACAACAAGCCGAAGGTAGGAGGGGTACGCTCGTTCAGCATACATGGAACTTGGGACAAGAATCGGGTGGGCCGGGTGGAAGTTTTCATAGAAGAGACGGAGGTAGCGGTCACTGTCGTAGCTGGTGCGGGATTGAAACTGCGACGGCATGGAGTGGCTGGTGCTGAGACTCGGTGCCGTATCGGGAGGCCAGGGCGAGTCGCTCGAGGAAACATCAGCAAGGCGCGACATGATGCTGCTCTGGGAAGACGACGTGTCGGTTCCGTTGAATGCGCGGCCACCTGGTGTCATGATTGGCGATGGGCGCGTTGTTGCTGAAGTTTGTGTGTCGCCGACAATGATGGAGGTGTTGCTTTCAGTCACCGGGCTCGCAGGCACCACACCGTTATCTGACGCCTGGATCGGACGAATAGGAGCTTGATTGCGCGTCGCTGGAGACTGAGAGGCCAGTTCCCTGCGGCTTATGCGTCGGCCACCGCGGCGAGAGGGCTGATAATGGCAGGCGATGCCATTGTCGCGGCATCTCGCACATGTTGGCCAGCGTCCATCGCACTTAAGATGCTGCTGCCTACAACCGATACAGGCGAGTGAAGCGACCGCCTTGGTTTTGGTGCTGGTTGGAGCTGGCATGGCGAGTACCTAATTAGAATAAGGGTCCCTCAAGCCGTTTCACTCATTGTCTTCGACTTTGGGGAGATGTTTGTTGGCATGGAAGAGCAGGACAACCATGAATGAATGTTGAGGAGGTGGTCGGCGATTGAGTCGGCGATTGCTGACGAGGAGGGAGCAGCAAAGGAGAGAGGATCAACAAAAACGTAAACGAGAATCGGCGATTGATCTAAATTCTGATTGGCTGATGCGTGACATGTGGATTCATCTACGGTTTTTTCCGGCAGCCAATGACGCAACTTTCCGATGTCGAAGGCCCCACAAATTGCAAACAATCAGGGGACCTCAATCAGGGACTTCATCAAACAGGGATCGCGATGATGATGGAGATTCATATTGAAATTTCAGTTGCTCGCTATTCGCCCAATACCCTAACAATAAATAAAACCACGCGGACATGTCTTTATCTGCCTCTCGGTGCTGTCGTTGTTCGCATGTAATGCCCCTTAGTTCACAAAAATCAATTGATCGCTTAGCCTTAGCTTCTGCCTGCGCCTAGCGACTTTGCCTGAGTGATAAAACTCGCTTTTCCTGTCTCTTCGTCGAAGACATTGTACCCGATATCGGCAGCATTCGGAGGGGTATAGACTGCAGCTTTGTCAGAAAGGAGGCTATATCCCCAACAAGGCAGTATATTCTTACGGTGTAGGGAGACAGCGACTTGTGTGGGATGCGGATTGTGCACCCGGTGAAGCCCAATCTCATCTGACATGTATGTGACCTGGTCTGTGTGGTACGTCGATTGTTTCTTGACGCGCAATGGATGGCCTTCATCCTCCGGGGTATCGTAGATCGTCTCCGTCAGCTCGCCGGCCAACACCTTCAGAACTGCAGAATCGCGATGTTAGCTGAAACGCGCTAGGTGGAGCGGTGGTGCTGGTGGGTTATTTGCTTACCGCAGTGCGCGTTGGCGTGATCGTGCACGGGCGATCCCTTTCCTGGATTCCAGACGAGGAGAAGCTTGTAATGTATTAGATCTTGCTGTTGGCCGATATGTCATAGAATACCTACAATGTTGGCTCTTGAGTTTATATTCTCGATGGTGTTTCGGGTATAGCTCTTCTCGGCACAGTTGTGGTAGTAACGCGCCCAATCATTGGGGTTCGAATTGTATTTCTGAGCAAGAGACATCAAGTAGTCTGAGTTAATATTGGCATATCCAATGCCTCCAGATTTACCGAGATGTGCCTTGATATCTCCAACGAGATCATCCAGGGTATAGGGTAGGGAGCCATGGTGAGGCTCCACGGATGGACATAACAGTGGCACAGGAGGAGAAAGAATTGATGTAGTCATTTTGTCGGTAGCGGTAGATTCTGAGAAATCCTCAAGATAAAAACGAATTCAATGTTTTGGGATTGATGTTCTATTCATTGAAAGTGAGGGAGAGAAGTTGTAGCCACGTATTAATACCAATGCTCGAGACCGCTCAGCCATTCGGCGATTGCGCCATGGACAATGACACTCGGCGATTGATTCTCTGTGGGTTTTTAGCTACAGGGTTATTATTAGCAAGATTGAGCTGGACAGCCCCACTAAATAGTTACATAAGGTAGGTAGGTACTTAGGTAGCGAACAACGCTCGGGTTTTGAGACTGATAATGATCAAGGCTTCCACAATACTCAGTTACTACCTACCTGTATCTTAGTGTAAGTCATGCGAGATTAGGGTGTTCTTTTTTGAGGTTCAAACGATGTGATGCTATAGATGTTATAATCAAGTTTGCGCTGCAGGTTTAAATCAAAGTCAGCCTCCGGGATTAATTCTGTGGCAGTGCTGCTGCGTCACTTGGACTCACTTGGACTCATTTCATCTCACCGCAATGATGGAGGCGATCCTTAATAAATCTACTCCCACAGTTGAGAATGATTGTTTTACTCAAGTCTAAGCTTCTTTAGCGGACCTAGGCTCAGCCATTGCATTCTTTTCGATTTTTTCCTCCTCTCTTCTTTCTTTGGCTATTGATCTCGAGAATAATAAACCAGGATCTACCGACTACAATATGGCAGAACCTCTACAAAGGTACCCCTGGATGCCAAGTTCTGGAAGAGATGTGAAGCTGACGAAATATATAGCCCGTACGTCAAAGGAAACACTCTAACCCTAAGTGTTAGGCGCGTTGGCAAAAAGTCTCCCCTACAGCTCGACGATGGAGATGAGGTACGAGCGAGAATCGTCGATGTGATAGAGCCAGCAACTCTATCCGTTGTCGTCGTCGTTGAGGTCGATGCGCCCTCGAAACAGGAAGGCCAGACCATTCAGCCAACTTCTACAGTCAAGATGGTCCTTAAAGTGTTTGATCGTCGATTTTCTTCACAATTAAGAGAGGAGCTCAAGTCCAGTGGCCCGTCGACCCTTGCGACCGAGAAAGAATATCTTGGCTTCTTGGAGCAAGGATCTATGGCCGATTTTGTTGCCAACTACAACAAAGACTACAAGTTTACATCAGATGACTGGGATTCGCCGATGCAAGAGGCGCATTTCAGTCTTACCTGTGCCAGAATGAAAGAAACTGAGGCTAGAATCTATGATTACCTTGGTGATCTGCAAGGTATTCACATCCCAACATTTTATGCTGACGTCCAAATCGCTTCAAAGCCGGTAGCTGGAGAGCAGATACACCGAAACTTGGCCAAATACCTTGACGTTGGGGCTATTCTGATCGAATACATTCCTGGATTTCTCCTCTCCGACATGGTAACAGAGTCACCAGAACCAGCATGGCCTGGTATCTGTGACCAGGCTATTCAAGTTGTGCATAAGATTATTGGACACCATTTTGTCAATACCGACATGCAAACGAGGAATGTGATTGTCCGTCGTGATGGGGAGGAGAATTACCAAGTGTTTTACATAGACTTTGGGCTGTGTGACTTCCGCGATCCATTAGATAGTGATGAAGTCTGGATGGAATATGCATATCAGAATGCTGAAGAAAACAGAATCGGTTGGTCTCTTGCAAATGCAATCTCAAGGGCCAAGGGGAAGAAGGGAAAGAGATACAAAGGGAAGCTTCCGCTACCGTGGGAGTTCACCCCTTCTAACCGGTTTCGTGCTCAGGATATCGATGATTATCCGAAACATATTTGGTATCCATAGCCTTAGATTCCAAGACTAGATTAATATAATATAGGATTGAGTGTGGAGTAGGTGATGTGAGTGTTCACTGAGCACGTCGTCGCAAATCCCAACAGAATGATAGGCATTATAACTAAGGTGTGAAGGAGTCAAATAAAGTAGTCGGTTACCGTTGCTGCACTTAATAGGCTTCTGTCGGTACATTGTATCAGCAGCCGCGGGTACGGTTTTAGGCTTGCTCCAATATCGGTAAGGGCTATGTTGCCTACTAGCTGTTGCTCTCAAGGCGGAAGGAAGACTACCTAACATGGCTCTACTGGGCTTGATCGGCTTGATCGGCAGTCTCCCCTTTCCTAGTGTGCCGATTAGAATGCAAGACATATCACATTCCAGCGCACCTAGGCGGCCCTGTGAGCGGCTAGGCTACAAGGCATCTACTAATACATGCAAGCCTCTCTGTCCAAATATAGGTATTAACTCTGAAGAGTTTGATGCGATAATGATTCCTTTTGATTAAATAGCATAGAAGGAAAGTCTGAACTAAATCTGCACTCAGTCATAAAGGCAATGCATATAGAAGTAGAGAAGGGAAAGCTCGTTAACTAAGATAAATATAGCCTGCTACTACCCAAGACTCACTCACAGTCTAAACCCGTGCTAAGATGTGATGAGTTCCAGTGGTTCTCAGGGCCCATGGCCGGCTCCTGTGAATGACGTTTCTAGACTTGGACTGTCCTAGTTGTGGCCGCCCTACATTCCGACCAGGCCGGGCCGCCGTACCCGTAGATCAGTTGCTGCAACTTAGCTGAAACCCGGGTTATTTTAGCGTAGCCAAGACGTCATGAGCTAACTAGTCGGGGGAGCTGTCACAGGTTGTTATATATTGAACACCGCTGTCAAATTTACATCGATTCCCCGTAACTGTTCAGTGTACAGTACCTGCTTCGCCGTTAAGGCATTGTGCTATTATTTTTTATCGCCCATCTTTATTCAGGCATCATGACAATTGTAAATCAGGATGAGTGGCAGGCTCAAGATGCAATGGATGGAAGCCGTACTTCCCTGGATTTGGGAACATTTCTGAGATCCAGCTTCCAATTGCCTGCCAATACACTGACTGCAACGGACCATTCAGGGCTGTCCCATGCTAGTCTACGGACCAAGGTATCGAGGGTTGGAAGTAACCACGAGTCAGCCGCCAATGCCCCTCGTCCGCCTGGATTTGATTATTCCAATGTTAGTAGACACCCACTCCTTTAATTGTGTAAATGATATTGGGGGCAATTCTAATCATCACGTCGGGAGAACTTGGCGCATACAGAGCAGACGAAATGCTCTTTTCAGTCTGGGCAGGCCATTACCACACGTGCCTAGCCATCGGAGCAGAGCCTTGATGCATCATCCTAGAGCGTATGGTACAGAAATTGGACGAAGAGCAGCAAGGTAAGGTACTAAACAGCGAACAAGAGTTTGGATTTCATCACCCAGGAAATTAATTATCGACACCGCAGCGCTTTTCAAGTCAACCGAGCCGGGCAGGGCTTACCATACGAAATGTCTTGGGACCCTAGGATTAATTGGACGCCACAGCAACTCTTTGACATTGACGGGGTCACCATTGATCGCCCTTTGGACGAAGAAAAATGCACCAAGGATTTCGTCGACAGTTCTTCTGAAGTAGCATTGGCAGTGTTCGCAAGTGAGCCTCTATCTGAACCAAGTCATGTGGAGGAGACATCTGTGCTACATGAATGCAACGCACCAAGGACCGGCGAATCTCAACACGCTCCAACCGATCCGCGCAACTCATGGGCGAGTTTCCGGGAAATACACCGCGAAGCCTTTGCAGAGTTCCTTGCAACTGGCGTGGCGGTATTTTTGGGACTGTCGGGCACGTTGACAGTGAGTCTGTCCTTGGACTCCCCGGTACATTATGGAACGTACGAGACATCATGTTGGTCTTGGGGTTTTGCCTGGATGTTCGGTATCTACCTGGGCGGCGGCGTGTCGGGCGCCCATATGAACCCCGCGATATCAATATCTTTATCGCTATTTCGGGGATTCCCGTGGAGTCGGTGTGCCGTCTACGTCGCGGCTCAATTCCTCTCAAGCCTGGTGGCTGGTGGGCTGGCCTACGGACTTTTCGCGGATTCCCTGCACCACATCGACCCGGAGTTGACAAGTGTATCTGCTAGCTTCTTCTCGACGCCTCAGCCATGGGTTTCACGAAAGTCAGCGATCCTCAATCAGGTGGTTGCTAGTGCTATCATGTCCATGGCAGTACTTAGCCTCGGCGACGATAGAAATAACCCTCCAGCACACGGGATGAGTGCCTTCATCTTCGGGCTTCTGGTTACAACGTTGAAACTGACATTGGGATACAACGTTGGCGCCGCTCTCAACCCTGCATCGGATTTTGGTCCGCGGGTGATTGCATATGCTATTGGTTACCGAGACCAGGAAACTTTTGGTACACAGTGGTGGTACCAGGGACCTTGGCTCGGGACACTGGCAGGGGCTATTTTGGGCTGTATTATATATGACGGTTTGATCTTTATAGGCGATGAGTCGCCAATCAATCGCCAGATGAGCGGCAGTTTACAGAGGACGCTCCGTAAAGTATTTCGGCTACCAAAGAATACAGAAAATAAAGGAGGGGAGGATAAGGAAGAAGCATGAGCCCACGCGGTTCAATAGAAAGAAAACAAACACGTTCTCTATTCAACAGTAAAGGGAGGTCTATGGAATTCGTTAAAAATTTAACTTCTTAATGCTAGGATTATTTTTCCTCTTCTTCGCATTGAAGCACGCGGAAGCATTGCCGAGACAACTGAGATTTCCCCAGACACCACTATATCTCCTTTCTGCTTTATCACTGCCTAGAATGAGGGGTGGATTTTCCGCGGGATCAATGTGGAGAAGCGCTGGTAGGATTGCCGGTGACCCGTGGCTATAAGTGTGAAAGCCGAAATCTCCAAAGTGGGCATATCTTCCATCTCCCGTTGGCCCTGACATCCCCCAACACCAACACCACACCATCATGGATGCCCCGGCTTTGAGATGTGAACGCTGCTCGATGATGTTCTCGCGGCCCGCACATTTATGGAGACATAAATTTACTCGTAAGCAACATGCACGTCCTTTTTGGGGCCTACGATTGGACACTGATCAGACCGTAGATTCCCCAACCCATGAGTTTCAATGCTCGTTCTGTCTTACGACACTTACTCGCAGGCATGTTGCCCTAGTCCGGCTTTCGTGGAACGTTTACAAATCCTGACCTTGTGCTATAGAGACAGCTTGCGAAAACACTTGAGGTCATGTTTGCTTCGAAAGGTAACCGGAGAGCCTATGCCCGATCCCGAGTCGCGCGGAAGAAAGCGGCGCGCATGTTACAACTGCTCCTCTAGCAAGAGGGCGTGCAGTTTCGACGCCCCGTGCAAGACGTGCGTCCGCAAAGGACTTTCCTGCTCATATCCTGAACCGACATCTAATCTGAATGCAAACCTGAGTCGTGATTGCAGGGACCTCTGGGGAGGCACAGATGAATTGCCTGAATCTGCAGAGGAGAGCTTAGACGCGGGCCGTGCTGTATCACGGATGGCAGAAGAAGATCCCGATTTGCATGCCTGCCATGCTTCTGCCGCAGAGGTCGGCACGAGTGACCAAACCGGCACGCAAACGAATGCCCCATCAGCTCTGACGCCGCTATCCTGGCCAGTTTCCTTTCAAAGAGATCACCAGCTGGACTCTCCCGGTTCTTATCCACAGGTGTTAAACTACATCGTAGGAAGCTGTTACTTAGAGAACGAAAGGTTCGAGTTCCTCATGAACTTTGATACCGGAGCTGGGATCCGCCGGGTCTTCAATTTCGTGACTTCTGTCGAGGTCAGCTGTTCGATATTCGATCTTGATGTGGCATTTCAACCGGCCGACTCGGAGCGGCATGATGTCTCCAATGTGTGTGGGCAGGGTCCAGTAGACCCTGTAGACCTTGTCCAATCGGTAGAATGGCTATATGATCCCCTCTTACCCCAGTCGAAGGCCGTATGGGAGAAGCTTCTTGGTATATCTCAGATAGGTTCTACGGGGCCCGTATTCACCAACCGAAGCGAGGCAGACGAGTGCATCAAGTTGTTTAACCCTAAAAGCCTACGTATACTCTTGAGCGAATACTGGAACAGCTGGCACCATCACTGTCCTATAATCCACCGTCCAAGCTTGGACCTCCTCGACATTCCGGTAGAGATGATGATTGCTATGTGCCTTCTCGGGGCATGCTCATCTCCCGAGGGCGGAGATGCTATCAAAGCACAGAAGTGGTTAGATGCAACCGAGACCCTGGTATTTTCAATCCCGTGGCTCTCTAGGACCGAAGTCAAAGGTATATCTGAGCCAACTGAGACACGCCTCACCAAAGTGCGGTTGCTGCAGACAGCCCTTCTGGTATGCGTACTTCAAACCTGGGAGGGCACTGAGTCGGCACGGTTAAGAGTCAGAGAACTTCGTTATCCATTTCTCGTTCAGGTATGCTCCAGTATTGACAATTATTGCACTGTCCCTGGCCAACATCTATCAGGCGTCCCGTGAGCTACGAACTGTCGGCTTAGATCTAGAGAATAGTCCGGAGATCTTCGAGACACAGTTTGACTGGGAGGAGTTCATAATCGAAGAGCAGCTAACACGGTGAGGAGTGCTCCCCTTTCGGAACATCATCTAGTACACGCGGAAGGTAGTAACTAATCTGTCTTCGTCACACAGGGTCAAGACTTTTATTTTCCTTCTCGACACCGCTTTCACCATCTTTCACAGTACCCCTCCCCGTGTCACAATTCCGGACCTAAAGTTCCCCTTTCCTTGTCCTGATATCTACTTCCATGTTGATGACAAGGAGCATTTGCTTGCCGCTATTCGGAATAATAACCAAGATTTCTACGGATGTAGACGTACATTGATTTCACAGGCTGTACAAACCCTATGTGAGGGTTCATCACGCACAAGTATCCCGCCACGTCAAATGAAAGGACTGGATGGCTTCATCCTAATATCAGGTGCGAGTGAAATCCGGAGTATCATCAACTGCCGCTAACCATCCGCTCGGGCGACCCAACAGCGCTGCATTCAGTGATATTCCAACACGAAGTTTCTTCCTTACTATCGCAAAGTGTAAGCTCATCCATTGCTCAAGCCTTGGAGAAGTGGCTCCAAATGTGGGAGCACGACATGTCGCATCAAGAATCGCACCTCGTGTCTCGCTCGACGCTTTTACCACACGGAGCCGCCATGGCAACCGGATTCACTCGGCATTCTTATGAGTATTTTAGCCTCGCCTTGGTTAAGTTGAATAGACTACATGATCTTCAAGGTAGGGAACAAACTGGACCCTTGAACGATTTCGGCGAGGGAAACGTGAAGCGTTTAATCAGCAGCGCTAGTCGGAAATACGGACAAATATACTAAATCAGGGTGTTCTGCATGGAGGCCATGCACGGGATTAGAATCAAAAGTTAGCAACAGCAATGAAGATGCCAGACCCAACATCACATCTCAACACAATGAATGCAAAATGTTTTTTTTTTTTAAATAAATAAGCTCTTTTAGGGTGCTGACTGAGGAAATTGGCGAAAATCGGAACAGAATGTTAGGCGCTGTTACCAAGGTGGGCAAGACTTTGAGAGCTTAGTTCCCTGAGAACCTGGAATATATTGTCTTCATCCTGAGCAACAGTGAGACAAACTTTCAAGATAAGGCTGAATAGCTTGAGGTGTCTTGCCCATGAGTTTAAAGGAACTTGGCTATGTTGGTTAGCATAGAATCTTTAGCATTTGTCAAGTAACCAATCTTGAGTCATGAGTAACCTCTTCCTTGAATATACTTTTCGATGTGCGCTTTGGGCACAGCCCGAGACTACAAGATTATACTTCTCTAAGCGACGAGTTCCAGATTCTCATACATAGGAGATCACGACGATTAATCGAATTGCAAAGTAACGATTATCGCTTTGTAACCTCTTGGTCAAACGATACATTCTATTCTCAACTGCATGGAACTACTGGGCAGTCCTTCAATCGTGCCCTATCATCTAGTTGACGAACTGATCAAAGTAATCTGCCACCTTGGAGCCTTGGTCCAGACTTGCTGCGAATCCCAGGATATGGTCGGGGCGAATTACCACAACGGCTCCGGTAGTTTGGTCCACCCCATACTCGGAGTGGGCGCTACCGTCGCCATCAAAGTAGAACCTACCAATAGGTGGTCCCTTGAGCACCTGCCAGGCACTGCCAGCCGAACCTTGTATAAGTGTGATCAGACGTACCATCCCCTCATGCCGGCTACCGAGGGTTTCCAACTGCTCGTGCAAGTACGCAAATCTGTCACGTGTCAGGGCTGGGTTTCCTGCAAACACAACAATGCTCCAACGACCCGTCGCGCCATCTTCCAGAAGGGCGTCATACAGGCGCAGCGGAACTTTGACTCCTGCACTGCGGACAAGAGCATCGGGACAGCGCACGCCACTCGCAAGTGAAGAATCAGTAGTGACCTGGTTGAGGACAGAGTTTGTGTAGGTAATGCCCAGCCCGACGTTGAAGCCTATGTTTTCAAGCCAGACCGTCTTCAAAATCTCGTCTGCAGAACTTCCAAGAGCTTGGAACCGAGGGGGAATGTCACCAGAAATGAGAGCAGATGCCTCCGTGTCGATTTGGATAAGCTTCTTGGCCGCCGCACGTCGCTCGGAAGCATACGTCTGGAGAACCGAAGGCTTGTACCATCCTTTGATTGTCCCTGCAAGCTTCCATACCAGGTTGGTGGCATCGTGGATGCCGGTGTTCATGCCCTGAGCGAAGCCGGACGAGTGGATGTGAGCTGCATCTCCTCCGAGCAGAACGTAGGTGTCTTTCTGTAAGGATCGTGCGACGCTCTGCTTGATTCTAGTAAAGAGTCAGTACCTTAGCTACCTTATACTGTCAGGGCAAGACATACTTGTAATGGGTCCACCAATCCAGTCTTTCCACATCAAGCTTGAATGGCCTCATGCACTCTACCGCCTCCTTCACTGCCTCATCCTGCGTGATGCCGTTAGGGTACCTTGCGAGCAGGGCGGGTGTGAGAGCAAATCCGATGCGATGGGCATCTCTTTCCAGCTTGACCCACAAGACGTTTCCGTGATGCGGCGTCTCGATGGAAGCAAACCCCAAGTCTGCACCTGGCATGTCTGTTACCAATTTGCCGTCGATGCGAATCCACTCATAGGTGGTGGATTCTGAATCAAGAGGAATATCACTCAGCTGCCGCACAAGCGAGGAGCCGCCGTCGGCTCCAAGGAGGAATTTGCTTTCATCATGTAAGTCATTGCTAGTGATCAGAGGACTGTTGCGTAGACGTACCTGCGGACTTGAACCTGGCCTTCAGATGTATGCTCAAGGGTAGCGGTGATATTGTAGCCGTCATTGAGAGATTTGTCGACGACGTAGCTGACGTACTTCCACCCATACCACACGGACTTTCCGTAACTTTCGTAGCGCGCTCGAAAGACGTCCTCGGACTGACGCTGACGAATGTTCAGGGCGTAGTCATGGAAACTAGTTTTGAGATGATCAAACATGACGCCCCAACCCCGATCATTGATCCTCTGGCCGTTGTTATAGTTTAGGCTGGTCCGCGCCACGAAACCTTCTTGAACTATGTCCCTGATTACATGGAGCTGTTCAAGCAGCTCTAGAGACCTTGAGTATAAAGTAGTAGCTCGACCAAAAGTAGCCTGGACATCGCGTTCCCGTTTTTCTGCGCTTCGTTAGTTGACTCGATTGTGGCCTGGATCATCTTTGAGGTTGAAGTCTTGCCAGCTTCGGAGTGACAGTAGAATGGCCAACCAGGTTTCTATAGAATAAGGACTCACCAAGCACAATTGAGTCGACGCCCTGTTGGAAAAGGCCGATAGCCGTCAGAAGGCCTACTGGACCAGCTCCAACGACGAGTACGTCTGTCGTTTTGGGGGCCATGTTTTTGGACGGGATGGTGAAAGTAGCTGGAAGTAAAGTGAGAAAGAAATCTAAAAGTCAGATAGCCGGCTCGGTTGAAGAGACGAAACGAGTATGAGTGACTGATTCCGTGACCTTTACCTGGCGCGAGATGGGCTTTATATATATATGTTCATGATTCTGTATCGTCCTAGCACCATTAGTATGTGAAAAATGGGCAGGGTTAATACATGTGCTCAGCTCGCTTCTCGGGGCCTCGCGATTCCAAACTCGCCCCTGTTCTACAAGCTTCCCGCCGTTACTGCCGGATGATTCGGGCATTGTGTGAGGAAATGCCCCGCCAAAGACGGCCAAATGCCGATGGTGCCGCGGACAAGCCTCATCCGCCGCCGCTAACAGCTGGCGGCCTTTGCTGGATGTAACTTGGAGACAACTCACCCTGGCTTCATTCCAAGCTCGTTGGGCTGAAGTGACCTACAGTAACAGTAGATCGGCAGTTCAAGGGTCAGGGTTGCTAGCTTTAGCGGCTCTACCAGACGCGTTCTCCTGGGCATAATCAATCCTCCTTCTCCTCCCCTACTACTGCTACTACTACCCCTGTCACTACTTCACTTCGTCACTTGCCTTGCAGGTTTTGGCCGCGTATATTCTCTAACCCACTCCGACAAAGACCGGTAGAGTGGAGCAACAGGAGAGACCGAAACCCACATACCTTGCGGCCTGGGACGACAGCATCCAACGTGCTGCGTGTTAGTACTATGCGGCAATTGGTTGGCCTTACAACTGGCCTGTTCCTTTTCTGATTAGGGAGCCTAAACAAAATGTCCGTTGACTCTCGTCCTGGAGGCTCCTTGGCTTGTTTCTAACAGAGTTTTAGGGTTGGGCATTGCTAGGAAATACATTAAAGCTTTGGCTTTTATTGCCATTGTCATGTATATGGTTTTATATAAACTTTGGTAAGAAGTATCCTTCCAAATGACAAGCAATATGCATCTACCTGCAATAATCAATGATTAGAAGAATAGAGTACCATCTTGATCATGAGAGCATATGAATTCCCATAGCTCCTCCTGGTCCCAAACGTCATAATCAAGTTTCTTTTCCTCGTCTACATGGCTTTCGGGTTGGGGCCCAACCTGCGATAGACCGCGTTCCGAAGTTCCAGTCTCAAGCCGTGGTGAATCCCCAGTCATGCAAGCACCATTCGTCGGCGGATCAGAGCTGAGTTGGCCTGGGAAGCTGCTCATAGAGTCAACCTGATGGTGTTCCTTTAAGTGCGAAAAATCTACTAGCTCAGGGACGGAACGAGTTTCCTGGACATTCAGGGAGGTTGGCATCTCCCCCTCCTGGGTGATGCTCATGATCCGCTGACGATTGATTGTCCCTCCGCTGCCCAGACTCTCGCCGTCAGGATCCCGCATGTTCACCGATTCAGGCCCCGTCATGAATTTTTCAATCCCCCGAATCATGCGGAGCTTGCGCCAAAGATTGTATGAGATGCTCGAATGGACGGCGAGCTTTCGAACAACATCCATAGCCCACCCGACATCCTGGCTGCAGGGGTGGCCTGACAAAGATTCCTGGGTGGCGAACAAAACCAGGAGTGTAGCTACTGCCGACTCAAGGAAGAAGTTGTACGTTTTCTGCTGGATTTCGTAGAGGTCAGAGGTCCGGAACAGCTGTGCCAACACTCGGATGGTATCCTGAGCGACCTCAATGAGCGTATTGACACTGGAAGGGTTGACGATGCGACTCTGTGTTGGCGGCATCATGTTTCGGTGTACAATGTTGCGGTGGATGACAATGCGCATGTGGTTTGCTCGCAAATATAACATTAGCCGTAGTCGCCAATGGCCTCTGATATGTTCAGCCGGGTTGAACGTCTCCTTGACGCCCGAGAACTGCAGATCAGTAGGCAGACTCTGACGCCACTGGAGGATGCGGAAATCGAGCCGGTCGCGAGTCTCGTCGGCTGCAGCATCTGGCAATTCCACGTTCCCCCTTACTGAGCGCCACACATCAGAAGCGATGCGCGTGTAGGCTATCATACTCTTAAGGTACATGGACGTAAAGTCGGTTCCGTCCTAGGGATTCATGCAAGGTCAGCTTTTGCTACCCCGGTAGCGAACCTCAATGCTTACCGGTTCTGGTAGGTCGTGATGAATGTCTGCATCTCGGAGAACAAATGGTAGACCGGAGCCAAAGCTGAAACGTCGTTCAGTGTTATACACGGACCAAAACAACCTGACGGCTTGGGAAAGTGCACTGCTCGTTGGGCACCGTTTTCTTATCATCTCAGACCGGTGGAACCCCAGCTCTAGCAACATACGAGCGGCTTCTCCCGCCATTCTCCATGCAAGGACCTCGCAGTCCGAGTGGAAATGAAAGAATGCCTGGGATGGGCTCAGTCAGTGATGATCCAAAAGGCTCTTCTCTTGATACAACTTACTATCAAAACGAACAGGGTAATATCATGAACATCCAAGTCCTTGCCTCTTGTTCTTAATCTTGCGGCCGAAGTGATATCTCTTATCCACAGGGACCCGGTATCACACTGTCCTCCACCTTGGAGAACCATGACTATCGCTACAATAACCGTCAAATGCTCCCTGTGGCGACTGCCTATTGCCCCTAGCATATTCGATTCAAGAGTATCGTCACGAGCGTCTAGACTCGTCGGTCCGTAGATGAAATGAATATAGTGCCTTAATGGCCCTAGATCAACTACCGGGTATGACATGCCGACTTCTTCTTCATATATGGTTACCATTCGCAACAAAGTATCGTATCCTAATTGAAAGAGTCTGCAAGTTCTCGCCTCCGCAGTTAGGATGGCGGCACTATCTCCTAAATCAACAAGAGAAGGCAATTTTCCATAGTTCTTTAGATCATTATCTGGATGAATGTCGTTTGGCGGATCCGAAATGATAAGACTTTGGCCTAATGGATCGATTCCGAGGGCCGCCGATGTAGGGGTAAGGATATTGGCTGTATCGATGGTAAGTGGAATTGCTTCTCCAGGCTTGTCGACTAGGGGCTCGGTGAGTTCATTGCCATCATAGTCTCCGGCAGAAGCTATAGGTTTGCTGGACTGATCTCGGACGTCACCCCCGTTTAAAACAGGCCGAATCACCTCGAGTCGGCTACAGTCAGGAGAGTTGTTGTAGATGAAATCAATGAGTGTTCACAGGAGAATAGAGAAAGGAGCTATCGGCACTAGGATGGCTTCTACACTCACCTATCCAGTGTCGAAGAGGAGCTACTATGCCTGCGGCGGCGTCTGCGTCGAGGACCTGAAAGGTATACGCACTGGACGTGCTTACTCCTACAAAATAGGCAGGGCGTCTCGCCAGTGCATTTACATTTGCGTCGCTTGCAGCTTTCGCTGTATTGGACAAGAAGACAGTCAGTACAGCTATTTATCTGATGACACCGTTGGGACTGACTGACCATGCGATAGATGTATAAGGATGCCGCCGTTTCAGTGTCGAATAAGCAACAGGCGTCGCCATTTGAGGGGGCTCCGCCATGATGCGGACAGTAAGTCACAAGTTCTCCCAAATTCCGCTTGTTTCCCCTGTTTCTATATCTGTCGTGCTGCTTGCGGAGTGGTTGTCGGGATATACCCGCCCGGTGGGGGTTGAGCATCGGGAAATTCAGGCCCTCAGCTAAGTGCATAGCTGGACTACCACTTTGGCCCGAATGGCACGCAATGGCCGCCTGCTGGTGGCTATATATCTCCATGAGTCTACGAAACTCTATACATATCCTTGCATCACACACTGTGACTTGTTCATAATACAGCCTTGGATTGCGTCCACTCGTCTGTCCCCACTATCTTCCACGACAATGGCTTCAAACCTGCCTGGTCCCTGCTGCTTCTCCGGCTTTAAGCACGAGGGGACGCCAACCGGAACTCTTCAAGTCATCAATGGTGGTCAGTTGGTGTTTTGTGGTTCCAGACAACTCAGAGACTGGCGTGGTGTGCGAGCTGACGAGGCCGAAATTAGTCAAAACTTATATCGCGAAGCCCTCAGGCAACCAGGAGCCTCAAAATGCGGTGCTACTGCTCAGCGACGTCTTCGGAGTCGTCCAGAACAGCATGCTTCTAGCAGACGATTTTGCGTCGAACGGCTATCTTTGCGTTCTCCCGGACTTGTTTGAAGAGGAACACCTTCCTCTCGACGTCTTTGAGAAGGGTACTTTTGACATTCCTGCATGGGCGGCTAGGCATGGTCCAGAACAGGTCGATCCTATCCTTGAAAGAACCATCTCTTTCTTGAGGGATATCGTCGGAGTAGAAAAGATAGCCGGCGCGGGATACTGCTTTGGCGGAAAGGTAAGAATTAGCAAGCATGTATATTCCCCCACCTCTTTGGCCCAGTACTAATGATAAGGGTTGACAATAGTACGTTGCTCGATTCCTTAAAGAGGGCAAGTTGGATATCGGGTACACTGCGCATCCGTCGTACATCACCTTCGAAGAACTCCAGGGCATCGAGAGACCTTTGTCAATCACTGCTGCAGGTATGGCTGTGCCGTGTCTCTCTTTATTCATTCTACCACGGTTGCTGCGATGCTAACTCGGGTCATCAGAATTGGACCATATTTTCACTCGCGAACTAAGACACAAATCCGAAGACACTCTCACGACTACACGCCAGCCTTACCAGATATGCCTGTACAGTGGTGTTGAGCACGGGTTCGCAGTACGTGGTGATCTGACTGTGCCTCACAATAAGTTTTGCAAGGAGCAAGCATTTATTCAAGCACTGGCTTGGTTTGACTACTATACGAAGGGTTAGCCAAGTGCTCTTATCGATTTATTCTAGTACCATATTTGTTGAAAATCTCAAAGGCTCAGCTTGATCTTTTATGAAACATGCAAATGAGTGATACCGTTGTTGATAAGAGCATCAAATGATCTACTACCTCGTCTCAATCGATATTGACTACGCTTCTATTTACTGGAGAGAGTTTGATAGAAAATTGAAACAGAAGAAGATGTGAGACCCAACAACTCACTACAATGTATACGAATAGGATACTAAAAAAAAGCTTTGCTCCCTCAAGGCTGCAGTCATGCGGCAGAAAATTCTGTAAACCTTCATGCCGATCACTCACTTGCCGTCAGGATTCTATTTAGTTTAAGGATGACCAGACTTATCCGAGACTAGATGGATAAGATTCCCATCTTCAATATATACATGTAAGCGGATCCTAAACTTCCTTCCCCCTCCACACACAAACATGGAGAACCAAGCAACTGCATAGCCACACTATATTTATCTCTTAGCAACAACGATAAATGCCGAAGTACGATGAAGTCATCCATTGAAGAGTAAAATTTTGCTACGTTATAATTCTCTAGCTGCTGATTATCTTGCTGCTTAATTTCGTTGTTATTACAAATACAACAGGATCATAATCAAGGCCTATAGAGGCTGTAGGGCACCCTTGTGGGAGAGGGGCCAGACATCCGGCTCATTGACGAGAGACTTGCTGGAACCTATATCGCGGGCGTTGACCCAGTTTCCATGGACCTGTGACTTGATTCGGAACGGGAGAACTGCGAGAGCGATGGGTTGACTGAATTCTCGAGTATCGAGGAAGACCAAATGAGAAGTTTGAGTGTTACGGTCCTCGATGAGCGACATGATCCACCCATCTCCTTCAGGACTATCGGGGGTCCTTGGAATGAAAGTCGGCTCCTGTGCAAAGCAGTTATCCCCCGGATAGTAGAATTCCTGCTCTCCAGTCTCGGTGTTGATCATAGCCAGGCCGTTGAGTCCCTGAAATACATTGATGGAGCCATCGGCCTTTTGTGGGATGAAAACATTGAGGAAGACGATTTTGTATTTCTCAGACATGAACCTTTCGTCGATGCGGGGGAATTCGGATGGAAGCTCCAAGATGAGCTTGGGGTCAGGAAGCCATGTGTCGGAGGGTTGGTGAGGATCAATGGTCCAGCGAACGAAGTCTGCCTTGGCTTCACCCTGCGCAGAGCTCCCATCGGCGGGGGGAAAGAAGGGAAAGACATTTCCGTGTACGCGCGTGGCCTCGATGTGGATCAGGCCGCCTTCATCTTCCCACGACCCGGCAGTGTGGATGTTCATGCAATGGTTCCAGTTGTAGAACCGATACTCGCCATCCTTCCAGCCAGTTGGTGGTACCTTTCGCCGGGGAACCACCAGGAAACAAGCAGGTCTATCCGCCGTATATGCCCAGTGGTGCCCCCCAGCCTTCATCCGCTCAAGGCTGGTTTCGTAGGGCCAGAGCATCAGAACCAGCCAGTTTTTGGTAATAGCGCAATCGTGTGTGATGGTGGCCCACGGTGCCTCAATCCAAAGCTCCTCGGTTTTCAGGCCGTTCTTATCAAGAGCGTACGTGACAATGTCCTTGGTTGCCAGCCCCTTAGCCTCATATCCAAACACGACGAGCTCCTGGGTGAAGGGGTCGACTTTAGGATGCGCGGTAAAGGATTTCGCCTTGACTTGGTCTACGAATGGATCGTACTGCAAGGTTTCGAGCGTGTCTGGATCGAGTTCGTGCGGGTTTCCCGCCTCTTCCAACACCAAGAGCTTCTTCGCCCATCTGATGACGTTTGTGCTCCCTGTCGAGTCCACGGCAGCTTGCACGCAAGGATGGTGGGACCATGGGTTCTTGTACAAGCCAAAAAGCGACTTGCGTGCACGACGCTCCAGGCGGTATCTCTCTGTACCAACGTACTTTATCTTGAAGTCGACGTGGCCATTCTGGATCCGAAAGGCAGAGACGAGACCGTCCCCGTCGATGGGGATGCTCTGGTGTTTGGCCGCGAAACGGTCCAGCGAGATCCGGTAGAAGGTACCGTCGATGGCGGCTGGAATCTCGCCATAGACTATGACATCGGCGACCTCGCCCTCGAAGCGGAAGGGAAGCCCTGACCCGGTGAGGTCAGCTGCGATTGGCCATTTGGTCGTCAACCCGGCTCGGGTATGTCCGAAGGCAGAAGAAGCTGATGCGGTGGAAGCCATGTTTTCAAGGTGTTACGGTGATCTTAAGATAAGAGGATGTTTGACTATTCTGACTTATGGATGATTGCTAATCATTGACGATGATTTGCCACGTCTTGTCTTGCGAGTTCAACTCATGTTTTATAGGTGCGTCTGTCTGTTCAGCTGCTTTCAGCAAGCCGGCGTACAAAACGTGACCAAAGCAGCCGTCCTTTCAGCCCGAGGTTTGTCATGGTAGTGACAAGACCAAAGTACATTTGCGGGTCCGGCGGCAATAGGCCGCAGCTCACTTATGCACAAGTGTTGCGGCAAATAACTGTCGCGCAAAGCTCCATCCGGGGTCCCCGGATTTTTAGCTTGTCATTGTTGGAAATCACGGGGTGGATATATGCCGCGTAGCAGTGTACCTGAAGTGAGTATGGTGATATGGAAAGACTAGGCATAGTGCAGTGACATATCGGATGGGTATTGCAGAGCTGTAAAGAGCATAGCGATCGGCCAGTTCCCGCTGACCAGCTGATCTGTCGTGTTTCTGTGGCAGTCCGTACTTCCCAGATGGGGACTCTTGTGATCTTCGCGTATCTGTGTTGTTCACAAGTGCCGCTGCAAGCTTTCAGACGCTAAGCCAGCTAGCCAAGCAATGAAGCTTGCGTATATACGGCGAGGAAGGGTCAGCGGGTATTTACCGCCCCTTACTGTCGCTGCTGTCGTGCCGAATCTAAGCGGTTGCAAACGTTCAACTTGGCAGCAAGCCACTGTCGTTCCGCAACGCCGACGTTTCCATTGAGCTTAAAAGATCCAACAACCCCGTCGTAGCGGCCAAGAAACTCCAAAATCCAGTTGTTAGAAACTAACCACCATGTCTTCACCGAGCTACAAGGTATCCGATCAGTGGATTGGCAAGCCGCGACCCGCTCGTATCGTTGTGGTAGGAGCAGGTATCGGAGGTATTGCCGCCGTCAAGCTGTACAAAGATATGTTCAAGGGTATGCCGACAGAGCTTGTCGTGTACGAGAAAAACCATGATGTCGGCGGAACATGGTTGGAAAATCGCTACCCCGGGTAAGTGGCCGTGACGCCAAGGCATGGCTTTGATTCCGGTTGCTGATAGTAGTCAGATGTGCTTGCGACATACCTGCCCATGGATATACTTACTCATGGGAGGGAAACCCCAGGTGGTCGAAGCCCTATGTTGGAGCCGTCGAACTATTCGAATATTACAAAGACAGGGCGAAAGCGTACGGGGTCTTTGACTACTTGCATTTACGACACAAAGTGATGTCTGCTACTTGGGATTCCAGAGCCGGTAAATGGCATCTCAGTATTGAGAATACCGAGAAGAATCTTCTTGTCAAGGATGAGTGCGATGTTCTCATTAATGCAGGCGGTTTCTTGAAGTGTGCACCCTTCCCAAGCTACGTTTTCAGGAAGCTAACATACGCTGTAGTAACTGGAAATGGCCAGTAATTGACGGACTCAACACCTTCAAGGGTCATTTGGTTCACTCTGCCAGATGGGACAACAGCTATGACTTCAAGGACAAAACAGTCGGTGTGATAGGGTCTGGTTCTTCCGCCATTCAGATCGTTCCTATCATCCAGAAACGTTAGCCCCCCAGCGTCTCTAACCACCACCAGAATGGAGCTGACTTTTCCCTCTTCGAGAAAGTGGCCAAATCTTTGGTTTCATTCAATCGTTCACCCACGTGGATCACACCCGAGTTCGCTGCCGAATTCGCCCCCGGAGGAAGAGATGCAGTCTTCTCCGAGGAGCAGAAGGAGAGATGGGCAAACGACCCGACCGAGTTCCTCAAGTACCGCAAGGCTGTAGAGGCCAGCGGAAACAACTTTTACAGCATGCAATTCAAGGACAGCGACTTGCAGAAAGAGCTCTTCGACAAGTTCAAGGATCTCATGACCCAGCGATTGGGGCGGGAGGATCTTGCCTCGATCCTCGTCCCTACCTTTGCAGTTGGGTGTCGCAGGTACAGAAACCTAGGCCAAAGCCGATCTTGAGCACTTGGGCATCAAGGCTGACTAAATCCTGCTAGGATGACGCCAGGTCACGGCTACTTGGAAGCTCTCGCAGCTCCTAATGCGACCGTGAGAGGCGACCCAATCTCGCATGTTACCCCGGGCGGAATACAGATGAAAGACGGGACACATTTCGAGTTCGATGCGATCATATGTGCGTCAGGGTTTGACACATCATATCGTCCATCTTTCCCTGTCATTGGAGAAAGCGGCGTCGATCTCCGCGACCAGTGGAAAGATGAACCCCGTTCATACCTCTCCGTTGCCGTTGACGGATATCCGAATTACTTCAGTGAGTCAGCCCACTCTACAGAGATTGACCGGTGCAAGCCTAACTTCAGGTTCCAGTGGCCACGGGCCCTAACTTTCCGCTTGCCAACGGGTCTTTGCTCGCCTGCCTGGAACAAACACTGCGGTATGCTTTCATGGCTGTGCAAAAGTTACAAACGCAGAAAGTAAAGTCCGTCTCGCCTAAGCCGGAGGCAGTGGCAGAATTTCAAGAACACAAAGACACTCTGATGAAAGAGCTTGTTTGGACCTCTCACTGCAGGTCATGGTGAGTCAGCCTGGCTTAGCCCGCAAGTCTCCGAGCTAATGACAACATCTAGGTATAAGAATGGCAAGGCTGAGGGAAAGGTATGGGGTCCTTGGTGCGGGTCGGTGTTGCAATTCATCGAGCTGCTAAGCCAGCCACGGTGGGAGGACTATGTGATAGAATATGAAACCAGTAACCGCTTTCAATATTTGGGAAAAGGGAAGACGGGAATCGAAGAGGCTGGTGGTGATATGGCTTGGTATGTTAAAGAGCCAGGGGCACGTGTAGACTAGACGTCGATAGGCACGGTCAGTGTACATGCTGCTTTTGCATTGGCCAACGGTCTTGAACAGTATTGCTGTAGGTTAGCACAAGGACGTGTTACTTTTACTGTTCGGAATGCTCGGGAAGTTGGTCTGGTACCCACCAGTCCAGGGCAATGTGTATCTGTACGCGGAAATAGATCGACAGACCTAATGCTGGATAGACCGTGCCGCGGATAAGTCTCATCCGCCCGCGTCAACCGAGATATTGTTGACGTGCCCACGGCTTCATGGGCAAAGTTTTGACACATTTACTCTGTGGTACGATTTCAACTTGCTGCTTGGCACTGAATCTTTACTCAAGGACCGAGAGTGAACCACTAAGTAATTCGACTCCAAACCCCCACTCCGGACAGAAGTGAGCTGCCTAAAATTCACTCATAATGGAGTGCCAAGATACAACAGCACTATCAGAACGTGTATATACCGCGTGCGGCCCCTGTCGGCGGAGAAAGCGCAAGGTTCGTTCAACCTAATTCGCGGAGCATCTTTCAGGTGGCTGAAGTAGAGACATGGTCGAAATGGCAGTGTGATGGCAAAGGGCCTTGTTGCTCACCATGCCTCTTGCGCGGAGAAACGTGCAAGTGGGCGCTCCGCAAAAAACCCTTTAGGTGAGTGCTCTCATCATCATTCACAAGGAGCTCATATTAACAGACAACTTTTTGTTTTGACAAGCAATAAGCGCCATGACAAATCATACGTTACAAACCTAGAGCTTCAGGTCAAGCACTTGTCGTCTTTACTTCAAGGACCTGGCAACTACACAACCGAACATAATGATACCCTGCCCGCAGCGAGCTCAACAAGCCCAGTGGTTTGCCGCTCTGCCTCTGGGAGATCTGACCGCGCTCTGAGAGACTTTTCATTTCTCAATTGGAGATGTTCCGTTCCATTTGGAGAGGGAGAACTGTTATTCTCGGGCCCTGGCAGATTCACAACTCCGTCACTTTCGTCTCTCGCGAGGTTTTCGGATCCCATAGAGAAACCTCATCTAGCGTCTGACAAGGTCCTCGATCTTGTTGAACAATTTAGCCACAACATCAACCTGAAGAACCGCATGATAGATTTCTTCTTGCAGGCTGTCAACGTCCATTACCAGTTCGTTGAAACAAGCTGGCTCGCATTCCACTCCGACTTTCCGCGAGTTGACCCGGACTTTAAGCTCCTCTACAGTGTTGTATTCGCTGTCTCAGCTCATTGCTTACACGTATCCGCAGATATAGAGAATGCACTGATGGTGTATACAGAGAGTCTCGTCATGCCCTCCTTTAGGGCTAAATCATGCCTACCCGTCATGAAGGCGATATCTATCCTCGCTTGGTTTAAGCAGACATTGTTGTGTCGTTCCGATGGCTTCGCCTATCAATGTATGTAGACACAGATCGATGGGCCCTGGTCGTCACTAATTGCCGCGCAAGACATGGCCTTGGGTCTCTCTCCAAACCTGAAGCTGGACGATTTGCCGGGTAGCTCTTCGGCGACCGGAAATGAGTTCGATCGGAACCATATCGATCGGATTAAGGCGTTTTGGTCTTTATTTTTGATAGAAAGGTACGTCGTGGAGGAGATAGGATGGCATCTAAACTACCCTGCTATGTCATTATGCCACGTCACTGACCAGGACTTGCTGTTTATAACCAGGACGTCAACTCCTGGCCTGGGACTTCCTCAAGCCATACCATGGGATTATAATCACGCCCCACTCTCTGCATGTCTCTCGCTGAGTTTGGACGACTGCCCTACACTTTATTTCAGGCATCACTGTCGGTTGTTGCAGCTGCATCATCTCTTCATCGAAACATGGTAGGCTCTCGAGAAGGTGCACCGATAAAGAATTGGTTCGCTAATACCGTATTGCCTTCTAGCTACATGCCTGGGTTTAGCTCCCTTGATGTAGCAGATCAGAAGGCACAACTGCGTCGAGCCTCAGAAGCTCTTCTTGCATTTCGACAACCTACAAACGAGTGTGCCCACGTCAACACGAGCAGTCGTTGTGGCATGCTTCGAACAATTCTATGGATATCTTATCACGCCGCCATCATCAATCTATACCGCCCATTCATTGATTGTTCCTGGGCATGGGAAGTCGATAGCACGGTGACGCCTCTCAAGGCACTGACTATCGCTTCTGACTCAATTGCTAAGCTACTAGAACACCTGGGCACAGGGACAGATGTTCAAAATATGCCTCCATTCGTCATATACCACATCCTGCGTGCCGGGCTGGTTCAATGCCTAAACATGACAGTATTGGACGAACAAATGAAATCCACCGCCAGAGAGAAACTCCACGTCTGCCTTGTAGCCCTTTCTCGAATGAAAGAGACGTGGACGGTTCCGGGAGAAGCTTGCATAAATTTCTTGATATATGTTGGGCAAAGCTGGAAGATAACGCCCTGGTAGCACGGTTTATGTCGGTGTTGTAACTTTCCATAGCTTAAGTATCATACTGCATGGGCTAGACCATTGCCTCCAATTAAGCGACCTGCTGGAACACTGGACTTTACACGGGATCTTAATTTCTTTCGTTCTTACCCTTATCTCATAGATTATAGTCTGCGGTTTGAATATATTCGTTCGCGGTATGAGCTTCTATTAAAGGCCGTGGATTTCGATACTAGATCAGGACGATGGGTCAGAAGAAATGTCTTCTCCGACTACTTGCTACTTCATTGGCTTGCGAGATCGAAGCCATGATATTGACTGCGGCCTTAGATTTGAGGGGCGAGCGAATGGGGCTTAGACTGACTGGTGTGGTAAGCTGAGGCTGAGTCTTCAAGTTCCCTAATCCAAGCGTCGCTGCGAACGACGACAGCAGATAGACTTCCCAGCTACAACCTATCCGGTTCGAATTGACGTCAGAACATGTCGGAATCCGCTTCCAAGCCGTCCAATGCCTCAAGTCCTAGATCATGCTGGCAATGCGCGAAGAGGCGACTGGTCTGCGATCTGGGGAAACCGGGATGCAAGAAGTGCGCGAATCACGGCGTGGAGTGTCCCGGTTACGAGACGAAACCTCTTCAATGGATGCAGCCTGGCCAGACGAGGTCCAAGGGAGCTCGCAAGGCCGAGCGGCTAAGATCAAGCAGGAAACCAGCCTCACAAGCGGCGACAGATAAGCCAGCGACATTGGACATTGGCAGAACGACACCTGAGTGCTCGCTTCCATCGAAGTTTAGTGATACAGAAGAGGCCTTGATTGTATATCCAATGGTAAAAGACCAAAGTACTTTTGGCCTCCTCATTCAGGCGCTGAATTATCGTATGCGCCAAAGACTCCCCTTGAGCCAGTTATTGGGCGCAGCTAATAATTTGGCAGACAACATCAATATCTCGCCCGACTTGGTCGCTACTGGCGATCGTAGTCTGAACAATCCATTCATCGTCGGCACTGGATTGACATCCGTAATCCCTCCGGTGATAGCCGAAGTGATCATATGCACCGCGCTGGGTCACCGCATGGTCCAGTCCGTCCAGTGTTCCGAAGCTGATAGGAATGCCATGGCCGTGAAGCTTCGCCGCCATCGAGGAGCTGCTATAAGCGCCGTTGCCAGTGGTCTTTCGCAAAAAGAGGCGCAATGGCACGAGAGGACGCTGATATCTGTCGTTCTGCTGCTGCTCAGCGAGGTGTGTGTTCAGCATATCACGTCCTCACGTTTTGGCAGTTGCTAATGTTCATAAGATTCAGCACTCGCTATCACCAAATTGGTGGCAACACCTGGACGGAGCCTATGCCCTGATTGATATGCGGGGAGGCCTGCCGTATTTGATCAATTCCATGCCACAGCAGAGGCATTTGTTTCGATATTTCTTCCAGTAAGCCCATTTCTCTTCTATCGTGAATATGCATGTTAATTGTGGCCCGCAGCATTGATGTCTTCGGAGCTACTACAGCGCCTTGTGTCGATGTGCGCAGAGTACAGCAGCAGTTGAGTGTGGTCGGGCATCTGGAGACTTTGTATGGAGATGGTTTACTGACGTCCACTCCGTGCCCGCCTGAGCTGGTCTCATGCATAATCTTCACTAACTATATTCGGTCCCAGCAACGTTCTTTGGCATCATCATCACTATCGAACTGTTTCATCAGTCTCGAAGATACGTACCACCCTCTTCAACAAATTCTGACATTCGATCCTCAAGCATGGGCCTCAAGCCTGCCTCTTCAAAATGTACAGAGTTCCGATCCAGAAGACCGGCACAAGCACTTACCTGCTTCTTGGAATTGGACACGTATCGGTCGCATATATCAGTGCGCTGTCGCTATATACTGCGTCGAGTCTCTTGGTCCCCCGCCCGAGCTGGGCTATGCTGATATCCGTTCCGCCCACCGCAAGATCCTGCTACAGGAACTCCGGCAACTCACTAATGGCTCACGGAATCAGCTTCGAAAACTCGTGATTTGGCCCATGGTCATTGCCGGCCTTGTTCTAGACTCCAATGACCAACTTTCTCAGGAGTTCGTCATCGAAGAGCTGAAACGGCTCGGTGCTACGCTGGGCACCGCAGCGCCTCTGATTGCCAGGGACCTTCTTCGTGGGCTGTGGCATTCGTCAGCCTACTCGAGACACGGCAGAACTTGGGAAGACTTGTTTGACCGACCTTACGTATTCGCAATCTAACCATCGGCTGCGCCTCTACGCTTACGCCGTTGGGTGGATGAATGCGATAGAACCGAGAGTTGCCAGGGCCTCGGTAGTCATATTGCTCCCCAATATAACCGCTCCACTGCTTCTCAGGCCGACGGCTCTTGGCCATTTATTTTGCCTGTTTAGGCAATAAGTCAACAAGCCCACCTTGTATCACAAGTAGGGCTGAGCCTCTGTACTCTTTTATCCCGATGGGGTAAGAAACTTTCATAACATCACTGACTTCATGATGCTGATGGATTAGCACAATAGATTGAAGACCAAGATTTCTCTATATAACTGGCACAACCACCGTATGGGGATGACAGACTCATCAATGCTCAAGTCCTCGGCAGCAACAATCGCCTCATTCATATTTTCATTCTTTCTATTTGTAGCTTTATTACTCTTACGCTTCAGCAACGACTCAAGATGGGAGTCTCTTTGCAGCAATTCTTGCTTGCCACTTGCACACATGCTGCTTTCACCCTAGCTGCCCAGCCCCAGATACTGGCAGATACCAACCGCGATGGTGTGATCAATGACCTTGATATAAACAACAAGCAGGCCTGGACGGATCAGCGTGGCGCCATCTTCATACCCAACATCGGAGACATTCACCAGCGCTGTTCCGCCATTGACGCCAATGGTCAGCCACTGGGCAATAGGGAGCTGTCGATGTGCAATGATGCATCGGGCGACACACTTCTTGTGCCCGAGTATGCCGCTCCCGTGCGAACCAGTCCCCTTTCCAATCTCTCAGCGGATGCCATGGGAAGGATTTACACCCGTCCAGAATCAGCCCTCGACCGCGTCCGCATCTTTTGGAACCAATATGGATACGAGAACGCGTATAACTCCTCGTGGAGGTTGACTGATCCTCAATTCCTATTTAACGCTACAAGCATTGGTCAAGGACTCGAGCTGGCAGTTGATGCTACAGAGCTTGTGACCGGATCTACCTCGTGGGACGGACGAGTCTCCATCGTCTATGAGATCACGGATGCGAATGTCACACGCTCAGACTCAGTTGCCTTGCAACAAGCCCCTGTTCTCTTCCACCATCACCTGCAAGGTGTGGAGACAGTGCTGACGATGGATAGCGACGACACCACATCGAGCCAAGCTCGGTTCGTTCAATCCATGCAAAACACCCTCGAACGCATCCCGGGCGGTCTACCCCTAAGGAAGCTTGAAGCAGTCGGCGAACCTTGGGCTCAGGATTTCATGGAGCCGGGCTATGTCAGTATGCCTGGGCCTGATAGGCCAATATCTATAAGGGTCCTTGTACGATCTGCGCAGTCTACCCGAGTCGCTGGCCGCAAGGTATTCGAGGAGCTTAGAGGTCCCGGCGTCGGTGGCCATCAGCTTGGGCCTGGATCTGGTTTCGGCCATGAGGAGATTAATTCAGGCGGTAACATCGAGACCATCCCTCCTTATACTTCTAGATCCGGAAAGCACTGGGCCCAAGGACGGATAATTACGGCAAAGCATTTTGGCAAGTATCCGGCTCAATCAATGATCGACTTCATGGTTGCTCAGGAGGCACAGTCACCCCTGATTCTCGAGGCTGGGTGGCTTGCTGTAGGACATGTCGATGAGTTCGTGCAGTTCCTGCCTTCGGATAACCACCTTGGTTTCACAATCGCTGTCGGAGATGCCATGTTGGGGCTCGAGGTGCTGCAAAGGGCCCAATACGATGGCCATGGCTCTACTATCGTGAATAGTTTTGATGGAGACATGACGCCATATCCCAACGCCATCTTTCTCGACCCTGAAACTAGGAACACGACAATCGACAACCTCCTTTCGGATGATGATTTCATTCAAACCAACAAATACGGTCAGAGATACGTGCAGCAGAATCTCGATCTCCTCCTGCAGGAGATCCCTCTTGACGAGGCAGAGGTGCTCCGCGTGCCGGCCCTGTGGCGAGACGTGACGTACCCCTGGCCTCTCACACTTGATGGCCTTCCACCGCGGCTACACAGGACGATCCCTGGCGAGAGGCAGCTGGCCGCGTACATGCCAGCTGCGGTGAACGGACTTGTTCTCGGGTCAGACTACATTTCGGCGAAGCCCTGGGGGCCGCTCATCAACGGTCAGGATCCCTTCGAGAAGGCCATCAGGGACGTGTACGGCAGGGTGAACATGACGGTGCATTTCGTGGACGATTACATGTCGCATCATGTTCAGGGAGGAGAGGTGCATTGCGGGACAAACTCCCTACGAGACACCAGTGTACCGTGGTGGAACACCTGATGGTTATTTTAGGCTCGTGTGTACGTATTTAACGGTCACGGAGGTTTAGATATATAATACGGGCCGTATTTAGGATAGTCATCAGTTTCAGACTTGCTTGTCCCGTCACCCAGCCACTCTCCCTTCGATGCCAACCACGTCCGCTGTACCCAGCCGCTTCTCCAACGTCATCGTAGCCCTCCGGAAGAGCCCGGGTAAGTTTATAAGAAGATACAATATATGACAACGAGTTTTATTTGCTTAGAGCATCCTTCTTACCACAGGGCTTATAATGTTTTATCTTATTATAGTTTTATTATAGACTTATCACATGGCCAGCAACTATCAAAAAGGGAAAAGATTGTCGATCCCTTTGCGGATGATAAGTGGTCTAAATTCAAGGGCTCACAAAGTGGGTGATATAACAGATGAGATACCAAATTCTTAGGTCTTCTTTCTAGCTATATACTATAATCAGGATTACTCAGACTTAAAAGAAAAGGCATAAATATTATCTCCAGCCTTTGAATTATATTTCAGTCTTTTTTTTTTTAATACGCAGGTTGAGGCTGGAGATAAGGCAGACAAAATATGGAGCCTCCTCGGTTATTACTGCTTTGGTGTCTCATCTGTTATGTCACCCACTTGACTCCGTACGAATGGTAGGCAGCGTTTGGCCAGGCTTACGCAACTGGTTGCTACCTCGATTTGAGCCCTTCGAGGCGTATCCTCCTGGACGGAATATCATTCATCCACAGCCTCCAGGCTGCAGCTTGCGGGGTTTCGCCAATATCGTTTCAGTTCGTATAAACGGCATTCATTCCCTATGCATGTATTGAAAGTCTGAGACATATCCTTCACAATGACTACACAAATGAGCCGGCAGCCAAGAGAACCTTGCAGCTTGTGTTGCGGTATTATCAGCTATATCACTAACGGACTGGCCGAAGAATCGGCCGAAATAGTCATCAACCAGCCTCCATGGCATACAACAACTCAAGAAATCCGAGAATCTAGTCGGGATTGCATTCTCTGTGAGACCATTTGGCAGGCGGTCTTCTTACCGCGGCTAAAAGAAGTCACGCATGACTATCCGGGCGCCGCAGCTCTGCTTGTGTCACTCAAGTTTGGCAGCCACCGCAAAGCCAATGGGGTGCATTGGGCCAATGTTTACACGAACCTGACAGCTGGCAGAGAGAAATTCCGTATTGTGCGGGTTGACTCGATTGGGATCTCGCTTCAGCCACAAGGTAGCTGCCGACGAACATTTTGTGAGAGGATCTAGCACTAATGTACCATAAGGATCTCTGCAGTCGTACCCAAACTGGGTGATTTCTGGTGAAGAGGCGCAAAATACTCACCAAATGAAGGAACATCAAATTAATCTCATGACCAATTGGCTCCACGAATGTCAAGAACATCATTCCGATTGTTATCGATCCATTGAGCCAGACTCATTTCCGCTCCGGCTAATAGACGTGGCAAAAGACAAGCTGCGTCTTGTGCATTTGGGGGATGAGCCGCCCACAGAATTACGATATGCGACGTTGAGCCACTGCTGGGGAGGCAAGTTGCCTATATTCACGTCGCGAGCAACACGGAAAGACTTTGAGAAGTCCATCCCCGAGGACTCCCTCCCACAAACCTTTCGTGACGCAGTTCAAATAGCTCGCTCCTTGGACATCCCGTATCTTTGGATTGATGCTTTATGTATTGTGCAAGACGATATCGATGAGTGGCAACGTGAGGCAGCCAAGATGCAACACATCTATTCTGGAAGTTTCCTGACTATCGCTGCGTGCGAATCCAAGGACAGCACTGAAGGATGCTTCACGAACAATTCCAGTCTTTCCAGACCTCCTATTGACTGTCTGCTGCAGTCCCCAAGAGAAGAGCACGGTATACACCATAGCCGCAATGCCGATTCGAGTTACCGATCCCCCGAGGAAGCATATGTGATCTCGCTGGGTATCCCTGGATGGTCATCGAAAGTCATGGTCCGAGTTCAGCCAGGAACTCCCTGGTCCACCCAACGCACCCAACATCTTAGCACCCGTGGTTGGGTCCTACAAGAACAACTTTTATCGAACAGAATCGTTCATTGCATGCGGTCGGATGTCCATTGGCAGTGCCGCCACATATATAAAACTCAAGCTGGGCAGATAATCGACAACGAAACGCTACTTGAAGATGGAGACAGCTTTTTTTACTCACCATCAAAGAGACAAGATCGGACGTGGTGCAACTGGATGGAAGACTATTCGACAAGGAACTTCAGCATCACAGGTGATCGAATCCCAGCTTTAACAGGCATCATGGATCACTACGGAACTATAACGGGAGACTCACATCTGCTAGGATTATGGAAAAAGACTTTTACTCGAGATCTCCTATGGATTCGTGTCGGAGACATCAAGGGTGATCCCTGCGCGAACACCCCCTCCTGGACTTGGCTGTCTTGCTACGCTCCCATCGAGATCGATCCCTTCACCCTAACTGATTTCGATGAGAACCCAAAGGAGGATCACATTGTCCTACTGGAAAGTGAAGTGATCTGGTCAGGCCCGCCAATGACATCAAAAATTCAATCTACGCGTTTAGTCATCAGCGGTCCTCTACAAATGCTTCGATTTAGGGTGGACCCGAAAAGCAAAGCAAAGTTCAACCCGCCATATCTTCATCTTGAGGGGGAAGATCTAGACGAATCCGACCCCACTCCGTGGACGTGCATCGGGCAGTTTGATGCCGGCGAACCCTTTCCTGGGAAGTACGTGGAGTATCTCTGTCTGCTCGTACGAACACGAAAGCACAGTGACCAAGGGAGGTTCAAGGAGGCGTTCCTTATATTGGATCCCGTAGGAGACCCCTCATGTCAGGATAATGAAGATCAACCGCCAACCTTCCGCAGGATTGGAATAGGGTGCAGGAGGGGTGCCGCCAGGACGTTCATATCCGCCAAGAGAGGGTTGATTAGACTTTGTTAAGGTTGAGTTTGAGTTATGTCTTGGCAACGTTGGAAGAGAAGCTATATACCTTGTCTTTGCGATGCCGACGTGTTGGACTACTTCCCCAGCTTAGTGACAGTTGTTCATGCCACCGATGATGAACTATATGTTGCCTACTTTTCCGTAAATAAAAGAGTACCTGCTCCAGGAGAATGAATTCGATATTATAAGTACGAGTAGTTCTATTATGAGTATGTGTCTGATGTATTTTATAGATATTAAAGGGTAGCTATCAGGTGATTAAACAGGGTTTTCCGATGGTAAGATGTGTGGCCGAAATATGGACATATTATACTGCCTTACTTAAGTATCGAAAGATGTAGCTCTACCGATAGTTAATTTCCTTGAAAACGAAGGGACTTTCTAGCGATGGGCTTCTTTATATTAATCTGATAATAGATTCCTAATCTTGGAACAAGTACAGAGAGAGATGGTGAGTCTATATAGTGTAGCCTTTGAAGCAGTAGCTACGATTCATTATATATAGATCCCACTCGATTCCAAGCGCAGAGATGAATACCACTGTGGGTCCTGGGTAATTGAGTAAGCAGACTGTGATTCGATGATTGAAGATGAGTTGTTAGAGTGTTTTCGTCCTGCTTTGGAGGAATCTTTTGGAAACGAGTGGCCGAGATGTGGGCAAAAATTGAATGAGGCTGCACAACGGCGCTAACTAAATTGATAAATCGCCCCTTACCCTTTCTCTCTCTAGCTATCTAGGATAGAGTCGTCCAATGCAGGTCGCCACTGAGAGATCTTGCGATCTCACGTCTTCTTACGCAAACTTTGATCATAGTAGTTCCTTGATTTCCTCTCGAGTGCTTCCCGATCCGCCGGGCTCTGCTCTAAAGTCGTCTGGGGTGGCTTGTAACATATAGAAGCGCAAATGTGGTCCCCAGGGTCTGTGCTTCGATTAGAGAGATTCGTAAAAATTATTGGAGTGTTGATGTGGTCCTCATGGTCCGCAAGCTCGTTCGTGTCTCGTTTAGAACGCTTTGAAAGTAATACCAAGAAAATTGGTTCTATAACGTGACCCATTGTGTTTGCGATTCTCATCAGTTTCATATGAAATCTGATATCGAAAAGCCTCCCTCATTCCGGATGCTGAATAGTCTTACTGCGTCAGCACTCATAGGATGGGCATGTGTACTCGGTTCTCAAAGTCGATATTTGACGGCATTGACTCAACACGCTCTGTCGTCGTGCTAAAAATCCGATCCCAGAGTCGCGTCTGCTTGCCGTAGTTGTGACTCTTTCTCCATCCCTTTCGATGATGCAGATCATGATCCTCAATGACAATCTCAGCGCCAAATATCTGCAACAGCCAATTCAATGTCGACGGGGCTGATCCATGTATCCGAATACCACTATGCCCAAAGACTTCGGTGAATGCGATGAACTGATGGCAAATCCACCACTCATAAAAGCCTAGATCTATTCCCATCAAATGCATTGTACAGTATGTCATCAAGGGCACGCCCACCATATCAAAAAACTCTTGTTCGTGATCTGCGTAGGCCGATAATAGCGGGTTCGGATGCTTCGTGAGGTGGTGTGTACGATGGAATTTCCACAACGGAGTAATGTCGTGCATGGCTCGGTGGTACCAGTAGAACCAGAAATCAAGGACAATACCGTACAGCCCAATTTCTAGACCTAGCCATAGCCACCATCTACCCTGGCTCATGACATCCAGGGGGGATTCGCCGTTGTATGATAAAAGGACCGCCGCAGCAATGCGGGAGCCTGTCGTCTTGTAGAGCGATGTTACGACTTTTGCCACGCCAACATCTGGCACTCCATCCCGTTCGTGCTGGTCGCCGTCCAGGAATCCAAAGCGGTGGCCAAGTCGGCGAAGCATATGGACTTCACGAATGACGATAATGTTGAAAGCGGCGAAGTATAGATTAAAGGTTGCAAGTCGTCCTAGCGTTTCGTATCCGGTAGACTTTAGCCAAGCCTGGTGCAAAGCTAACGGTATAATGGCATGGAGTAGCACCCAAGCAAGCTGAGACCACTGAGGCATATATGGCACTTTGTCCGTCTTCTGATGGACTGGGATCGGCTGATTCAGGTTGACATGATAGCCGTTGAGTAGATCAATGAGATGATGGTGAACAGTCCATTGGCTCTTGTCCTGTGTTCTCCAGGTTGATTTCATTGAATCGCGGGGATTTGCCATGATAGATGGATGGCTAAGCTCGAGTGGACGTCTGACATTCAACGATCGAAGTGTAAGCTCCTCATACGGATTTGTGACTATAGCGAGTATACTTCTTATAGTAGTCACATACAATATCACATGTTAGAATGATGCCAGGCATCTTGGGGCGTGATCAACTAGTATAATGCAATGGAATACTCGGTGAGCCGAGGTTCAACGAATACGGCAGCACTGTGCACATCGTAAACCCCGGTGTAGTCGTCGTCATTGTTTGCGGCCACCTAGGTAGGATGCGAGCAACTGAATGGGTTCCAAATCTTCTTCCGACTAATCCATTGAATGTAATGGCAGCCAACCTCGGCAAACACATTATCCGCTTTTGTTCACAAGACGTACGTATGATACTAGTACGAAGCTGCTCGCGACCTGGATCGGTCCTCCCGGGTTAGCATCATAGCGTTCATTTCCCCGCCCGGGCTCTAATCCCCAGATAGCCGACACCAGTTCTAAGCGGGTCAGGCGTCTGTTGAGAATAAAGAAATAGAGATTCGCCCCAACAAGGTCGTTGGGCTTGAAGACGCAGCAAGTAATATGTTGTTGATGCTGATAGCAACGCTAACCCTGATATAGACTAGCTTGCGATGTGGCCTAACCTAGACTAGCTTGCGATGTGCCAACAGTATCATGTCCAATGTGAATATGTACAAGTTTCTATATTCATTGTGTTGAGTTGCCGAGCCTCGGTAGCTTCCATTACCGTTCAACTTTATTCCCTTTTTTCTTACGCGTATAATTAATTCCGTGTTCTACCAGACAGGAGCCGGATCCAGCCCTTGACGAAGACATTCATGTTAAAGTTCAGTGGTGTAGGGTAGGTTAACATTCTACCTACCCTATAGCCAAGTGACAAGACCAGCCGAAGGCTCCAGCCATAAGTAGGGTTCCTTAGTTGTAGCCTCGAGATACGCTCTTCCTCCTTAATCAAGTCAATTCTTCTCAATTCGCTATAACCCTCGATTAAGAATTTAAGCCACAGAAGAGTGGACGTGTAGAACTTTCTGGCGCACTTTTTACAGTCTCCATGCTTGGATGCTACACAACTTGTTTACATGCCAAGAGGGATCCTCGGAGTCCGAGGACCAGGAAGTTTGCGAGGGGCCACTACAAACCCCTGTCGTCTGTGAAAGTGGAAGAGAATAAATACACTAGCGGCTGACGATGAGGTATTAAGGATAACTACCTGGTCGGCAAGGCAGTTGTTTGTTCGTTGATGGACGGATGCTTCCGATCTCGCCGACACATGGTTTTTAGCAGGCCCAATAAGATGGCCAGCCAGGTACAGGGAAGAAAAGATCAATTTATCAGAGTAGCAGGACCCACGGCCAAGAGAACTACCGGCGTATAGTGACATTGACCAATCAGATCGGGAGATGGCCAAATACGAGGGCAGAGTGGGATCTCTTTTTTATCAGATGATCAGATAAGATATACACTGCTCTTGGCACTGGAACTATTTAACAAGCTCTGGGGTCTCATCTACTAGGCCCAGCCCTAATTAGTCTTAAATCCACCCCGTTGAGCTAGAGGTTCCTCCAAAGTGACAGTTTTGGATGTCATCCTGTCAAGAGCTCATTTCGGTTATCGAACGCGCGACTCCACATCAAGCAAAGTCGGATGTTTGTTCATCGGCTTTGCCAAATCTGGTCCCATCGCCGTCGTTTGCTGCTGTATGAACGCATGACCCAGTCATTGGGCCCCGGTTGCTGCATGAGCCCTTGCTCGGAAAGAGTCATGGCTCTATGGATTCCCGGTGGACAGAGACTTGCGATGAATTGCCAAGACGAAGAAATACAGGCTCAATGTGGAAAGTCCCTTTCGACATGGGCCGCTCCCACTTCTGCCGATGGAGACGAGAGCAAAATGCCGCAATGTGTCAATAGGTATGATGAGATTCATGGTTGTATTATATATACAAAGCCTTTGCTCCCTCGTCAGCGTACTTGCTATGAAGAAGACAAGGCATGCCACGTTCTTTGGCCTCTTGAACCTGCAAGGCGGTTTTCACCCCAGTCATTCGTTCTGAGCAACCTCAAAGGCCAATTTCTGTCGTTCATTCTTCATACAGGCTTAACGTTGACCCCCCGCAATCGTCACCATGGTACAGTGGTCCGGTGTCCTCCGTGCTGCTGCCCTCGGTGCAGCGGCACTGGTGTCGGGCGTCAATGCCTGGAACAAGGAGTCCATCATAGCAGCCGGAAGACCTTCCAACTCTCTGGGCTCTGGTCAGGTACCGGGAAGGTACATCGTCGAGCTCGAAACAGGAGCCGGACTGCACCAGCGCGACATTCGGCGTCGTGCCGATGCTGTTCTATCTAGCCTGTCCGACGTTGGCCTAGAAGTCGATGTGAAGGACGACTACTCTTCCATATCGACGCGCTTCAGTGGTCTGTCGATTGAAGTCAAGAACAGCAAAGAGGGCACCCTCGACCAGCTCAAGAAGGTTGAGGGTGTTGCCGATGCCTGGCCAGTATATACGGTCAAACTCAACCCAATTGCCGAGGGCGACGGTTCCAAGCGAGCATGGAACCCTCACATTGTCACCCGCGTTGATGAGCTTCACAAGCGAGGCCTCAAGGGTCAGGGTCAGCGCGTCTGTGTTGTCGATAGCGGTGTCGATGTTGCTCACCCGGCCTTGGCTGGCAGAATCGTTGGCGGCAAGAACATGCTGGATGATAACAACGATGTTCAGGACTGCATCGGTCACGGTACATTCGTCTCATCCGTTATTGTTGGAGACACCAAGGATTTCCAAGGTGTTGCGCCCCAGGCTGAGGTGTATATGTACAAGGTGTTCCCTTGCTCAGACAGCACCAGCAACGATATTATCCTCAAGGGCATGCTAGCTGCTGATGCAGACAATTGCGATATTATATCACTGTCTCTAGGTAGCGACAGCGGGTATCATGGCTCTGTATTATCCACGGTCGCAAGCAGCATTGCGCAAGACCGCCTCGTCGTTGTTGCCGCTGGAAACTCTGGAGAGCAGGGCATCTTCTACGCCAGCTCCCCAGCCTCAGGCCGCGGCGTCCTCTCCGTAGCATCTGTGAACGCAAGGCAGGTTCTGCGCTGGCCGGCTACCGTACGGTCTTCGAGCGGACAAGACTTGGCCATCAGCTACATCACGCGTGACGGGACCAAGCTGAATGAGACTGTCAATGCTCCCATCACACTCGACGCGGGAGATGCCTGCAATCCCGAGTCCTATGGTGACGAGTCCCAGGCACTTGTCATCCAACGTGGAGTCTGTATGTGGGCCAAGGCATACAATACCCTGATGTACAACGGCTTCGGTTACTATCTCATCTTTGACTCGTACAATCAAGGAGTGTTTTACCCGTCAGATGCCCTCAACTCCAATCCTTCTATCCACCTCTTCGGACTCACTGCCGCTTCCGTCGGCACCTGGGTCAAGGAAGAGACTGCTGCGGGCCATAACCTGACCCTCGTCATCAAACCAGACGACGACCCTGCGGCATCTGACCCAGCCAATACGTTCAACGACTTCCCTGGCGCAGGGCAGGTCTCCTACTTTTCCTCGTGGGGTCCTACCTTTGAGAACGACTTCAGCCCCAAGATTGCAGCTCCTGGTGGCCTTGTATACGGAGCTCACCCTGACAACAGCTACGTCGTGCAATCGGGAACTTCCTTCTCAACTCCCTACGTTGCAGGTGTGGCTGCCCTATTCTACGCCCATGTCAGGAAGGACAGCAAAGAGTTTACGCGCAGAATCTCCGCCACTGCCGCGACTCTTCCAGCATGGAACGAGGCAGAAAAGTCGGTGCAAGCCGATATCGCGCCTCTCGCACAGCAGGGCTCGGGTCTCGTTGACGCAGTCAAGGTCGTGGATTATCAGACTATCCTCTTGTCTGATTCCCACATCTCACTCAATGATACCGACAACCGGATATCCACACACAAAATTCGTTTAACCAACACGGGCTCTTCTCAGGTCACGTACAAAATAACACATGTCGCTGCAGCCAGTGTGAAGTCCAGAGATGAATACCTGTACCCTTATACGTACATGCCTCCTCTTACTACCGCTTCTGGCTCCATCAATGCGCCTGATAGCATCACCATTGCTCCTGGCTCTACGCAAGAGGTTGAAGTCACTTTCAACAAGCCCGCCAACGACCAGGCGAACAGCGGTACCGTCTGGAGCGGCAAGGTCGTGTTCGAGGGCACCAATGGCGAATTCGTCTCCGTCCCCTACATGGGCGTCGAGGTTTCCACCTACAATTGGACACCTCTGGAGGGCTCTCCTCTCTTCTTCCGCTACGACTCCGGGTCTGGATACCTGTACCCCATCGACTGGCAGAGTCAGCCTTACAAGCTGGCTGAATCTGACTCACCTGAAGTCTACTATGCCCTTCGTTACGGCACCTACGAGTTCTCATTTGATCTGGTGGGCCCTGACTGGAAGGTTGAAGATTTCTCGTACCCTCTGACCTCTGGAGCCGGGTCTGCCCAATGGCATGGCAGCTTGCGATCGGCACCCGATGTTTTTGGCTCTTACGTCGAGTTCCCTGCCAGGTTCCCCCTTCGATTCAGTAATGTCGGTTTCACCAGGTTCCAGAGCTTCGCCAATGGGACCGCGGTCAGGACTGGCCGATATAAGATTTTGGCTCGAGCTCTCCGCATGTTTGGTGATGCCAGAAACCCGAAGGACTGGCAGTTCACCCTGTCCGACGCCTTCACTGTCCAGCTCGGAGATGAGACTCTCCCTTCCACGCCCATCAGCTCGACCACGGCAATCTCAACTCCGGTCTCTACAGCCACTCCAACCTCCCAGAGCATGTCTACAACGTCCTCCCAGGTCATCGTGACACCCTCGAGCAGCGCCATCGCATCCACGACAGCCGTTCCAGGGATCACGACTACCCTGCGGGCCATTGCCACCCCAACAGGAGTGCCCAACGCCATTGTCGACGTCTCCGTTGCCAAGCAGGGCTCTTCCACCAACCAGATCAACGACCCGGGCGTTTGGCTGGAGCTGCACGTTCACATTGAGATCCCTTACCGTCTGGCGCTCGACAGTTCCGTCTCTTTTGCTCTCCCTCCCCAGATTGTGGACGTGGCCACGAGCAATTACGTGATGGATCAGTCCTCCAACTTGGTGGGATCTGCCAGCTTTGACAAGAGCACCAGCCTCTATACCATCAATTTTGGCGAGTACGTGACATGGCACAGCCAGTTTGTAGGAGACTTTTACCTCTTCTGTCGATTCAGCGAGGACTATCGACCGCAGATGCAGGCAGGCACCTATTACCTCGAGGTTCTCACTGTGGGAAAATCCATCTACACCCCGCTTATCTACACTGCTGTTGATCGCACGCGCGTGTACGAGCACATGGCCGTCAAGAAGGTTGACAACATTGACGCGTTCGAATTCAAGGTCGAGGTGCCTGGTCAGCTAGGTCCTTGGAATTCGGTCACTTTCACGTCCGTGTACAACGAAAATGACGGTTTCCTCTGCACCGAGACCACTGTGGCTGTTGGTACCGAGTTCAACGCCCTCAACCAAGTCTCAAAGTCGAGGGATATCACGGCAGCATCTGTGAAGCGATGCGAGGTCAAGAATTACAGGGCCATTGTCACCGAACCCATCGCAGCAGGAGAGGCTCTCGTTTTCAACATTGCCACTCTCATGGGTGTACGAGACAACTGGTCAATCACCATGACTTATGGCCTCGCCATTGAGCTGAAGAATGGGACCACAATCGGATGGAACTCTCGCTCGATGACATATGAGAAGAATTCTCGGAGCCGCCCGGACAACTGGATTAGCGCCGTGGTTGATAGAGATGGTCCCGTAGGCCCCATCATCTCGACGACCAGTCTGATTCCTACAACCTCTACCCCGGTGTCCACGCCAGCATCAACTCCGGTAAGCAGCAGCACCGCGGTCACACCGACAAGCACTCCAGGTTCCTCCACACAATTGTCGTCGTCTACACCTCAGTCAAGTATTGTCAGCTCTGGCACTCCCATCAGATCATCTAGCTCAACGGTTGAAACATCAACCCCGGTCTCTCATACTACACCAGTGTCCAGTACGGCCGTTTCGTCCACAACGCCTGACTCTAGCACAATCATATCTTCAACCACACCAGTCTCTTCTGGCACACCCGTTTCATCGTCTGCACCTGAATCCTCTACGCCTGTGTCGTCCACCGCTCTTGTCTCTTCTACAACCCCTGTCTCTTCTACAGAGGGTTCCTCGTCAGCTATCTCCACCTCGCAGACCACGCCTGGCTCTTTCACTACCCCCATTTCTTCACTTGTTTCGTCATCGACCATTACTAGCTCTCAGACAACACCTGTCTCTTCGAGTACTCCCATCTCTTCGACAAGTGTTGGCTCTTCTGCAACAGACGCTTCAGTTTCCTCGCAGACGACACCTGGCACAGCAATCTCATCTGCTTCTGTGACTACTCACGGCTCTACAGCATCTTCGTCAAGAATCTCTGCATCTGACTCTTCTTCTTCAGGAGACATCTCAAGCCCCTCTTCTACTTTGTCTGGCACAACAGCCCCTACTTCTGCATCCAACGTCGCCACTTCATCTTCGACTCGCGGACCTGTCAGCCAGTCTGGCCAGCCTCAGTCTTCAGGTGGCAGCTCCCATGCAATCACCGGGCCCTCTACGGTGACCACCACATCTGCCAACCAGGGTCCTGCTGCCACCGAGACACAAACCGTCACTGTCATCACTTCGGTGTGCTCAGACCCGAGCTGGACAGCCCCCGTCACGGTCACAATCACTGTGCCCTGCGCCACCAGCGGGCAGACCGAAGTCACAACCGTCACATCTGTCTGCACGCGGTGCGCTGCCCACCCCGTCACCGTGACTTACACGCAGCCTGCCGCTCAGCCCACTTCAACCAAGGCCGATGGCTTCCGTGTTCCCACCTCAGCGTCCCAGGCACGCAACTTGATTCCACAAGTCACCATTTCGGGAGGTCCAAGCAACTCTGCCCGCCCCAGTAGCGCCTTTTCCACCTTGATTTCCATCAGCTCAGCGAAGGCCTCGGAGGCAGCCGGACAAGGGAACGGCGACAAGTCCAGCCAGAGTTCTCAACTTAGTGAGGCTTTAGGCGATAGCAGAACTACTCAGCCAGCACCTGCCCAGAACACGGCCACATCCGTTGCGTCGGGCATTCCATCGACCGTCGCGACTTCAGCACCTGTCTCGGCAGCTGCTCATATGTCGATGCGGTATCTGGTAGCCAGCATTATCGCAGGTTTTGCAACCTGGGCATTGGTTATATAAATAATGTTTATTGTTAGATGATTAGACTTGGATATGGTTGGAAGGTTTCAACAAAATAATAAATAGAGTTTAATTAATAGCAAAGTTCTCTCAGTAAAGATATTAATATTGAAAACTACCATTATTGTTGCTTAAAGAGACCCTTATTATTAATACCTAATAAATTAGAGGTCGAGTAAAATAGAATTTTAACTCCCTGAGTCGTACCTTACAAAGTGTTTCATAGGAGGACATCCCGAAAACATGGTGTTGCAACGAAGCATATTAGAGAGTCTAGGTGGAATAGGTATGAGTCTGTACATGTAGTTGATGCGGCTAAGGCCTAGTGGTTTATCGTCAGTCCTGTTGAAGTTCGCCAGTATAGAACAGGTCGAGATTCTACCTAAGGTACCCTATTGCCACAAACAACCAGTCGCAGGCTCCAGCATTAAATAAAGTTTCTCAGTTATAGCCTATTTGTATTTCATAGTAACGATTGACGATACCGATGAGCGGAAAGAGAGAGAGCAAGGTGATCCTGTGGTGGTGAGGATAAGAAGCAGGAGTGCGTCTTCTTCTACCGCATGACACACTCGCACTCCCATCTCGGCGTGAACAAGAACGAACCACTCTTCCTTGTGCGGACACCGCGTCTCTCGGTGGGCTCGGGCGACATCATCCTCTTGAATGGAACTGACAAGCTCGAGACTCCCCTTGCCTCAGTCGGCGCTCTAGAGCTCAAGAGCACTAAAGCCTGCGCCGCCGAGCTGCGACTCAAGCCGCGCCCCGGCGGCTCATTCACTCAGCCGGTAGAGATCAACATGACCGTGGGAATCCAGAACAAATACCAATTCACCGCTCCTGTCGGTCCCAATGGTCAGCATGAGACCTTCGAGTGGCGCCGGAGCACAGGCGAGTTAGTGCGCGACCTCCCCGGCGGCTTCCAGTACGGCATGAAGCTCGTCCGTCTTGACGGCGCAACTGGAGGTGCTAGCAGTAATGGGAAAGTGACCGTCGTCGGAGGTGACGGCAAGCGCATCGTGGCAATCTTTGCTGCCGTGCGCCCGCAATGCACGAGTGCCAAGTTCCGCTTTATGAATGAGGGAGCGACGGGTGAGTTGGGAGAGGTGTTTGAGCTTGCTGCTATGATTAGCTTTATGCGTTTGTTTAAGTTGCAACTGTCTCAGGGTGGTGTTGCCATTGGTCCTGGTAGCTCATGAGGTTCGATGAGGGAAAGTTGAATAGAAGGTTTGGGTTTGCAGTTGGTGTGAGAGTTGGACTTTGCCCTATTTTTTGAGGCTATGGATTTTCAGACGCGATTTGAACGTTATTTGGAATTATAATTAAGCGAGACAATGGAACGGGGCCTTGCGGTCATCTATTTAAGACTCAGACCTAAATCTCATTCGGCCCTAGCGACCTTTGGAAAGTTGACGTAAAGGCATCTCTTAAAGGTCTGTATAGATACAAGAGTAACGTCCCAGGTACCGGGCAGAAGAAGTCCAAGAGCGCTACAAACTCTTAGACAGCCCAACAAGCTATAGGTATTGGGACGCGAGTGTACAAAAATTTCCATTGCAGAAGTAAACATTGCAAGCAAAGGCCCCATTGCTAGCGTGACAACCAGGGAAGCCATAAAAAGACGGTATAACCTATTTAAAGGACATTTACAACTACATTATGAGCTCTCTTGTCGACGTTCATATATCATACTGAAGGGGCTCTGCTATAGTGTTTTGTTACATCGTAGGCCTACGTAGTACCTAGTCATTTATATAGCGCCCCGAAGGCGATAAATCATAGTCAATTTACCGAACCATCTAATATCCAATAGTGCGTTCTTGTTTATATCGGATTTTGGATCATCTTTGGGGGGGGCCGCACATCCACAACGAGTTCACTGCCGAGCAGGTACCATCCACGATCATTGCCAATATATGACACCAGAGGGACCGCGTTACTCACCAGACCGAAGAGAAGAACGATATTATAGAGTGGGTACAACCCAAGGCCGGCGCCATGTACTTTATATCAAGATTTAGAACACGTCCACAGGCGGGGGGGGGGGTTCTGTAGGGGATAACTGGACAAGCTCAGTGTGTATATTAGATACCTTAGGTAAAAACTTTTTATAACTCCTCCCGTTGTAAGTTCGGCACGATTTACTTTTATAGGTATTAAGTTGCCCTTTAAAAGCCTTATTGAAGGACAGACAAGGCTCAATGGGTACCCGCTGACGAAGCAAAAGGGAAATCAGGTTCGATGTTCACTGTCTTGGTAGTCGACTAACTGCAAGCCTTTTGCTTCCCTTTCAGCAGTTTGAAGTAGAGGGGCAATAAAACTTTCCAGCCCACAAGTATGACTAACAAGCGTTTGAGGAGTCTCAGCCTTACGATACATGCCAGATGTGTGACTCCATTCCTTTGAGCGTTTGCCTTCGATACTTTGTTCCCTAGGGCCGTAGTAAACTATCGGCTGACCTTCTCGCAATGAACGAACGATCATGTCGATACTCCGCGACTCAAGGGGCAAGGCTGCGCTGAACATCCCAAGCGGACGTATGTCCAACTTCTGGATCAGAGTCCCAAGTAACATGGCTCTGCAACCAAAGTTACAGCCCAACTTCTTCTCAAGTAGCTGATTTTGTATCTGTTTGAGGCCGTCCAATAGGCTTTGAACCACCGCATCTCTCTGTTCCTTGATGTGCTCTGGAAAAGTTAGTACTTCACTGATTTGGACATACACGGAGACGAACCAAGAATGATTGGACGGATTGGGATCCCAAATTCAAATGAATTGGGAAAAGTTTCCACAACGGCTTGTTGGGTTGCATACTGAAACATTTCAGGCTGGTCAAAGACGAATGCGATCAAGATTAGTCTGGCAGTGTCTTGCTCGGTGAGGATATGAAATGCGTATGGGGGTTGAGGGAGCCATCCTTGAGCAAAGAACCAAACAACCTCATGGCACCCTAGGTCGTCGACAATGGCAGCTATTCCAGCTAACTGCTCTACTGTGACGGTACGAGGAAGATCCCGATTTCTCCCATGGATAATCTTCAACACAATCTTCCAAGCATATGAATCAAAAATCGGCTGGATAGTCCAATGATGAAGGCCATCGCCCTCGTCTGGAATTGACTCTTTAAATCCCCCACACAGCACTTTATGAGCACGACGTGAAGCTGTGGAAAGATGCTTCTTGGAGCACAAGAAATGATACTCGGGCTGTGGCTCAGCAGCAGGTTGAAGCAAGCCAAGTTGGCCAACTCTGACTGATTTCGCAGGAATTATGATCAATGTGTCTCCTTCAGGATCAAACTCCTCGCGCTCGATACTCATTTTCAGATTGGGGTCTCAAGTGCTAGAGTAAGGTATATGGTAGAGTCAAGCTTGGAGCGGGGTCATCAGTTATTTGCCTAATAGCCGAAATTGCGCCGGGCGGTGAGAGTTGACAGAGTGCCGTTTCAAGAAAACGCTCCAGATACTCGCCCTCAAACTCTCACAAATCATCAAGGCACGACTCAAAGTAGTCGGGCGGCTTACTTATCCAAAGGGGACTTGATGCCCTTGCGTATGTACATGTGTGAAATGAGGAGAGTGTGGACAACCTACAGGGTTACGAAACTTGAAGCTCGTCAACCGTTGTATTTCAGATAGTCGAGTTTAGAGTGGGGTCATCGGCTGATGCCTGATAGTCGAACTTGCGCCGAACGATTAGAGTTGGCAGAGTCAATCCGCGTAGAAATAATCTTGATGCTTCCTAAGGAATTCTTGTTTCTAGAACCTGTAGATGGACGGAATTCTAGATCCTCGCCCTCTGATTTTTTAGAGATAAAAAGCCTATACTCAAAGCACCGACCTCATACTTTCGCCTTTCCCCCAACCTGATCAATGCAGCATTTTATTTTCTCGCTGGGGTGGAATCAGGAGTTTAAAAAGTGATTTTAATACATGCAAGAGGGAAACTCCATGGAAACTGTGCTTGTCAGTAGATTTAATAAAACCTTGTTCCTCCTACTGAAATAGGTAGAATCTCGGCCTGGCGGTCGGTTAGCGATTACATTATTGTATTATCTTGTTATATTACGAGCCCATATGTTATAACTAAAGAATTCAGCTACGGACACCCACCCTACAAGTATCTACCGATCCTCAGGATGCCTCGGTCAGTAAATACTCCGAGACATGTCTGGGACTAACGTCATGAGGAGATTCCGACCTGGAGACCGCTACAAACTTATAACAAAGAAAGATCAACTATTGAAATGGATATTGGATTGCTTATGACAAGCCGTGATATCCGGTCATCATGTTGGGCTCGGTGGGGCCGCGTCGCGGCTTGAAGCCGTATTAGGAAGAACTTCAAAGGATGCGGAGAGGGGCTCCCTAGTCTCCGGTATAGCTGACGGCCTGGGTTTGAGCTTGGGCTTTCTGAAGATGATCAAGATTAATCCCACGTGTTGCCCTGCACGTCCCCACGGCTGACTGTGTCTTCAAGCAGAGCTTGCCCAAAGTCGCTCACAAACCCAAGGGAACATCGTAAGCGAGGCCAACTAGCCCCTGCCGGACCCTTTGTTATCTGGGGCTGAAGCCCGGGGGATGGATTGGTTAAAACTATCAGACCAACGGTCTTGAGAGTCAATCCGAATCGTTTCAACACGTCAGGGCCAGGGAGCGAGTGTGCCGAGATAACCGATCCCACATCTGTCCCGGCCCCGGAGATGGATTTCTATGGCCGGAACCTCTGCCTCTAAGCTGACGATTCCTTTCAACTCAGGATACGGCAGAAATCTGCCGGATCGAAATGCCGACAAGTGCGTGGGTATTGGTTTATATCTTAGGTATTAGACTCCAATTCGAAAAGTGGGCAGAAGTTGGTATATAATGATTTGATCCGTCAGGTTCAGAAAAAATTTGCGTGCCTCTCGCGTCATCTCTCTCATCCTACCTCGACCATTGAAAGAATAACATAACTCTCAAAGTTTAAAGTATGCGTTCCATCAAGAGTCTCTATGTTCTAGGCGCCGCCCATGTGATCGGTGCAGTATGTCTTCCGCCAGCAAATTGGGATTCATGGAAGGCTAACAACAACAGCTTGGCCTGAGCTCAACTCCAATCTACACATTAAGCACTGATTCTCACTTTGCTTTCGTTCTTGAAGAATATTTGGCTTTAAGTAATGCTGGAGGAGCAAGCACTGGTGAAGGTACGACTTTTAACTTCTCTATGTTCAAAGACGTGACCGCAATAGCTCATATTAATTTCTACAGTCTTGCGCGCGGCTAGCCAGATTGTTCCTGGAGATTTTGAAAGCTGGTACTCGGAATTCAAATTCCTCGCCGATGCCTTACATACAAAGGCTACCTCAATCGACTCGAAGCGTTTCCCAGTCTCTGCTAGGGAAGCCTACTTCCGTGCTTCTAGCTATTATCGGGCGGCCGACTTTTACCTTCACGGCAATCAAAGCGACCCCAGAATCAACACCCTCTGGAATTCAGCGTTGGCTGATTTCGATGCCGCTACTAGTCTTCTTCCAATCCCACCCATTAGGAAGAATCTGACTGCCAACGGCTTTACTATTCCAATCATCTATTTCCCTGCCCAGCCACAAGCCAGTGCCAATGGCCACCACGGAAGACAGCCTTCGGTGAAGACCCCGACTGTTATTGTTGGCACAGGATATGACGGTAATCAAGAAGCCTTGTACCATACCGTTGGGCGTTCTATCCTCGAGAGAGGCTGGAACTACGTGAGCTACGAAGGTCCCGGTCAGCCAACTGTACGCCGCCAACAGAACGCTGGATTTATCGATAACTGGTGGGATGTCGTTTCTCCCATTGTCGACTACATAGAGACCCGTGACGACGTTGACACGAAGAAAATCGCCCTCGCCGGTCTCTCGTTCGGTGGAATCCTTGCTCCGAGGGCAGCCTCACGCGAACATCGCCTTTCGGCAGTGCTCGCCATTGACGGATTAATGAACCTACAGAAGACAATCAACCTCGGCGACCAGCTCACCGCGATCTTCAAGAGTGGTAACAAGACCGTCTTTGACAAGGTGATGACCTCTGTCATGAACAACTCCAGCATGCCCACTAATCTCCGATGGGGCATTGCTCAGGGGACATGGGCGTTCAACACTACCAGCCCATTCGAGTGGTACACTGGACTGGGCAAAGTCACCGCGGAGGCGGACACTCTAGCCAACGTTACTAGCCCAGTCCTAGTCGCTGAGGGTGAGCACGATACCATAGCGCCGGGCCAGGCTGTGAGCATGTATGAGACTCTGGGAGACCTCGCCACGTACAATTTGTTCCGAACCGAATTGGGTGCTGGCGAGCACTGCCAGCTTGGAGCTGAGGCTCAGCTCGCTCAAGTTAGTCTGGATTGGCTGTTGGATACTTGGGACAAGGTCCAAATTCCCAAGAATACGACTGGCGGAACATATTGAATAGAATCTAGGCTCATAGGGCTTTGAGAATACATAGCTGTGTTGGATAAAATTGGGCACTGTGATCAAGCTCAGTTTGTTCGAGGTCGGTGGACTAAATATCAAGTATGGAATTTATGTCAAGAGCTAGATTCAATCCCCCAATAACACTGGCACATCAATATTTACCCTCGTGGTGTCCTGCGCCTATAGAGATGGGGATGAAGATAAATGACTCAAATGTAGCCGAATTCATTGTGTTGAATCTGCCACAGATCGTCTGTTTGGCCGGATCGTCCGAAGTTGTGAGCATGGAGACAATATTTAGACATCTGTGTGCTTGAGTTTCGACTTCTCCACTATGGGTCGCGCATAAGTTTTATTTCCATGCCAATGATACAGCATGCTTTTGGCCAAATTGAGTATTGATGGGGTAGTATAGAGGTTGAGCGGCTAATGAACTAGTGATACAAGATGAGTTATATTCTAAAGACATAGAAAGATTTCCCGCAGTAATCGACACAATAACCCAAAAGCTAGGATATCCGTGCTTTGGCTCGTGGAATTTGATCATGAAGACATGAAAGCATCCATACGCAGTACGTAATTATATGCCCTTGTAGCGTATGGCATGTCGTTCGTTTCCTGGCGCTCATAGGTGCGGAAGCGTCCCTTGTCGATTGGGCACTCGAAGATTCCCTCGCGCGTATAACGTTGTCCCAAGGCTCGGTTTATGTAACTGATAGCTATGTGGTCTTTTGCTTTCAGCAAATGTAGGACTTGGATACTATGAGTTTGTTAGCGAAAGCGGAGCAGCAACTACTAGGAGAGAGGTTGAAGACAAACATGAAATCCCGGCACCCAAAATACCTGTCATCGATGTGAGCAAATTGGAAATGCTGTAAACCTGATTCAGTGATATTGAGGATGATTTCCTCGAATTTCAAGACCTCAGTCAGAGTAATGGCGCAAGTACGGGCCGAAGATGTATATTCTCTTTCCAGATCAAGAGTATAAATGATAAGTTTACCAAGCTGATAACTTGGATTTTACATTGTCCGCCTCAGTACTCTTGCAACTGTCGTCGATTCTCATATCCAGGCGTACCGTTATGAGGCCTTGATATTCATCGAGGAGCGAGAACTTGAGAACCACATGGTTTTCTTCGTTGTTCATCGCCGTGGCGGCGACGCCCTTTGAGCTTAGCTCAAGAAATTCGACATCAATCGTCAAAACCAAGGCATCGAGGAGAAATTGAGGGACAGCCTGAGGATCCTTAGTGAGGTCATACTCGGCATGAGTGGAGAAAGGCATTTCAACCACAACTGAAGAATTACGGACGATCTGGAATATGAATCGACAGGAATAGCAGCCAGAATAGAGTTAATAAACGTCGAGATTCGTCCTATAAATGAAGAACTCTGAGTAGACCAGAGTGCAAGTTGGATGATATAAAGTTTAAGTAACTAAGGGCCTCGAATGTCACTTAGTAAAAGTTCATGTCGGATCCGTCCAATTTATTGCTACGAACGATATCTATGGACAGGATTCTGGATAATTACCGAATGATACGGAACAATGGAACAAAGAGACTGAGGGATAAGACTTTGTTTACTCTCAAATTTCTCTAATTCATCGGAGGCGCTTTGTATAGCCTCTTTGGAGAACAAAGGCCTCCTTCGATTGCGTTTCAGCATCAGTTTATTTTTTTTACAATTTAAAGTGAAGTATACCACTAGATTGTAATGCGGTATGCGAAAACAACCACACTTGCTGCCAGGTTCCTAGTATTGATTTCGAGTGTTTTAGGGAGATTCAAAACTTAATTCAAGCGTCCAGCGTGCGAACCCTTGGCCCTTCGTTACTCTGACTCACGGCTTCGTAAACTTATAACCATTGACAATGAATGTATGACTACGATCGACTTCGCCGGTGTAATTGAACGTTTTTTCTTCAAGCACTCCCTCGCGACGAATTTCTCGTTGATACGCTTACGGCGGTCGACAGAACCGAATGGAACAAGCGACGATCCTCGCTCGATGAGTTTCGCTCTGTCAACCTACCCTATACCCAAATGACTACAATCTGTATCAATGATCTCGATAAAACTATCAATTTGACCCATAGAAAATTTCACTTCTTCAGTCAATTAAGCTGCTCATCCTCACACCACTATTTCTACAGTACCTGGTGCTGAGTGGGGGACTTGTGAGCCTTATCTACATCTATGATATACAATCTGCTTCAACGTGGTGAGAACTTTTTTCTAAGACCAAAGCGACATCTATGAACAATTGTGTCTTGGCATGCATATCTAAATCCGATAGGCTAGTCGAGGAACATAACAGCCATGTGTATATCAATGTATGAGATCATATACATCCATATTGGCTTCATATGTTATTCCTCTGTAGATCGACTTCATCGATTGAAGCGGGGTGAAGCGGGGGAAGCTTCTTCTCTCTCCGGTATCGGCAAATGCGGGGTTCTTGAACCCTCACAAGCCGTCGCCGATTTCGCTCTGCCAATTGATCTTATCGAACACATTCTTCAAGCTTCAATTCCTTTTCCAATCTCCCTTCGTACAGGACCCCTCGGATCTCCCATCTCCCACCTCGACTCCGGCTCAATCCTCGTGCCTTGTCACACAAGACCGACACTTCATTGGACGGACTCCATTGACAAGCATTGCAACCATGGCGGAACACAACATTGTTGTTTTTGCGGGCGACCACTGCGGCCCAGAGGTAACTCATTACCCGGAGCTTTCCCACCTTGATTCTGAGCTACGAGAGGCTGACTGTGACGATTTGATAGGTTATTGCTGAGGCAATCAAGGTACGACCCGATTATCTGCAGCCTCAATTGAGCACATCTGACGCACTATTCAGGTTATCAAAAAGGTCGAGGAGCTGCGCCCGGCCGCTGGCAAGTTCAATCTGCAGGAGCAACTGCTCGGAGGGGTAAGTCTACGACGGATCATTCGGACCCCAAGGCATTCCACGGGAAGAAGTCTCTTGCTAACCTCGGCGTTTCTCTCCAGTGCTCCATCGACAAGACCGGCAACCCCCTCACCGACGAGGCCCTCGCCGCCGCCAAAGCCGCCCACGCCGTGCTCCTCGGTGCCATCGGTGGTCCCAAATGGGGCACCGGTACCGTTCGTCCGGAGCAGGGTCTCCTGAAGCTGCGCAGTGAGATGGCCGCCTACGGAAACCTCCGCCCCTGCTTCTTCGCCTCCGACGCCCTCGTCGAGTCCTCCCCCCTGAAGGCCTCCATCTGTCGCGGCACTGACATGATGCTCGTCCGTGAGCTGACATCGGGCTTATATTTCGGAGAGCGAAAAGAATACGATGGGAATAACGCATTCGACACCGCTGTTTACACGAAGCCAGAAATCGAGCGTATCGCGCGCATGGGCGGCTACTTGGCCAGGACCCGAAAAGAAACGCGGGTCATCTCGCTGGACAAGGCGAATGTTCTGGCAACAAGCAGGCTCTGGCGCAAGGTGGTTGACGAGGTCTTCAAGAACGAGTTCCCCGATCTCAAGGTCGAGCATCAGCTCATTGATAGCGCGGCTATGATCATGGTCAAGAGCCCGACGCATCTTAACGGCGTTATGATTGCGCCCAACTTGGCGGGTGAGTGAGGCCCCTCGTCCACCTCGAGGGCGATTTAGCTAACGACTTTCCAGGTGATATTCTCAGCGACGAGGCGAGCGCCATCGCTGGAAGTATTGGTCTTCTCCCTAGTGCGAGTCTCTGTGGGATCCCGAGCTCTCCAGTGTCTGGCATCTATGAACCCATCCATGGTAAGACTCTCATCCTCCTCTCGAGCCCTCATGTAGACAAGCCTCGCTAACGTACTTGATAGGTTCCGCGCCGGACATTTCAGGAAAGGGGATTGTTGTACGTTAACACCCCGTTTCGGGCGACTCTTATTTATTCGCTGCAGGTACAGAGCTGACATCATTCCTAGAACCCCATTGGCACAATCCTCTCCGTGGCCATGATGTTCCGATACTCTCTCAATCTCCACGACGAGGCTAAATTCGTCGAGGACGCGGTCCGCGCCGCCATTGACGCCGGGCTGAGAACCAAGGATATGGGCGGCAGCACGGGCACCGTAGAAGCCGGAGATGCCATCGTTGCTGAGCTAGTCAAGATTCTCAAGGCGTGAGGCGTCTCACATGGAAAAGCAAATGGACAGCGGGATGAAAGGGGAAAATGGGGACAGACAAAAATAGCTGCGAGGTTGCGGCCGTATGAGAAATGACAAAGAGCGTTGGAAAAACACTCAGAATAAAAAATCATGGAGAAACATGGAAACATGCTAAAAAAAGGAAGTCTTGGTTTCACCTCAGTGCTAGTTTTCACAAATTCACAAATGCCGGTTCTTCAAAATAGAACATCTAACTGAGTCTTCCGTGGGCGGCGCTTATACCAGCGGCCAGATAACGGGACTGCAGAAACTGCCGCTGAAACAGTCGAATCCTTTTAGTACTCTATCATCTCTTTCAGGAAATCTCCGTCTCTGGCTGCCAATATGTATTCACAGAAGGTGGCCGGCTCTTGGCAATCCAATGGGGGACACAATAGAGCATCGCTACGCCGTCGACTGGCGTCCAACACGACTTGTTGCATGTAGATTAAAGCTGCGTGAAAGCTTCCAGTCTCTTGACAGAGGGAGAAGAGGATAATAATGAGAAGATGCTCTCTCGGGAACTAGTTCGATCGAAGCATCAAGCCATTCTCTTAAGCATTTTGCATGTACATCTTCTCCTTTCTTTTCTGTTCCTTTTTCCTTCATCTCCTTCTCCGACGTTGTCCCTTTCTCTTATGAGATGTCTCGGAACACCCTTCTTAGTATGCTGCGCACAACTGGGCTTTCCTCTGTTGCAATGGCCGGTGTGTTGCCAGCGCCCGATACGGGTGTAGATCTTCCCCTGTGGGAATCGATGCGCTATGCCCACGCGGCCATGTTCTGCTCGTTCGGCGAGGAAGATTTGGCTACCAGTGATGGAGCGATGAAGGTATGGCAGGGAAATGGAATCGGCACAGTTTTAGACAAGTTCATCTCGGACCAAGGCAAGAAATTCCGACTCCCACTGCTGGCAGTTCACCACGGAGACTGACTGTTTGTCGCGTTAATAGGCCAGGACCGCTGGCTCATTAAGCTTGGTGAATCCTTTACTGGTGGCCAGTCCACCGACCTGCCTGGCTGCAGTGTCACTGAGGATACAACGTGTGATAGACCAGACGGCTCGAAAAACTGTACCGCGATATTTGATAACGCTGATGCGACCACCTTTGATAAAGCCTCTTTTTGGATTTTCAAGGCCGTGGTCGGCGTCCAGTCCAAACTCTCTAAGCTGCGATCGAGACTGAAAGAGGAAACCCTCTTCCTCGACCTGGAGCTCAAGTCGCTGATCAAAGAGCTCGGCGGAGACAAGCCTGAATCTAAAGCCCAAGCATCGTGGATCGCCGCGGCTCTTGGCATTGGTGAGGCCCTGATTGGAAAAGCATCGGGGATGGTAAGTGCATTCCCTTGATGTGGATTGAAGCTGCCCATGGCCACTGTCGCTTTCTTGCTGGCTCTGAATTAATCTAATCCTCTCAGGGTACCATCGCAGATATTGGCTTCACCCTCTTTAACGGCTTGATAGACATGGCCGGTGATCAGACCGCAGATGAGGGCGACCTGCAGGCCTCATTGACCAAGGTTTCACGCTCTATGGGTTCCAACATTGATGATATGCTCTCCGTCGCGATGGGGGGTGGCAAGGGAGATGACTATGACAAGCTTCCTATTCAATCCAAGGGCTCCTACAAGAACAAGGTTGCTCAATTTTTCAACCCTGGCTTCTGGCTTCAAAATAATGATGCTGGTCTGGTGAAAGAGATGATGGATGCTGCGGTTTCGAATTTGGTAAGAGCTTTCTGATGTCCTCCTAATCATAATGTATTGCGTGACCCCTTTTTTTTATTGAACAACACTCATGTTAACCCTCATCTATTCTAGCGGGCTAAGATGGTTGATGAGATTCTCAGCGCCAATGGGTGGTACGTCTCTTGGTACGTCTGGCGAAACTCAGAGGATAAGTGTCCAAAGGAACAAGGATTTGAATGGGTCAAGGCAGGCTCTGATTACTACTGCGTGATTCTAATCTATCTACTATAATATTCTAGATATCTACTATAATATAGAACTTACTAAGAATAAATCTTAGATTACGATTAATATATTTCTAAGATGGTAAAATTAGGTGAGACTTCGGTGGATTGCTAATCAGCAGTAGGGTGAATACATTCATCCGCTGCTTCTCACCGAGTGCTTGAGACTGAATAGGAAACCAGAGACCCCTGCCTGCATTAGCTCCAGCTTGCGAGTTGTCACTAGTGACAAGGGTAACGGAGGCTTGGTATTTGGACCCGCCACGACGAGAGTAAAGAATCACTTGAAGTAAACGATTCGAATTATTAATTACAAAGCGAAGGGTTTCATTCCCAGGTACAAATACCCTCATTAAGCGTCCTCGTCATCTGTTCTCTCGATTTCCCAACACTCAACTTCTACGTCTAAGCCGATCTTCCGCCGTCCAACCTTCTAATCCTCGCGTCATGTCATCTTCCAATTCACCTCTGTCCGAGTCGGCGGTGATTCCAAACGTGCCACCCGGTCCCGAATTACATAGCCAACTGTCTGGACACTTCCGTCTGATGCTAGGCCACATAGACATCTCGCACAATGTCCTACGGTATCCATACCGTGGAGAGGGAACTGCCGAGTCTCCATTTCTTGTCGAGTTCCTCCCGGGAGACCCCTATAATCCAATGGAATTCCCCTCGTGGAAGAAATGGACCATCACTTTTGTCCTGGCCGTCGCCTCCTTGGGCGTTGCTTTTGCAAGCACGGCGTACTCGAGCGGGATAGAGGATATTATGAAACAATTCGACGTTTCCAGCGAGGTAGCAATAATTGGTTTGTCGCTGTTTGTTCTGGGCTTAGCGCTTGGCCCCGTCTTCTGGGCGCCTCTGTCCGAGGAGTATGGCCGCCAGTACCTGTTCATCATCACCATGACTGCCCACGTTGCTTTTAATGCAGGGGCGGCGGCTTCCCAGAACATCGAGACTCTGATTATTCTTCGGTTCTTTGCTGCTGTCTTTGGAGCTGCACCTTATACCAACTCAAACGCCGTCCTTGCCGATATATTCCCTGCCTCGCAGCGAGGTCTAGCCATGACCTTCTTTGGCGCCGCGCCGTTCTTGGGTCCTGCACTCGGTATGTTGATAAAACTCATCTCCCAGCTCCAGAACATATTCTGACTATAACTCAGGTCCCATCGCTGGGGGCTTCCTTGGCGCTGTTGGTGGGTGGCGATGGATCCAAGCATTAATGGCCATCTTCACCGCGGTTTCCTTGATACTGTGTAGCCTCTTAGTCCCAGAGACTTATGCACCAGTTCTCCTCCGATGGCGAGCAGCCAAGCTGTCAAAGATGTCTGGGAATCTCTACATCTCCTCCGTCGACGCGAGCCAGAGAAGACACTCAGTCACCGAGACGCTCAGACGAGCCCTTCTGAGACCATGGGTTCTCCTCTTTCGCGAACCCATCGTCTTGCTCATGACTATCTACCTATCTGTCATATATGGCACCCTCTACTTGTTCTTTGCCGCCTTCCCTATTGTCTACCAATTTCAGAGGGGTTGGTCAGTGGGCGTTTCCGGACTGGCTTTTATAGGAACCGCCGTCGGAATGTCTTTCTCGATACTATACGTGGCTGTCTACGACAACAAGCGATACGCCCGCATAGTTATTGCAAGAGGTGGCGCCGCTCCTCCGGAAGCCCGACTTCCAGCAGCCATTGTTGGGTCTGTATTTGTCACAGTAGGACTCTTCTGGTTCGCATGGACAAATGGTCTCGGAGTTCACTGGATTGTCTCGATCATTGCTTCTGGCTTCTTTGCCGCCGGAATGGTTCTTGTTTTCGTCGGTATAATCAACTATCTCATCGACTCGTATGTGATCTACGCCGCATCAGTCCTCGCGGCCAACACTATTGTTCGGTCTCTATTCGGTGCCGCATTCCCATTATTCACCACGCAGATGTACGAGAACCTCGGCATTCACTGGGCTTCTTCTGTGCCAGCTTTTCTCGCACTGGCGTGCTTGCCATTCCCCCTGCTATTTTTTAGGTTTGGGGAGTCAATTCGGTCTAAGTGCAAGTATGCCGCTGAAGCGGCGGCTCTACTAGCACAGATGCACGCTGCACGTCGGGCCCCCGAGAGCGACGCGAGAACTAACACTGAGACTGGAAGAGGCCCAGTCTCGTCTCAGAACTGATGAGCTGACACCTGTAGCCAGTCTCGACAGACAGAGCATAATTCTGTACTGTTTCTGTTGAGTAAAAAAGCCTGCCCAGTGTTGTTTTATTCAATGTTCGCTTGAGTTCAGCATTTGTCCCCCAACTTCGTTTTTCCATATTCAGTTAATGCTTTATGAGCTGTTGGCGAGGAAATGATTTAAATCACTTTTTATTACTATACCTTGTACTTTGAGTTGTAGGTCTGTCATATACAAAGGTATATAGTTAGTGTACACAGCATGTGTACTTGCAATTGACTCGTTGCCTGTAAATCATCAAGTATCATGTCTCATCCATCCTGCCAGCCAACAGTGCCTCTCCCTGCCCTTCAATTATATCTATCCAAATCAGTTCCTTGGTCAGCTTAATTGCCTCATGAATATCCGTGCTACCCTTGGACCTCATAGCAGCTTCAATGTGTGGAAGCAATTCTTCCATGCCTTGGCCAGGCTGGACAAGTGCTGAAGTCACCAATGCCCACAATTCAAGGCCATCCAAACAAGCAGCATCTCTATTGATGACAAATACAGATAGCGTGGCCATGAATCTTGTCCAGAGCGGTGTCATGTCCAGCGTGTTCAAAGAGAATAGGCCCTTGAGACGGGAGAGTAGCATTAGGCATACCAACCTGACTATCTCACCAAGGACTTGGATCCTAGAGGCATTAATGCCGACCGAGTCAATACGACAGGCAGAGAGCAGATGGTGCGTCACTGGGCCGAGAAGTTCCATAGCGCCGACGGCATCTTTCCAGAAGTCTGAATCATGGCTGTTGGTATTTACTTTGCGAGCTACCGAGGACGTCATGCATAAAGCTTCCGATATGGGCGTCAGTTGTGGGAACGCCAGGCTCATGTAGAGTATAAGCGATCGCAAAGCGGGAGGCGTTTCTCTTGGTGATTTGTCAGTTGCGGTAAACTCCTTGGGAATAGGAAATCGCGGCAGCGTATCAAAGGCCGCACTGCCAACGAGATCCAGCCTATTCATGTAATTATTACATAAACCACTTCCGCGGAAGCTGCCATAGACTCACCAGGAAGCTATCGCCGGGATGTGGTTATCTAGTCTATCCATGCCACCGCGCAGCTTGGATACTTCATAGAGGCCATCAATATGGGTCGACCAGCGGCCCCAGTTGCCGATATGTACCTATCTTAAGCGGTGAGTACAAGGAAATGCAGGTAGAGCGGATACTACTGACATCATGGCAGAGACATCCGATAACGGTTGCTATAACTCCAGCACTCGTGCGGTCAAAGGGGTCGCTTAAGCGGACCGACAAATCCTTGAGGGCCTTGGTGTAATATCTTACAGGTTCCATGTCATCGGTAATTTTGAGTATAGGGACATTGTTCTTGCGATTCCAGAGAAGCAGCGTAGTGGCCATGGAAAGATGCAAGGCAGTGGGATCGGAGAAGCCCATACGGACCCATATCCTGTGGAGGGGTTGATTTATATACTCTGATTCCGATGCGACTGTAGGTACGGCATATCAGCGTCTAGATCGTGGCTAAACAGAATGCCCATCACTTGTACGCTTACTAAAGTGGATGATTTGCAGAGTTCGGTCAGTCAGTTCGACTCCGAGTACTCCATACCGATCTAGCTGGAACAGGCGATTAGGGGATCGAGTTTCGGGCGGATAAGCGGCGTCAGGACTCTGGTGATGTACTGGGCGCTCCCCTCGCTGGAAATCATATCTGTTCACTTCGGGTGCCATGATCTCCAGAGGGATGACGGCATGTCGTGGCCTTTTCCGCCGCGAACGGCCAACACCCGCCAACACATGGCGGCGAATGCCGTCTTGGATATCGTGTTGTCGAATGTCATCTGGGTGTGATAGGTTGACAAAAGTGATGCCAGACCCGTTAAGGGGCTGATGGCTTTGATGTCGCGGCATTGCAGCTATGTTGCCGAGTTTCGTCAAGCTTGACCGCCGTCTAATAAGTCCTTCGTCAATTCGGAGACTACGTGTTGACACAAGAGCTGGTATCTTCGCCTCGTCTAGGTTTCGTGTTACATCCAGCGTTCAAATGGTGGCCTACGAGTGCTCCTGGTAGGCTATTTGTCATCCGCATAAACGAAACCCCGCTCTCCTACCGACCTCCTAATTACTACATGTCGCTTGAACTCCGCGCACACCCCACCCTTGCGCAGTCTTTGAAGATAAATCTATCTTTCATATACTAAATTTTAAACCTCTCTTAAGGACCCACGTTCTATAACTCTATTTATATATATCTTAATTGCTTAAGATAGAATATCTTTTATTTCAGCTCAAGATTCAGACTCGAAAACCTTATATATCGAGGAGAAGTCCCGGTTGCTGTACGGAGACTCAGGTTGGGCCAGGGGTCTATACAGTTGCTCAACAAATTTGCCCAGAGATAGAGGCCGCCCAATGCTGCCGCTAGCGGATACTGCTAAAGCCAGATCCTTGTGAGCGAGTTTTGTCACGAATTAATAGAAATACTTTTAAGCTTTAAAATACAGTAGAAGGTATAGGTGCGACCTGTTGGGAAACTCGTACGAGGTGCCGACCTACCACGGTATTAGAATGTGCTTCGCCGCATAAGTACGTGTTAGTTTACTTCAGTTTACTTATATCTCATAAGCAGATGCTAAATCTTGCAAAATTAAAGCTCTTTTCACCCCTGTATAAGGAAATTCGGTCCTTGTTTGTCCCGTAACCATAGTGAAGGTGGATTCGATAGACCGGGGCGGGGATTTGGCTGCATTGGTGATGCGAGACCGGGATATGCTCCGAAACGGGGCTTCAAAGGCCATTTCCCCTACGACAGTCTTGGTTTTAGGCCTACATGCGGAAGTTGGCAGTTAACATAGGGTGCTATAGGCCGATGCGACTCTGGAGTCTCACCTGAAGCTGTTCCACCTCCAAGCTCCCCTTTAGCCGTACTCGGCACACTCGCCTAGAAGATGCCCTTCACCCTAATTCGACCGTGAGGATTTTTCGCTTGACGTTTAACTGAGTATTAGCTACGTGAGTCATGAAGTCATTGAGCTTTGCTTCTGATATGATTGGGGGTGAACGGCTTCTGGGTCATTCCTGGTCATTGCAAGAGCGCACTCTCTTAATCGGGCATCTGGTCCCATCAGAACAAGCATACACAGGGGTGCACTTTGGACAGGGGAGTCGCTCAGGTGAGGCATCATCGCGCGTTCGTTGACCCTGACTAGGGGCACGCGTACGTACTACGAGCTAGGTTTGGATACCCGCTGGTATAATGGACATTGTTATTATCACTTATTTGGAACGCACCATGTTTGGGAGCTCGTCTTTTAAACATGAAGCTGGCTGCTTCTCGGGTTCTCGTGGAGCTTTCCTCCATGCGCGTCACGCTTTGAATGATAACGTTCTTTTATTGCTTCACCACTCTCGTTAATCAGAGCCTTATTGCAAGGCCTTAATCTACCAGCCAAAATGGTTGCCAAAACACTCTTTGCGGCGATGACGCTTGCTGGCTTGTCAGCAGCCCAGACATACACAGATTGCAATCCCACAGAGAAAGGTATGTAGGATCGGCCAGCCATAGCAAGGCTTTGCCTGCTATGCAATGAAGACATACAATCTAACACTCTCGGATTCAAGCATGCCCTGCAGCGCCTGCTTTAGGAAACAAGAAGATTGACTGCGACTTGACCGCGGGCATGTGCGACGGTTTCACCCAGCTCGACACACTTACCAATGTTACGTACAGTGAGAAGGGTGCATTGTTCAGAATCGACAACGAGGACCAGGCACCCACCTTTGCATCGGATAAATACATCTTCTTTGGTCATGTCGAAGTAGAAGTGCAAGCTGCCGCTGGCCAGGGTATTGTCACAGCTATCGTTCTTCTCTCGGCGGACCTGGATGAAATTGACTGGGAGTGGGTTGGTGGAACGGATGGAGAAGTCCAGTCCAATTGTTTTGGAAGGGCAGGCGTCAATACAACATATACTTGTGTCAGCGATCATGCCGTTTCTAAGCCTTACACGACGTATCACACTTACGGCTTCGATTGGACTTCGTCAAAGCTCGACTGGCTCATCGATGGCAAAGTTGTTCGAACTCTTGCCTTTGAAGATGCCGTGGGCGGCACTCGTTTCCCCCAGACCCCCTCACAAGTAAAGATCGGCACTTGGGTTGGCGGTAAAGCTAGCAATTCCGACGGCCTTATCTGGTGGGCTGGAGGCTTGACAGATTTTAATGATGCCCCTTTTGATGCCTACTTCAAATCCGTCAAGGTCACCGACTACGCCGGGGGTGATTCAGCGCCAGAAGAGAGCATTCTGGAGTATGCCTATACTGACATGAGCGGAACTTGGCAAGGAATTGAGGTAGTCAAAGGGGAAGCGGTTAGCTCATCGTCATCTTCTTTGACTGTTCCAGCTACGACAGCATCTGAGAAGGCTTCTTCCTCCACTACCAGTCTACCAGTTTCTACGACTTCTGCCACATCCGAAAGCACTAGCTCGGCAGACAGAATTTCCACCGAATCTCCAGTTGGTTCGACTACTCAGACCACAGCCGTTTCTCAATCCACCCCCTCTTCGAGCGCGTTCGTGTCTAACACCGTATCATATACACCAACCGAGACAAATACGCCAGTTGAAATCTCTGCAACCAGTTCATTACAAAGTGACACTACTACTTCATCCAACCCTACGATCATTCAAACCCCATCACCGTCTATCACCCCTTCCTCCAGCGCTGCTGAGGAGCAGTTGACTACATCGACACTCTTTTCTACCTCTATTTATACCGTTACATCTTGCGCCCCGACTGTAACAGATTGTCCGGCCGACTCAACCGTCGTGGTAACCGCAACTGTGCCCATTTTGACAACTGTGTGTCCTGTATCTGCGTCAGCATCTGGGCCAGCATCTACGGCACAGACACAAACAGGGTCCAGTTACGTTTCAGCGCCTACCAGTGGCTCTAATGAGATTTTGACCACCTCCACGATTTTTACTACTTCTGTTTATACGGTCACGTCTTGTGCCCCAACTGTCACAGACTGCCCAGCTGACTCGACAGCGTTGGCAACTGAGATTATACCTGTTTCTACAACTGTTTTCCCTATCTCTGCATCCACAACTGCAAAACAGTCCAATAATTCTCCAGCTCTCACCAGCAATGTAGAGGACCAGTATACTACCTCCACGATCTATGCTACTTCTATCCGCACCATTACATCTTGCGCCCCAACTATCAAAAACTGCCCGGCGGATTCAACAAAGGTTGTGACCAAAACCTTGGCCGTCTCTACCGCAGTTCATCTCATCTCATCTGCGTCGGCAACACCTACCTTGGGTACCACAGATATTCCGGACGTTAAGGATACCCAAAGGCTCAAGCCTACGGCAGGGTCGCCAGTCTCTACAGCAAGCCGCTTGAGTAGCAACGCACCCGCACTTCCCAGCATTTCTAAATCATCTCCTTTACCATCCACGATTGTTTTTGCGACCCCATCTCATGTTTCACACAGTCTTAATAGTACTGCCACACAACTCCCACTTCCAACTGCTGGGGCAGTTCGCCTAGGCAAAGGTATCGAATTGGCCACCGTCTTAGCCTTGGCCATTGTCCTTGTTGTATAGGCAGAGAGTCAGACGAAGCTAATAAGAACGAATGTATTTGAGTAATTTTTAATTCAGGATATGCGCGGGCGCACACTCATTTAGTTGCCCAGATAATACACAGAATTGTCGTATTTTGACAACTGAATGAGTAACCATTTAGCGACGATGTATTGCCCAAGCTTTTACTGTACTGTTCAGAATGACAGGAGCTAGGTTGAACGGTTGGTCCACTTATCAATTTACAACCAATCCCGAATGGTTATTGGGTGACGAAGTATGGGATCCGTCTGACCAGCACGGATCATGATCGTATCCCTGGTGTAACTGATCGTGTAACCAGGGTATCTTGGCAGGATCTCCACATCATATGCTCATGGCCAGGATGAATCTCCCTGTCTTATATACCCCATTTTGAGTGATCGGAGCATAGGCGACCGGCTCTCAAAGTAGCAGCTACCTTGCACGCGGAGCCAAAAATCAGGTGAGCCGGTGAGGCAAACATGACATTCTAAACGACACTGCCTTTCAGGTCGAAGTTTATTGTATTTCTCTCGTCTCCCTATGCGACTTGCGTTGCCTGATTTCATGTAAAACTGAAGAATTCTCTAAGCTCTGCCCAAAGAGTCACTTTGCGTTTCGAATTCCTTCCTTTTTCTCCCCGTAGTCCCTCAGTACAAAGCATATCCACACATCAATGGTCAATGTTGATGAGCAGCTCGTATTATATCAAACCTTAAAGATAAGCTTCGATCTTATTTTCACATGCTAATAGTTAAGTGTCGCTTGATGATCAAGGTTTCCTTTTTTTTTTTTTCATAGGTTTCCCACACCCCTTGTCAACCTCTCAATCTCCTCAGCACGCCTCACTCCATCTACGGCTTGATGATTCTGGCCACCAATCGGGGCGTTACATTCTGGGCATCTGGCTTGCTCCATCGGCATTCCGCACTCTCCGATTGTGAATGGATGTCCGTTTTCGCAGGTATACCAGTGACCTGTCCCTCTCAGGTCACCACTCAAGGCAATATAAACTTCTCGGAGCTCATCAGTGGTGACTTGACGGTATTCATGCCCTTTGAGTGCAAATTCCGCTGATTCAACCTCCTGCAACAAGGGGGCTGTAGACGGATGACTTTCTAGGATGTCGCGAGCCAGTCTGATATGGTCCATTCCTTTCTCTTTGTACCCGACTTCGAGATCTTTCTTATCGCCATTTGCAGAAAACCACCTGGCAAACTCGCATATCCATGCATAAAAGATATGGCCTTGCAGTTGTTCTTTTGGGTATTTGAAACTTGTTGCTAGCCCAATAAGCTGGTCGCATGCTTTGAAATAACTTGCGAAGTCAACTTGGATCTTTGGTGGACGGGCTTTGCCGCTTTTGCAAAGACCGATGAAATCGGCAATTGCGGTTATTTCAGTTTTCAGAAGCAGCGATTCAGCAAGCAACATGCCCTTATTCTGGATTACCGAGTCATCGTACTGAAACTCCCTAGTCTCTTTGTTTCGGCGATTTGCGGATTGGACATAGGTGGCAACTCGATGGAACGGCTGTTCATCCCTCGCCACCTTGTTCTTGTATACATTCAGCTTTTGTCGAAGCTTGATGATCTTTTTGTATCTGTCGTTTCCTAGAGCTGTCTCTAGGGCTTGAAGTATGCTCAATCTGGACCCTTGCGGCGTAAGAACCTTCATCGAGTCCCCGACAGCAGATATTTTCGTGCTGGTTGGCGTACTCTCCAACTTCTCAAACTCGATTAACATAGATTTAGCAAGCTTTTCATGCTGGGAGCTGGACCAAGTTATGAATCTCTTTGTCGTTTCGTCCAGAATTGACCGGCGTACAATGCGTCCGTATCTAGATATAGATCTGAGTGAGCCACGACAAGTGGCGCACACAGAGATACTTTTCTCTTCCATTGTGAAAGGAGCAGAAGGCCCGCGGAGCTTGATGGGATATTCCTCCATGTCCAGTTCATAGTGGTCAGACATTTGCATTATACCATCCATTGAAGAGATGGTCAAGAAATGTCCACAGTCAGGAAAGATGCATGGCTCCTCGTCCAAGTTGATGTCTTCATAGAGTTTCAGCTCTACAAAGTCGACGCAAAACTGCCTGACTTGATCCGAGGCACATTTCTGGCAATATTTGATATCCGGACATGCCTCACCACAAAGCGATGGACCTGTGAAGGGAATTAGTACATGTGATGCCTGATGGCGTCAATCATTCAAACTTATACTTACATTGATGACCACACTTCAATACCTCCTCACAGCGCTTCGAGCAGGGTATCCAATCACAAGGAGCTGCGCAGGGCATGCTACACTCAGAGTGAGGGCAGCACGACTGGCACTTCTCCTCGGCACATGGCACGCAAGGCTCGTTGCAAGCTTTGGCGCATTTTGAATGGCTGCACCGCACTTCACAGGGCTGATCGCATGGAGAACAAGCAGTGCCTGAATGACAAGCTTTGGCACAGTTGTGCTGGCAAGTAGAGTAGCCTCGTCCACATGGTTGTTGACAGATGCCGTGATTCGCTTTCGTGATCTGGCCGCCCTCACGAGTATTACACTTGAAACAAGGACTTTTGCACGAGTGTCCGCAAGGGAGGTTCTGGCCACAAACCACCACGCAATGATAGTCGGCACCTGTGATATCGTCGGAGCATTTCACCTGGACCTTGTGTTCACAGCCTGGGACATTTCGAGTCACAGTCACAGAACAACGGATTAGCGACGGGTCTTGAGCCTGCCAACACTCGGCGGTTGTGACGATGTGCCCACAGTCAAGAACGAGGCGGAGGTCTTTCAGTCGAACCTGGCACTTTTTCTGGCATGGATCGCCACAGCGAAGAGGGCAGACATGATCACATCCCTTCTTTAATCTGGGGCACGGCTCCAGGCACTTGACCGCGCTATGGATGACGTTGGAGTGGCACTTCCCCGTGCAGGAGTGGCCACAATCTAGTCTCTTCTCGCATGGCAGTTGACATCCACTCTCTGGGGAGAATTGGACAAAATGGTCTGCTTCAGATACGAGAATCGGAGTATTGGGATGGCGGGGGCATTCAAGTTCTAAACTTGTGCCAAACTGGCCTTTATCCTGCAAGATATTCATGACTTGAGCCCACATCGGGACACGCTGGCACGTGTTTGAATTTCCAATGATGTACATGCCATGCTTAGCGCGGGAAAGTAGCACGTTGATTCGATTGGAAGTGCTAAGAAATCCACATACATTTTGCGGGTTGCTTCGGACCAAGGATATCACGATGATTTTGGCCTCCTCGCCCTGAAAGTTGTCCACAGTCGCCACCCTCACGCTTTTAAGCAAAGTAGTCTTTCGGGTTGCGGTGGGTTTCTTTGGCGTGGGGTTGCCGAAATCCTCCTCCTCGAGCATTTCAAGGTCCTCAAGATCTCGGTCATTGACACATATCTCAAACATGGATTCCATCCGACGCCGAAGTTTATGCAGTTGGCCCAGATAAGGCGTTATTACCGCGATCTCTCCTTGTGCGTATTCACCCTGGCGGGTGAGGTGGGAGACCAAGGCTGTAGTCATTTCGATTTCAAAGTCATTTGATCTTGATGTGTTGAGCGGGTCGTTGTTCGCAGCCGAGGCTTCGAGGTGCTCATGATGTAACCAAAACAACCGCTGCTTCATTCCAACAACTTTCGGATACTTCTGGACCGACTCTGAATCCATCAATGCGGGGTAGAGTGTCGATCGAATCAGCTCCGACATGAAGGGATGCATTCTCCTTTGTGTTTCAAGTGTGCTAAACGGAACTTGCACGTCCCCGTCATGAAGAGGTTGAACAAGTCGCTCAAACAGCGACATGTCCAATGAATACTGTTGGCCACGGGGATTTGTACTTTGCAGCTCATAATTTTGTATCTGCGGCCGAAGCTGGAGGTGGTCTCCGATTAGAATTGCGCTCTCTAGCGATGGGAGAAGCGCAGTAAGGATATGAGCCTCGAGGACTTCACCCGCTTCTTCACAGACCATCACCTTACTTCTAAGTTTGCGAAGTGTCTCGAGCTGTCTTGCCAAGCCGGTAGTTGTGACTCCAACGACATCGGCTTGCTGAAGACATCTAAGGTCGGTGTCTCCACGGATTCGATCCCGCTGTTCAGAGGCAGTTGTGTATTTGCGGTACAGGTCTGTCATCTTTTCTATGATGGGATCCCTCAGAGTTTCTATCCAGTGATTGTAGATCTTCCGACGTTCAAGGTGGCTCATGTCGAATAGGTTAACTAATTGTAGTTCAACCAGCTGCCTAGACTGTTTTCTATCATGAGATCCGCTCTGCAACCACTTTGCTAAAGATGGTTTTTCTTTGTAAGTAACCTCCGTCCATTCATTTTCATCAATCACGAAAAGCTGGTGAAAATGTCTGGGCGATGTTGCGCGTAAGTGGGTTTTGATAGTTTCCACTGATTCTAGGTCGGCTAGGTCGCCAATCAGCTTCGTCAAGTCGCGGTCAATATCCCGAATCTCATCTTGGACTATGTAGAGCTCTCTGCCTTCAGTTCTCGTGCGCTCGGCTGTCTTGGCAACCAGTCTCAGATTCCGGTTTTGAAGCCTCTCGGACTTTGATCGGGACCCTATTCGAATAACCCTATCAACCCCTTCGTCGAGAAGATGCTCAAGAAGCTGATCTAGAGCATGGTTGGTATAACAAACACACAGGATTGGACCCATGTTAATTTGCTTTTTATGTTCCAGGAGAACCTTTATGATCTTCTCTCCAGTGTAACTCTTGCCTGTTCCTGGTGGACCCTGGATCAAGCACAACTCTTGGGTAAGAGCACAAAGAAGCGCTCTTGATTGCGTGAGATCTAAAGACGATCGGGACGCAAGCGCTTCGGGCTCCGGCGGATGACGAGGATCGACCTTCAGACTAGTGTTATCGTTCGTTAACAGCCTCAAGTCGAATTCGAACCCGGCCTTTCTCGTGTAGAGCGGAGACGCAATGACTGTCTGCTGGTTTACTTCGCTCGAAGGCGCAATCAAATCATGAAACGGAATTCTTGGCTGCTCGGAAATTCTTTTCAGTGCTGTGAGAGTATGTTGGAAGGATGCAAGCAGCACTCCGGGAAATTCCACAATGTACCGGCGAGGCGATGACCTCGTGCTACGATACCATCTCAGAGTCCGTCTGAGTTCTGAAGCTCCAGCGTCAACCAGCTGCAAAGTGACGAAAAGATGCTCTTCGCTTCCAGATAGTGTGAGGAGCTCCTTTGGGACAGATTCGCTGTCGCTGTTCTGCCCACGCTGAGCCTTTTTCTTTGCAACATCGTCATCTTCAGTTCTCATGGTCGATTCCGAGACAACAAAAAACTGGACGGAACCTGTCGCATCTAGAACGCAGACAAGTGCCCCTGACTGGAGTCTCTTGCTTTGCATCCACCACTCTCGGCGTCTCTTAGCCGTCATCCCTTTCAATGCAGGGGGCTGATTGCACTGAATGGTGAACTGCAAACCCGAGAAGCTGTCAAAGCCAATATCGACGGGCGTGGGTAACTCGTACGAGAAGGTACGCACGGTATTTTTGGAGCTGCGATCGACTCGCACATCAACGTTGCGAATGCGGTCTAGTGTATCATGAACGGCATCCCTAAGTTGACCCACGGTGTCCTCTCTGAGTAATCGAAATTCTCTGTCGACTCGGCCGCGGATGCCGGGGACGTGCCACTGTGATGAGTCCGTGGTGGGTAAATACTCGCGACGCGGGGACATGATTTCCTCGGAAGTCGGAAGGATTTTGATCTTTGAGATGGATTTGTTGTCGTTGTCATGACGTGGTCCCTCCGCAGAAAGAGTCCCAGGAAGGTCTCGACGTAGGACAAAGGCCTCGCGAATCACAGGAACGACATTGGGTTCCATGACGTCTATTTCTTGGCCAACTTCGAGCCGTTGCCGTATGTAGTCAAGGTATCTCTTTGCCTGTACGCAAGAAAAATCCTCAGCTGATTCCGGCTCGGAGTTGATACATCTCTCAAACCCGCGAATGATTGACGAGAGGCGTTCATCGATCATGAGCAAGGTGTTACAGTCCATCATTTTGGTTAACACGGCAAGAGAAAGCTCGATAACAGCCATCTTGGAAACACTGGTTGTCGAAGCTGGCCAGGATTGAACCAAAGTCAAGATGAAATTGAAAACCCTGACCATTCGCTCTCCATGGACGCCATTGAGGAGGTTGTAGATCATCGCCACTTGCTGTTCCAGCACTGCAGAGTCCACCACTCGCTCGTGTGTGATGAGTTGGAAAAGAGGGCAAATCTCATCTACCCAGAGACGAAGGCCAGATTGATCCCTCTGAGCCTTTAGTATGTGACGATCTGCCAGGTCCCTGATGAACTTGAGCCCTTGGTCATCAGCCAACGCCTTGATTGTTTCCTGAGAAGCCCCTTGATCCCCGCTCATGAGGTCGAGTGCGAGGGAAAAGAACCTGCGTGCCACCTCCTCCGATGGCCTTGAATATAATGACGCCGGAGCATTCAATATTTGCTTCCACTCTCGCCACCTGACATCTTGGTTGGACTGACGCTGTCTTGTGCCTGAGTTCGGCGCATTGGCCTGGGTGTTGAATGAGCCGGACGGCCGTCCATCTCCCGCCTGTGGACCATGGGAGAACTTGCATCTCGCTCCGTATCTGCAAACGCCATCTCGCCGAAATTCTCGGCATACGCCGTTTGTATTTCTCCTCGGGTTGCCCCTAAACATGATGTCGTTGAATAGGTACGTATCAACAGCGTTGAATTAAGTGCTGTTGGAGTGGCAGATGAAGGATAACCCTGAGAAATCGACGGCTTTCTTACAGGAGCACACTGCGCGAGTCTGAGACTGCGCAAGTCTGGGTAATTAAAAATTTGTTTACCAGAGTCCTGCTCCTCACTTGCGTGGTTGGCACTGTGTAAGCCGTGGGTCGTGAGAATTGGGTAGGGGAATAGCGGAAGGGAGATGCCAGTAGAGATAATATGAAGGTTTAACTCATTGTGCATCTATGTTAGGCAGCAGGCCAGGTCTGGGCAGCAACTCGTCTCATTTCAGAGGCAGTTTCTTGGCTGCGGTCAGACCTGGCCTCTGACATTTTGTGCGAATGAGAAGTGCACATCTTGGAGGGCCTCCCGCATGTATAGTAGCAGCCACCTCTCAATAACCAACCGTCATGTTCCCACAGGCCCTTCCAATATCCAATAAGATAGGGGACTCTCCCACCAATGCAGAATTATGGTCATTTCTCAACCGGTGGCGTAACAGCTAGCTCCAGCGAAGGCAGAAAATTAACGTATCATGCATGATGTCTTATGTTGCTTCATAACGCGGTGGACCCCCTCAATGCATAGTCAAACTGTTGGTGCCAACATGCATAGCGGATTGAAGCCGGTCGTATTCTGAATCCTGTAGCCCAAACATACACGTCAATGTGATCTGCCTTGGTACCCAAGGCATTCTAGGATTGCATAATATACCGAACATGCACTTTATACGGTACCCATGCACAATGACTGCAGATGATGAGCGAAATGCCAGCAACGTGCACTTTATCAATATACCTTGTCCAATCCAACGCCCTTGTCATATCGAGGGTTGGGCGGTAAGAATTTTATGCTCACTAGAGTGATGTGAGGCGGGAGTCCAGGAAGGACGCCTCACTGCTGCCTTACTACCGGTTTCTAAATCACGCATTCACTGAAAACCAATAAGCCAATCGGAAAACAATTCTTTCTGCTTATTGTCTCATGATCGGCAACTTGCAGATTGACAACGACCTATTGTAATATACTTATGAGTGAATCTGCGCAGAATCATTCCCCGGTCACATCAATCGATTCTAATCTAATTACGACTTGCATCTGAATCAGCTCCAAGGTTATCTGTTTACACCCTACAAAAAGTCTAGCATTACATGTATTGAATTCTATCCTATCTAAAAGCAGAGGGCGGAGGGGTGTGCTGTGTCGGGCAGCTCGCACTCTCTTGGTTGGATCATGCGGTAGGTAATCAGTGTGTAACAAGCGTAGCCGTCGGCGTGAATCAAGTTCAAAGCCACTGCTTGTTTCCCTTGTGCGAAATGAATGAACCACCATATCCGTCTTTGAGGCTTGCCTTGTTAATGACAGACAGCATGTCCTTGATTGACTCTTCTGGCATAGTACGGCCTTTGAAATGAGGCGCATAACCCGCAAACTTCCCGCCTAGAGCCATCGCCTTGGGGATTTGTTCCTCGGTAACTTCGAAGGCCGTTAGCATTGCACTTCAACGAAATTTTGGCACAGAGTTGGTTCTCACTTCCTGCGTCCTGTCCAACTTCAACGGCTCCTGGAGCAATAGATAGGAATAGAACGCCTTGCTCTGCATACTCGGCGCTGTACTTGGCCACGGCAGTATTCATAGCCGACTTGCTGATGGTGTATGGACCTGCTTCGCCGATGTTGAATTTGGTGGTAAGTTCGTCGTCGGCGAATCCCGATGAAAGGACAATCACTTTCTTCACGTCGCCCTTCAGTACTAGGGGCAAGTATAGGTTGATGAGGTGGATGTTGCCAATCGTGTTAATGCGAAAGCATTTCAATAAGTCTTCTTCGAGCCTCTTGGGGTCATCGCCGCTATGTGATTGTCTTAGCTTAAATATTCACACTCGGGTAGGTTCAGGGAGTGTAAATCATACAGTGTACTGAGGTTATCATAGGCAGACCACGAAGAAATGTAACCGGCGTTTGCAATGAGGTAATCTAGAGACCCTTTCACAATTCCCGACACTTGGTCAACGGATTTCTGTGTAGAAATTAAAATAAGTCAATTCCAATCTTTCAAAAACCCAAGGGATATTTCACAATCGTGTTACCTTGAGTGAGTCCAAGTCCTCAAGATCACCTTGAACGATATGGATATTGGAACGGTTAAGTGCGTTGACCTTGGCCTCAGTCTCAAATTTATTGCGAACAAGGCCAACAACAGTGTTTCTCGGGTTCTCAGAAATTTGACGTAAAAACTCATACTGGTCATTTCATCAGCTCTGGACTCGGGGTTTAGGGTAGGCTGAGAATCTGCATCATGTACGTACGCCAAGGCCTCGCGAGGCGCCGGTGATTAGGTACGAAGGCATGACTGGTTGAAAATGTTGAATCTGAAGAGATTTAGACGTAAGATAACCGTTTCTGGCTGATTGTAAATCCAGAATCTCTTTGAAAGCAGTTGCTCTATCATATTTATACCATTGCCAAAACCCGCCTCTTAAACCTTCGTCTCTAACATTCCCCAATCGTCTCACCTTTGGCGTCTCTGATTGGCTGTTTCATTAGTAATTTGTCAGGGGAGAGGCTCCATAAATCTCGCGATTAATTGCCATCGGTGGAGCTCAGATAATTGTGCCAGTCGACTGATTCGTCAGTTGAAGAGTCAGCAACCCAGTCCCATACAAATACCTCTCAGCCCTTTTAATTCCATCTCACCCCACAAGCGTTTATGAGTTCTGCTATCTGATTAACTTTTACTTTCTGACATCCAAGTGAGTACAACTTTCCGCGAGTATGGTATCCAATCGGCCTCGAGATACCGCGCTGGCGCCCAATAGCTGCTGGACATGCAAGGGTATGTTGATGACAAATCGCCGTATTGGCCTCGAAGCGCCCAATACTTGACGGAAGCTGATTAATTGGTGTAACAGACCGTAGAGTTCGTTGTGACCGAACAATCCCAAGATGCTCAAACTGTACCCGGGTTAGAAGGACATGCCAAGGGTATGGAGTCCGCCTGTCTTGGCCCAAGGCCACTGATCCGAGGCGGGCGATGCATGTGGACTTGCCGCCGGGACGAAAGACGAAGAGCATGTTTCCGAAAGTTCACATTATCCAGACTTCTTACCGTGATATGGAAATATACGACTACTTGGTTGATTTGAGCATTAGAAGTTGGTGCTTTTCTGTACAATATTCTTGAAGTGTGTCATTATTTGCTAACCATATATCACAGGAGCACCAGATCAGAACAAGCTTCTACATCACTTGGCTACACCTTACCACCCGCCATGGAATCCATCTCCTCTTGGCGGAGGAGAGGCTTCTCTAGTTGAATACTGTGCGTGTAATTGAGATTCTAACTGAGTTGTTTGACCTGGGACTGACAGGCTCCATAGTTGCAACGACGGCTTCATATTCTCTAGTGACATTTAACCAAAATACGCGAGAATTTGGCGACTTACTGATCAAGATGGCATTCTGCAACGACTCCTCCTCCTCCAAGGCAGTGTTGTTCGCCTTACTTGCCCTTGCATCCCGGTATCGCAATGGGCTCCAGTCGCAAGCTGTCCAATTTAAGACCGCTGCTATTACCGAGCTCACGCGTTCAGCAGAGCGTAGTTCGCTGAGCACGACGGAAGCAGCCCAACATGTCGCAGCGGGCATGCTTCTTTGCTCCTTTGAGGTGGGTGAAATTTGCAACTTCTGTGTCAGGCTTGACCTCTTATGCTAATATTCTGTAAGATTCACGATTCGTCCGAGACTGGTGGACAGTGGTTATGGTACGTCCGCGGAGTCAAGGACGTCATCAAGATTAGCCGTCTCTATGAGCATGCAGACAAAACGTTTGTGTCCGAGATGCTCGAGTGGGTGCATTACCACGATGTCGTTGCTCAATTCAGCATCCTCCACTGGCGGCATCGGCAAGTGGAAAATATCTTTGCGGAGCAAATCAGCACTTCAGGCCAAGGAAATCTTTTGTTAGATTCAAAGGGGGCGCAAGTATGTTTGTTCAAGTCTATCAGGTTGGTATACACACTAACTGTTTCTCGTTGCCTAGCTCACGAATCCTGCCCGCCCATCGCATCGCGTGTTACAGTTTCTAACTGAGATTTTCAACGTCCTGTTCCAAGCATTCGAGCACAAGGACAAGTTAGAAAACTATGTTGGAATTCTTACTGCACTCGAAGGCAATGCACGCACCATCGTGGAAGTGTCTGATAATTATGATGCTCAGATGAACAACACTGCGACAAATCCGATCAAGTTGTATCAGATCGCAATACTGATTTATCTCGCGCGGGTCTCTGAAAGCATTTCCGGCAAGCCTCGTGATATACAGGGTCTCATAGACAAAGCGTTCGCATTGGTAGATCGCTTATGGGCTCATGAGCACCAGTTCCCTCTTCTAATCGTCGGTAGCGAAGCCCGGACTGACGAGCAGCGAGCAATTATCCTCAATCTTGTCAAGAGGTCAGAGAAGAATAGATACGGGAGAAGCCTGGATTGTCTGAGGTGGGGTCTGCATGCGCTCTGGATACAGGAGGATCTTGCTGCAGATCAGGAGATTGTGCCGAGTTACGTGGACAGGTTCAACGCGATTATGAGTAAAACTCGGTTTATTCCAAGCTTGGCATGAGATGACGAACTTTTCTAGGAGACTGATATTTTAGTCGATATTAATTCGATACGCAGGGTTTAAATTAATTGTGTCTCATAGTCTTATGATTAGGCTAAATGCCTGTTCTTATTAATTAATATTTTTATCATACTAGGAAGACACAAAGCTGATTGACCATAGATGGCTCATTCGAAATAGTAGGAGCCTCTCCTTCCGTGACTGTGTAAGCATTCTTACGTGCCGTTAATTATCATTTATGTTCTTAATTATCAGTAAATCCCATACAAAGCCTGCTCTGCAGCACTTTTTGACCGTTCGAGCCCGTTAAGCCTCCTCCGCAGACTCCTCGCCAGCAGGCTCTTTGGTGGATTTCAACTCTTGTCGCGTCCGTCGAACTTGTGCAATATCGAAGAATATGTCGAGAAACATGGCGGCCGCCGCTCCCCACGTGATACCGAGGAATTTGTAGCCACGGTAGCTCTCAATCCCGACTCCCCTCCCTAGCTTGGTGACTTCATCAGCGCTCTGTTTCGCAGCCGCAGTTGCAATGCCACTTGCGACGATGAGCGACAACGTCGCGAACAAGACTGAGAACAAGCCGAGGCGGCTGACGGTGTGATTGTCGCTAAATAGGGATATTGACGAAGACAGGAGCGCGAGAGCGCAAAATACCATGGATATTATGTAGAATGCTGCCAAAGCAGTTAATACCCTGTTGAGAATGTCGAGCTTTCTTTGCAACTGATCCGTCTCGGTGTAGTCCCCCAGGTCAAGATTGATCCCGGACTTTTTGAGATCTTCAGCCATGAGCTCCGTCAGGTTGAAACGATCTAATTCATGGAATCAGTACACCAAATATTTAATCACAGAAGTGTGGAGCTTCTTACAGCCTAGTTTCGTGTGAGTGCAGTTTGTTGTGTTGAGGTTAGTTCTGCTTGAGAGTGAGGAGTGGAAGAATTCTCCTCTGCAAGCAGTCATGACATGGAATGAGTACCAGTCCGAGAGGCCAATATTAGCGTTAGAATTGGTTGATGACCCATTATAGATTCCGGATAGATCATTAAGGAAGTCGATAATTAGATTAATAATGGCAGAAATAAGGTTGTCATCATCGTCATCTCCTGGTCTAGGTCGGCTAGGGTTGGGTTGAGGGCGCGGTGAGGTTGGGTACCCAGGGCCATCGACTATGTCTGTCAAATTCTGGCCAACCATTGTCACATTTAGCTATCGAGGATCTGTCAGTACATGTTTGGAATCTTTTATTTATTGACCATTTCGCCACTTACCCTAGCCAGAGCGAAGTCCTCCATAACCCCGGGCACATGGCCCGAATAGAGGCATAGGGTTGACAATATTAGCCCCGTGATTGACAGGAACACGGGAGAAAGATAAGCGATTATGATGAAGATTTTCATCTTTGATTAATTTAGTTGGCTCAACCTTGGATAAAATATTGTGAAAGCGAAGGGGGTGATTTAGACAGGTTAAAATATTTAAAGTACACAGGCCTGAAGCCAGATGCCAGGGTTGAGACCACAAAGTAAGGTACGGATGCATTTTGGATGCTACGTCGTGCCTGGAGGTGAACGGTATTGGCAGTCAATGCTCGAGGAAATGTTTCATGCTGGTCACCACCAACTAACGGTAGAGATCCTCGATGCGCAATGAAGCAGAGCATCCATGACGTTCCAATTAGACGTGGCATAAAACGTCATACTGGACGCCTGCGACGGATTTGATTGCTGTCAGAAACCAACTGGCGCTGTGTTTCATCTTTGATTGCCCAAGGGCCTATCAATCCTGACGGTTTACATGCGAACCGCATAAAATGCATCCCAAGGCAGGGTTTCATGTTACATCTCTGCTATGCAAGAATCCCCATGGGGTCTAGTAGCATGACAACGCATAATCCAGGGCCAAGTCTCACTTTAATTCAGGCGATTGGCCACCATTTGGTCAGTGTCACCGAGCGTGAAGGTGTTTGGACAGAGCTGGCGGCCGTCATAAGGCAGTTACCTCCACATTACGTGCAACATTGCCAGCGCTCGCCCAAGCACTGAAACTGTGGCAATCACGGTGGATTGTTGGACCTTTTCACATCGATCCAAAGCCCCCAGGAATCATTGGGGACCGTAATGCGGCGATTATTTACGCCCTAAGAAAAATGAGCTACAACTGTGTATTCAAGCCAATTTTTCATGACCGAAGCTGTTCTACGATTGTATAGACAGCATGAATCTGGACGTCACTTGTTGTAATCCAAACAACTTCCAGTACCTAAGGGATAGACTACTGCCTTGAAATTGAACCAAATTCATTTCCAGCTAAATCATAGAGCCCAGCGGCCAGGTTAATCTATATATTTCTGATCGCCGTCATTCTTCCTAGCAAATGTAACCCATCCCGTCCCATCAATGTCGAGACTATCTAAGTCGACTTCTTTAACAATATCTTCAACCTCAAGATGCGAATCGGAACACACTTTAAATGGCACCCACTTGAGTGATACTGCCCAGTTAGGTCATTCATTTGACACGGGGCTCGTTGCTCATGATGTGCCTCAAATGTATACAATGAAGTCGTGCGAGAGGCCCAACCCACGATCTCAAAAGAAGCTGAACGACATGTTGGGTAGCAAGCACTCCTCACAGAACAGATTGTACCGACTGGGTCCTGTTGCACGGTCACAGCATCGACGACCGGGACCAAAGCGTGAATTCTGGACGGCATGCGTCGTTTTAAAACCATCTCATCTCTTTGGCCAGAGCGGCTTCCAGCCTCCTGCTAACCGGCGTGGCTGGAAGCTCTGCCGCAGAACGGTTAGAACGAACGCTGCCTTTGGCGCTCAACGTCGGCCGAAGCTCACAGGAGCCAGCGTCGAGCTCGGCCTTGTCAAATCTACCCTGTGATTTGCGCAACCTGGGGCATCGGCAATGTGGGATGTCACTGCGAGACTCAATCATCGCGTTATGTCTAGTCTTTCCCACTCGACGTTTCCACACGAGAAATGTGATCGTTCCAAGAAGAATGGTGAGGGTAAATGAAAGCGCGATTGCGAGAACAATGACATGTGTCAAAGATGGTGGTGCGGGTGGGGTGTCTGCTTGGCTGTCAGAGGTCGCGGAACTTGTGGCGAGCGACGTTGTCGTGAGAGAAGTCGTCGTGAGTGAAGTTGTCGTGAGTGAAGTTGGTACTGGCTGTATTGTGACCAAGATTGCAGACTCGACTCTATCAGACGGTGAGTGTTTGGGCTTTTTTGTATCCATATCTAGGTAGACAAACTCACCCAGTCATAGTTGGTTGGCCATTTTGTAATGTTGTTCCAATGATGCTCCTGTCAACATTGGTACTCGATGGGCACGGACGCTTGCTTTGGTAGGGTAATTTCAAGCAAGTCCTAGTCGAATCTTGACACTGGTAACCGAAGGGACAACATTGTGTTCCACATTTCGGTAGAGATATGTCAAAGATGGTTGTTTTTATGGGTGTAGCTTCGTGAATCAAAGGGTCCTGGGCTGAGACATTGCAAACAATGGGTTGAATGTGTTGACATCTGTTGGTTGATGAAACTGGGCAGCAGAGGATAGTTGTTTGGCCCGCGAGCCAAATACATCTAGAGCCGCTCGGGCACGTGAAGCCTTTGATAAACGGCCCATTAGTGCACTGTTCCAAGCCACCGTCTATGTAACCATAGGTTGAGGCCATCTTGAACGGAAATCTTGATGTGGTGGTGACGGTAACAGTCGGTGATATTGGAGGCTCAGATTGCCAATGCTACGATATGAGCAGGGTCAAATAGCCGACTTCTTATGACAATCGCGCTCCGCGGCTATTTTGCGTGTTCAGGTTCTCAGCTAGCTTTAATTTCACTGCTTGTTTCGAATTGAGACTGATGCAGCTTCCACGCGGCAGCGCGGAAGAGCAGCCATTCGCTCACCGTCAATTAAGCGCTCAGCGCCCGTCATCAGACCGATTTCGTGGCCAGCCAAGCGGTGCCTGTGCTTTTGCTTACTACCTACCGTGTGCAGGTACTAGATTCATTGGCAAATACTGAACCTGGGCCGGTACATTGGCCGGCCGGCTCAACGCCGACCTGTCTGAGATGCATCTGTAATAATAACAATGATAACCTGCATGCATAGCCTCTTACACATCATTCAGGTGGAAATTCATTTCGTAAAAGGCTGGACAAAAGGCTCTGCTGAGCGAAGGGTCGGACTGCCCAGGCCGTATAAGCAGACCGTGTCTCGCATCAGCTGAGCTTGGACGGCTCGGCTGAGAGCTTCAGCCGCACCGCCGAAAGGTGGCCGAAACTTTTCGGACTCGAGTCCGAAAAGATAGACGGAAATGAATGTTTGTGCATACGCATCTTGTCTTGTTTTCAGTGTTGGTTTCTTTTACGTGTTCGGGCATATCTCGCGATAAGGATAGTCTTGCCGGCCACTTCCTAATGCACACTTTTACCGAGCCTGAGTTCGCAGCGAAATGGGATCAAATGATGTAGTCCCTGTATGGGCTCCGGGATGAAACTATGATAGCTACTAACAGCGTTGTTATCTCTCCTATTATGATTAGTGGAATATTCGGTGTTCTTCGACTTGTGAGGGGCCGTATCCGGATGATTGTGAGGCAAACACCGCGCAAAGGAAGCATTGTCGCCCCGACTTCGTTTTACTACGTTCGATTGGGAAATAAAATATGCAGGAGCGCGACACGGCCATCATGCTCTGGCATAAAGTTGGTTGCTAGTGTACGTCTTGAGCTGGCGGCAATGGTGTATGACATACAGGACAGGTAGTATTTCTTCACTCACTAATTATTAACTTTCGAAAACACTGTGGCTGTTATCAAGATACGCGCGCTATAGGAGTGTCACATTGCAATTGATTAAGCTTGTCTGTTGTCGTCTCATATCCAGCCGTAAGCAGCAATAGGGACCTCACCTCTCAAGTTTGGCACGCGTGGCCTCGTGCATCATGCATGTTTGCCTGAGCTGAGTTTTTGCACTTGCTGACCACCCACATCAGCAGCGGATCATACCCATGCGAAGATATCTCTCCCTAGGTGTTCTTTTTTCCCGCCCTTCCTTCCCTTAGTCGTCATCTGATCGTGTATTTCTTGCGAGTCCGCTTGAAGGAATAATAACTTCCCATCCTCCGGAGTTTACCTGTGATAATCGAATATCTTTGATTTTCAATTTCTAGACATGAAATAGGCGGGGATGACGCCATTAGTTTTCAGCTTGCTGCAAGGCAGATTTCCACACGCGGCAAGCCCTGATTCGACGTGGCAAGACAAGGGTGCGAGCCTTATGCAGCCCGTGCCAAAACCTGGACCTCAAAGCTTGGATTCTAAAACCTGGATTCCAAAATCCGAGCGCCAGAGCCCAAAGACCAAAACCCTAGTCCCAGAACTTAGCTTATATATGTGACCAAGATTCCAAGTTGTTGAGCGCAGGATGCTCCCGAACCAAGTCGCTGCAACCTACCAAGACCTGTCTATCTCTTGCTATAGAGATCCTTTGGACAATTGAGACTCACCAATATGTCGCCGTCACGTAAAATTTCATCTACGGAGTGGGAGCGCCACAAGGCAGCCATTCTCGGGCTCCGGTTCAAAGACAAGCTGCCTCTCAAAGCCCCCGACGCAACAGGCCGGAGCTTGATACAGGTCATGAAAGATGAACATCAATTTCACGCAACGTAAGTCGAAATTGAGGAATGGCCTGTCCCGACACGTTTTGATTCAAAACAAAAACCCGCTGAGGTGGCTGCAACTCACCACTTCCTGCTGCTTGAGTGGTCATTTGGCGATTCGACAAAGGCTAATTAGTTCCAGAGCTTCTCAGTACGAATCCCAAATTGCGAAATGGGGAGCTGTCAAGAACCTGAAGAAGCGTGATTGGGAGAGCATCTTACCGGTCTATGACGACTTGCAGAGCCAAGGCCTAGAACCTCGTATCAGAGTCGGAGACCATGTATTCGATGACCGAAAGATTAAAAAGGCCCGCTACCACTACGGAGGGAGGCAAACGTCATTACCCGCAGATAATATTGGTAAGAAACTGTGAGAATCAGAATGACAGTTGCAAATTATTACTAACAGTACCGGATCCTAGCATTGGCCTCATCCTTGGACGAGACACGTCCTTGGTGTCTCGAGTTCCGCCAGCCCAATGGCCAGTACGTTGAGTACTTCAAGAGGAATGAAAGCTCCGACTTACCTCGGAGTCCAACCTCTTCCGCTCTTGTACAAACGAACATCCACTCTACTTCTGGTAGTCAGCCATCACAAATCCACTTTCATGGAGTCGGAGACGTCTTCAGCGCGGCTGACGCAATGACATCCACGCCGCTCATACAATGCCCACCGTCTTTGAATACCCCCCAGTACGAGATTTTGGACATGTCCAATTCACCAAGCATTTATCTGGACCTCGATACCCATACATTCATTCCGACAAACCCTCAAGCCGCCGGATTCCCTGCACCAGTGATATCGCCGCGATATGAATCACCGAATGTAGATGATTTCATCTACTCCATCCTTCACCCGCCTTCCTTCCCGAGAGAATGCTTCTCTGACTTTAATCTGGAAGCTCTACTGATCCCTAAAGGCAGTGAGATCGACGGTATTCGCCAAGCTAGCTCACCCTGCCCTCAACTGACAACTCTCGCTTACATCGATCCTCTTTTGGACAGACTTGCTCAATATTCTCGATGGAGGCATGGCGATATCACACTACTCTCTATGAATAACATATTTGAGCGACTCGTATCTCTGCCCCAACTCAAGTTCTCTGAATCCAGCTCCAGGATGGAATCAACGCATGTTTCTGGTAGAGATCGTGACGTCTCATTATCAGATATATATGCACGGATCATGTACTCTCTGATTAACAATTTCGCCGGTATTGGTATTGATCCAGTGCAACGCCTTGCTATTTTTGGCGTTCTAAGACTTACTCCTGATGGAATGTCTTATCTGATTAATGGGCTTCGTTCAGATCAGTTCTCCGTTGCAAAGCCTGTTGCCACTAATCTCTTTCAGCTTGCTATTGAGGCAGGAGATGAAGAGGTGGTTAGCATCATACTGAAGGAAACTTCAGGGAGAGCGAATGAGATCAATGTTAATAAACTCATTTCCTATCACAATCACTTCGGTCCCAAAAAATATTCGCCCTTGGCATTGGCCGCTCATTTGCATCATCTCGGGGTTTTCAAAACCATGCTTGCCCATGGCGCTAAACTAAACGTTGGTGAGGAGGGGGCGCCAAACCGGTCCATGTTCGAAGTGGTCACTGAAGAACCTTGTGATCGATGTTGGGATGACAGGGACACAACGACTCATGAACGGGAAGTGACGTCGATTATCGAATTATGCCTCTCCCTTGAGCCCGAAAGAGCGACAGACTATTTCATAGAGGCACTTTGCGCATCGATAGGCTTCCTCTGTGAACTGTTGTTTGAAGCTGTGCCAAAGATGTGTTATCCCAAGCTTTTTAGTTGGGAGGCTTGGAGAGAATGGCAGATACAGACGGATATATTGGACTCGAAAAAAAATGATGAGTTGCCTCTAGATGGACGTCTTATTCCCATATTGAGGCTAATACAGGAGGCTCTGGATAATGAGGCAGCTGACAAGATGATCAAAACTCTCTTGGCGACATGCGAAACATTCAATCTTATTCAAACGCCCGTTGCTGAGTATACTCGGCTTTTAAATGAAGCCACCGCTATAGCAATCTCGAATAAAAACACCACACTGGTGAGATATTTTTTGAACCACATCAAGCCTACTTCGGGACACCTTGCATCCGCTATTCATAATCAAGACATCGAAATGGTCTACTCAATGCTGGAGCATGGTGCTGCTCTGGGCGGGGAAGCCGTGTGCTTGAGACACATGTATAATGGCATACGTTTAGTGAATTGTGAATGTGACCGCCGTGGTTCCAATTGCATATTTACGACACCATTAGCGGAAGCTATCCGTTGGAAAAACACTGTTCTGATTAATCAACTTGAACAAGGAGGAGCCTTCAATACATTATCTGATGATCATGGGTTGAGCTACTCGGAGTTTGATGCTGCAGCGTTCGCAGCTAGTGAGGTTGGTAACTTCGGCTATTTGAAATCACTCATCACTTTGTCTCCTACTAGAGGGAATATGCAGAAGTTGGCTGGCCTCATCGTCAGGGTGATCGACCAAAACCAACTTCCAATTGCTTTGGAGTTGATTGTTCGACATGCCAACGCGACTAGCACGATAAATACTCCAAACTATGCATCATCATATTTAGGGGTAGTGGATGTTGTCCGTGCTGCTGTAGGGACGGGGAACCTGGATTTCATTGATCAAGTGACAGAGCGATACCTCTTCACCGACTTCAGCGCTACAATCGATATCGCGGCGAGGTTGGGACATTCGCATGTGGTTGAAAGTTTTCTACAACGCGGAGCCAGCACTTCTTATCGTACTGGGGATAGAACTACAATCACTGTAGCCATTGCAAATCAAAACTTTAGCACTGTAAGATTACTTTTGGAGTGGGGAGCTTCACCCGACTGCCTTACGGATGCCGTTCGCGCTGGGGATGAAAGCACGGTGCTTCTCTTGCTAGATCACGGTGCCGATCCGGCAGACGAAAAGGCTATTTCGACAGCCGTTGCGGATTGCAAAATGGATATTTTCTCCATTCTTATCGGCGCATTTTCTTCAAGATACCCGAATGGAAAGAAGGGATTTGGCCAGAACATTCTGAGGCAGGCGATATCATCTCGTGATTTGGCTTGTTTGGATGCTTTGTTCAAGGCTAAGTTGGGAGTGAAAGCGCATTCGGGACAAGGTCTGTGTAATCAACTTCTTCTTTTCGCCATCGGTGAGGCTGGAAAGGGCGATGCTGTGATCTATGATATTATCTGTCAGCTGCTTGAGGCAGGGGCTGATCCAGACGCAGCCAGTTCGCCAAAATCCCGTAAGCGGACCGCCGACACTGCACTTTTACGCGCTATCGGAAAAAAGGACGTGCGTTTGGTGAGGATGTTGTTGGACAGAGGAGCCGACATCCAACGCCCAGCACGGAATGTTTTGAAACGCACTCCTCTTCAACAATCCTGCGAGCAGGGCTACTTTCAGATGATCAAGTTCCTGCTGGATAATGGAGCAGATCTCAATGCTCCAGCTGCACTGAATGGCGGTGCGACCGCGTTACAGCTTGCAGCCATTCAAGGTAATGCAGACATTGTCTTGTTTCTATTAAGTAAAGGGGCCAAAATTCATGACCCTCCAGCTGTAATCAACGGACGAACCGCTCTTGAAGGGGCAGCTGAGCATGGCAGAGTCAGCGTTTTGAGTATTCTACTGGCGCAAGGCGCTTCGGGTTACAGGTTGGAAGACATCGATCAGGCATCGAGATATGCGGAGGAGCAGGGACACGAAGGATGTGCGCATACGCTCAAGTTGGCTCGCTTTAAACTCGCGTCACTCAGGGTCCAATGAGTGTAATTTAACCTGAAGGATAATTAATGTCTTCCTTATTAAGCTTTGTCTTTTTTCTTTGCAAAGTGCTGCATGATCCAGAGGCGAATAGGACCATAGAATCAATCGCTCATTGATAATTCTACGCTGACAATTGAACCTAGCAATATAGGTGAAACAAAAATTCATACATATTTCCTGTGAGTTTCAATAAGGCTCGCTAACTTTCTCCGAGAGCCAATCCAGAGACTATTGAAAAAATAACAGCATTTTCACATTACATGACTACATACAACCAAATAACTCCAGATAACTCGTACATAAACAACACCATATTCTTGCTTTCTGGAGACAGAGTGCGCCTCGTCTACCATGGAAACTGCCCGCGGGTGATAGCCCAGGTTGTGTTGATCAAGGGCATCCCACCAAAGAACTGGGGCAGATCATTCATACACTCCACCCTCTTCTTTGGAAATTCGGGCGTCGTGCTGATACCCACCGGCGGCGCTTCATTGACCGGCGGCTTCACACCAGTGACCTGCAACGGCGGCTGGCAAGTAATGGCGGAGACGAGGAAGTTCATCGCGATGTCGTCGCAGTTCATCTGGGCGTCCACGTAGTCCCGGATCTGGATCATCATCGGGGTCTCGGACCACCAATATTCCAGGAAGGCGACGTGAACGAACACAAGGCCGGTCATGACGATAGAGTAGGCGCCTTGGGCGAAATCAATGGCCCAGTGCCCGTCCTGGATGAAGTGGGAGCGAGCAAAGGCACCGACCATGCGGTCCTGGTACTCGCGCCAGGTCTGGAACGCGAACTCCATGTCCTCGGAGTGATAGTAGACGTCGTCGTCGTGCAGGAGAACGGCCTTGGTGCGATACTCTGGGTTAGGTCGGAACTTTTCATTCATGCTGTTCTTCGCCGCCTGGTGGTAGATTACTCGGACACCGTGCTGCGAGGAAAAGTCCTCCGGCACAGGCGTCTCATCATCATTCCAGACGATATGGAGTTCCAGGAGTGATGGCACATAGTTCTCTAGTAGACGGCGCAAGGTCGTGTCCAGAATGTGTGGCCTTTGGTAGGTCTGCAGCACGATTCTTCACGGAGTAGCCAGGGTTAGCTGAGTTGGTTCGGCGAGCAACGCCAGATTGAAATTGAACTCACGTGAATTTATCTTCCAGGAGATCGTCTGCGCGAGCTTTCGCTGTATTCCAGACCTCGGGAGATATGTTGGTCCATTGCTCAGGGCAGGCCGTGACCTTGTACGACGGCGGCGACTCCAACAAGGCCAGAACCGGTTTCGGCTGAGCTGGCCGGAGATATGTGTAAGCGCCTGCTCTTGAGAGAGTGAGAGTCAAAAAGGCCACCAGCAGCATCGTGATGCAGGCGGCCGTAGCCTTCCTGACGAGCAGAGAGAAGACCATGATAGGATTGCTGCCCTGGCCAATCGATGAACGGACAACCCAGTGTGTCCATCGTCGAAAAGGGGTCCCGGAGCATTTTGTATCATCCCATCCAGGGGCAAATCTGGATCCAGCTGCGCATATTATCGAGAGGCGCTATTGATTGATGGACGTATCCGACTAGACCTCATTCGCCTCGATATCAGCCACGCCTAGTCCAATCAAGAGCAGATCTCCGCTTGAGCGACATACTTTTCTCCGTTGGTTTATCTAAGCGCAGCACGAAATATGTAATTAATCGGATCTAGCTAGCCCAGAAAACACGGCAGGCAAAAGAAAATCTAGCAATTGCACCATTCCACCCCATGCGCTGCCACCTACCCTGTACCCACGGCACGACGTGGCATGTAGACAGGTTAACCAAACTGGTCTCAAAATACTGAGGACACTGTTGGAGATCGTAATTATACGCCTTCAAGTTTCCTGTTCGTTTTCAAATTAGTTATTTAGGTATGTTGGTGGAAATTAGGTATGAATCAATCCCATATCATGGAGCCATCAGGCACGGTTACGTTTTAATTCAGCCAAACCTTGGAAAGAATTATATTTACCAGAATGAATTTTATCCACTCAGCAACAAAATTGGACTTAGCTCCATCTGCTAATTGCTCTCCAGGACTCGGAAAAGACAATGATTTAGTCAAATCTCTTTACTCTCCACGGATGTTGCCCGAACACAGGAAAGTACTTGGTCTTAGAATTATAGTAAATAATTAAGAAAAATATAACAGACTACTAAGATTAATGCTATAGCTATATATAGGTAAAGTCAAGAAACGCTTAATACTCAGCGGAACTCGAGATTAGTTATAATGTCACCCCACCTCGCGTCCCACATGTCAGACATGTAATGGGTCTTGAACCTCCATTGACCTTCCCCGTCTTTAGGAAAAACGTCTAAAGTGTTCTTCATGTACGTGGAACTCAACTTGAAGCAGGGCTCGGCCTTCATATCCGCATCCTTCGGCACCCTCGGCGTAACTGACGCAGTTGACTTCGCCTTCATAGTCCTCAAGAGTCTCATGAGCAGGTGAGAGGAAGCATCAGCGCCAAGTGTCCACGAAGCATTCGTATATCCAACAATGAACGCCAGGTTCGGTACATCTTGGACCATACAGCCCTTCCAACCAAACTTACGGGATGGCTCAATGAGCTCACCATCGACATAGATTGCAATCCCACCAGCAAATTGGAGCCTGATGCCAGTGGCGAGGATAAGGGCGTCCGCTTTTATATCCTCTCCAGACTTCAGATGGATCTGAGTTTCGGAGATGCGATCGATCTCATCGGTGACCACGCTTGCCTTTCCGGATCGTAGAGCTGCCCAGAAATCACCGTCGGGGCAGGCACACAGTCTCTGCTCCCATGGATTGTATTTCGGGGAAAAGTGAGGCTCTACCGAGATGTGGGGAGGTAACTGCTTCTCTGTCGCAGCCATTATCGCGCTCTTCACCTTCTCTGGGTTCTTCAATACATAGGTGTAAGAAGCGCGAGATTTGACCATGTGATACATCCGACTGACCCAATGGGCGAGACGTGCGGGGAGATATGCCCTGGCTATTCTATCCACCGAAGGGATTCTATTCGCAACAGTGGCGATATAGGTAGGGCTTCTCTGCAACATGGTTGTGTGTTTCGTCTTGGCAGCAATATTGGGAAGAATAGTAACGGCCGTGGCGCCACTACCAACGATAACAACGTCCTTGTCCTCGAGGTCCAGATCCTCCGGCCAAAATTGCGGTTCCACAACGTCGCCTTTGAAAGTCTTGAGGCCGGGGATGGTGTGGTCTTGGGGATTGTGATAATCATAGTAGCCCGTGCTAAGGATGACAAATCGGGATTTGTACACTTGCTGTCTTTGGCCATCTACGACTGCATTGATAGTCCATAGCGACTCATTTGAGGACCATGAAACAGATCGGACCATAGTGTTGAACTCGATGTGCTTATCAGCGCCAATCATCTCGGCAGATTGCCTCATGTAGTCGCAAAGCTCAGGCCCGCCAACCAGAAGTTTGTCTCCATGCCATGGATTCCAAGCAAAGGAAAAAGTCAGAATGTCAGAGTCGCACCGGATGCCTGGGTAACGGAACAGATCCCAGGTTCCGCCGACTGCTGATCTGCCTTCAAGGATCGCGTACGTCTGCTCTTGAGGGCCCTGCGTGGCCAAGTAGTAGGCGGCATTGATACCTGATATACCAGCGCCGACGATGAGAACATCAAGGATGTCCCCTGATTCGACGTGATGTAATATAGCCATGGTCGGCGATGTAAGACAATAAAGTAAAACAAGTGAATGCAAATATTCCTGTTTATGCTTTGAGAATGGCGTAATGTTAAAAAGCAGAGTAGGAACGGGCTGAAGATGGATGCCTTTTACATTCGGGACTCTCCAAGGCTGGAGCCTTCTTTATAGTCGTCGATTCTTCAAGGCTGGAACGTTCTTCATATTCGGGACCCTTCTTCCTTCCGAATCGCCGCTATATCGACCTCCCAATTCACTAACCCAGATATAGCAGTAATTCACCGGTCTGACTAGGGTACATGCCGCGATGGGGATGAAATGAATACAAGGCTCATCAGAGTTCGTTTGTAGACGCGACGGGTTCTGGAGGGTAAAATAGATGGAACTGTTTTTTTGTACGTGTATTTCCCTTTATTTACGAGTTCACAAGAGGGGTCAGGTACTTCACAGATGAGGTATTTTCATGTAAATAAGGTGACTTCATCCATAATGATTCCCAATTAGTAACAACCGGAGCGAGGGTACCATCGAATGGCACCCAATGCACACAGTGCATTAATATATTAAAATCAAATAATAATTGGCGGCTGAATACTGTTAATCAAGTCAAACCATAGTCCCCCGTATCCTTGGTGTCTCGCTTCCCAGACAGTATCGATAAATCCCACATATTGCGAGAGCAGCTCTTGGTTTCGGTTCAAAACTGCTAGCTGAGGAATTATCTTCATGCAAATTTCCCGAGCCTCAATGGCCGCAACCAGCAGGGGTAATCCGAGTGGCAGATGCCTCAGCTCTTCAGGTGCCCATGTTAAGAAGTCCAAAACTTCAGATGAAATGATGCGGCTGAGGGAAAGTGCCTCCTCATCGTGATCACCAAGGCGGTACCGCAGCCTGTGAATGATCAATAGCGAAGCCGCACGGTAAACACGGACCTGGAAGAACATGGTGTCCACCACCAGAGGGGGATACTGATCAAAAAATCCATCAGGTAGAGTAGGCTCCCAGTCTCGAATCTGACTCTCTACGTCTCCGTAGGCGTAGTCTCTGTCTATGTAATTGGGGAAGGCGCATTTCTGACGATAGCTACATTCGCATAACTCTTGCAACAATAGAATGAGGGGCCAACAGAGGCCAACCATCCTGTCTATGATAAGACGGGTTGAGGGTGAAACCCTGACTGAGGGTAGCTCTCGGCGTATCAGAGCTTCCCAGGTGTCGATAAGGACCGGAGTGACAGTGATGGGGTCCAGACTTTTGTCTGAGAGAAGCTCTTCATAGTGCGGTGCTGCTGTAAACATGGCACTGCGGACAATAGAATACGCAGATGTGCAATGCATGTTTATGTGATATACGAAGAGGATTTGAGAGAACATGAGCAAGGCGGCAGCGTCTCCAGGATGTTCGAAATGGTGCTGACGGAGAAAATTAAGGCACTCGCTTGCCAACGAAGCGTCAATCTCGCTCCGGGTTTTTCGTCGATTAGCTTCCCAATTCCACGTGGTGAATGTCACATCATACGCTTTTAGCAGGATGCCATTGGCTCGGGGTAGATGGGACCAAATGGCACGCTGGAACATGTCGTTAAAGCTGCGGCCCATCATAAATCGCCGATGCACGCGATAGAAGCTTTCGGGATCGTTCAGTAGATAAAATGACGGCCCCAGAGGGTGGACAGTAGGCATGTGACTCCTAACGACAGAGTATGGTGAGCAGCTAGCCATCGTCGTTACTAGAGCCTGCTCGATAGCTGTATCCTCATCACCCGCCGGCTGAGATAGTTCGAGGATAGACGGCGTAGCTACTGATGAGGCAGTAGCTCCGAGGAGGGATTCTGGATTCTCATTGGAGTCGAAGCAAAGCACGCCGCAGGTTCCGGATGGGAGTTGTTCCACTTTGGGCCGTCGACCCAGCCGAGGCAGTCTCCTTTGGTTGGTGCAACGTACGCCAAGCCGCACACATCGCTGACAGTGGTTGGCATCAGTGTCGGAGACGCACTTCTCCTTTCTAAAGTGACAAAGGTCGCAGCTCGTATGTACCATTTTCAGGAGTTGTTGTTTCCAATGCATCTAGTAATATGTAGGTAGTTGAGACCGATTGGCCTTCTGAAAGAGGAGGATGGGATCGTGTTTCATTATACCCGGAATTAGCCCTGTGAAGTGACCCACCACATGAGTCCGGAAATGGGAAGAAAGCACCGGTTACAGGGATCAGACATGGTCGTATCCCTGCTTTGCCAACTAAGTACGTACCCTACTTCGATCATTCAGCTGGCTCACCGTCTGAATCTGACGAGTTGAACTTGGAAGAAGGGGGTAGAACAAGCGAGCAAGAGTTCCATGGTTGAATGCCAACTCGATATATGGAGTAGCATTTCATCTGGGAGGGATTGTATGTGGGTGATACCCAGTCTAATCACTAATAATATAACCAACGAATTAAAAAAAAACATATTCAGAAAATAATAATTCACATGCTATTTTAAGAAGCTCTCTGTTGCTTACTGTATAGACTTCCCCTAGTCATCATCTGAGCTATCATCTAGGTCACTCGACACCTCATCAAATAGTATGTTAAAAGCACTGTCTTTCCAAACTCCCATGTCAGGAGGGCTCCGAGGTACATTCATAATTTCAGAACTCGTGACCATATCATCCAGGAATAAGACCCTACTGGAGCACGTGAACAGGAGTTTGATCGTAGCTGACTCTGTTCTCCGTTGGAAAGAGATGAGGCGGCCTAGTAACTCCTTAGTTTCTGCCTGGCGACTGGAGGGGTATGAGAAGAAGTTGAGGCCTTCAATAACGATGAAAACTACAACGCTACTTTCAAGAAGCGTTAGAAGGCTCTCGATCGAGTTGCATATAGTAGCCATATCAGATGGATCTAATCCCTCTATTGCGTCAAAGACAGTCTCAGACGCAAAGACCTCTTTGCCAGTGTCGATGAGCTGACACAGGAGGCTCATGCCCATCTCTGAAGGAGACGCGTACACATCAGATCCTGTATTGCGATGTTGGCCACAGAAGTACGCCATGGCCATGATTTGCTTGGCTGGACGTGCAATTGTGATGAATGCCACCGTCAATCTGGCAGTGATGTACGAGACCTCTGAGATAGGCGAAGAATCTCCGCCGCCATTAATCAACAGAAGCGATGATTCATCCAACTCAAGCCATGCTCTTAGCCGAATATTGTTAACCACATATAGCAGCTTGCTACTTTTTAAGACCGCTGACATCGGTTGAATCCTCAGCAGCTTGGAACAGTCGCTGGGCATAGTTTCGGGCTCATACTCCAGCATCTCTAGAATCTCTGGTATGGTTGACACCTCATCCGGTGCATGCTCGGATGATTGGCATAAAGCGGTGTCGATGGCCGTCTCCTGAGTAACCTGTATAGGGACCTCTTTCTGTGTTTCGTCTGTATCCTCATCCTCGTGTTTGGGTAGCTCCGGGGTCTTAGCCAGTAGTTGCTCGATATCTCTCCTCCTGTCGTCGATCAGAATTTCCTTCAAGCCTTCCAGTGCCATTACGCGCTGAAGTGTTTCATCAAGTCTTTGTTTGAGTTCATCCTGTGCTCTCAGGCTTAGACTACTCACGACTAGGTTTCGTTCTTGCAGAACTTGTAGCTCCTTTAGTTTTAGATAAGAAGCGCTCGAAGCATAGGTATGGAGCTTCTTCGCTCTCATCTTTAACATCGCCACACGATCAACAAGCTTGTTTAGCCTTGAGCTGTCTGATCCACCGACAAATTTCAAAGATACTCGGAGTAATCTGAGCAGACAGCTGTAGACAGCGGATATTTTGCGATGAAATTCTTCATCTGCCCCAAGCCCCTCGATGAAACGAGTCGAATGATTCAGAATGCCGGGCAAATCTTCAAGGAGGTCGTGTAATTCGTAGTCTCGGTTCATGTTGACTCTCATTGCCGTGAGTAATGTCTTCAATCCGGCACATAGAACTGAATTCAAGAGTAATCGAGGTGGCGTATACTTTGAGAGAAAATTGACAAAATCAAAGTTATCATCGCTTGGGTCATCGTATGCCTTTCTCAGTCTCTCAACAGAGCTAGTTTCCTCTGGGCTCTCTGATCGAGATCGAAGCTGGTCGTAGAATCGGCGGACTGCTTCTTGAACCCCAGCCCAAGTCTCTTGTCTTGATTCGATAAATGGATCTTGTCCGTGCGTATTCCGGAACTTGTTGATGGTAGCGATTAAACTGTCCCTGATTTCGAGGCAGTCCTGGTACAGGTCGTAATAGTCACTTGAGGGATAATTAGCTTAGAAAAGATACCATTTTGAAACCAAATTGCTCACATGTGGCTATTCATTGTCACTGTGGGAAGCTCCTGGGGTTTCCATTTGCGAGCAGTTTCGTCATACTTCACTGACGCGGAAGACGTATCCAGCAGGGCATGACCTTTGCCATCGAGTTCATGCATGTAATCCGCTACCTCTTCCCCAGTCTGGATGAGAATTGGATTTTCTTTGTCGGGTTGGTTCATCTTTGAAGGACCAACAGATTGAACAGCTGACATCGGTAAGACGTTGGTAATGCTTGGCGTGATGGCTCCGTTGTAGGTGGTTGAAGATAATGACCGTAGACTTCGAGTATGAGGATTCATCTACTCAATGTTAGAACGAGAATAGATAATCAGGTGAAATGGATTGTATTGGTGAATAATTACCCAAGATAGCATTCGCTCATCGATTTCATTCCTGGCCGTGTTACGACGGGTTTCGTGCTCTCCGATCCAGCGTTGGGAAACAACAAGCGATGCTTCATGAACCCAATCTCGGATGGCAGTCGAAATGTTGCGGAAACCTGGGGCATTTATAGTATCAAATTTGCACATCCCTGCATGCGTGGCTTCAATTCCATAGTACACAACGCCTGGGAGTTGCGGACAAGCAGACTCAGAATCCACAATCATTTGCTTTGTTGTCTTGATATTAGTCTTGTGATTCTCATGGACCATGTGCATTTTGAATCTCCCGCAGATGTTCGCAAACTGTCTGTTGATATCCTGAAGCTCTCCATTGTCCTTCTTGAGCGACTTCAATAGACGAGATTCTGTGGCGAAGAGCTTTTGCGGGACAGCAATGTTGATTGCTGCCTCAACAACATGACCCCATTTGGCGATGTCCGAGCCATTGTGGGGGGTACCAAGAAAGATGATTGCATATGTCGACACAAAGAGTGAGCGATAATGATGTTGCTCAGCAAGATGTAGCTCTTGGGAGAACAAAAGTGCTTTCTTGACAACAATCCCTCCAAAGCTATGCACGACCCATATGATCGGGAGCTCAACCGTCTTTTCGCCTCTTCTAAACTGCGTAAGAGAGGTCACCAAGCTCCTGGCATGCTGAAAGATATGATTGTCACTGGGGCTCTTGGCACTATTGGAGGAGTACACATCAGCATTGTAGCCGTAGACGAGTACATTTGCTTTCTCGTTCCCCAACGAAGCTGGAAGCAGGTCTGTCGGCCAAAACACGTCGTTCTTTGACCTCCATGTCTTTTTCGGGTGCCCTTTCAGGCCATGAACCAGCACGATGTCTGCAGTCGCCTCAGGATGCTTATAAACCGCAGTGACTTCATAGTCTGATACTTCCTTGTTGAAGATGCCCTAGAATTGGTATTAGACGTGCAAGTCCATCATCACGATATGGAAGATATTTTCACATACCGTAATAACGGTATCCTCTTCGCCTGTTGGATGAATCATTGGTGATCAAGATTACATCGCGCAACGTGAGACATGATACATTCATTATTATCAGCCAAAAGGAAGCGCTGTTCCAGGCTCATTCCGGGCCATACTTAGCAAAAACCACGAGTCTCTTGCAGTATGAGCAAATTCCGAAATTGCGAACCATGAAGACTCGTGCGCAAGGCGCACAAGGTCCCTTTTTTACCCCTCATCTTAATGATAGGATCCTTGCCCTATGTATGCATATTGATTGGTTGAATGAGGGGGAAGCTGTCAATGCAACCATGCCAGCTCAATATCATGCGACCTGCTGAACTAAATCGTTCATTTCCTTGACTTGGACTCGCCGTAGAAGACTTTTAAGCTTTTAAATACCTCAAACAATTCAGCTAAAGCAAACTTAAAACAAGTATGACACTATCTAGTGATGGGGAGACAGCCCCCCCTACAACTGAAAATGTTGCAACAGTCAACGAGTCCCAACCCTCGAGGGCGAAATCCCGTCGGACCAGAAGTTCCGAACAGATCCCTGTTGTTGAAAACTGTGACTACTCATCTGAAAGTTCTTCTGAACATATAATCCCGGAGGATCGCTACAGGAGTCCGCGAGTTGGTTTCTATGACAACACGGACTACAAGGCGAGAGACAAGAACGCAATCGGGGAACCAGAGCCCGGTATTGAGCGCATCGTCGTGACCACTCCGCTCCCTCTGCCAGAAAGAAGTGCTGACACTAAGAAATCCATTGTTGTGTACTATGACGTCCGTGAAGGTCTAGGGGAAGGATCAGCTGATCACTCTACCAGAGGTAGACACGGACCACCAAACACCAACTGGCGCCCGTGGCTCGTGCAAATTAACTCGAGTTTTCTAAATTCCTGCATTACGAACGCAATGGGCTATGACAACGCGGGATCCCCGTACGTTGATTCGAAACCTGTATCTATGTAAATTTCTTTTTGCTGATCACAGCCGCGTTTCTGGGCAGAGTTAATCACTCAGTCTCCCCTTTCAAGGCGAGTGCCCTGCCCCAAGATCATTCTGAATAGGATGACCCGTGCTAAATTCCTTCCAGGAGCTTACTACGTTTGAGAATACATATGCAACAAGGCTAGATGAGCTCCAGCAAGATCGGACTTCTCACAACAGTGAGTGAGTCTTCCGACATCAAGCTAACAAACATCTCACAACTGCTTAGAAGCACATGTGCAATTACTACAATATCTCTTGGAGGTTATCAGAGTTGATCTGAGCTTCTTTCTGGAGCTTCGTAGCAACGTTGTCGAAAGGAAATTAAAGACTATATCGTTTGAACATATCTGGTACTTGTTCCAACCCGGTAGCATTGTCTGGTCCAAGGACCAAGGCCACGAGCAGCTCTATGCTGTGTATGAGATGACGGTTGAGCGATATCGTCAAAGAGCCACTCGAAAGCTACCATCTAAGTCAAGAGCTTACAAGATTTCCGACAATGGTGATTCCAGCAATCAGCCTCGCAACCTTGACTACTCTTACTCTGGACAGTTCGATGACAATCGAGATAATTTTCATTCTGGAACGGGAGACCTGGGAGAAGACGCCGAATACCCGCCATTGATTCTTAAATGCTACTACACAGTCTATGACGGCTCCCTCATCGGTCCCTCGTGTAGGGATCTCTATATAACGTACTTCTCTGGGGAAAAGGCGGTAATTGACTTGCCAGTGTATCCCGTTAGTCTCCACCCAAATGGAACTGCCATTCTCCATCGATTTCAAGAAAGGGGACGTAAACTCGTCTCTTGGGAAGGTCATCTGCACTATGAGGGACCAACCCTTCCACCTCCCTATGGACAGACTTCGGACTTTCCTTTCTGGAGTCAAGAATTAGACCAAGAAGTCTATGCAGATCCTAAAACTGGCTACCGGTTCATGGAACTCCGGGACAGACCAGCCATGTCCAAACCGGCATCAGGGCCTTCCAACACTATCTACATTCGAACAGAAAGGGACTTATCCAAAATCCATACCCGTGCTGAAGTCATCCATCAATTTCGCGACGACTCTATAGACTGGAAACGGTCAGTTAAATTTCTAAGATCACAGCCCATTGGCACTCGCATTGTGTCGAAGGAGAAGGCTCTGGAAGTAAAAGGGTATTTGCAGCTGCTGCCATACCAGGCACTGTGCTTCATCTTTAGGAAGCGAGGCTGGTGTATGTCCTCAACTCACATCATAAAACTAAGGTCCCTCAGGTTCGCTGACGCTTTGATCGTTCTTTGCCTCAATGATAGGTCACCTGGACGTTGATTTGTTGCGACAAATCGACAAAAGTGAAGCCGCCACCAAGAGCGGATTCGATGAGCTTGTCATTCCTGATACCTATCGCGATCTTCTCATCTCCGTCATCGCGAGCTACAAGCCGGATCTCAAATCACGCGGAGAAGCAGGGCGTCCTAGAATTTCCTCGCAGATGGATATTGTCCGGGGCAAAGGCCGAGGGCTCATCATACTCCTACATGGACCACCCGGGGTTGGTAAGACGAGTACCGCAGAGACAATCGCAGCCTATACCAAACGCCCTTTGTACGTTTTGACATCCGGTGATATTGGACTAACATCAGGTGATATCGAGGCGAATCTGTCATACCACTTCAACCTAGCAAGCAAATGGGGTTGCATAATGCTCATCGATGAGGCAGATGTCTTTCTAATGAAACGAGATTGGTACGACATTGAGCGGAATGCCTTGGTCTCAGGTGGGTTCTCGCCACAAGGTATCATATATAAATTTACCAGTGGAAAATAACCAGTGTAAAGTCTTCTTGAGAGTTCTGGAATACTACTCTGGCATTCTATTTCTCACTACCAATAGAGCCGGAGTAATCGACGAAGCATTCAAATCTCGGATGCACCTCTACCTGCGGTACCCCTCGATCGACCTCACCTCCACGAAACTCATATGGGGCAAGCTTTTGGACCGCATAGCCCGCGAAAACAAGGAGAATAAGATCAGAATTGAATTCGACCGCTCGGCTCTTCTAAAGTATGCATCTGAGCATTTCGAGAGCCACAAGGAAAAAAGGACAACCTGGAACGCACGGCAAATCCGCAACGCCTTCCAGACAGCCATAGCGTTGTCCCAGTATGATCGAGTGCGCATGCTCGAAGATAACGGGTTGACAGAGGAGGAGGCAGAGGAGAGGGGGGGTCGGTTCATGAGGGTGGAACTCAAGAGCGAGTATTTCGAGAAGATTGCGGAGAGTGCTAGGGACTTTTACTCGTTTATGGCTGGCTTGAAGGGCGGCACGGATGACCAGATGGCTTTTGAAGAGGGCCTCCGTGATGACTCGTTCGATCCAACTGAACGAATGGCTAAGAAGCAGTATCATGGCTTGCTCAGTAAAAGAGGAAAGCCACCCCCCGGATCATAGCGGGACTGTGTAGAGCAAGAGCTGACATTTTCCTCGAATAATTTCATCCGCTACAAAGTCGCTTACCTGGGATCGTTGCATGAGTTTCAGGGAAGAATTGCAACGAGTATTTTGATGTCTACCTAGATACCAGTAGCTCTCTCTATTTACCTACGAGCACTCCTCAACTACGTAGAAGGCGATCTGGGACTTTATCATCCTTTTCATACTTCCTAAGTAGCACTCGATGATTTCCGCTAGTTTGGAGCCGATAAAGTGTGTACGCATGAGGAAGGTGGTGGATGGTGCTCGAATTTAAGTGTGTTCCCCTTGTGCTTAAGTCCAAGCTGATATAGCTAGAGCTTGAGCCACCCCCTTAACTAGTGAAATACTAGCGAGATTTGCGATCGATAGATTTTTAGAGATTATGGTCAAGTTGTCGGCCTTAAGTCGTGTGTCTTATATCATCCGACGAGGCGCCATAATGACTCCCCTTTCGTGTTGCTGACGGACACCTCCGATACTGGAATGACTCATCCACAAACGGGCTCAATTCGCCGTCTCACGAAGGATGAAAGAGATCCATCGGTAAATTATTCCCGAGATGTATTACGCGCTCTTTTAGAATTTTAGAGGTCTAGCCCTCTTGGCGCAATTGCCACCACTCAAATGTGTAATTGAAATTGAGAAGAGGGAAGAGGGGATATTATCTGGGCTATATTGTTTCGTCCTTCAGAGCCAATAGCAGTCAGCTTGAAGATGTCGCAGATAATACCAATTGAAGTAATTTCCCCCTCAAATTGTTACTGGGCGGGGAAATGGTGACACATCACCAGATGGCGACATCGGTCACGATCTCCTACAACGCGCCGAAAACCACCTTGATTATAAAGCTTGAGGAAAGTCATAAATGTAGTGGATCTCCGCTCTACGACCGTAATATGCCCTCAACTCGTCAGCTTATCGAAGTCATCACGGTTGCCTTCCACGACGATTCACGACAGCTTGGCGACACAACTGTTGGGATTTATAATTAGAATCATGGCGCTTGAATTCGCAGTGCTGGACGTCTTTACGTCAAAGCCATTCCGAGGTAATCCTTTGGCTATAGTCAGAGTGCCCTCAGAGGTCGGACTCTCCCAGGCGCAGAAGCAAGCCATCGCCAAAGAATTCAATCTCTCCGAGACCGTCTTTCTTCATCAGCAAACAGAGACGGACGTACAGAACAGAGAGGCGCGCATCGACATCTTCACGCCTATCGCCGAACTTCCGTTTGCAGGACACCCAACTGTCGGGACATCCAACTATATCTTGCACCATGTAAAGCTTGAGACTGCACGCACACTCGTCGCCAAAGCCGGCCGTCTTCCTTTCCAGGCTCAAGGCGACGGAGTGCTTTTGTCGGTTCCTCACAATGTGCACATACACGCGCAACCCTTTTCAGATCGGGATTTCGGACACTACCCGGTCGTAAGCATCGTCAAAGGGATGAACTTCATCCTGGCACAGCTCCCCGACCTGGAAGCTCTCGCCAAGCCCACCGAGAATTTGCTTGGCACCGCAAACACGTACACGGCCAAAGAGCGGCTGGACGAGGGCTGGCGCGATGGGATAGTCAACACGTACTATTTTGTAGATCTCGGGACCCAGGAAGACGGGACTAGGAACCTGAGAACTCGTGGGCTAGGATCTCGCGAGGACCCGGCTACCGGTAGCGCTGCGTCTGCCCTGTCGTCGTATCTGACACTAAGCGAGGGAAAGGGGGGACCGCTCACGCGGAGTTACCACATCACCCAAGGTGTGGAAATGGGCAGGAGGGGTGACATACATGTGAAGGTGGTTCTTGAGGAGAACCGTCGGGAGATCAAGGAGGTTTTCCTTGGCGGGGAAGCCGTGCCTACCTCCGAAGGGAAGATTCAAATCCCTTCGCTATAGTAGCTGAGCAACCAACGCTGATCACTACTACTATTGCCTCAGAATACGAGTATGTATGCAGCAGGGTTGGAAAGGAATTTAAGGCACAGTTTGACTAATAAAACTCTGCATTTTCACACGTTGGTCCCATGTCGGGTTGGGGAAAGATGGTGCGCCCAACCTGGTCATAAGCAAGGGGCAGGGGGGGAATTCTTTTGTTGGGTGTGTAGCACAATCCCTTCAATCACTCCTCATTTTCCGAGGGAAATACCGCGTAGTCGTTTAATAGGTCAGGGAAAGTTTCTGGGTATCGCTTGGACAGTTGGATGTCGCATTCCGGAATCAATCGTCCCTCCCCAGAACGTGGTCTCATGTAGACGATTGCTACCTTTGAATCCTTCGTATGCACGTCGCACGCGGTCCCTGTCGTGGAGAATGCAGCCCAAGGAAAATGGACACATTATATGCGCCCAGGCCGAGGGGTAATGTAACCGGCGGTACTTTTGCTGTCACACATGCGGCCAACGCAGCATTGAAGGATCGCAATCGAACGCTACTCTGACAGCTGCTGGGCTGAGATGACACCAACATGGTTGTATTGTGCTCCCAACGTGGTAACTCAGACCCAAACGTGGTAAACAGCCAACCGTGACCCTATGCACGACCGGGGTGATGCATGTTTGGGTCTAGTACATAGGGGTCGACCAAATCGCCATGGCGCCCACAAACTTTAATCATATCATATCATGTCGTCGTAGCTGGCCGAGTCTCTCTCTGTTTTGTCTTGTTTCTGCTGGCGTTTTCCGGGCGAATGCCAACGCTACAAGGACGGAAACTATGAGTTCCTCACTCATAACAACGCTTCCGACATGCGCTGTACGTTGCAAGATGATGCCAAGATATTGGCGACCTGGCCAACCGGTCCGCTGACTGTTTGTGCAGCTGAAATGTTTCATATCGGCCATCCAGAACTCGACATGTTCGTTGAATGACATCGAGTGTGCCTGCGGGAACGCCGCTCTCGCGCAGCAGGCCACTGTCTGCATCAGGAGCGGCGTGTGCACCATTCGAGAGCAGCTTAGTGAGTGATCCCTTTCGAAATTTTACATGTGGTACTCGTGAAACTAATAAGCATGTTGAACAGCCGCGAAAAACATCACGAGCGTCTCCTGTGGCATCGAGCCTGCGACAACCTACGCTTATATTCCCATCACGCTTACCTTCATTGCGCTGGCGGCAGTAACAGGCGGAGTTCGACTATTATCGCGTTTGGCATTTGGGCTCCAACTATGGTGGGATGATTGGATGAGCTTCACTGCTCTGGTGCGTTCCCTCACTGTCGCTGCCGCCAATATTGACGGAAATACCTACTGACGTTGTGCCAGGCTGCCTGCATCGGCTACACTGCCACGATGGTTGCCTGTAGGTCCAACTTTATCCGCGATTCGAACCGAGAGAACAATCAACTTACACGGGGGCAGGTAAAAGCAAGGGCTTCGGCATGGATATCTGGGCTGTTTCGTTCGATGAGATTCCATTTTTGCTCCGGGTACGATGATCTCCTTACCGACTTAGCATTCTTTCACCCTTCTAATCGGACGTTGCTCAATAGGTTAACTACGTAATGAACGTGCTCTACGTCTTCACCCGCATGCTCATCCGAATCACCATCGTACTATTCTACATGCGCATCTTCCAATTCGATTCTGCTAAGCGCGTTATGCGAATCGCCATGGCAGTAGCCATTATAGTATCTCTGCCGGCAATCTTCGGTAGCATGTTCCTGTGCACGCCTATATCATACTACTGGATGCGATGGGACGGGGGTGCGGAAGGCCACTGCGTCGACTCTAGATCTTACATTTGGTCTATCTGGCTTATCCTCATTGTGAGCGATCTATGTATGTGGCTTAGGCTCTTCCACAAGGCTTAATCCCAAATTGGTTCCGAATTCTCTAACGATCGTCACGTGCAGTCATCATGGGCGCGCCGCTCCCGTTTGTGGTCAGGCTCCAACTTTCATGGAGAAGAAAGCTTTTAATATCCATCATGTTTTGCACTGGTCTTGTGTACGTTGTTCTTCCAATATCAGCCCCTAAAGCTTACTAACACAGATTGATACACATAGAGTTGTCGCAATCACGGGATACAAGCTTAAGCATATCGAGGAGTTTATCGGCAAGACCAATCCCACTTGTAAGTGTCTGGTAACTTCTATTTGGTTCCATCTGCTAATGGAATATCACAATTTAGACGATGTGGTGCCAATGGCCGTCTGGGCAGCGGTGGAACTGGATCTTGGAGTCATATGTGCTTGTATGCCCAGCATGCCAGTACTCTTCTACGGCATGAGAGAACGCGTAAAAGGGACGAAGAGAACCTCACTTGTTACGCCTAAATACCCAGGGTCGGGGTCCGCATCTCGATACGCCATGATCTCGGGTAACAAGTCAAGCGACAAAGGGCTCAAGTCGATGTCTTCGCTCAACGAGCCGCAGCCGGCGCACTTTGAGCCGGAGAATGGCCAGATTGCCCTGGTGACCGTGGTTCAGCAGGATAGGGAGACTTATGTCAAGGAAGATGACATTCCCCTCGACGACCGAAACCCGGATTTTGTCAGGCCACGGAGAACTAATTTCGAGAGTCGGGCATGGTCATGACGCGGATGGGGAGGTTTAGGTTTCTTGCATATCTGAAGATTTTTAGACGAACATATCCAGGATATTAAATGTCTCCGGTCCTGTGCCTTCTGCTCACTTGTAGGAGTGGCCACTGTCACTAAAACGATGGGTAGCCTCGTGATCTCCCCCATGTGGACGTATAATTGTGCCCAAGCTCTCCTCAAAGTTCATATACCAGGACTCTTGGCGAACATTAGTTCCCGCAGTGTTGCTTACCGGCTTATAGGAATACTGAAACGCAACTCGCTAATAAAACTCACTACGCTCTCTGCCCAGTCCTCTTCGAGGATATCAGTAGTCACGAGGTGTCGATCTTTAACACATTTCCTTTCGTGGCGGAGTAAGCACTCGTCATTGTGTCCATCCAGACTGCGGTGTCGCGCTGTAAATAGAACTTTTGAGCAAGGCTTGTTGATGAGACAAACACGCGGGAGCAATTCATTCGTCGCGGGGCGCCATGTTTCATCCTTTGGGCCAAAGTTCGCCGAAGCTACAGGTATTCGCGCATAGTCACATGGCCGAGATGTGTTCATCTTAACTCGCTTGTGGTTAGGCTGTAGAGTTTGTCTCACCTTTTTGTCTTGGATGCAAGAGAGGTCATGTCATGTACAAACAAATTGAGACAGAATATGTAAGCGATCAAGCGGTATAAATCACTATCTCCCGCCTGCTGAAAATCAGTATTCGTAGCAATCACACTCTGAGCCTTGGCCACATCGAAGAAACAGCATTTACTATCCGACACGCAATACATTTCCTTCAACATGAGATTCTACCACATCTTTGCACTTGCTGTTGCCGGCACTGTTATGGCCTCTCCCGCGGCCATTGCCGAAGACGTTGATGTCGACGTACGAAACACCGAAAGCAAGGTACCTGAGGCGTTTGAATCACGCGTAAGTCCCCCTTAGATATCTCCAGTGGTTGAGGTCACACTTTTTGTTATTATCAATGCTGAGTCGCATATCAGGCGGACAAATGCCTGTACCGTTACTGCAAGACCGCCAAGGATTGCTGCCCGAAGATGGCGTGCTACACGAAGAGTTCATCATGTGTCTACTAAGACTATCATTGACGCAAACGCGAGACCGTATGGCTTGAATTGTGAACAGTGATGTCTGTTCTAGACAGTTCAACAGCTAGGAGAGACAGACTAATCGTTGTGTTTGATGCCTAACTGAGAGCCTATTTAAAATCAGGACTAGTTGTTCCCTTGAACGCAATTCTCTCCAATAATCTATGTTCTGCATCAACAATATACGTGACGCATCAGAATGACCTTTTTGTTTATATAAATTCAAATCGTACGGTTCTCAAACAAGGCTCTATCCCTCAAATCTTTTCTAAAGCAAGTAACGAGTCTTTGTGCCAGCCACGCCATTCATCAGCCTTCCCTAACCCAGTGTGTTTCCCAGTACACAGAAGGGTCTCAAAGAAATGAGAAAATGCATGTTTATAAGTCAAAACACGCCAACGGAGACACTACCATCATAATTGTTCTATATAAAATCTATGAGATACGCTATAGTCTATAAAAATTCAAACCAAATTTCCCTAACAAAAGAAAAACAAACACAATGCTATAATCAACATGATACACCAGTTCACCGAGTCTTGGATATAAAAGGAAGGCTCGCCGGACATGATGTGAAGCTCAGACAACCCCCTGACAGTCCAAGCATGATCCTCAGTGAGTATCAAGGCATCGCCCTCCATTAGTTGTTCTGCTGCTCTGGGTTCCATTTTCCATCGTCAAAGCAGGTATCCCCGCCCTCGTACTTGCCCGGAGCCCAAGATCCATCGTCGTTGCGCTTAGGATACTTGTCGGGATTCCATTTGCCGTCGTCATGGCCAGTTTCACCCCCTTCATATTTTCCAGGAGCCCAAGAGCCATCATCATTGCGCTTAGGATATTTATCAGGATTCCACTGGCCATCGTCGTGGCCCGTCTGTCCACCTTCATATTTTCCAGGAGCCCAGGAGCCATCATCATTGCGCTTTGGGTACTTGTCGGGATTCCACTGCCCGTCATCATGGCCAGTTTGGCCTCCCTCATACTTTCCAGGAGCCCAAGATCCGTCGTCGTTGCGCTTGGGGTATTTATCGGGATTCCACTTGCCATCATCATGGCCAGTTTCGCCTCCTTCGTATTTGCCAGGCGCCCAGGACCCATCATCGTTCCTCTTGGAAGGATATTTATCTGGGTTCCATTTGCCATCATCGTGGCCAGTCTGGCCACCCTCATATTTGTTAGGTGCCCAAGATCCATCATCGTTCCTCTTGGAAGGATATTTCTCTGGGTTCCATTGACCGTCGTCATGGCCAGTCTGACCTCCTTCGTACTTGCCGGGGGCCCAGGAGCCATCGTCGTTGCGCTTTCCGGGGTACTTTCCGGGATACCACTGGCCGTTGTCATGGCCGGTTTCTCCGCCTTCAAACTTTCCAGGTGCCCAGGTGCCATCGTCGTTGGGCTTGGGAGCAGGTGTGGGTGTGGGAAGTGCCAGAGTGGTCGCGGCAAAGGCAAGGGCAATGAATGAGTAACGCATCTTGAAAAGAATTTTCAGAGAGAAGATTAAGTGTTGTTCGTTGGATTTGGATTGGGTTGTGATTGGGAGAGATGAAAATGGAGAAGACAGACAAAGAAAGAAGCTTTGAAGTGATGTTGAAGAGATGAAGATGATTGTGATGATGAATATCGATTTGACGATGGACTTACCATGGCTTTAAATAATAATTCCATCTCTTCATTCTCGGTCTATTCTTGTGGGAGTCAGTTGATTACTGTGCGCAGTCTTTCTTTTTTCGATTTTGCGACCTGCTGGGCCACGATGGCAAGGCTGCTGCGGAGAGCCATCGCCCAAGCCAGTCGCGTGGTGTTGAAGCTGTCAGCAAGCCAAGGCGCCAGAAGGCTGCCACTGCTCGTATCTTGATCGTCCCTGCGGCTGGAGGCTATTTTTGCGGTACAGATCTCGGCTTGTCATTCCCAGATTGCCGTTTGCAGAAAATGCCCGGAGACATACGAGAGGCCGTCAGCATTCATCTGATCTGCTTCCCCAGCAGAATCGTGGCGGTGCTCCCCCAGCCCACATGGAAAACCCGGAAGCGGCTAATGCCCATCGCAAAACCAGTCACTCGCAAGATCCAAGATTAGAGAATAAGCGAGCGCGCTTAGCACTGCCTTCTTGACCCCTACCGTAGGCGACAGCGATAGCAGAGGGCGAAAGAAGTCCTTCGCCACCAACTCCGTATGATAGCTTGATGGCAATTTTTACTCTATAAACCGAGAAAGCGCTGCTGTTTTTAGACGCGCCTGTAGTGCGAGATATCGCGATAGAGTAGCTGAGCGGCAGTATTGTTAGACCGAGGCTCCTAGGCTTATTTTAACGAGTACGCTTAATGATTAAGTTTTATAAGTAAAAAAGACTTGAATACAGCAACGGATCAAAAAAAGATCATATTAAGGCAGCTAAAGCTCGACTTCATGCAGCCATGCAGTTCATAGAATCCCGAGCATTGCATGCCTCATCTATAAGGTCATGGCAACTCCATGCTGGAAACCAAGAAACGACGTTGAAATTATAACATCTATCCCTCCCTTAACCTCCTTCAACCCCCCTTTCATCCAAGCCCCCCGAAAAGATCACACATCATAATTAATCAAGCAATCGAGGTCCACCACTCACACCTGGTCTGGTTGACAGAGTTTGGCACCGAAGGCACGGCGCCCGCAGCCGTGATGTTGACAAGCAGACCCTCATCACCGAAAACGGGGAACTCCTTCCCGCCCTCGAGGGCCGGCACGCCCTTGAGGACAAAGCTGGCGATGGCGAGCTGAAGAGACTTCTGGGACGGGCGGGCGGCGGTAGCGGTGGTCCCGAAGGTGAATGAGAGGTCTTGGATGTGGAAACCGGGAGAGACGCTGAATTCGTCTGAGAAAGCGTGTTAGTGAGGGTTGTTCATTTTCTAATAGACATCAAAGGAGGGGGCAAACCTACAAGCGTAGCCCTTGTCCTTGGTGGCCTTGGCGATGGCGTTGAAGGCACAGTCAATGGACGACTCACCCCACACGCTCATCTGCCTTGTGTTCATGTCCACATATCCCAGTGACCCGTCATACACGGCCGGATACACGCTCTCCATCAACTCCTCCCTCCGGGCCCCATCCAAGCCCGGGAACGACCTCTTCAGCCACTCATCAAAGTCCCCGTCCGTCTTCACTGCCAGATCGAAGAAGAACCCACCCTCGAAGATGTTGTGCGCGGCCATGACCCTGACGGACTTGTCGAACCGACCTTGTCCGAGAGATTTGATGACGGGGCCGAAGGAGGTGTTTGAGTCGACGATGGGGCGGTGGACGTAGTTGGTGTGGGGGAAGGCGGCGACCTGGGCAGCGTTGGCGGCGATTACGGCGGTGGAGGACATGGAGCGCGCAGCGTCGAGGTCGTCGGCCTTGAGGATGGAGAGGAACTCGTCGTAGAGCTCCTCCGGGTTGCCGGTTGCCACGGGCACATCGGCGGGACTCTGCGAGATAGCCTGCTGGAACAACCTCTTTCCCCCTGCGACATCATCCGCGCCCGCAGCGATCAAGTGATGCAGAACCGAAGAGCCGCCACCAGACTCTCCCATGATCGTGACGTGGTCCTTAGACCCCCCGAAGAGGTGGATGTTGTCCTGGACCCACTGGAGGGCGAAGCGCTGGTCGAGGAGGGCGACGTTGGCGTCGCCGTCGGCGAGGACAGAGGCGCTATTAAGCCAGCCGAGGGCGCCGAGGCGGTAGTTGAGGGTGACGAAGACGAAGTCCTGGTCGAAGGCGGACTGGGCCTGGGCGAGGATGCCGGAGGGTTCAAAGCGGGTGGGCCCGGAGCCGTCCTTGGAGCCGAAGACGCCACCGCCGCCGTGGATCTATTCACATATCAGTCATATACGATGATGAGAGAGTTGAGTAAGAGGGTTGGTTCTCACGAAAACAAGCACCGGAACACCCTCGTCATTCTCCCTCCGCGCCGCCTTCAGCACCTTCCTTGGAACATGCACATCCAGCAACAAGCAATCCTCCGTCGTGTTCTGGTTGATGTTCCCTGGCGGAACAATCCCGCCTTCGATCGCCTCAACCCAACCCTCCAGTGTGAAGTTGTTGGCCGGGTTCGAGTACTTGCCAATAGCTGCCATGGTCTTGGCCTGCCAGACCGGCTGGCCCTGGGGGCATATCGCGGTCTGGGCGCCGGTCTGGACGGCGGTCCGGTTCTTTAGAGGAGGCTGGGGGGCGCGGAAACGGAGGTTGGCGGTGGGAGCGCGGGCGTAGCGAATGTTTTGGAATTTGTAAAGGTCGGTGTCGGTGTTGTGCCAGATGGCGCGGTGCAGTTCCTTTGTTTGTCAGCTTTGCCGGGTGTCGAAAAGGGCCCAGAAGCAGGTGGAGAGATGAGTATGCCTTTCAAGGGATACTCACATAGCCTAGGTCAACGACGGGGAGACATGTCGCGTTGTCCTTGGAGGTCGGGACAGCGGTGACTCTCTGTGCCAATGCAGCGGCCAACGGTAACAAGGTCGACACGCGCATGATGTAAGATTAACAGTCAATGAAGATGCGGGAAAGGAAAAGAGGATTCGGAGGTAGGCTCACTTCGAATCAGAAGGAGAAGATGAAGGTGGATGGTGATAGTTCCGAGATCAACTGATGGTCTCCCCCATGAGCTCTTATATATCCTTAGTTCCTCAAGCTACGTAATCTCCCTCTCGCATCGTGGCTTGGACCTTTTCGTTTTCGTTCATTGAAGATTCTCTGCAGCGTTGCACACTTCCCGATCAGGAAGTGTATGTGTTGTGCATAGTGACTGCGCGAAGAACTGCCCAAAGCAGTACTGTATCTTTGGACTTCGGTAAGTGGGAGCCCACGGTCCGACAAGGGTCAGAGATATTCACCATTTTATCGAACATGTGGTCTGAAGTTTCACCTGATATATGTAACTGTAGATACTTAACTGGAGGGGGAAGCAGAGCCTCCGTAATTATACTGTAGTTTAACTTAACCAATTCCAAATGAGCGCGTAAGTCAAAAGTCCAACGCGGAGCATGACACAAGCTGCTCACCACCTTAGGGCAAACAAGTTTCTCTCTGGGGCATGAGCCTGCGGTCTTGTTTGTGTATGACGAAGTAATCATAATTTAATTCAAGAAGTTACGGGCTTCTTACCAGAAGAGTGTCGCCAATTGGAGATTTATATCACATTGCTCGGGCCTTGCACTATGTGTATTCAGCCTTGCACTATGTGTATTCAGCCTTGCACTATGTGTGTTCAGCCCTGCACCGATTTAAGCTTGCCAATTCAGGTTTGGTCGCTTTACCCCTCTTCTACTATTTTACAGTCGAGCCAAATCCCTCTCCTCCATACATCATCAGTCGATTCAAGCCCACGATCTTCAGCGTCTTCAGGAGTCTCCAAGATGCCTTCACAAAGCTCATCTAACAAGTCCTCCAGCGGTAGCAACAACAGCGCGGGAAGCGGAAAGGTCCCTACCCATTATAGAGTCGTCAAGGAGGGCTGGGGCGATCGTCCCACCTTCCAGGCCAGCCATGGTCTCAAGACTGAGGCCTAACCCAATCTTCATTACTTACATATGCATCCATCTGACCATGGACTTCGCCAGGGGACCCTTCAGGCATCGAGGAAGGGAACTCGATCCTAGATAGCTACATTTAGGCCGGTAAAGACGCTTGGAGCAGTGGCAAGAAGTAATGAACATGGCATTCTTGAGAGTTCACGTGGAAGGTCTGAGGGTAGCTCGCGATTTGTAAACAACGTTGGCATCACCTGATAGTCCGAATAACAGGAGTTTCATCATTTCATATTCCTGTCCCAATGTGGCCAGCGTGAAAACAAGAAGAGATGCGAGCATTACTCCGTATCTGGCAAGCACGCCTGAACTAACTCCTCGAACTCATCTAGCCTGCGAGTCTGGATGAATATAGATCCCGGCCCTTCGAATTGAAGGATGCGTCCCTCACCGGTCTTCTGACTCTTCAGCCAACTCCCTCCCGCCTTGACTACCGTGTAGCTACAGGTCCAGGCTATTGAGTGGCCATTGTCGACAAAGTGAGTTTGACCTTCCTTGAGCTACAATGTGCATCAGTACACAGACTTTCAGCATGAAAATGGAGGGATCATGCGATATTGGGACAACAGTATTGAGACGCAAGACTTACATCAATGCGATCGACGGCACCAAAACCGGTCAAGAACATGATGCCATTACCCCCGAGCTCGTAGACATGATACGGCTCATCGTGCCAAAAGCTATTCTTGAAATTCTGCTTCTTGACCGTCTTAGTTACGCCCGACGTCCAGGCGAGAGCACACTCTCTACGCATCACCCATTTCAAGGTGTCCACAGCGCTATTGACGGGAAGAGCGAAAACATCCCCAAGGAAGGGGGGCCCAATCGTCACCGTACCGGGGCCTGTATAGGTCGAATGGGTCATGTCGTCGAGCAGAAATCTCTTCCATGAGATCTTTGTCTTGGCGTCCAGCTTGATGCTGCCGGACATGTGGATCATGGCGCCCGTCTCAGACAAGAGCTGGACCTTGTCCTCGAGCGTCACGGTGAGGACGGCATTGGCGTCACGGTGGGTGATTGCGAAGTGGCCGCCTTCGAACTTTCCGGTGTCGGCAAACTTCTCAAAGTTCTGTGTTGGGTGCGTCATGTTGAGTTGGTGATGTGATGGTCAAGACAAATTAGAGGAAGAAGATGAAGGTGTGAAGACACGCGGAGAGCAGACGAAACATTTAAATCTGACACTGGGCCGCACAACCACAGCCAACGTGCCTCAATGGAACTTCCGCAGATGCAGGTGCCCCGCCAGCCATTGCATCAGATTGCTTTGTGTTGGTTGCACACCGTGAACCACTGCCCTACACTCGGTTAGAGGGGTGGGCCAGTACGACGCAGACAATGCAAAGATGGAATGGTACCTGGCAGCCAGGCCGGTTAAAGGCTGCATATCGGACTGGCATTCGAGCTCCTTTGTACGTAAATCATCAATGCAACGTTGGCGCTAACAAACGGTGGTTCTGGCTGACTTGTGGCGCAGCTTCAATCAGGAGCAGTTAAGCTCCAATCAACAGCCAAGTTTACGGTTACAGTCATTGATCTAGGCTTTTGTTTTATGCAGCCGTGCATCCGGCCAGTGGAGAATAAGCGATGCCCTTTGGTTGGCGAATCAACGAGTGTTGAGAGGACACACATCCAAGACGCAAAGGGTGGGATACGATGCGGCCAATCAAGAGCTAAAGAGCTGCCGGGCGCATGAGCCAGCCCAGTCAGTGCTGACCAAGCCTTGATCCATGAAATGGCACATTCCTACACGGATCCGCAGTCATTCTCAGCCTTTGGTGCAAATCATTGCACTTCGCACCAAGTCTGCTCGCTACCCTAGACATCCGCCACGCACATTCCGATCAACCAACCCTTTCATATCTTGACCAATGGAGGGAATATCGGCTGTAGTTATAGAGATTCATCAATAATCATTTACAAATATAGAGATAACATAGGGTGCAATAAAGCCCGCTAACTGAGGCCAAAGCCAAAATCATCGCCACCTCATTGTTAAACTCGAGACTTCTTTAGCAGATAAGTCACCCAATTCCATGTTGTATTTTCACAACATAGTATTGTTTGATTAAGACAATAAAAGACCTCACTTCATAATTTCTGCCAACTCCTTTTCGCTATAGCGCTAAATCAACAAAATCAACCGAGTCACCCGTGCTGCTAAAGAGCAAAAATCAAAAGTAGAGTTCCCGGACCAAGTCTTCAAAGGCACGCTTTTCCAATTCTTCAAGATCGCGCTTGCCCATCTTGGCCATGATGACTTTCTTAAGATTTTCACCAAAATCCATAGCACTATCAAGAACCGTGAATCCTTCACCAATTCTCTGAGAGCTCACCAGCTTTGGGATCTTCACAGCACGCGCCTCGATCTCAGGCTTGCTGGCAATCAGATTCGTCAACTTGGTACCGAGGTTGAACAACTTGGCCACGTTTTCAAGTCTTCTAGAGGTGTCGCGCCCCTCAAGGTCATCCCCCAGATCGCGTTTGGCGGCAATGAGATTGGTCAGCTTTGTTCCGAGGTTGAATAGCTTGGAGAGGTTCTCGAGTCGCCCGGAGACATCGCGTGCCTCGAGTTCATCCTCAAGATCGCGATCTTCAAGGTCCGCCTCGAGGTCACGCTCTTGGAAAGTGTCCTCGTAGTTGCGCTGGGCTAATTTGGCCATGTGTGTGAATCCAACTGGTGAGCGTCGCATAAGATGCACTTTTTTGGGGTTCGTTACACGATCAAAGTCGCGCTCGGCAAGGGCAGCATCATTCGCGAATCCGGCGATGGGCGCGGTGATTGTGGTCTGAGCCATGCTGAAAACGACAGCGGCAGTGAGAGATAGGTGCTTGAGGCAGACCATTTTGAACAATGATGGACGAAGTTTATTGATGGTAGGAGTAATAAAACAACAACAGCTAGACGGCAGGGAAAGAAAAGACAAGACGCTGGAGGTAGGTATGAAAAAAATGAAAATGGAAATGAGAATGAAAATGACAAAAATGCTTTTAACCAGTAAAAGTAGACAAAGAGGTTGTGGAAGAATGAAGCGAAAGAGGCCAGCTCTAGATGTTGTAGGATATTGTTTGATGATTGTGGGTTGATGAGCATAGAACAGGACGTCGAAGAAGGTTCAGACTTTATATTAGTCTAGTGACATCTCTTGAGCTATGAGGATTCATTGTCTTAAATTCCCTGACTCTATTGTCACAATCGAATCGCTGTTTGGTACCCTGCCATGAGTTGCAAATACGCCTAGCCATTGGGGCCCAAACATTCATGTTGGTCGTTGGTTGCGTGGCTTATCCCACGATCCGTCTTCCTTGTATTCAAATTTTCTGTTTGGAGTCGTTCACCCATCGACTGCTCACCGAGACCGGAAGGTGGGATGAATCTGTGGTCGGGCTGCCGGTATGCAAAGGGGTCATGGGTCGGCCAACAAGAATCCACCGAGGCTGTGGACTTGGCAGCTGCTATTTTCATAGGTGGGACGCAGGTGAGCTCGCTGTTGTTGGTCGATTAGACCCTGCATGACGGATCAAAACCCCATGGGAATTAATTTAAGATCTGTCTCATGCGCCACCAACTGTTGGTCTTCGAAACTCCGACCAAGTGAGGCGAGGCTGAGGCGGCTGCGTCAATCCTCAACTACCAGGACCTGCAACTGTTCATATTCAGCATTTGGTCGGATTAAGCGCGAGGCGGCAGTCAATTACCGACAGCTGGATATAGTAACCGGACCCGGAATGAAAAGGCTGGCGAGGATACTGAGCCACCCTCTCGAGCTTAAGCGCCGCATACCAACGCTTTTTAGTAGAAAGGATCAAGGTTGGCAGACAGCAATTGAACAATATGTAAAGCATTCTCTAGTCTGCCTCGAGGTGCAATGAATTGGCCTCCAAATTACCGTTCCATTGACATGGGTCGCCATTGTCAATTTGCCCGCACAAAGCCCCAAGCATGGATAATGTTCATTCCTTTCCGTTGAACGCCGAAGAGAATGGATGAGCTGACTGGAAAGGCTCAATCATATTTTTGGCATGCTATTGTAGGCAATCCCGGACCAAATCAATTTGTATCGGAATCAGTGCTCTTAGAGAGAGATTAATTTTTCTGCCGCCTACCTACTGGGCGATGCAATTCAGTCAGGTTTCTTGTGGTGGCTGTTGACACGGTGGAATTCGACTGCGTGAATGGAGTTCGTAATCTCACCTTTAAAACTCTTCTAGCCCAGCGCAAGAACTCTACTCTTGCCTTGAAAGGAATAATGCATTAAACAGTGAGAATATTCTTTTATACGGAGAGAACGGATCAACTTCTCTGGATACTGGTCCGGAGTACTCGCCGCCTTGCTACTACAGGATGTCTATATAGTGGTCTATTCATTTGTATTTTGTCTCTTTACACACTGCCCTATTTAATCTTGAGGCTGCACCTCAATCATGTTGCCGTCCGGGTCAGCAACATACAAGAACCTCTCATTGATCACACTAAGCACCGCTTCAATGGTGGCGCGTTCCTCGGCGCTGACCTGGGCCAACGCCTCTGGTGGAAACCCATTTGCAATGGCAACCTCGCCCTCACTTTCTGTAGGAGCTCCAACACGCTTCAAAATACGCACGTCAGGAAGGCCCTCTAGCCGGGATTGGGCAGCCTCCACATCCGGGACGATGACTCCGATATGGCCGAATGTGTTTGTTCGCACGCTGGAAGCTTGCAGGTGACTCTTGTCGGGGATGTCGAAATGAATCATCTCCACCAGACCGGCGGCGTTGTTCTTGTCGCGATTGAGCTCGGCAGTTGTCTGATAGCCCGTGCCGTTGCGGCCGCCTTGGCTGTGTCCCATGTACGCGATCGATAGATGTTCTGAAGCTTGCACGGTGAAGATGTGGCGCAGACCGAAGGCGCGAGAGTAAAAGTCAAGCGTGGCTGTCAAGTTCTTGACATTAATGGAGAAGTGATTTAAGAAATATCCCACAGTTGCCGGGTCAGAGGGAGTATCTGGCCCCCAGGTGATGGGAGGACCGGTCGAATTGTCGTTGCGAATGCTCAAGGTAGAGGGAGAGCATGCAGTTGTTAGGCTCGCCAAATGAGACGCAACTAAGAGCATTGCTGCGAGAGGAGACTTGAAATACATTGTGCCGAAGACTGAAAACACAGAGCAAGAGTCTGAAAAAAAGCTTTGTCTTGAGAGCTGATACTCACTTCTGCCAGGCGAGGATCATCTTGCTTTTATGCTTGAAATCTTATATCGGTGAGGCTTCATCTTTAAATTGAGTCAAGACCCTCGGATGAATGATGATGAGTCAAACGGGGCTTAGCATGGCCGATCTGTGCGCGTGCTCATCTCTGACAGGACGGATTCCGAGTAAGCGGTCTGGGGATCCCCCCAAATCCAAATTGTCGCATAAGCCCTGCCCCAAAATGGTTCATCTTGCGCCGGAAATGTTTGAACTAAACAAAAATAAAATAGAATTATAAATCGTCTTCTTGGCTTATGTCGATCGCAGACCGTGACGCGTAGACCTGATAATCTTCAAATATGCCAGCATCGCCATGCTGGTTGTGGTTGTCCCCGACCGATGGACTTGATCTGGTTGAGCTAAAGGGGATAGACATGCCGCAAGCATTTTGGACTGAATGCAAGAAACGTGAAAATTTCAACCCCAGCGAGCTCTTGAGTGTTAAGATGTCACTCCTCTTCAAGACGAAAATCGCCCAATCGCCAGCCCCAACATAGAAGTATTTGACGCTCTTATCCAACTTGCGTCGCATCGGGTTGGTCAAGTAGATCGTTCCTAAGCTGTGAGCCACTCACTCAAAGCAGATGGTACAAAGGCAACCCTGTGGTGTTAGAATTTGCGTCGGTAGATTGACTGTCCTTGGAGATGTAGTAATGTGCATGATATAGATTAATGTGCCCACAAACGGCAACATTTCATCAATTCTAGCTTTCGGTAGCTTGTGCTGCCGTAAGAAGGTAATGGTAGGTACTACTTCTAAGACTTAATTTAATAATTTACTGTAGGCCATGATGCTGCACGGGCTTGGCCTCACGAGCAAAACCACCCGAAATCTGCACGAGCTCAAGTAAGGAGATAACAAACAACTGTATACAAATACTTGGGAGCCGTCTTGACCCGAGTTAGACTTGAATCAATAGTAATAGAGCCGGTTTCTGATCATCACTCCCCCAGTAAGCAAATTTGCCAACAAAACATCATCATTTGGTTGGTCACCTTTTGAAATTGCGACATATGAAGTACTCCCTTACTGTTGTTTTGAAGATAAATAGCGGCCTCAAACTTGGCAGAGAACGGCGGGGATGGTTTCGCCTTCACTTATTCTTAGAGCTGATTACGCCTTCGAGCCATGCTTCTTCATGTCAAGTTGCTCATTCTGAAAAGGCGAGTCAGGTTTTAAGACAGGGTTAAATTAAGTCTCGGCCGATGTTGGGCTTAATCTATATGCTGTGAAAGAAGAAAAATGGAGATGCCATAAAACGAAAGCCTCGATCAACGACTGTAACCGTAACCTTGGCTGTTGATTGGAGATCAGCTGTTGTGAATGGGAGCTGCGCCACAAGTCAGCCAAAACCGAGATAGTTGGGAAGCCTTCAGTGGTTGGGTGGCGATCTCTCTCTGAGAGGTATGCAGCTCCCTAGTGACAGAGGTCAGAACTTATCATGTATCTAGCGCAGGCTGCTCTAGTGGCGGACTGGACGGTGAGAAAGATGGACTTTGACCGGGGAAGAACGAGGTCGGTCTTAACCTCCACTTCATTTGGGGTTCACTCAATGCTCTTCAAGGCCCTGGGTTGACGTAGACTATTATGGAGAGAGGGAAAATCACGCTCAAGCAGAGTGGATGGCGAAGGAATAGATATCGTAATGAATCTGACGATTTGGGCAACAAGCCACGCAAGCTGCGCGCTTATTTCGAAATTGATCGATTGATAAGATCATCTGAGAATCTCTGGTCCCCTCCATCATGTTGCCGTGAGCCGGTTCATGCATGCAGTTTTGCTTTGACGGCAACAATTACCGCTGAATGGCTGGATGGCCCCTGCATGTGCCCACAACTGATTTTTCTCACGGTGAGAAATCTGCAGCTTGATCAAGCCCTGCAACTAGTGGATGGAGAAAGCCAGGGTGGGTTCATCCTGCACTGTGTACTTCCTTGGTCATCATGCTCTCAACAAGCCTTCTTTCCACCTGAACAACAGTTGCTTCAGAAGTGTTGCTGGTATTTTGGATAGAATATCCCTGCCGCCGAGCCGGACAACGGAAGCCAAGCGGTAGAGTACTGATTTGGTTCCAAGTCATGACACGCGGCACAATTGCATGAATCGAAGGACCCAGGACCCAAGTGGAACTGGCATGGGAGGAAACCACTGAATCCACAATTTCAATCTGATAAATATTAATCTTGTGTGCTCTCTTGAATGCAACATCTACTTTTATGTGTTGTACCAGACAGTCACCCCCTTCTCGTTACACATCAAGCTCTGTTCAGCATGGAATCTTCAAAGGAACAATATGATGAGACTGTTTCGCCTGTTGATCCTGGCATCGTTAGTCAACAGGACGATTCGGCTTCGGAAGATCAAGACAAGCGGCCTGCTCCCCTTTCCATGAAGATTATTGCTATTGTTGTCATCAGCATGATTGGATTTGGAGGCCATTGGAGTAGCGGAGTCACTGGAGCATTGAAGAGCACCCTGAAAAAGGTGAGTGGCTGCGTTCTTCAAAACCGTTGGCTCAGTCCTAACCATCAGCTCAACAGGAGATGCACATCAACAACACGCAATACGCATTACTGAGTTCGAGTGAAGCTTTTATCAAGTTGGTCTTGATCCCAATTAGTGGACCCATCACGGATCGTTTTGGTGGTGCAAGTATGTATTCATGAACAAAGAAAAAGTCATGCTGAAGCTAATACATCTCGTAATAGACAACATGCTCTGGGGAAATGCTGTATTCAGTCTTGGCGCGATCTTGGTGGCAGCAGCGACTCAGGTTCGCAACTACAAATTCATGATCTTTGGAGTCGTCGTCCAATCATTTGGAGATGCTGCGACACAAGTCGCCCAATACAAGCTCTTCTCGGCCTGGTTCCCGCCGTCTGCAGGCTTTGCATCGACGTTGGGATTCGAGCTCGGCCTTGGAAAGATTGGCACGTTTGTGGGCAAGGCGACTGCCAATGTCATCGCCAAGAACCTGGGCAATTTCAGCTGGGTCTACTGGATGGCTGTCTTTATGAACCTCTTCACGAACGCGGCCAATCTCTTTTACTGGTGGTTCACTCGCTTCTGCGAGAAGAGATACTTGACAGCCAAGGATCCTGCAACTGGAGAGCACCTGAAGGAAAGGAGCAAGAGGTTCAGATTCGATCAAATGCTCCGCCTTCCATGGACTTTCTGGCTCATTTGTCTGCTCACGATTTTCCAAACAACTGTCTCTTCCATTTTCTCGTCCAATGGAACGGAGATGGCTGAGCAGCGATTCAAGACTTCAGCCATCGACGCAGGATGGTACTCGTCGCTGTCGCAATTCCTCGGTTTCTTTTTCGTCCCCGTGGTGGGCATCTTCATGGACATCTTCGGGCACCGGCTTACATTGATGTTCGCCTGCAGTGTCGGCATGTTACTGTGCATGTGCTTGGCGGCGTTTGCACCAACCGTCGCAGGAACTGCTGCAAGTTTCGCCATATACGCCGTCGCTACGACCTTCGGCCCTGCACCGATGATCGACGGCATTAGGACAAGTATGTCCCATCACGACGTGTTCGGCACGGCATATGCGATCAAGGTCACCCTCAACAACTGCATGACGATCCTGGTGTCATTGATTGCAGGTGTAGTACAAGACCGTGACAATGACAGCTACGACAACGTCACCATTTTGTATGTCGTGCTGGCTAGCTGCGCTGTACTTGTCTCGCTTGCCATGGTCATTATTGGGTTGTTCAGCACGACCATGGGCATTCTACAATGGGGACGGAAGAAGCGTAGCGAGAATGGCCAAGTCGTGAAAGAGAAGGCCGAGACGTTTTCAACAAATGAGTGGAACAGAAAACTCAACATTGTGAACTTCTCTGCGGTTCTTCTCCTGATGGCTGGTGCTTCTGCGGCGTACTTCTGGGGAATAGCCACTGGAAGAACTTACTGATTCCCCGCGCAGCTGACTTCCTCTTCTTATGTATACCTCAGATCTTGGAGAACTTCAGTGTTTTGGGTGATGTTCAAACATTCTCTTTAATTTCATGTAAATAGCGCAACTCATAATTGCATCGACTCATAGCGGTCGTAAATATACTCAAGTCATAGATTCAGTAGAGTGAAGTTGATACATAATTATCTATGTAGTAATAAAGGATCTTCAAAGAAAAGTACACCCCAGCATGAAATTATTTGGCTCCCAGACCAGATCACGCGAATGCTCGTCAGGCTGATCCAAGGACCCTGGGAAAGTCTCTATTTAACGGCCACACTGTGTGCTCCGCTGAGGTCCGAACTTTGAGATTGATAAGGAGACTTGTTGGACACCATCAACTTCTCCCCACCCAAATTACAAGCTAGCAAGTTTTCCCTGGCAGACTTTGTGGATTTAGGGGCTGCTTGGAGCGACAAGGGACTGACTTGCGTGAATATCCATCCTGGTTCGAGGCCCAAAATTGTCTCATCCACCGGTCAAGGAAGCCCTGCATGTCACCACGCCAAGCCTGGAATGGGGCGAACATCCATGGCGCCGCTACTTGTAAAAGCTCTCGTCTGAGTGGCCAATTGCGAGTTCTCCGAGGCTGTATGCTCTTCCTTTAAATGTCCACCTCTTCCCTTCCCCCTATTCAATCCGTGACACGAGAAGGTCGCGAGCTTACGGCAATATGGCTTGGCTACGAAGGAAGAAGGATGATGACCCAAAGCCTACACCCGAGGAGCAGACACCCCTCCGGTCAGAGGAGCAAAATGGGTACCAAGGGACCGGAAACAACATCCAGGAGCCCGCGAGCTTAGAGGCAGCTCAAAAAGCGCCGGCGCCGGTATCTTGGGCATCTATGCCCAGAAAGTGGCAGTTGGCCGTGATTGTCTTCGCCCGTCTCGCTGAGCCTCTGAGCGAGAGATCGCTGACCTCATATCTCTTCTACCAACTCAGATGGTTCGATCCTTCGTTAGAGCCATCCGAAATCGCGAAACAGGCTGGCCATCTCACAGCTGTCTTCGCCGCGGCGCAATGCCTCACTTCAATGTGGTGGGGGCGAGTCGCAGACACTGCTCTCTTTGGCCGTAAGAGAGTGCTGATCATCGGTCTCTTCGGCTCGGCCATGTGTGCTCTAGGGATGGGTTTCTCGCCTTCGTTCACATCCGCGATGTTCTTTCGATTTTTCTCGGGTGCTCTCAACGGCAATATTGGCGTTCTTCGGACCATGGTGTCGGAAATTGTCCCGGACAAACGGTAGCCTTCCCAATTTCAGTCTCATCCAACGGAATACTCACTCACTGTTTACAGATACAAAGCGAGGGCCTTCTTGATATTACCCATGTGCTTCAATGTCGGCGTTATCATCGGTCCCCTCATGAGTGGCTTTTTAGCCGATCCGATTCATTCACTACCAAGCATATTCGGCCCAGGCTCAATCATTGGTGGTCGTGACGGCGTTGCGTGGATGAAGCAATTCCCTTATGCGCTTCCGAATGTCGTGTGCGCCTCCGTTCTTCTTGCTGCGGCGTTCTGTATCATCCTCGGATTGGATGAAACGCACCCAATGAGGCGAGACAAACTTGATCCAGGCCGAGAGCTAGGGAAATTCATCGTCCGAAAGGTCCTCCGACAGGAAAAGGGGCAAGACTATGAATATGAGCCCATTCCATCCTCGGCAAATACCGCTCCTAGCACATCTCAGCCGGTAATCGCTCGCGAGCCAGAGCCAGTCAAAAAACAGGCCAGATTCCGAGACATGTTTACAAGAAATGTCTGCTTCACATTGTTGCAACACTTCCTCCGTGCCCTCCACGGCTCTGCGTTCAACACAGTCTTCTTCAGTCTGCTCCCAACCCCCAGGTACGACAACTCGCACGCAAGCCTTCCGTTCAGATTTAGCGGCGGGCTCGGCCTCTCGAGCAAAAGTATGGGCTTGGTAAACACTATACTTGGTAGCATCGGAATTCCCCTCCAGATCCTGCTCTACCCCGTGCTCAGCGCTCGTCTTGGAATACTTGCCTCGTATCGCATGTTCTTGCCGCTCAGTATTGCCGCCTACTTCTTGATACCCTATCTCGTCCTACTCCCGGATAATATGGCAGTGATTTGGACTTGCCTTACTGCCTTATTATCGCTGCAGGTTCTTGCTCGCGTGTTTATTACGCCTGCTTCTATGATTTTGGTCAATGAATCCGCACCGAGTCCTACGCTTTTAGGGACTGTCCACGGGTTTGCATCAAGCATTTCCAGTTTTGCTCGTATTTTTGGACCGAGCATAGGTGGATCAGCTCTCGGCTGGGGTCTGGCACACAACTTCGTCGGCTTCCCGCTCTGGGGGATGGGTGTCATTGGTCTGGCAAACTGGTCGGTTCTTTGGTTCGTGGAGGAAGCTGCGGTCTTTTAATGGCCTGCGTGAATATAGTAATACTTACTGGAACAGGCGAGATGTCTGATATTGGGAAAATTGGTCCTCTGGCGAGGTAAACGGTCAACGGGAAGAGATATTTTCGTATCTTAGCTCATCCTGCCAGACATAAATGATCTCAACTTGAAACATTAAAGACTATAGAATATGCCACGCGGCAAAGAATGAGTTGGGTCCTCGTGAGGCGCCACGTAAATCACACGCTGCCAATCAGCCCCCATGCAACAGTCACACGACCAGATGTTTCCTTTCCGACACTGTACCATGGGTGTGGCTACCTCGCTAGTTGCTCGGATTTACGAGCTGGTGGGTTTTCTCACGGTGAGGAAACCCACTCACCATCACACTCCCCTGCATGATCCGTTGGCTCGCTAGCAGTCAAATTTACTCGCTTGTCTAAATAATGAACATAAAAATCTCTAAAATTACCAGTCGTAATTCTCCGAAAGAATGTCTATAGTAGGTCTAAAATGCCTCGAACAATTATGTGCTGCGTCTCTTACAGCGTTGGTTAATGACCTAGGTCCGCATGTGGCGATGAGAACCCGTGTAGTTTCGTCCAGGAACTGTATTGATTCCCAGATCGCCTGATCCACTTGTAGTTTTTCGAACTTCAGGTCAGCTTCGCTTTTTGCAGCTTCCCACTCCAAATTTGCTGCGCTTTGTAGATGGTGCGCGGCTTTCCTCGTAAAGTCTTCCAACAATGGCGTTGTTTCCACGCAGGCGTTTGTCTTTGTTGTACACAGATCCGGAGGGGCCTGCTCGAATTCTTCTGATTGTGAGTCTGAAATCTTCAAAGGTTCTCTAGTTACGCGGATAATCAAAGTGACGTTTTTGAAGTCTTTCACTAAGCTGAGAAGCTCTGGGATGTACCACGATATATCATCTGTTAAGCTGGTTAGCAATGATCTCCAACAGTAACCTTGCAAAACCAACCTTGATTTCTTACTGCCCAAACAAACGTGATAGGTACCGTGGGATGCTCATTTGTTGACGCCAGCAGAAAGTTCACCAAGCCAAAAGTAAAGGAAGCCCCGCTCCCTCCAGCGATCATGATAACCTTGTCATACGTATCAAAATCTGGCAAATTGCCATACGGTCCGTGAGCGGAAGCCCTCATCGCACGTCCCGGAATCTCGAGAGCCAAATCATAAGCTTCCTTTGTGAACCCTTCGTACGACCTCAAAACCAACTCCAGCCCCGAATCTGAGTTGGCCGTGATAGTGAATGGATAGGTTTTGTAGCAACGGATTCCGGGTATCCAAACAAAGCAATGCAGCCCGGGTGAGCCTCGAGGCAATGGCTTATTGAAGACGAGTCTTACTCCTCCGCCTTCAAGCGGATACAGTTTGGCCTCGTTGTTGATCAAGTTGAATGCCAATCTGAGCCACCGGAGCACCCGATCGAAAACCCAAATACTTGCCATGAGAGCGGCAAAATACGGCAGTACTTTCTCCCAAGCCGGCCTATGAAGGCCCATGAAGATGGCCATGACGATAAATCCGAGAAGATGCGTCGCGTAAAATGTCGTGTACCGAACCTGTGTGAAAACTCCAAAAGCCAATATGAGAAGTGCCGCACCGGCAAATAGTCCTTCCCTGTTGCCTCCTGCTTGAATCACCTTGAACCAGCGTTTCGTTATGCCGAAGTGTGCGGTGTATAAGATCCCGTGTAGGAGTGTCTGCGCGAGAGCTGTGTAACCAACGACCCTGTGGAAAAAGTTGAGGCGCTGGTACGATGTGGGTAAAATAAAGCGCAGAGGCGTGTTTTTCAAGCTCAAGAAGACGCAAAGAAGCATGTTCATAGCAGCGAGCCTATGTACAAATTAGCAAATTACACCACGTAGTCAACATTCAGTCGCTCTCACCAACCAAGTCGAGAAGCACAATAGTTTGGTCTGTACGAAACCATGGGCGTGAAGAAGAGAAACAAATTGGTGATTAAGAAGATGCTGGCGAGTAAAATGGAAGGCAACCCTTGATCCTTCAAACTGGTGGCTATTAGTTTTTTGCAGCTTCCCTTTGATCAGCTTCCGGCGCTATCGAGAGGCCTTACCAAGGAGGCAAATCCAATCGAGGATATGGAATGTTTCGGTAAACCCTTTCCCAAGACCTCTTGTACTTGACGACGACATAATGAAGAAAATGGCCGATAGCTAGGATCAGAATAGCGTGCCATAGAAGCGAGAAGTACTTCTCCAAAGCCTTCCCATTCGCGATTTGCTTGGGGCTGTGTGGCTTCCGATCCAGCATGACGGAGAAGAAATCCATCTCGGAGCGCTGCCACTGGCAAGCTCGAAATGTCAACCGACAAGGCGAGGAGTGTACTTCGACTGGTCGGGGCGTTCGAAGCTTTGAGTGGCAGTAGGCCCCTCGGTCAGGGGACAGCCGGGGGCTGAGGAGAGAGGTATTAAAATATCGTTCGATAGCATCCCCGCCTGGATTATCAGATTCCGTGGGCCGAGCCGATCTACGAGCCAAGGGGGACGGATGAAGGGTAGTGTTGGCAGCCAAACCTCCACCGGGCAAGGGGGGCTTGGCTGCCTAATATTAAGCGTGACAGGCAAACAGGCATCTAGAGCCTAGGCGCCGGCATGACCATTTAACGGGCGAAAAGTCCCGAGTACGGAGCACGAGGGATATCCAGATGCGATTGATAAGACAAGCCAAGCGGGTGGGTGGGCACATGCATGTACAGTGCCTCCGCTACTGTACGGGGCCAGCCGGGAAAGGGGCAAGCTCGTGGGATTAGACACGGCTTGCTCCGTGAGTACATCCAAGGGCCTGCGGGGCTTTATTGCACGTGAAGGGCCGTGATCCAGAGGTGCATGTCAGCTAGTTCTCAAGAACACTCAGCTGGCTTTAAACTCTATCAACGTCAAATCTAACCTAGGGCCGGCTTTTCGACAGGAGACGGACAACTAGGAGATCTCTCCATCATGACTACGAGTACAGGCTCCAAATTCCTGGTTGAATGAGGCTTCTGTGCTGACCTCTTCTTTTCTTAACCTCTAATGACCTATCGCATCATATCGTGATACATTCCTCTTTCAAACAAGAATCAAAAGCGCAATATGCTCATCAATTTGTTGGCTGAGCTTTCTCTTCGTCCATGGTGTAGAGAGAATATAGCATATAGCGGAATAACTTGCTTATATTAGCAGACATTAATTGCCGACATATGATCAAACTCAAACGAGTCAGTCCACAGTTGAATAGCCTACCGGCATCCATTCATCATGGTGACCCTAATCCGAATTTGGCTACTTCGTATAGCGTCGTAAATGCATGTGTTCGGATCCCCTCCCCGAAATATTTCGCTGATCAAAGAACTTCCTCACCTCTTCTTTCTACCTCAGGAGGTATATGCAAGTATCAAGATGGCGAATAACAGGACTATTCTTCTACTTCCAGGTTCATTCATGCCTGAGAGAGTCTATTCAGATGTCTTAGATGCCGTGGCCAAGAGAGGAATCGATATTCGCTTTCTTCCACTTACGTCCGGGAGTGTCGGATCAGGCGATCGCAGAGAGCCACCGAATATGTTCGATGATGCGGCAGCAATATCGCAAGAGGCCGAGAAATTGGCAGATCAAGGCAAGGACGTCATCGTTGTCGCCTCATCGTATGCTGGCGTTCCTTTAACGCAGAGTTGCAAAGGGCTTAGCAAGGCGGAGAGAGAAAGGAGTGGCAAGAGCGGGGGTCTGGTCAAGATTGGCTTGATGCCGTCTGTGGTACCTGAATTGGGACAGGCTGCGTATGAGGTCCTGGTCGATGTCCCACCGGATAATATAATTCCCATGAAGGGAGATGTTCGTCAACCCTAACGATACATTGCAAAATACCAGCAGCAAAATGCCAATAGCTAATCACCTCGTTCATGCAGACTTCCGGGTGGCTAGAGATGGACCCGGATCACTATGCCCATATCGGAGCCCTGATTTTTTCCAATCTCTCAGCGGATGAGCAGGTTTTTTGGACAAGCAAGACACGCGCACACTCGTCAAAAGTCTTTAGAGACAAGGTGACTTTTCTCAGCTACACGCTTCCTGGTGTGGACCTTGCATTCCTATCCTGCGACAATGATAGGTTAATTTCGCAAAATGACCAGAAGCTCGCAATTGACAGGCTAGAAAAGGCGTCTGGAAAGAATGTGGAAGTCACATTCATATTGGGGGATCATACTCCCGCTCTCTCCGCGCCCAGCGAGGTAGTGGAGTGGCTTGTAAGGATTTCTGATATTTACTTTTAATTTATTTTGGGACAAAAATGCCTCAGCTTGTGAATGAGTGAGTGGGCTTGAAGTTGAGTGAAAGACGATGAATCAACTTGCCGTCAATGGTTGGGGCTCACACCTCATCGCTAAACATTCATTCAGTAAGCTGCATGGGGATGTACCATTATCGGAGTTAAATCTCAGGATCGAACTTTCTAAATTTGTTCTTTTTGTCTAGAAGAATCATTGGCACATGGCGCGCAAGCGACAGTGTGACAGTCGTGCGTTCACCTTCAACTGGAATGTACACTCCACACTGCTTAAAAGAAGAACTTACCCCTTTAACTCGAGCGACTCTTCCAATATCTATTCTATTGTGAAGAAATCGAAGCGAAAATCAGGCAATAGGATGATCACGAATCTTGTCACTACTGAAAGATATTTGGCAGCAAACATCAACGCATTGGAGCATTCGTGCTATTCACACTTATTTTTAAGACTTCTCTCTTATTAATATTTGATCGCGGAGGCCGACAGAAGTCATCTATGCCAAATGAAGGAACATTCGTAAAATTCCACGCCTCCAAATTATCGGCGAGCCTGATGTACGAAACCAACCCATGCAAATGTGACCTATTCTCACAATGTCTTCAAGGTGACAGAAAGGAGTGAAAAATAAAAGACGTCATGACATTTAATAAAACAATGTATCGTAAATTTTCCTCCCAGAGATACCTCGTGTGCTGGAGGAATGGAAAGCTTTGATGAGTGCCCGTATCCCTATTGCGATGTCCAAAGTTGCGCCAATATACAGTCGGAACGCTCGCTCCAAAAAGAAGAAGAAAGGGAGACGACCCTTAGTTCCTATCCCCTGGGTTAGTATTAGAGCAGAGGAACTTTCACACTGGATTGGGGGGTAGGTGACTTACAGTAAGGACAGCTCCAGATCACCGTGAATCCTTGCCTTGAGCTGGATTTCAATTTCGAGATTGAGGTCCAGCCTCAGCTTTAGTGTGTCGCTCTTGCCGCCGCCGCCAGCGTCGCCTCCGCCCAGTCCGCCCAGAGCACCAGTTACTCCACTGACTGCTCCCTGAGCGGTGTTTGTGAGATCTTTCGTGGGCAGGCTGTCCCCGAGTCCTCCGACGGGGAGTAGGTCGGAGCCACCTTCGTCTTCGCTGGCAGAGCTGGTGGCGGCCTTCTTCTTGCCCTTCTTCGTCTTCTTCTTGGGGAGAATGTCGGCCATTTTGTGTGGAGGTCTGAGGTGATCTCGCTTGTTCGTTTTTGTTTAATATCGAGATCCGAGGAGGCTATGGAGAATCAGAAAAGATGTGCTAGTGCTGGAGAGCAAAGGCATACTATATAATCCAAATGAAGCTGCTGCGGTGATGACGAAATACAGCACCGATCAGTCGAATAACGTAATTATCATGGCATAAGCCCCTACTGCTCTTCCTTACGGCTGCCAGGGAAGAAGAAGAACCTGAAGCTGTGATTGGCTGTCAGCCCCCGGACCGTTGAACGCTCATCTCGATCTGAACTACGTCATGAACTTTGCCCCACAGAAAAACCAGCTTTTCGCCAGTGACGTGAACTCATAGTGCGTTTCAGCTACGGATCGTCAGCAAAAATCCTGGATGAATTAATAAGGTAGGAAGAAGCCGTTGTATGACGCAAGATCGATTTTACGCGACAGGCAGCATATCTTGGCTGTCGTGTTCTGTTACTTTGAGGTGGTTGACGTGACGCGGGGAACACGGGGATGCACAATGCAAGACGCAGCACTTTGAGATGAACCCGATTTTATGACATAAGTTGGATCAGCTGGATGCACTCTCATGCAGTCCCAGGTTTTCTTTTCTCAAAAACTTCGCTTTTCCAACTTCTGGCATATATTGCCCGATCGACAAGCCATCTATTTGGGTACAATGATGATCAGTCTGTTATAGGGTAACTCAGAGCCAGACGAGGTGTCTGACGGGGAACGAACTGCCTGACCGCAGACTTGTTCTCAAGCTTAGGCTACTGACTACAGTCCAACACGAATACTCGCATGCGAAATAAGAATTGAGATACTATTTGGAGTAGGGAGCGAAAGAGTTCTGTTAGTACCTGGACGCGCGGCACGGGACGCGAGGTGCCTGAGGTGTGGCTGAAAAGAATTGTGAGTGGAGCGAATCAACAACGCCACACCAACCCCACTAGCCACAGACCGTCAGACTCCACCACCTCAACCAGCAGTGACTGTGAGTCAACTCATCAAAGATGAGACATCATTTTCCTTTGAAAGGAAAGAAAAAAATGCAAAAAAAGCTTGAAACCAGATTTGAACTGATGACCTTAGGATCTGCAATCCCACGCGCTAGCCGCTGCGCCACTCAAGCTTGCTTCTTGTTGTGAACTTCTCTATTTTGTTGTGGTATATGAAGGTTTCTTGATGATGGTTTTGACTTCCCGCTTTGCGTCGGTAGGTACATTTTCCGACACTTGTGATGAAGAATGCGTGTAGTTATCATTAATCTATTAGTGAAATCGCTTGCGACGTATGAATATTTAGAAAAACAATCCATGTGCTCAAAAACATGACTAACAAACAGGCCTGCTATTATCTCTTAACATCGCAACTAGCCTTTGATAGCCCAACCCCTCCGCGAGCTGAAGTGCTGTTTCACCAGCATTTGTGACCAGACGACTATTGACTTTTGGGAACTTCAGTAGCTGTGCGACAAGATCAACATTGTTGCAAACGACACCGAGATGTAATGCGGTGTACCCATCCTCATTTGCTAGATTCGGATTAGCATCCGGATGCTCCAGTATGTCAACCACTAGCTGCAGATTCCCAGAGTTCGCAGCCACATGTAGAGGGGCCCAGCCATTTACGTCTTGAATGTTGATCTGCTTGTTGGCGCCATTCTCTAGTAGGAGTCGCACGAGCGCTGGCGACCCTCCAAACGTGGCCCACCAAAGAGGTGTCCTATTTGTTCCGTCTGTGATATGGACATCGATCTGAGGGTGTCTCAGAAGCATCGTGGCTGCTTCGTATTCCTGCAACTCCATAGCCAAACATAGTGGTATGTTCTTGGCTACGATCTTGGCATCGTCTGCTTGATCGGTGGTAGTTGACTTGGCAAAAGTGTACCCAGACTTCCCCGCCACCCTTGAATAAACACGCATGGTTGCGTTCATATATGGAGCCTGATTTGGATCGATATGCTGATGGCTCATCAACATTTCAACGATCTTAAGCCTACGACTCACGATTGCTTGCGATAAAGGCGTATGCTCGTTTGTCGATAAGTTGACGTCAATTCCGTCCCTACTTAGCAATAATTTTACTACCTGCTCGGCACCCGAACTGGCGGCAGCAGTCAACGGAGTCTTGGAGGGTTTTGAAACTGTCGAGGGGAGGTTTGGGTCCAAGTCCTCCCATTTCAATAGCTCTTCAACGATCTCGGGTGTCCCCCAATGAATCGCCGTGATGAGTGGTGTGCCGTCTGGATTGTGCTCGCTGCGTAGATTCGGGTTTGTGTCTGGTCGCTCAAGCATCATACGCACAGTATTATGCATCTTCTTTCGGATAGCTTCGGACAGGGGTGTATATAAACCTCCGTGAACGTTCGGGTCCAAATCAGCCCGTGAGAGGAGAAGCTCCGCCATGGGGTGGCTCTTGACATCGATGGCAAGCTCCAACGGCCGGCGTCCGATGTTTGAGAAGTTGGGGTCCAGCTTCTCGTGTCCGATGAGTAGTTTGATGACCTCTAAATAATTGCCAGCGCGATGAGATAGTCTAATGGCGTCTGCGATCGGGGACCAGCTCCTATTATGCGATCTCAGGTTGGGATCAAGGGTCGGCCATTCGAGGAAGGCCTTCACTGTTGAGCTGCGTCCATTTGCGCAGGCGTCTTTGAACGTTAGCCAGATTCTGTCCAACGTGTCCTTTCTGTCCTTCTTGTAACGATTTAAGACAAGGGTAACCATTTCTTCATTGTCACATTCCGCCGCAACATGCAATGGACAGCAGTAGTCGGAGACGTGGCAAGGTTGAAATTCCGGCCGCTCAATGAGAATACGCACCATTTCAACGTTTCCGGACCTGACAGCTGCTGAAACAGGTGTTTGAGCATGTTGTAACAGTGCGTTGGGGTTTAGAAAGAAAGTCTCATCCTTCCACCAAGGCATCAGGCGACTGAACCAGCTCAGAGAATTTCGTCTCAGTCGAAGGTTTTGCGCGTCACACCAGCGGTAAAGCGTCGGACGATGTCGACCTGTCCCTGGTGGCATGCATTGGAAAAGCAGTAGTTTATGAACTGTTTTTCTTCACCACGGGAGCTCTTCAAAAGCACTTCAAAAACTTGTGAGTGACCTAAGTCTAGGGCAAGTCTCAGCAGCGACGAATAGCGGTGTGGAAGCGGAATATTGCGATCGCGATCTAGGAGACATTGGACAATAGCCGCATGACCGTTTCGGACTGCGTTGAATAAAGGGACGCCAAAGAGAGAGTGGCGAGCAGATTGATCGACTCCGCTGCCGAGTAGTATCTTGACCGCTGGGAGGTTCCCGTGTCGGCAGGCTAACTGAAGAGCGCCGTATGCTTCTTTTAGAGGAATAGAGTCTCCGGTAGTCGCAGGATCACAAGAGTCTAGAAGTTTACTTGGGAGATCGACGTCGAAATCAAGATAGCTCGCCTGATTTTGGGCTTGCACGAGGTACAAGAGCGACCACATCGGTCCACGCTCATACACGGCAGCAGAGCATGTTGTCTCAAGCCACGAGTAATAACTACTCGGGGTATCAGGCTGCCAAGCTTTCTGGGTGCTCATAAAGCGAGCCCACTGTTGGAGGTAGAGAGGCGTTGAATCACGATCGGAACTGTCTGTTTGAGTCTTGAGTAGGAGCATCAACGAGACAGCTTTTTCCGTTGTTGGCTCTGGACGCAGAGTGGCGGTGTCATTCGTGCTGCGGAAGAGGGTTTTGAGGATTTGGTGGTCAAAAGTCCCTAAAACTGTCAGCAACGTGTTGCAATTTCAAGGGGGAGATGATGCGACAGTCAAAACGCGAGATGCGAGGCTATTTGAAGCTGCATGAATGACTTACGGTTGACGAGCCGGAGCCTCAAATAGTTGCGTCGCTCATGGCCGCGAGGCAGTTCGCAAAAATCGGGCGCGGCTAGTTCGAGGATCTTGACCCAGATCTCCAAGGGAAAATAATGGGCTCGGTGCAGATCCATCTCGGGACTGCAGGCATGAGACGATCCCCATGGATAGTTGATGGATAAGTCGAGGATGGAGATGGGAGGGGAGATGTGGAGTGAGAGTCCATTTGGAGGAATCTGCCTCGTCACGGTTAGTCTCATGCATAAGGCGTCCAGAAGAGCATAGCCACTTATCTTTCAGCTGTGTCTCAGGCAGCCGGTAGCCACACTATCCTTAGAGATAAGAGGAAATAAAAAGTAAAATGCTAAGGCATGAGTCTCTGTATAAAGTAATCCAGCAGTTTTCATAAAAATTGTACAAGCGCCTTGCTTTGTCTTTTCTTGCTCCTTGATTCCATTCTTGTTTAGCTACCCTGGACTTCTCCAATGCCAAGTCTCCGATCCGATCCGACCTCCTCCAAACAAGCCAATCAAACGTCGAACTTAGTGGCGGCTGTCTCCACTTCCCCATCCAAATTCCGCACTCCGATCCGCGTCTGCCAACCGAACCAGTACAGAAACCTTTTCTATGCATATCATACTGAGTAAAGAAAATGAGTTCCTTGTCGGACGGCAACAGAAGTGCCAGTCTAGGCACGTCGCGGCGGCCCAGGGCGGGCCTTGCGTGTCTTGCGTGTCGCCGGAGTAAACGCAAATGCGACCGGTCCTTGCCATGCTCAACGTGCCTGCGATATCGTTACGCGTGTCAGTATGAGGATCATGGCTCAAGCATTACCAGGACAGACCCATTGCCTATTCAGCGCCCTGTAGCAAACACACCCGCTTCCCGACTTGGCCCTGGGAGAAGCATTACATCTATCCCTACATCTAGGCCGACCACCAGACGTCGCCATCAAGCAGGGTATATCGCCCCGGTCAAAAATCGATATATACCAGAGCATTCATCTGCCTCCCATCCTCGGTCACTAGGCTTGAGAATGGGCCTTACAGAGCCTCCTCGTCTCCATGCCTTTGGGTATCACTTGGGTATCCGGGAAGAGCCGAAGACTACACTCAAGCCTCTCTTACCAGAACTGCTCACATGGGATCAGGCGAGGGCCCTGATCGATATATACACATCTGTAATCCAACCCGTCTTTGGATTTCTGGATACGGACCTGCTTTACCAGCGAAGTCGCTCCCACTGGCATGGCCAGACACAAAGAATACAATACGAGGCTCTACTGAGCGGCGTCATTGCCCTGGCCTCGTTTTTCTCAGATCAGCTCCCCAGAGACGTTGAAATGCGAATCGCCCTTCACTCAAAGTCTATTTTAGAAGACCCAATGGTTGGCATCTTCCCCTGTCTCGATCTCGTCTCGGCGTCAATCTTGCGGACGCTATATGTCCGCGGGACAACTCGTCCATATGTGGCTGGCCTGTCTAGTCTAATCACGATCAACATGATAGAGGTCATGGGTTTCCACCAGAATGAAAATTCCATATCTTTTGTGGGAGATCAGAGGCCTGCGGATAACGTTGTCGGGGGAGTGAACATCAGGGAGAGAGTTGCAATGGTTGCTCAGAGTCTTCACATCCTCTTTGCCTACGACTTTGGAAGATCTATCGTGAATCTTGTATCTTTGCCTCCTTGTAATCCCCCACAAAGTGCCGGGGACTTTACATTCCAACAGACAGCACTGACGAACATACTCTCCAAAAGTCTTGATGAGAAAGAAAGTGCAGCAGATTCGAGGGAGCGCCTTGTGATAGCACTGGAAGAACTCGCAGCTATGCCAGCCAATCACGATTTCACAGTTTTGACAAAGGCCGAACTCTGTTTTGCTGTATATCGCCGCCTGAGACTGCTTCATCCGCCATTGCAAGAGGCTCAGGTTGAACATATCATCCAGGTTGGGGCCGCTGCCATACCTGCAGCTCGCCGCCTCGCGGCTCTGAAGCACCCGTGGTGGAATACTATCCATACAATATTTCAATATGTATGCGTGCTTTTGTCCATGGATTCTCGCCCAAGTATTACAGAAGTAGCACCAACTATCGAAACTCTCCAAATTCTCAACCAGCAGTTCTCCTCCAGGATCACTCAAGAAGCGCTAAACATGGCTCTGTCTCTTGTCCGAGCCTGTATAGAAAATAAGAGATAAGACATGTCGCTCCTCGAGGGCATTGTGGCGATTTCGGAACAGGAGGTCGCTCCAGATGAAGATATGGTTAATGTGGACTTGGAAGATTTTTTGTAGCCCCTGAATGGCGATCTGTTCGAAGGGCTTTCTGACTGGTTATAGAATAGCAATCTACCAAAATCTATGATGATGCCTTATCGCGTCTTCTGTGGTCGAGAATGACATATAGACTGGCTGTTAGTATTCCAAGCCCAGCCAAGCCTGTTCCCATATAACTAGTTGCTCGATAGCTAGCTAAAGTGTCTTGGCCGCTCACGTTCACATACCTTTCCACGGTCCCCGCAAGCCCCAGTCCAATGGATATCGAATAATTGACAACAGTGTTGACCACCGATGCAGCCACGCCTTGTTGTTCTCGGGGTAAGGAGTTGCTGAGAATCAAGGTTCCGGAGGGAAATGACATGTCCCTGCCCACTGGGTTAGTCCATGTTAGATTCAATTCACCCTTCCATATATTAGATGGAATATCCGACTTACATTCCCCAAGGTGTTATGATGGTAATTACGAAGGCCTGCGCCCAATAGGTTTGGTCCACAGGCAACGTCGCTAAGAGGATTTGGCCCATGGTAAACGCCACCATCGCCATCAACATGATGAGCGAGGGCCGGATATGCGAGATTAGATATCCTGTCGTCACGGCCGCGATCGCACCCGAAATGGACACTCCCGACCACTTGGCGGAGGCCAGCAATGGGGTGTCGCCCTTGATTACCTCGAGGAACTGAAAATAATAGAATACCAAAATTCCGAAGCTGGACCAACCAGTTGCAACACAACCCAAAACCCAGCCTACTTCTTTTGTGAAAATCGACGGAGGGAGCAACGGGCATCTGGAATGGAGCTCAATGTAGACAAATATCCCCAGCATCAATATTCCGACAATTAGGAGAGCATATGTGTAAGGGGCATCCCATCCTACCACAGGACCTTGGTTCCAGGCGAAATTCACTAGTATCAACCCTGTCACTCCTGCAAAAGAACCGGGGATGTCGAGTCGAGCCATTGTGGGTATGTCTTTCTCGTCAGCAGAGTCAGGCGGGCTTTGAGGTATGATGAGCCATCCCATCAGGGCTAAACCGGCGCATGCGATTGCCATGATCCAATAGGCCCAGGGCCACCAGACTCTCTCCGCCAGGAGCGAGGCCATGGCAGCACCGATACTGAACCCGCCTGGGGCAGTTGCCCCAAAGAGGCTGAATATCATGTTTTTGCGTGGGCCCGGCCGATACGTGCGGCCAAGTATGGCGATAGAATTGGGGAGCAGAAATGCCGGGCCAATCCCTTGCATCGCCCGGCATATGTCGAAGAAGATCTGATCCGACCAGACGGCGATACCGCCGAGCAGGGACCATAGGCTGAACCAGGCAAAGCCAATGATGAACATCAGACGGTGCCCAAAGATGTCGCCAAGCCGCCCGGCGATGAGTATGAATGTCCCGACTGTCAGACTGTAGGAAGCTGTATACCAACTCAGCTCTCCGGGATTTGTTGTGTTGAAGCTGGCGCCGATGATCCGTAAGGGCACCAGTGATAGGGCGAGGCCCGCCTGGGTCATGAGCTGTGAGGAGCAGAGGACACTGACCAAAAGTGCCTCTCTGATGAAAGATCGTGGCGGCTCCTCGTGATGAGTTGATTCATCGGTCTTGTCAGGAGCGCTGGCTTCTAGGACGCTCATGTTGGTGTTGTTGGGTGGCATTTCTGCTCAATGACATGCCTCGTTGGACACCAAAACTTCCGGGACTACAAAAACTTGATTTGAATGGACAGGTAAAGATCCCAGTATAAGATGAAAGTCTGGAGATTTGCAAATGTTCTCTCTCATATTTAAGCAGCCCTAGCAGCTTGCGGATCAAGCGTGAATATCTTGTCCGATCCGATGCGATCGGCCCCGATGCGGATCGGACTCCGACCTTGCGTAGAGCATTCATCAACCCTCTGCCTAGATAAAAGGAATGGTTTCTCGATGCTTCATTGACCTCATGGGCTCATCCAGATCAATAGCATTTTCATTAATGTTAAATTCCCCTACAAAATCTACCTTTTGTCTGCAAGCGGAAAAGCCATCATGAGAGCCATTCAGATCTCCAAGCCAGCAAATAATGATGCCCCGAAGTTATCACTTATAACGAAATCTCAACCTAGGGTGCAACCAGGATTTGCCCTCGTCAAGGTCAACTTCTCTGCCATTTTGCCCTCTGATCGCCTGAATGCCAAGGGACTATTCCCATATACTTCATTCCCACGCACACCCGGGCGTGACTATTCCGGGGTTGTTGTCGAGGTTGACCCGTCATCTTCTTATTCCAGTTGGGTCGGAGAAGAGGTTTACGGAACTAGTGACTCGGAGCTTGGATTCACGCTCGATGGACCTCACGCCGAGTACTGCCTCATCCCCGAGGAAATGCTGGTGAAGAAACCCACCCGGCTATCAGGCATCCAAGCAGCTACTGTTGGCGTTCCTTTCACCACGGCACGAAGATGCTTACAACGAGGCCGTGTGGGCAAAGGAGACACGGTACTAGTCATTGGGTCCACAGGCACCGTTGGATCCGCGGCAGTCCAGTTAGCCAAGGCCATGGGCTGCAAGCGCGTTTTCCGAGCGTCTCGCAATCCAGAGGACGAGCCGGATGTACTGCTTCCCGGAAAAATTGCTGCGGCTAGCATCCAAGGGCAAGTCTCCAAGTTGAACGAGGGCAAGGGCGTGGATGTCATCGTTGACACCGTGGGCCAGACCTCGCTGATGAAAGCGGCGTTCGAGGCTCTTGCTGTTCGTGGTCGTTACACGTGGATTGCTGCTCCTCGAGACGGCGGCTCGCCAGAGTTTCCGTTGGACATTTTTCAAGCATACCGGAAGGAGATTGAGCTCATTGGGTGCAATACTGCGATAAAATCCCGAGCTGATGTAGCTGAGGAGATGGAAGCATTGGCTCAATGGTTCGATGCTGGATTGCTCAAGGCATCTGATGAGGAGGATGTGGAATTAGTGGGATTAGACGAGGCAATTGAGAAGGGCTATGAAAGACGCGGATCAAAGAAGCACACACTGGTTAGAATGGAATAGAGAAATAGAGAGTAGATACTTTATAGAGCCAAGGGAGGCCTGGAAAACCCCGTCTTTTAAACAAATATGCAGCCAAGTATGAAAAGTGTTGTGACGGGACTTCTCTTGCTATCCGCCACAAATAACTACTGTTTTGAGATTATATGCCTGAAATTCCCCTATTAAAGAGAGCAAGTGATAACACTACTACTTGCTTCTCAGGCCCATTATGACCAGAGAAATATCCGAGTTGAAGATTTATTAATCCATGCAGACCATGATATAGATCGCTTTTGTACGCTTGTTGCGTGAAGAGACGGTGGTTATTTCCTGACCCCAGATCCTTATTTTCAACGTTGTTAGGTTAGTAGTTCTAACATAGCTCTCATACCGCAAAGGAGCATGTAGAACCAATTTCCTCTTTGCAATCGCATTTGATGTTAAATTCCCCCTGGAGCAGTAGCAAGGGATGAACCACTACTCTGGCTGGCTGGCTGCTTGTGTTTCGAAAACTGGCAAACCAGGGTGATAAGTACCATATGTTCAAACTGGATGCCCCAGTCCACATCGATCTGCAGGGTGCCCCCTCGCGACAAACCGAGGTCGCCAGTGAAAATAGCCAGTACATCATCAGGGTCATTTGCACAAGTGAGCTTCCAATTCTGAGCCAAAAGGCGAGAAGGCTTGTCTACGCCGTCCACGGCAATTCGTCTCGTCTTCTTCCAGATAAAGTCCCTCCTGAGATCCGACTCAGCAAAGCCAAGAGACCATGTTGACTCTGGACGCTCAATATTCATCTTCTCCCACGGGAGCGACTTATCATAGTCCTCGAAGTAGCACTTAGGGTCTCCGAGGTAGATCTTAAAGCTAGACGATGTTGAAAGTCGGCCTGCGGCGAGTGCTATGTCCTTTTGGTCTTGTTGCGTTCTTGAGTCCCGATACAGGAATATGAAAGGGTTCTCGCCGATCGGGCGTTGTTTGATGTCCACAGTGAATGAATCTGCATCGCCCTTTTCTGGCTCGTATCTGTAGCCACCTGAGCTGTCTTGTTTGGAAAGTTTGTACTGCTTCATGGCGATCCAATAGGCTAGTGCAATTTAAAGATTGGTCGGTGCTATGGTTACTCCCAGTTGAGATGAAGAGAGTAGGATCCATGGCCATAGGTAACTGTCATGTTTCGGGAACAACCGATCTTAAATAGCTAACCGGCAGATGTATTACACATCCGAGACCTGGTAGAGTAAGAGTCATTGGAGAAATACTGCCCTCATTGGCTAGTTACCCGACAATGCATGGCGAGCCGGCCCTTGATTTGCCAGACGACCTAAAGTACATTCCAAAGACCCTACAGAAATCGAATCACGAAGCCACTGACGTCAGTTGGTCTCAGTGCGGTAAGAGATAGAAGTAGAAGTATTCATGACGATCAACTATAATATGTATAATGCAAAGGCACAATTGGTCTGATCAATAGTTTGTCCTATTTTATAGTACGTTTAGCCCGTTAAAAAGGACAGCGGGTAGTATATAAGCAAAATGCAGTATTTAAAGATGCGGCGTGCTTCCTTTGAGGTCTAGCCTCATAAACACAGTCTTTGCTTCCACGGGTCGACCAGTGCTGTCCTTCTCCTGGTAAAAGTTTTGGACGGTTTTTATCGTTTTATATCCCCGTGACTCGAACCATTCTTCATTTGAAATCTATTGTGGAATTCTCCTCAGTATACTTATTCCACCTTCATCGCCTCAAGAAGCCAAACTCACCTTGGGAATCTTGCCGCCGAAAAACGAATTTGCAATGTCTTCCCTCTTATGATCGTCTTTGCTTAGAGTATCCAGCATCAAGGTCTGGGCGTATAGAGGCTCTGACTTGGCCGTAACTTCAAGAGCGTCCATAGTCGCACGTCCAATCCCGCTGGATTGAAGAGCCCTGGATACGTAGCCTGTCTTGAGCCAAGCGACACCCGAGTCAGGAATGTCGAGATTGAGCTCCTCTATGCCGGGTGATTCGGTATCTAGCGAGACGTGGCCAACAGGAATGAAGGTCTTGCTCGTCGGTAGACGATTCATGTTGCCAATGCGTACGCATGAGTCCTGTAACGGGGTTCTTTGCTGTACAGTGTTATGGTTAATTGTCATTTAGTTCCAAAGTTCATGAAGTTAAACTTACCTGAGGAAATGCAGAAACGTGTTTTTCAATCAAAGAACTGTAGTTTGCGTCATCCTTGGAGAGTACCTTTACAAGCGTTAATGGACCACAGCATAGGTAATCATTCAGAATTTAAAAGAAGAACTCACGATCCAATAAATACATTTGGTACCTGCTTGGTGAGCTTCCTTCCACGGCCCATCAACGAGCCCAGAATGCCACCCGCAGTCTACTCGCTGCTGGATCAATCTTTCTATGTGCTCCGCCGATTCGGCGTCCCAAGGGATGAACTCAACGAGGGTGCGCGACATTTTGGTCGTCAACAGGTCTACTGTTAGATTTAAATATGGTGGATTAAAAATGTTAAGCAAAGTCCAACGGAAATGCGGATGATGTATTGTTAGATTAAATACGAGAAGGCGGGTGGATCAAGAGGCTCATAGCACATGAATATCTGTTCTGTGCAAATGTTGATCCCTGTGGTATGTTGCTTGCGGTTAAGTGATGGGTTTTTATAATTAAATTGACAAAAAGAGCGATACGCAAATGACGGTCTGACAAATGTGAAAGCGATAGCGCAAGTCAGCATTATACGACGGCTTACTTGCCAATATCATACCCATGATGCGAGCTCTATTTCCCAGGCTATTTGAAGCTGGTGGCCTTCGTCCGGGACAACCAGGTATATCGATGCCATCCCTCAACATATTAAGTCTGGATAAGTAAATTTAAGAATTTTTTTAGTCTTGGATGAGAATAAGTTCGCAATGCATAACCTTATAATACAAATATGAGGCAAGGTTGTGTACAAGTGCTGACGTGATGCCAAATAGAAGCGAGGCATATGTTGAGCGGGGTAAATGCACATGCACTTCATATTTCCTGTACCAGGTGTCTAATAACTCATAAGACCCAAATAATTCAGGAAAATTAGCCGATTTGACAGTACTCCGTAGATCTGCATTTTAAGCTATGAGTGGCTCAGGACCTAGATCAACAAGAATGGATACGCGCGTATCGAGTCCGCGGATCCCGAAACTCCGACCGTGACTCAAATACGGAAATTCTCATTCGCTAACAAAATCATCATCAGCAATATCTTGTTCACAATACTGAGAGAGGCAATATACGCGCTTCCTTTCCTGGCGACGGCAAGTCCAGTGTGTCTGCTCTCGCAGTAGCAGCCATGTCGACCTCAGGCCCTGGGATAGAAGTTTGGCCTGTATGCTCCCAACAGTCGCGCTCTCATAAGGGCCAGCAAACTGATATTATTTACAGGCTTCGGCTCTCGCGGCCCTGAGTGTTGATGTCGTCACGCATCCCATTGACACTCTCATCACCCGCATGCAGTCCCCGACATATGCATCACAATACAAGACGAGTAATGTCCTCTTTCGTGGGCTCTATCAGGGCTTCGGGCCCACGCTCATCACCGGGATCCCCGCGTCGGCCGCCTTCTGGGTGGTCTACGAGCAGCTCAAGGCCGGATTCGAGTGGGCGCACAGAGCTGGCCATCTTCGCGATGTCCCGCAGCCTCTGATCCACGTCGCCAGCAGTGCAATCGGGGAGATTGTGTCGTGTGCCATAATGAATCCAGCCGAGGTGCTCAAACAGAATGCTCAGGTTTCCACGGCTGGGCTGTCGAGGGAGAAGTCGTCTGCGCTCGGGGGCCATACTATGACTGTGATAAAGCGCTTCGCCGCACACCCGACGAAGCTGTGGACGGGATATTCGATGATGGTAGCGGCACATCTACCAGGTATTTGCATAACCATGGGTACCTACGAATATCTGAAATCGACATGGCTAGAGAGACTGCGTGAGAAGGACCCGGAGGCGGCGAGCAGCATCACGGGGCAGGTCAAGGTCGCCGCGATGAGCGCAGGCGTGGCGGCTGGGTGCACATCTGCTCTTCTGGTGCCCATAGATGTGATCAAGACCAGGATGCGGCTATCAGTCAGTGGAGGTGGTGCTACTACAGCACCGAGCACAAACCATCTGGAGGCACAAAGGGTGTGGCAGACTCCGTCACGCATCAACTTCTTGAGTGTCGCTAGGGAAACGTTGCGAGTGGATGGCATGCGAGGTCTGTTCAGGGGAGCCGTGCTGACCTTCTTGACGGCAACCGTTGGAGGCGCCATGTATATTGGCTGCTATGAAGGGAGCAAGCTCTATTTCAGACGAGCTCTGCGGGGATCAGATGGGGAAAACGATGATATTGACAGCAACAATTTGGTAGATCACGACCGGATTTTATGAGCTTGTATGACGACCTGTAACAACATAAAGATACCTTCCTCAATTTGTGAAATGTAGAATAGAATAGGCTCATCTCCTAATACCGCATTTGCCGATTTGAACTCCCCAACAAGGTACTCGCCAGTTAAACTTAACTTGCCTTAGCATCAGAGAATAGACACAGGGAGTTCCTCTGTGGTCCTTGGGCAGAGCCAGCGCCAACATCCAACTCTCGTGGTCATTCTGGGGCTGGCGATGAGTTCACGAAATAGAATAGTAACTGCTAGGTCACGCCATTCCATAAGTGAAGGAGGCGAGGCCTTTGCCGCACAGCTGGCCGTGCCGTCAACGTAGTTGCAGAAGATAAAGAGAAGATGCTATTTGTAGCTTATCTTGTTTGGGGGTTGCTGCAGTGTGTCAGCTTGCCTGTTTCCAGCGGAGACGAGCGTAACAGTGAGTCGGGGTCTGAAACGTCCCACCCAGCTGACACGGTTGCTTACCGAACGGCAGAGCAAACTGAACAGACGTTTTATGTCTATCCCATTCATCGGTATGAAGGTTCATTAAAATTTTCTTCCGCATGACTGCAGCCTTGGGCTAGAGAAGCTTTTCTTATTAACCTTTCGTATTCATTGGGTTGAGCCGTCGGGTCTGGCTTCTTCTATTGCTAAACTTTCTACTCGAGCTCTCTTACGTGTCTACCCCATGGGTCTTCCAGTTTCACTGGTGCCGAGCTCAGTGATCGGCGCTTCCACTGAAGAAGAAAGAAATACCTGAAGCGCCTTGCCGCCTCCTCAATGGTCAATTGCCCATCACACATCCCTTCTGCTTTAGGGGAAAGAATAAAAACATCAGCGCTTAGGGATCTCCACCAGCCGCAGAGCTTCCCGTCTGAGTTTAGACCTACAGGGGGTTAAGGTGATCCAAGCTCATCCTCAGGTTGCACTCATCAGGCTGAGACAGTGGATGGAGAATATTCCAGGAATAAATAATATCATGAATGAATAAGACCGAACACGCCACGTACTTAAGTCCTACGACTCGCCTTTGGCATCCCTCGGTTCAAGCACTCGCCGTATCCCGTGCGATCACATCCCAGACCGTCTCGTTCCGCGCTGTGCCACTCTGCCTACAATGAAGTTCTCCACTGTCCTTACATTTGCCGCTGGCGTTTTCAGCATGCCTGCCAGACGATCAAACAGCAGCGATATTGCCACCACTGATGAATACCTCTTCAGCATATCACTGCCCGCTTTCGAGGCGAAACACTCAGAAAAGGATCCGGCCTCTTTGGACTGGACCACTGACGGCTGCACAAAGTCCCCAGATAACCCGCTGGGGTTCAACTTTCTGGTAAGCACTCCTGGCCTTCAACTCCACCCGCCCACTTAAGGGGGCTTCTATTTTTGTTGACAGCACTGTAATCGTGCTTCGTCGTTCTGGGGGTAATTGTCTGACTGAATTCTACGTCAGCCTGCTTGCCATCGCCATGACTTTGGTTACAACAACTACCGTGACCAGAGCCGTTTTACCGAAAGCGGGAAGAAGAAAATCGACGACAACTTCTTGTCTGAGTACGTCGCCCCGGTTTGTTGTTGTTTTGAGCATACCAGCAGTATAAGGATTTATTCTAATGTGTTACAGTCTGAGATACCTGTGTGAGAGTGAAGAAGCAAAGTTTGCTTGTGATGCTCTTGCCGAGGTCTACTATGCTGCCGTTCGTGCTTTTGGGGGCGATGACGCGAGCCCTAGTAAACGCTCCAACGAGCTTGAGGCCATCTACAGGGCGAAACTTGCTCAATACGAGGCTATTGTCAAGGAGGCCCAGGCCAAGGGCGAGCTCCCTCAATAGCATATGAAAGCATAAAATCGGAGATGGAAATAGCACGGAACCATATTTGGGGACTAAATAGTCTTCAGTCTTATTATCTAGCGAGACCCGTTTGCAAATCATCATACAAAGGAATGCATGGACAAATCAGGATACTACATGATTACATGCCAAATCCAGAACCGGACACAGGGCGTCAAGTCCAAATTCCAGAAGTCCCTTGAGGAGATCTTCATGGCTATGATCGGCAGCATCAATAGGCGTGGTCCCATCGCCAGCCTCAATATCAACTCCCACCCGCAGCAGTGCCCCTACAACAAGTCCGTGCCCAGATTTTGAAGCTTTCGAGAGTAGCGATTTTCCAATGTCTATCAAGATCCCGCTTTTCTTCAAAGCTTGGCATACCCCTACCAGCATGTCCGAGTCCCCTGTCAGCTTAGAGTGATCTAGGTGCTGCGTCCAGTGATTTGCAAGAGGATGTGTTGCAGAGAACTCTAACAGGAAGCGCAAATTGTCAAACTTCTGTTTGACGAAAGCAATCAGAAAGCAGTCTAGATGCTCAACATCCTCGTGGAATGGATTTGCGCCCATTTTGATCAATACCTCGACAGCGCCAACTGAGCTATTCGACACTGCCCAACCAAGTAGAGTTCGCCTGTCTTCCGACCCCTTATACCTAGGAAATTCTCGATCCATCTCGAGACCATGAGGTATGAGAACTTTGAGGACCTTTTCTAGGTCTTCCAGGTTGCCAGACTGAGCGCAATGATCTAGCAGAATGTTGTCGAGATCCGCAAATTCATTGATGCATCGCTGTGGAAAGGCGGCTCCGTTCGCAAGGACAAGTTCAATCGCGTCCGAGCTCATCATTTCAACCGCTTTCGAAAGGCATACAACCAGAGGCGCATCTGTTTCGAATTCAGCGCTGACTCGACGTAGTTCATCAAATAATTCCTTGTCCTTTTCTACCAGAGAAAGAGCCAAGGGCGAGTAGATTCCCTCCTGCCTAAAGTAATATCCGGCTTGGCTATATTCTTCACTCTTCAAATTGATTGGAAACTCATGCTTCCACTTTGCGATTTTGTTCATCTGTTCACAGCCGCCTTTGGACAATAGAATTCTGAAGCAGCTGGTTGCATAGCTTGGAAGTGAATAACACGCGGCCTGGTACCTTAGGTCGTATACCGCTTCATGTTGCCTGTAACCAAGTGCCAAATGATGTAAAGAGGTTCGACCGTAGTTGTCTGTTGCCATGATATCGGCGCCGGCCTTTATAACGGCATCTAACAGGTCTGGACAATGCGAGCTCGCAGCGTAATGCAAAACTGGCATACCGGCTGGACCTTTGTCTTTATCATTAATATGAACATTCGCTCCGTGGTCAAGAAGCAGTTGGACCATCTCTAGGCAAACCTCTTTGCTTCTCCTTAGTCCGCAAGCAAGCATTAAGGGTGTCCTGAAAGCCGGGCTATTGCGGCCTCGGTGATTCTCAGGTTCAAACGTATGGGCGGCATTCACATCCGCACCCATAGACAATAGAAGCCTCGTCGGCTCCACAAACCCATTTATAACAGCTTGCTGAAGCGGCGTGATGTGCTCGTAGTCATGCGCCTCTATATCAGCCCCATTCTCGAGCAGAAGCTTAGCAATGGCCGAGTCTGTGTGAAACATTGCAGTGTGCAACGGCGTTCGAAGCTCGTCCCCGTTAATATCGACGCCCAGTTCAAGAAGCAGTTTGACAGCCACCAAGTCCCTGCCCCGGACTGCGGCGTGGATCAAACCCAATGACCATCCTCTTCTTTCATCACCTAAATAACCACGCCTCTGAAACCGAAAGGCAGCCTTGCTGATATCTCGGGAAGGATGGAACATCCTCTTCAGTTTGGACATTGTGCGCCAAGCATTTCCCACTGGAGGATCAAAGTAGTCGCTGCTCCAGAATTTCTCCATGTCTGGCTTTTTATCGAAAAACACGTGGTAGAGCTCAACAAAATCTGACCCGGGTTGGTCCTGCAGGTGCTTCGTGCCATCGCGCAGACCCTTGATCAAGTCTCTTCGAACAACATCTACAGCATCATTGGTAGTTGTCTGGGACTCTATATCATTGGATGTAGAGGGCTGGCAGTCTTGGGATTGCATTTGCCGGTAATGATTGACCAACATCTCAATCACCTTCGTCTGCCGTCTTGCAGCTGCCCATCGTAGCACCGTCCAGCCATGAACATCTTGAACCATGTGGTCTGACTCGTGTTGCAACAAAAGTTCAAGTGAGTTTGTATCGCCTTGTAATGCAGCCCAAAATAAAGGTGTCCAGCCTACCGAGTCTTTGGCCATAGTATCAGCCCCTCGAAGAAATAGAACCCGGACAGTTTGTTGACTGCGCGAAAAGCATGCCCAATGAAGCGAAGTCCAGTTCTGAGAGTCTCTTGCATCCAATGGCTGCCCTGAATCAATCAGTTGACAGGCCTTGTCTCCTAGATTCCAATACGCAGCGAAGTGCAAGGCAATGTGGCCGGTAGGAATTGTGTCAAAAGTCGCTGAACGGACCGCCAAGTCCTTGAGCTGACCTTGAAAGTTGCTAACTTGGAATGCAGCAGAACATGAATTGGTGTTTCCTAAAAACACGTCGATGGCACTGGTGAGATCGTTCAGCACCTCGTCGTTTAAGATGTGGCTGCGCCAATTCTGCGCCGCATATTGAAGAAATGGCAGTTCTTTCATCCGGGCCTCTAACTCGTCAGCGCTGGCTGCAAGACCCGCAGAGAATACTTTCAAAGTTAGATATCGGAGGGACGACCTAGCGATATCTTCATGCCATTTGAACCCTTCCCGGTTTCGGAACCATTCGTGGATAGTACTATGTACCATGGCAACCTTGCCGTCTCTAGCGCTCGCCATGACAAGTCCGCCGCACACTTTGAGGATAGTCTTGACGGAAACAAAATTCTCCATGTCTATTTCGTCCTCGCCTTCCTCTGTCACAAGGCCATGAAGTAATTCTGATACCGAGAGATTTCTCTCCGCACAAGCAACCCAACCAAGCACCCTGTGGGCCAGGGAACTGCGCGACTTGGATTGAGAGTCAATGCGTTTCAAAGTAACTTCGAAGGCTTGATCGAGGTGTGTTGGTGATGACTTCAAAGCTCTTCTCATCTCTTTGACGGTATTCGACTGCAGGAGCTCGTTGATCAGTATCTCGCCCAAAAGGAAGCTGCATGATTGTTAAGTGAAGTCCCTCTAAAAGCTGAAACAGCAGTTGGCTTACATTCCATTTGACTTCTCAATAATCTCCGTTGCCAAGTCTGGGTGATCATCCAGCAAGTCATCCATATCATTTTGTTCAAACTGGCATGACAAATAGGCCCTCAAATCATTCTCGTCTGTTTGTTCCATCTGCAATGTCCTTAATGGGTGAAGGGCGTCTCTTATCTCTGGCAAGTCCCTACTTGAAATGAAGATTCTGCTGTGGGACTTAATAAAAGGATCTAAGATAGGTCCAAGATCTTTTGGACTTTCCAACTCATCGGGCCCATCCATGACAATAACAACGTCCACTGATCTGCACACTTCGTATAGTGCCTCTGCTAATTCGTCATTCTTAGCATATCTTGTGCTGCTTGACTTTGACCGGCAACGGACGAGGGTTTCGGTAACGGCAGGCCGGTTTTGAGCTGCAATTCGGAACAGAACATCTCGCCAAATCGACTCCTTCTTCTGCCGCTTTCTGTTCGAAAATTCGCAAAAGTAATCAACAACGCAAACTGACTCGTCATCCTTCAGCCTTGATTGCAGGTCCTGTAATGCCACCTTGGCCACCATAGACTTTCCCACGCCAGGCGGGCCGTGGCACCAGAACTGACGAGACTGACGACCATCGCTACTCGTTCTCCAATACGAGTATTCTTCAGACTCAAGAAACCACTTTCCTGTTCCTTCCAGGGGAGTTCGATCAATCGCGGATGGGTCGTTCGGTTTCCCAATCCAGTCAAGCAGCTCGCGAAGATCTTGGTGTTGCCCAAGGCGTGCAACCTCCCGCTGCGTTGCTGATACCGTGATCAGTGTTTGCGTGGAGAGAGAGCTGGAGAATATGCTGCGGAAGCGATGGAGCTCTTCAATGTGGCTTGTAATCGCCTTATCCTTAAAAGGCCAAAGCAAGCCTGGCAGAGGCTTCTCCAACTGGGCGCGCAGCTGCTGTAGCTCACTCTCGCATCCCCGAATTGCGTCGTTGGTCAGCAATAAGGTGGCTGGTGTACCCTGGGCTTCGATGGTCTGAGCTGCCTCCTCGATGCGCAGGAGAACTTCAGTTAAAGCAGCGATTTCTCTGAGATACTGCTTCTGCGTGCTCTTGGCTGACCGAACGTCGTGGATGTATCGGTAGCTCAGTTTGGTGACTTCAATGGCCAGAGAAAGCAGTCCGGCGATGCCAGAGGCGAGGCCCAGGACTTCAGCCATGTTTGCGACGCCACAGTTTATTCCTTCACCAACAGAGATTTGCTCAAGTCATATAAGTCTCATACACAGCCACTCTGCACAGCCACTCTAATCAGCCTATTTACATGGGTGTCAGTCAAGTGAGGGGTTTATGCAGAAGAATGATCTAATGTCCGGTAACTGTAACATTGTTGGTGGGCCAAGTAAAAAAGCATGTCATAGGTAAACAATCGAACGATGCCCACAGTCATCCTGCTACACTTCAATCGAATTTATTTGTGTAACTGAATGGTGTTTTCATAGAACATCGCTCATGAGCTAGTTCAACTGCTCTACAGCTGAGTGAACATATACTTCATACCAGCCCACTGTTCGTTTCCAGAGGGAACAATATTCGAGGCCGGGATGACGAAACCATTGCTGCTGGAAGACGAAGGCCTCATCTCAATCGACCAAGAAAAGTCTGCACCCAGCACTGCTGACACGTAATCCAAGCTACCACCGTTAACCTGGTAAATGGTTGAGCAAGTTGGTCCGTATGTGAATGTGAGCCCGTTCACGGCCCTAATAGCGGAAGCCACGCCTGACGCAGCGGCCATTTGCGTCGAGTGGTTGGGAGCAGTGGCGCTGCAGCTGTAACCGTAGGGCAAGAGAACGAGCTGGCTGTATGAGTGCCAGTCCAGGTAGAACTTGACACCGCGAGCGTTGTTGAGGGACACAAGCTGGGCAAGAAGGGCCTTGTTCTCGGGAGTATCACCCTGTGCAGCGCCGCGGTAGACCTCGGAGCAAGCGGAGGAGGAGGAGCCAGAGCCAGTCCACTGGTAAGGCCAGTTTCGGTTAATATCGGTGCCCACGCAAGATACGCCGCTACGTGTCTGACGGTTCTTTCTCCAGAGACGTTCCGTGCTTGTGTAGACGAAGCCTATAAAATGATCAGTATCCGATATTCAAGTATACTCCGATGAGCGAATTAACATACCGTCAGGGTTGACAATAGGGGTGATGTAAAAGTCGTAGTTGTTCAGGGCAGTGACGACGGTTGAGTCGCCAGCAAGATATTGCTCAACAATCTTGTACGCCAAATACTCGACAGTCTATATTTCATTGGTAAATAAACACTCAAAAAGTTGGGAGAGCCAGGGGGGAATAGAAACATACCACACCAGTAATCCATTCACGAGCATGGACATTACCGTGCCAAACAATCGCCGGCTTGGAACCTGAGCCGCCTGTACCCCAAAGATGGATTCCCTGGATGGCACGACCCTCAAAGGAGTTACCGACGGAATAGATCGCCGAGTTACTAGGGAAGGCAGCCTGGAGATCAACAAGGAACTGGTTGTGCTCGGCAAGCGTGTGGTACGCGTTGAAGTAAGTGATGGATGGGAGGGCAGCAGCCTCCAAGTCATCAGTCTTGACAGTGGCTAAAGAATTAAGAACATGTTAGTCTGTTATGCTTAAATAGCAGAATATTTGGTGGGTCAAGGCAGAAATAATGAAAAATGGAAAGAAATCGAAATACCGACCTTCATAGGGTTCATGAGTCTCAACCTCGAGATCAGCAGCCAAGTTTTCAGTCAAGACGGTGGTGGTCAGACCAAGAGCCTCAAAGGCATCAAACTTCTCCGGGGCTACAGCTACAGTGACAGCACTGTATCCCTTGTCAATGTTGAGGAGAGTACCGATGTCCGTGAGGGCAGGCTCAATCGCCTCATAGGTGCCCTCAGTCTCAACGCGAAAGATTTTCCATCCCTCGTAGGTGACCTTGGCGGTTGCGAGCGGCAGCAATGCCGTGATGATAGAGAGAAACTTCATGATTGGGGATTGCCAACCAGGGATGATCAGAGTGAATAGAGAGGGGGATGCAGAGAGAGGGGAAAGACAGCTGGTAACCCGATGCGAGGCTCCCCTTTAAGTATGTGATTTCCCCGCAGCGAAAAGCCAGTGACGAGTCCCGACGCAAGGCATCATTCTCGAAAGCCCAATGCTTCCTCGCTTATGCAAACCTCCCAGCTTGTGGTTCTTGCCCAACAAATATCGCATAGCGTTGTATTCACTTAAACCACAAGTGAACTTTCGGGCATCGGCTGATCAAAAGTGCATCGCTTGTTCAACTTTACTCGTTAGGTGACATCCAGTCTTGTTCCAATCAAGCTTGACATGCAACGCTGTAAGAGAGTCTCCGGGGATTACGTAGCACTCTCAAAGGGCCAGGGTGCTCACCTGCCTCATTGGGGAGCTTTGCACAGCGCCTGAGCAGGCGACTGATGGCGTTCTAGATTCTGCCTACATCGAAGGTGAAATAACCCCGCTGTAGGTCACTGATATCAATTGCCGGCATGATTGGACCTTGCCGTCCCTACCAACTCAGGTGCCAGGGGTTGTGCCGATCAGCCAGTGCTTGACAGCCGAGCTGCCAAATGAGAATGGCGTATGAGCTTCGACAAAGGTGCCTTGCATGAATCTAGAAGAGGAAAGTCGGTCAACTGTGCATCGTGGAAAGCCTGATATTTCGTCCTTGGATGAGGTGTTAGTCACCGATCAGATAAGCTCCGAGGGCATTTCATAACTTATTGTTACCCCGAATCGTTAGGTAGGATTATAAAGAGAATTAGTTAACAATATTGAAGCACGGCGATACAAGCTTCCCATTCCGTCAGCATTCTAACGCGTTTCCCGCATTTATAGAGCGCGTATCGTCTTATACTACACAGTCCGTCAAAATTCTCGGATTTGGAAAATTCTTCATCCTATCTCGTCTGTCATTTAACTTCTATCTAGCAACAAAGGTGAAATGTCCCGGTCAAAGCCGCGGCATATAATGCCACAACACTAGAAGACTTCTATGAAGGCTCATGCGCCTGCAGCACTTGCAGAACACACTAATGTTCCTGAATAATATAGCAAAATGGGATAAACAGGATTATGATGCTTGCATCAGTAGCTTGTTAGAAGCCTTGTCAATGACACCAGGCGTGGAGAAGTGGATTGATAGACCGAACTTGGCTGTGGGGATGATTAAGGGTATGCTTAACAATAAGCATCTTATCTCCGCAAACAAGCTTGCATCTAGTGATTGTCGCAAGGTAGGGATGACGGACGAGGTTGATCGGCATACTTCGATCAGCGGAAGCTACAAAATTCTCTTGCGGTCTCAAATGGATTATTCTTTCTCAAAGACGCCTATGTGCCCTCAGAGAAAAGCCCTGCCGCAAGAGCTTATATGATAACTTGTATTTCTACCATTAAAGTAGATAAACAGTATGTTATTGACCCACTCTCTATGTCTAGAGCTGATTTATTCTTCAAATATGTTGAGGACGCATCTTTTAAGCTCTAAATCATACTCATGTTTTAAACAAAACAAACCACAGACTGCCTGGTTTGAATATACAGTGTAAAAAAAAGCGCGGTGTCAGAACTCTGAGCTCTCCGTTCAGAATATAGTTTGACCAAAGCCAAACATGGCCTTGAGGTGCTGTTCCTTCATTATTTGTCTCGTTTCTAGGTTCTGCGGCTCTGTTCGGTTGGGCGCGTGGTCAGCTCAGCAACACCCAAACGTCCAGAAGGTTTCTCTCAAGATATCAGTAGAGAGGCCAACTCAGTCTACGAAGCCATGCCGTAGTGGAAGAAGCAGGGCTTGCACCAACCCTAGGGTGAAAGTAGTTGCGGCTTCTTATGTACGGCCTAGTGATGCTATGAGCACCGGCATAGCAACCAATAAAGACTAACAGCTACAACCATAACTCAAAAGGCTAATAAATGACCAGGCCCTGCCTAATTCCGATCCCACATAGGGATATCCAAAAGTCTATGGTATTCATAGACGGCTCCCACAGCCATCTACCCCTCTTGCTAGAGGGACTTCAGATGGGGTGCAAGAGGCCGCTACTAGATGCCTGTCGTCTGAGACAAGGAGTCGGGAGTCTAAATACCCATATCCTTCTCATCGGCAAAGCGGCACACAAGTTCAGCTCTCGAGTACTCTGACCTATTGGAACAGATGATGAAGTAGTCTACGATCCCTGCGTAAATCACAAGGCCAATGGCAACTATCATCACGGCTTGTCTCCATAAAGAAAGGCGGAATACAAGCAGCGCCAAAAACAAGAGTAGCTGTGGCGCAAAGACGGGTCACGCGTACAGCCAAGTTACTAACCTAGGTAATTCTCAGCTATATACAAATATATGACATATATTGCATGTGGTTTTCATACACGGTTTGCTATCTGCAAGTCTAGAACCATGAAAATAACTCGGGGGTACGCTCGAGCCGTTCATTCTGTTTGTGAGCTCTCTAATCAATATTGACATAATAGCGCGGGATTAATACATTTTATCCACCGTCCTTAACAAAACAATGCAATGCAATGACGTGTAAGTAGGTAAGATCCCTTTATCTTCTCGAGGCGTCCCTCAAGAGCGTCCCTCCAGGCTCTTACATTCAAAGCCCGAGTTCAAAAATACCATCCTATCCACAATCCTTTCAGTTCCTCAACATGCTCTTAGGCGCCCCGGCTTTTTTCTTTTTTTTGCCTGTTCTCTTCCAGGGATTGACCATCATTGCATCGCCCTGCCATAGTACAACCGATTGCTCAAGCGTGAGAAAGAGTCCCATCACATATATAACCTGATGAGATCTCGAATATAAAGAAAAAACAGCAATAAAAGATGCCAGACCTGATATCTTAATATAATTAGATATAAATGGTCTAAGAGTAAGCTCTATTAGTCTGAGGCTATAGCTGTGCACATATCTAATTTTCGGGAACCGCGATCTTGGTTTTTTGATGCTCCAATAGAGCACTCAAAACAGGGTAAATCATTGCCATCTTGTGACCGGGTGGGTTCTCGCCTCGTGGTTGTTGATTGCCGATGACGACATCTTGACGGGTGGATAGAATATGCTCTTGCCACTGTATGAGGAAGTCTAGGCAAAACATAGCGCTCTGAGGAGCCCTTAGGGGTCTACTGGCGAGTGGTCTGGTAATTATCCAGTCTCCTCCAGCTCAGTAGATACGGATGAGAGAGTTTAGGTATAAAGTTGAACAACAATAGAAGATGCCAGAACCTGACACCTCAACACAATATCAGCTCAGTAGATATTCGTCCAATTCAAGCTTGGTAAGAAAATGTACTTTAGGCTTTAATTAAGATCTTTCCATTTCCACATTTTCCACGCGTGAAGTCATTGCATCTCGACATTACAGACCTTGATGACAAATTATTATATTCCGCATCTCGAGGATTTATGGATGAAATTCTCCCCAGAGTGAGACTGAAGTGTATATGTAACTTCCTGAGTGAATGCTACTACTTGCCCCAGTAAAGATAGAGGTCTTCTTCCCTCATGAGGTACCAACACTTACAAACTTCTTTATGGCGCTTTGAAACTCAGCCATCTCAGGGGTAATCAGATCGACCACTCAGGCAGATTGGCAGATGGTACGATGGCAAACTATATCGATTATAGCGCCTAAGTAGTATTTTCATGAAGGCGCAGAGAGCCTTTCAATTTTGCCCTTTTTGTAGATCAAACGAAGCCATTATCACTCGGGCTTCTCAGATCGACACAAGAATTTCAAATCCATCTGAGCGGCAGCAAATTAAGCCATCCAGCACTCCTTCTTGTAGTCAGTTTAGCGAAAACCATTTCCCTCAAAACCAAGCGATCCAGTTGAGCAAACTCCATAGATAGAATTGATAGGCACAAAAACCTATCTCTCCTGCCATGTTCTGGTTCGTGAATCGTAATAAGTTGCGCGGCATAGCCACTTCAAGTTCTAGAATCAAATATAGTGCTTCTTTTTTTTTTTTCTCCCCCTTTTATGTTCAGATTATACTTTAATTTTAAAATTTAAATTTTTTTTTTTTTTTCCTTTTTTCTTTTTTCTTTTTTTTAAAAAATATTATCAAGATTTCTGTTTCTCCCATTCCTTTGACACGCTCAGGCAATACGGCTTAAGACCGAGATTTTCTTGATCAGATTCACCAAGCCTGTCGTCATTGTCAGTTGGTGAGTTCTTAGAGTGGATTGGATGGGAAAATTTAAGATTCTTTGGAAGATCATTTAGAACTGCGAGTCACTGCTATGGAATTGTCCAGTTCTCTTCAATTACTGCCTTGCCTGAGAGGTATAGGGTAGCTCTGTCAATAACTTCGTCAGGCAACAGCTCAGCTCCCACTTCTTAATTGCATACCCAGCATCCCATCGCAAATAAATTCTTAGCTGGGATGAGTAGGATAAATACAAATACTTAGAGGAAAGGTGATAAATTTGGTTGCACCACGAATGGGGCAGGGCTCACGCCAAGGCCTGCGAACTGATGAGATGAAGGCCGAGGGTCATTGAGGGGCGTCACGTGTGTCTGTACAGTGTACGAATTCGTCCTGTCTGCACGGCGCGGAGACAGGCCTGAGGTGCGGGAATGGCCCTCAGCGCTGCATACTAACATGGATGTATTCTAAGAAGCGGTGCTACCGGTAGGGTTTGCTATTCGTTGCGATGGACAGGGGCAGCTTGGGGGGCTCCCGACTTTGTTGGTGCAGTCTTGCATTAGTGTGGCACTGATCTCTGGCTACGCCACGTTACTGACACGGTCTTCTCTCTTTTACGATCATCTGGTACTGGGAGAGGGAATTGGGGTTGTAGCAGCTTAGCTCCTTCGAAAGGGATGACGATATTGCGTAAATGCACAAAGGCTCGTCCCAATAGATGCATTGGGAGAACATAAGTACGGGCCCACGAGGGAGGTGAAATTATAATACCAGAGAGAACCATGAATCGATGTACGTACGTAGGATCAAGCTACACTGGTGCACTTGCCGGTCTGTTCCAATGCACACATGGCCAGTTGGTTGCTGACAGTTCCTCGAGGACTTATTCGGGAGTGGGATCCACGAGAAGGGGCGCGGGACGGTACATTGTTTCGTGGGCGACTTGGTGGTAATAACAGGTACCCGGTCCCCGATGCTGCGCTCCGAGGAACTACCGGTAGGTACCGAGCAGCAGCAACCAAGAGATTTGCGTCAGCCCATGCCAGCTTCGTCGTTCCCCCAATCAGCATCACATTCGCATATGCCTCTTGCATGGGATCCTCTTCGGCCCTGTGCTGGGAGCTGCAGTCGCTTTGATCTCCCTCATAGATGCAACCAGCCTACTATCAGCGGCTTGCGTGCCAAGCTTTGATACCCTGCATCTGCAGATGGATGGGGAGCAGATTGAAGGCTCCAGGTGCGGAGTAGACATCCTATTCAGTCCAGTGCGTCAGAGACGAGAGGGGACGGACCCCAACAGAACCCCGTTACCCACTTTTGTTCCCGAAGGCGTTGGCTCTCTGTCGTTTGGCTGACCAATTTTGCACATGGCCGCCTGACGGCAGGTCACAGCTTTCAATTACGATGCTAGTGATTGATGGCCCGTGCGTCTCCGCAATAATGGCCAAGGCGCTTGCTCCATCAAATACAGCCCAGGCCCCTTGGTATGCCTTTGCTCCCTGGGATGCTTTGATTGGCTGTTTCGTCATTTCGTGGGCTCCCACCCACGGGATCCAAGGGTGGTTGCAGCGGCTTTTCACCGGTCCTCTGCACATCATTGCCCCAGGCACTTAGGTACCTTGGGTACCTACCGACATGGAGAGCGTAGATCCATACCTACAGTGCGCACCACCCATGGCACATTCATCCTCCTGGCCAGTGTCTGCCTTCTTCCTTCTCCCAGACATCACCTACAGCTTTTGTCGCCATGTTGTATAAATATGTTCCACGCCCCGGCAATCCAAGCAGAATATGCTCACTTCCACTGCTCCATTCATCCCTCCTCTTCTTTCGAAATACTTTGCTATTCTGAATAAATCTTGCTTGTCGTTTCTCTATCCAATACTTGCTACACCTGAACCCAGCCGCCCAGTCGCAGCCATGTCTGGCAAACCAAATACTCAGCACCCGGGTCATGACCATAAAACCCCTCCTCAGATTCACCATTGGCTATCCCAGTCAGCCGCCAAAGACCCCTTCACCCTTCACCAGAGTCAAGAGGCAAAGAAGAAGAGTGTCATGCAGCTACTTGAACACATCCAAGCCAAGCTACCTCCTTCCACACCAGACTTGACAACACCTCACGATATAAACACATCAGTCATGAGCACATCTTGCCTTCACACCAACAAGGGTGAGGCTTCGGTTGATCTACTCTCAATGGGGACTCAGTTCTCCAACGCATCAGCTCCGCCCCCTAGCCACATAGACCCTTTGGATCTTGCATCGTTAGGGCCTCTGCCATGTCCCAAGAAGGGGAAGCTTTAGGCATCGTGTATATATAAAGAGGACTCGTGTTTCTCTTTCTGTCCGGGTTAGTACGGAGTACGTAATGATTATGAATTAATACATCAAATGAGCTTCATCGTCTCCAAACTCCGTCGGCAGCAACTATTAAGCAGACGCAGTCACCCATTGTCTCGTCATCTCCAACGTAGCAGCCTCTTGGCCTTGTGACGGAGACCTTTCTTCTTCTCTTCTCTCTCGCCGCCTAGACTCCCTTGTAGAGACGCTCGCTCCACACGTAGATTCTCTCGTGCAGCCGTCAGTTGTAGGGACGCGAGCTGCATCGATTGTCTCTCTGATTCGCTTTCAGTCGGCATATGTAGCCCTTCCCCCCTCCTACCCCGCCCTTCTTCTCTGCCTCCTTGAAATGATATAGGTGGCGCGTATGTTTCTCTTGGGGGCAAAGGTCCGAATTGCTGTGGTGCTGTATTTCTTAGGGAGACCTGGCAACCTCGAGCTGCACAGATCTCCAGCAGTGACCCCACGTCGTAGCCCTCGTGGTGAAATTTATCCACCCACATTCTCATCGTCGGGCGATCATCAGGTCTGATGTTTGCTCCGGCCTTGAGTAGGATCCCGATTACTTGGTACCTCCACTCGTCCGCGCTCCCTATGCTCGTCGTTGACGTCAGGATATACTCTGGCCTCATAACCCAGCTCAGGGGCGAGTCACCGGCTGTTTTGTAGCAATTTGGATCCGCCCCGTGCCGAATCAATTCAGCTGCCAGCACAGGAGGGGCCGTCGCGAGTGCTGTCGTCTCGCCCCTGGCGCCGAATCTCTTAAAGATGTTGGGATCTTGCCCGTGACTCAAGACCAACTCCACCAATTGGCAGAGTGCTGACAACGGAATTCGGTCTCCAACCTCGTCTGCTTCCACACTCAGATCCCATATCCGGGTGACAAGCGCGTGGAAGAAGTCTCGGTCTCGGTTGGGGTCGAAGCCGTTATCTAGTAGTAGTTTGGCCATTTCCATGTATCGTTCTTGGAACCTCTCTTGACCCCCTGCAAAGAAGAGGTTATACAATAGAGGACAGTAGGATACCTCGGCGGGAATATTACCTAAGGCGCCAGGGTTCTTCTCTAGCCACCTCTTGAGACAAAGGGCTAAGCCATGGAATGAAGCATAGACAGGAATCGAAGGGACGTCTGGGTGAGGTGGAAAATAATTTGTTTTGGTCGCCAGGATGTATAACTCGTCCTGCGGCACACTTTCAAGAAAGGGAAGCTGGCTCTGCCCAGTCGTGAGCTCCGACTGCTGAGAATGGTACTGTGTAGAGTTCTCCGGGGGCATGTACTGAGAATACCGAATGTTTTTAACATCCGTCGCAATCAGGTACTTCACATGATACGAATGCCCATTCTCCGCCACTACGGTAGCCAGGTTGCCCAGCACTGCGCGCTTAAACGACACGCTCAGCACAAACTCTAGAACCGTTTGGTGCATCAGCTGGACCTGATTGCCTTGAATTTCGACTAGGCCGCCCCCCCATGCCAAAATGTCCGATTGCATGTCGCTCGTGTATTCCCCTCTGAAAAAGATCTGGGAGTGGACTTCTAAGTGGCCGATGGCAGTTTCTAGCGTGACAGATCTCGATATCTGCACGGCTAGCCATATGGCACGGACGGTTTGGGGGTTGTCCTGACGGATGATGAGTTCCAGGAGCGCAAAGGTCTTTCGGCGGTGGGTCACCGCGATCCGCTCCACGATGAGCTCGTAGAAGGAGTGGAGGTCGTCGGGGAGCTCGAGCAGTAGCTTCTCCATGTCTTTGGTGGAGTGGCTGCTGTCCTCGTTGGCACAGACGTTGATGATTTCGGTTACCGCAAGTCGGACCCAGACGAAGACGCCGCTTGCTTTCGCGACAATCACGGGTACGAGAGAGAGAATGTCGCCCGTTGGATCCGTAGAGCCGCCTAGTCTCCCAGCGGCGTATATCTCAATATCCTGCTGCGTGTGGTCCTGCAGCGACAGCCCGGGAGAATCGGAGAACTGTTGTATCAGAGCCTTCCAAGGCCGGCTGGAGAAACATATCTTTACACGAACATTTGACGTGGACGCTTGCACCAAGTTATGCAGGAACTGACTTATCATGTCCGTGTGGCCGTCGTACTCGTCGAGAGCATCGAAGAATAAAACAACATCCATCTTGACAACATCTTGATATAGTAAGAGGCGGAGAGTCCGCTCTAGGCGAGGGATCAGCCCTTCTGTAGAGTTGTGATACTCTGCGACCACCCGGATGAGATACTGGGTAGTCGGTAGGTTCTGAAACGGCCTAAAGTCGGCAAGAATCCGCGACAGAGTCGTCCGGCAGTTGTAGAGGTTCCCCTCTTCCTTCCTGAGCTTTGATTCTACTTGTCGTGGCGACATCGACTTTGGCCCCAAGTCTGGAAGGTCCATCATCCTTCTCAACTTTGCAATCTCCTTGAGTGTCTTGGTCTCCAGCTCGTCGATGGACTCGAACTCTCCCCATCGCTTCCTAAAACTGTCCATTTGGTTAAAGATCTGCAGGATAAGGCTCCTCAACAGCCCCTCGAACGATTTCTGCAGCGGCGTCCCTCGATAGTGGAAGAAGAACCCAGCTTGAAGCTCCTTGACCTCTGTCGTGCTCCGTGTCCAGCTGTGCAATAGTTGCCACGTCGTCTGGCTCTGGTAGATGTACTTCATCAGGGTCGATTTGCCCGACCCTGGCTTGCCGTTGATCCAGAATAGGCCTGAGCCGGCTTGGAGCCAGTTGCAGAAAGAGGGCAGCTCGAAAATCCAACTGAAGGTGTTTTCGTAGGGATCTTCGATCTGGTCGACGCGAGTGTGGAGTTCTCGCGAAGATAGTTCGTTGTACATCTCTAAATAGCCACAAGCATCACTTAGAAGTGCCATCATTTTGTTGGAATCTACTTACTATTTTCGAGGGACAGATACTTGCGTAGCAGTCGAAAAGTTTCTTGTTCACTTGCCGACATGGGCTTGTGTACTTTCAGCTCTGTATCTTCGGTCTCTACCTCAACTTGTACCCCCGAGAGCATCCCGCTTCTATGGTCCTGCTGGTCACAGAGCTCAGCGAGGATAAGCAAGATGGTCTCCAGATCTCTGTCTCCGCTGGAGAACTTGACCATGCCGGAATGATCCTTATCAATCGGAATCGTCATGATCTTGTTCTTAGTATTACGGTATGAAGTTGCCGAGTCGGGGTTGACTAATACCTCAGAGGGTCCGTTTTTCGTCCACGTCCCATCTGGTTGCAGCTGTGCGAAATAATTAGCTGAGACCAAGGGAATTACGGGAGGACGGGTGTGTTCCTTGATACTTACAGCTGCGGTTACGGACTCCTTGGTCTCATAGGCCCAGTAGATAGTAGCTCGTTTCAGAAAGGCCAGACCGTCGAATCGCGTATTGAGATCACGCAAGTATGCGCTCCCATTGTCGCGTGACAAATCCTGAACCAGAATCTCATTGGGCCGCCCTTCGGTCATCATCATCAGATGCGACTGATGCATTCCCAAGCTGGGGACCCCGAACATGATTGCCCCCTTCACCTTGTCCAGGATAGACGCATAGAGCTGGAGGCCTGCAATCTGCAAGATGGCGTCCTTGAGCACGATACCGCCCAGGCTATGAGCCAGGAAGACGATTGGTTTTGATGACGGGAGACTCCAGCCGCCGTATTTGAGCTGGTGTATCAGGCCAAGTGAGATATCGCTGATCTTTTGGAAGGATTCGCTCTTTATCAACTGAGAGTCGTAGCCATACAGAAGCATCCGGGTCCCAGATATCAGCCTCGAAGCTTCATCCCTGATCCACATAAAAGTCTTGTCGTCCCCGTGAGGCTGCCAGGATCCGAAGGGATGACTTGCTAAGCCGGAGATGGCAATGCAGCTGAATGGATAATCGTGCTTAGCATATGCACAAGCAGTTTGGAAATGGTCAGGGCATACTCGGTATGGTGCGAACTGGCGTCAACGTGATTAAGAACCGTCATCCCCAAGAAGTGGGTATCAAGCAGTAGATGATCCAGCGTGTTGGGGAGGGGAATCTTCCACTCATCCTTGCCGTCATCGAGCTGCAACGAGCTGGGCGAGCTCTTGAGCTGGAGCGTCGCGACTTTCGAAGGAGGAGACTCGAGACGATTGAACGTATGGGCTACCGAGTAGACAACCACGTCGTCAGGCGGGATGTCGAGCGCATCACCAAGCAACCGGGCCGCCTCCGTCGCGTCGGTGATGTGGTGAGGCAGCCTCCGCAGCCGGTACACCCTGGCGGCCCAGTTCGGCGGACTCATTCTTGACTAAGCCAGCGGGAATCGCTGCTGTTGTGTCCGTGTCTCCGTCCCGGGCGTCTGAATCGTTCATGCATGGATTGAATGCGCGCATCCAGGTTATGCAGGCTGAATATCTCAGCTGACCCCTTTCTTGCATCTTGATGACTAAGGATATAGGAACACCCCTGCAACGAATCCCAGTAAAGGATTGATTCTTTTTTTTTTCACTGATAAGATCTACAAATGAGTTGTTTGCTGGACAATATTTGCTTCAGACTTTTCACGCTCATATGATTCCGTGGGTGCTCAAACCTTTTTGCCAGAAGTCCCGATGAACTCCATGCATGAGGCGTGGGAGTATATCGACGAGATGCGCATTGAACAAACGAGGCCTTTTTATTCGCTACAATGGTGGGTCAGCTTGTTTTTTTTTACTATAAATAGTCATCTTCATGCTCATTCACTTGGCCCGGTAGGTTCTAGTTACTCCATAGGGGATAGATTACATCTGGGCAAGATAGCTAACAAGCGGACTTCGGAGCTTGTTACTTCGAAGAGCAAGACAGTTGAGGCCAAAAAGGTTCAGATAGAGGACATAACTCTCTGCGAGGACGGTGTGAGCCCCTCGCAGCATGATTAAATGATGCCAGCGTGGCCCGAGGCAGATGTTCGTAGATAATGTGAAATCTTTAATTAGGAATTCGTGAGCTGTCTGGTATAGGAAGTAGACGTAGCCCTGGTCGATTGACAAAAACAACCCACACAAGTACCGGAGGCGTGACTGAAACTGGGTGTCATCCTCCAAGTTCAGGGAAATCGTGCTTATCAATATGGAGAATAATCCTCCGTAAGTGTTGGTATTACTGAGTCAACGCTAAGAATAATCAACCATGTACAGATCAATCGCAAGTCACAAGAGCAACGTGATTAGCTCATCTATAAGAAAAACACTAATAATGGTAGCCTCCTATAACAGGCAACAGGCATAACTTGATGTAAGGTGGGCCCGTCCAGCAGCCTTGTCGACGAGAAGCTGCTATATCCCGTTGTAATTATCTGTCTTGCTGCAGCGCTTTTCGCCAGCTACAAACAATTAAAAGGCCCCAAGGCTTGCCTGGGTCGGGGAAGGTCTCTTTTTGCATGGCCGCTTTGTCCTCGTCGTCGTGGGCGTAGATGACGGAGTTCCAACTGGGTCATCAAAAGAAGTTGGCGATGAAATAGGCGTGGGGCTACTGGAATTGATTGGGGTCGTGACAGAGGTGACCGTAGAGTCGAAATTCAAGGAGTCGTTTGGAGTAGCTGCAGTAACTGTCGAGTAAGCAGAATAGGACGGCGTGACGCTAGGCGTTGTAGGAGTTGAGGCTATACTAGAAGCTTCGGTATTGGAAGTCTCCGTGCTAGGGGAATTGTTAGAGGGAGTACTGGAGGGAGTACTGGAAACCTCAGTGGTTAAGATCTCAGTGCTCGATAGTGTGCTAGAAACCTCAGCACTAGATGGAGTACTAGTCGGAGTACTGGAGGGAGTGCTGGAGATCTCGGTGCCGGATGGAGTAGTAGAGGGAGTACTAGAGACCGTACTGCTGGAGGGAGTGGTAGAAACATCCGAAGTTGAGGTAGTGCTGGGAATACTAGTGTTGGGGGGGCACTCGAGACCTCGCTGGTTGAAATGGAGCTGGAGACAGTGCTGGAAACCTGGGTGCTGGAAACCTGAGTGCTGGAGATCTGTGTGCTGGGAACTTCAGTGCTAGAGGGTTGTGTGCAAACAAGAGCCGATGCCCCTAGGAAGATGTTGTCAAAACGCATCTGGATCCCTGGCGCTGTACTCGTCACGGAGCAGGTTCCGAAAATCTGGAGGCTGAACGCAGATGCAGGGGCGACAAAGGAAGCCTGTGCGATCGTCCATGGCTGAGCACCTTTAAAAAGGGTTGGCGACTCGGTCAGGAGTGTCGTGGAGACGACGGATGCTGTGATGGCAGCGCGTATGGTGCAAGACGTAGATGCTACTGTCGAGGTCTGAGGTATAAAGCCTTGGTAATTGATCGATAGGGCGTACTCTGTTCCAGCGGTCGCTCCAGAGATGGACTGCAAGATAGATCGGCTGGTTATGCTCGCCAGAAATCTCCTGTAATCTCGACAGTAGCCAGCGAGAGACCTGGTGAGATATGCTTCTCATGGCGTACTAGAATGGGCCATTTGTGCCATCTGCCTGTTCTCCAGTCTGGACGACGCCCCCTGCACCCGTTGGAATCTGATTCCATCGGCTCGTGCCTGAGCCGAAGCCTGGATTTGTCACGAAGTTGAGGCCGCGGACAGTCACGCAGACGGGGTCCAAAGCTAAAGTCGAGCCAAAAAGGGTTGCTGAAATCAGGGTCGCTGCCCGTGATAGAGAAACCATGGTAAGTGGACGTAGCTACCCACGGGCTGAACGAAAAATGAAAGAAGGAGACAGTGCGGCAGGCATTGGCTTTGGATGGGTGCCACGATCCCTTATATGATTACATGCTGCATGGACGTTGAGAGAAGCTGTGGATTATTGCATCTCGTGCTATCTTAGTTTGATCCTCTAGTTAGCGGCTGAGCAACTAGTCGAAGCAAATATTGGTATTAGCCTCATACACAGCTTGTACGGCGGTTTATTGTAGAGCACGACCTAGACTGGTATGGTCCAGCTTTGTGCCCCCATTGTTTTGCAGACAATCCCGAACAACCTTGGATCAGCCACCCGTCTTTACTTGTTAAGTTTCAGTTAGCGGCCAAGAACATGCAAACAGGTTGAATGTACCAAACATCAGCATATCTCGCTCAGGGTTGACCTCAGTCTTCTCGTTGTTCCCTCAACCCATGCATAAACACACAGCTAGCTCTCGATCGCCTAATTAATCATACACACCACTCTCAGTATCTCTCCATTCTATGCTATTCAAAGCTACAAATTCACAGATTGTCAAGTTAACTATGATTAATTAGTTTCTTTTCATTATGCATGATCTGTTATACTAGAAATCTCCGGTAACCTTTTAGTTGTCATCATCTCAAAAGATTAGTATCACCCATTCTACCCGCGACAGCAGCCATTCTCCACCAAGCGTCAGGCCGGAGTACCGAAAGCTGAAGGATCATGTTTGGTTATAGAAAAGACGACAAAGATAACTATATAATGTTGTAACTGGCAAACCCAATTTAATTAAAACCGAAACCTTGAGTGGCTTACGTTCTTATCTCACACATCCAGGTGACAGAAGGCGTGAACATCTTAACATCCTCCTTAGCCGTCTCGTTCAGTGGATTGTTGCATCTTGCGTTGCTTTTTTCAAAGTTTCTATCAGTTTGCTTAGACGAGAATCAACGTGACTGGTGTTGCACGTGCTTCTCAAAGAGCAGGGTTTCAATTTGCACTTGATCCATAAGTGGCTCCTCGCATCAGACTCCTTTTCTATTTCGATATTGGACCGTTGCGTTTATATAGAGCCTAATTATATTGATACCTCTGAACAATCACTCCTCGATGGCCGAGAAAATCATTTGCACGGTGTTGTTCATCCCAGAATGTTCGCTATGGCTTGATAGCCGATGCATTCCTCGAGAGGGCTGTCAGGATCGTTTTTGGCATGATAGATCTACTGCCACATCTCCGATGAATCTCAGACGGAATGATGAGACATATGGGGTCTAGTCAGCCCTGGTACAGGTGGAAAGATTATCTCACTCTCACTAGCATTACAGATGGCATTACCCTCGACGGGTTGAATGCAAAGGCTAATTCGTGCTTTGTTGTTACAGAGAGTATCGGATGATCCAGGCCCTCACCTAGACACAGATCTTGTTAACGTGATATTACTGGACTACCCCATTTTTTTACGCGCATCAGTGAAATTCCGACGATGCCATTTTACGTTCCTGGCGCTCTTCAACACGTTCGTTCGAAACAAAGAATAAGGCGCATTGTATGACGGCACTGAATATATACGACTTTATCCTAGCAACTCTAGTCACGAATGGAATCTCTTTGTCATTGCTTCTCATCAAATCCCAGCACACTGTATATTGGAATATAGCTACGTGGGGTTTTACGATCTTACCTTACCAGGTCATAAATTAAAGGGCGCCCGAAGCAGATCAAGTCAAATTTCCCCGATTGCAAAATTTGGTTCGCTTCGGCAACCTATACAATTAGTTAACCATAATTAGTTTCCAGCTCCCTTCGGACTTCATAAGCCTCTAAACTCGTGGAGGGCTTATAGACATCCAGTAAACTTGGTCCTTCAGGGCCAGGTTTGGATTTGAAGTAATCACCCTAATCTTGGTCAATCGCGCAACCTTAGCGTGACAGGTCGATAAATGCAATTTCGTATGAAGTAGCCGCACGTCTTAGACATCTGTTTGCAAGAGAAAGATGAGTTGTTGTAGTCGCCAGAGGGGCATCTCTTGATCTGACTACCTCCTCTACACCAGCCATCAACGTCAGACGTAAACCCAACGTACTACACGTCCAACAAGTGTGTCTTAACCTAAGATAACAGTTCAATTTTGTCAGATTCTCGCTTCTTTGACCAGTTTTCTCATCATTTCGATACTGGTTAATGATTTCTATGGCGTCTTCGATCGTTACTATATCATTCGTACGGCCCTTACAATATGCAGCTGCTGGTTAATTATCTTCTGTAAAAGAACCAGATATCAAGGCAACAAAAGCTCAAGGGTATTCCAAATAATGGGTTTTCCTATCTTCTTGCTACTTGGGCATCAGTCTAACTCCAAGAGAATTTAATCGCACAGTCGATGAAGGCATATTTGTATGTTCCAGCAAACGGGTAGCTTGTCTTTCAAGGAGTCTGATGTTTTACATATGGCGGCGGGCTGTCTGATGCTACGGCAGAGACCTACAATAGCACACTTATGTCAAGGCCAATTACGATCCAAATGCCCGATGGACCACAAAGCCTATCCAGGATATGCCCTTTCAAATGCACGCGGTGAGCAGGAAGCCTGGACATGGGTACGGCGGCGGAAACCAGATTTCGTTTTCAACATAAAGCTTCCCACCTCGATTGTATGGAGACCAAAATCGTATCCTTGAAATATGTCATCCTATCTTGCATTAGGCTGGGATATCTTTCATTCCAACTTCTCAAGCTCTACCATGAGTTGGATTCGTGAGCTGCTCAAAGAAAGCATAGCCTTTTCTTTTGGTTCTGTGCAAGTACGTTTCCATGTTCCAAGTATGCGCTTAGAAATGACCCGGCTTGGCTGGCGACAAACAAGACGGTTGATCAATGTAGTAGCTACGCCTTGCCTTCACTGAATCACTCTTCTCAGGCTTGAGGTATCGCCCTAGCGCATGTTTGCTTTTGGTAGGCCTGTCAGCATCGGAGTAATGTTCAACAAGCCCCAGAGCTCGAATCATATAATTCAGCCGTCACTGAAGCGCCTGAATCTGACTTCAGAGGTATCTTTTGCTGATGAAGTGAAAAACTTGTTGCGGAGCCATTTCGGTCAAGGCGATTGGACAAGCATGAGATTAAGTTTGCGAGAGGGCATCGAAGATGTTAGAATGTTCACAGTATTACGTTTAGGACGGGCCGCTTTTAAGCATGTATGAAGGTAAATGTGCCTGGGACAATGAAATCATAATGTCACATGGGAGGCTGGAAAAGGTTACAGGCGCTGCGGGTCAATAATAGTGTAAGCAAGGTGCTGTTTCACAATCCAATTTCCGGCCATTCTCTCTCCTTTACCGGGCTTGGGCTGCCTGCCGAGACATTATGAGCATTCATGTCGATTCATTTGTTCAGGTAGCGCTAGGTGGCCATTTGTTTGCCCATGAAAGGGTATAGAGAGGCCAGATATCAGAACCCAAGCTTTCGACTTTCCCAGCCTTTTCCTTATCAGTGTCGGTTATTGCTCTGCTAGAGGGATCCTTGGCACATTTAAGCATCCTGGTCAGCTCAGCAAACCAGCCAATAGCAGTGTCTGGATTACTACAGACCATCATCCAGCTCCACTACCCGAGGCACGGAAACGCCGTTGGATTCTGATGCCGCGGTCTCCCCAGACTCTAGCTAACTTTCCCCGGACGCACATGGACAGATCTCACAGTTTGGCTCCGTCTGAGGATGGGGGTTCGTGCTCTGCTCCCCATTCCTCTAGCGGCGGCTGTGTGAGCTAACTCTGGATCAACAAAACCCTCCCTCTCCTCCCTTGAGCTTGGATCACTTTCTCTCGACCATCACCCGACGAAGCTCCCCCCTCCCAAAACCCCATCACCGCTGCCATCAGCCAACATGGCATCCACGAAGACCTTCACCCGCGAAGAGGTCCGCTCGCACACCACCGACGACTCCCTCTACTGCATCATCGACAGCACCGTCTACGACCTCTCCGAATTCGTCGATGCCCACCCGGGCGGTGAGTCCGTCCTGCGCCAAGTCGCCGGCCAGGACGCGACCACGGCCTTCTACAACCTCCACCGCCACGAGGTCCTCTCCAAGTACAGCGACCTCGCCGTCGGCACCATCGAGAACGAGAAGCCCCAGGTCATAACCCCCCAGCCCGGCGACCTGAGCCCCGTGCCCTACGCCGAGCCCCTCTGGCTGTCGCCGCCCTTCCGAAGCCCCTACTTCAAGGACTCGCACCGTCGCCTGCAGCGCGCCCTCCGCGAGTTCGCGCAGAAGCACCTGTACGAGGAGGCGTGGAAGAACGAGGCCAGCGGGGAGTATATCAGCCAGGAGACCATCGAGCGCATGAGCAAGGCGGGCTTGATGCACATGCGCATGGGACCGGGGAAGCACCTCCACGGCGTTGAGCTGCTGGGCGGCGCCGTCAAGGGAGAGGAGTACGACTACTTCCACGACCTCGTCAGCGCGCAGGAGATGGCGCGGATCATGGCTCGGGGCGCGCAGGACGGCAACATGGGCGGCATGACGATTGGGCTGACGGCTGTGCTCAATTTTGGCAACGACCCCGTATGGAAGCAGAAGATTGCAGACGAGGTGTTCAGCGGCAAGAAGAAGCTCTGCCTGGCCATCACGGAGGCCTTTGCAGGGTCGGATGTCGCTGGACTGAGGACCACGGCTACCAAGACGCCTGATGGGAAGCACTACGTATGTTGACTCTTATGCCGCTGCTAGGGAAGGTCTGCTAATGATTTGATAGATTGTCAACGGAACGAAGAAGTGGATCACCAACGGCACATTCTGCGATTACTTCGTCACGGGCGTCAAGACCGACAAGGGGCTGAGTGTCTTGCTCATCGAGCGCGGCGAAGGCGTCGAGACCAAGCCCATCAAGACTTCTTACTCACCTACCGCGGGTACGGCCTATATTACTTTCGATAACGTCAAGGTCCCCGTGGAGAACCTCCTCGGCAGAGAAAACAAGGGCATCGAAGTTATTCTCAGCAACTTCAACCACGAGCGCTGGGTCATGATCTGTACGTCTCCCTTACCGCCTAGGCTCTTTCAAATCCCCGCCAGCTAACAGGAAACCAGGTGCCTCAATCAGTGCCAGCAGGAAGATCGTAGAAGAGTGTTTGAAGTGGGCAAACCAGCGCTTAGTCTTTGGAAAGCGGTTGATCGACCAACCCGTCATCCGTCTAAAGTAGGTCTTTCAGCTTCATCCAATACCTTTAACATGCTAATCGTACAATCCTAGGCTTGCCAAGATGATCTCCCTGGTCGAGGCCAACCAAGCCTGGCTCGAGACTATCACCTACCAAATGTGCCATATGCCATACAAACAGCAAGCCCGCCATCTCGCAGGCCCCATTGCCCTCCTCAAGCAGAGCGCCACGCGGGCGGCGCACGAGGTCGCCGATGAGTCGGTCCAGATCTGGGGTGGCCGCGGTATCACTCAGACGGGCATGGGCAAATACATTGAGATGTTCAACCGGACTTACAAGTTTGATGCCATCTTGGGTGGTGCTGAGGAAGTCCTGGCCGACTTGGGCGTGAGACAGGCCATGAGGGATTTCCCGAAGGCGATGTTGTAGAGTAATCTGCAGTTTTGGGCAGCAGATTGTATTAAATACCGGCCGTTTTCTCGAGCGTTGGAGCTCTAATCTCACAAGGCAATATCATTATGTCTCGTACCACCTATTCAGCCGTCTTTGAGTCGAAATTGTGCTATTGGTGATTTACTAGCCGTGACAGGAGGTAATAAATGGTAGGGTAGCTACATCAACAGCACGACTGGAACCAACTACAAGTTTTCATTGAATGAATTAGTATTCTAAGGTCCTGATAGAAGCCTATCTGAAAGACGAGAATTCATGTTTCTGAAGACATACGCCAGATCAAAGTGATTCCGCCTTCTGTGCTGCCCTGTTGGATGGCCTCATGCTGATTGACCTAGTCTAGAGTCGTCGAGATGATGAGACAGATTTATCCGACACAGAAACCATTCTAAGATACTGGGCATAAGTCATCCGCATAAAAACAGAAGGCAGAAGCTAGAACGTATCCCTTGTGCTTTTCTTGGACAAAGTGAGGTGGTCGCTGCAAGAGTTTCTAATGTCCTCACGGCTGTTGTTCTCGGCGGTCCCTTTACATGTCAATACTCAGCATGCGAGATGGGGACCGACTGCCATTACTAAAAAAAAAGGGAAAATCGCGAATCTTGGATCACACTGGTCATCTAGAGTGATAAGAATATCCCAAAGGTTGACAATGCTGGTCTGCTGCCTTCCAATCAGGTCTGTCAGGATTACCTGGAACAGACCATCTTGAGCTTGTCACCCAGTCTGAAGCGCCATCTCTCATAATTTAGAAGGCGGTGATGCATTCGGGCTAAGTTGGGCTCTCGCCTTAATTTCCCGCAGACCGTCCGCGGAACTTTCCCAGGAGTCACTCAGGTCGCTAACACCTCCGATAAAGTCGGATTTTAAATCATCTTCGGGTGAGTTGGGACGCCAGTCTTTGCTGAAGCCCAGCTGTTCCAGCTTGCGGTCAAATACCTCGCGCAGGTCTTGTTTCTCCCACAAACTCCATTGGAATCGAAGAATGTGGAGTCGGTCCTCGGGCATGTTCCCCTCCTCCTTGAGCGCGGCCACGTCCGACTCCGAGGGCCTGGGCGTAAATGGATCCATCTCGTTGATCAGCAGGGGATAATTCAAGCCTTCCCATTCGGGAACGGAGCAGGTATTCTCCCAGTCGATGATTCCTGTGATGTTGAATGTTTCCGGGTCGACAATTATATTCGCTGCTCTCAAATCACGATGTTGCAGAACAAAGCGAGCCTCGCCCAGCCTGCTCGGATCTGGTGGCGGAAATACCAGTGGCAGAGCCCGCATATAGCCATCGCAGGTGTCCAACATAGCATCGGGATTATCGTCTGTATAAAGGCCTATCTCATTGGCAAGATCATCCGCATCCTCTTGTTTCTCCATAGTCTGCTGTTCTTCGATGAGGAGTTTGCCTGTTCTGATATACTCCTTTTCGATCCTGATCAGGGCACGAAGCCAGCTGGAGCAGGAAGTGTAAGGCCCTCGATCACTTTCGAGATAGCGACGACGGTGGGAGGAGAAAATCCCGTCTACCACAGGGCCTATCTTGAAGCCTTCCTTGAAGGCAGCATCGGCTCTTGACATGGACATTGAAGAAGGCTCAGTAGGGGTAGCTGGTGGGGACGTGTCGTCGGAGCGCTCGTGGTCAACAAACGTGGTGCGGTAGAGTGAACCGATCTTTGAAAATCGAAGATCCAGGCTCCAAATCTGACCAAGATAGCTAGCAATGCTCTCAACAATATCAACCTTTTTCTCCCATGGGACCTTCAGCCATACATCCTCAAGTTCCACTCCTGGGACTTTTTCTAGAAGTGCCCACTCATAGCCCAATGGGTTCGTGGCAGATGAGTTCCAGGCAATAGGCCTGGGCACAGGAATAGTAGACTTCTGGCGAAGAAACTCTAGAGTCGCCATCTCGCTTTCCATCTTGTATACAGGATCGACTGGTACCGCGACGCGAAATAGATACGCAACAGAGGTGGGCGAATTATTTGTCTGGCTGATGTCGTATACCTTGTGATTGGCGCCGTCATCAAGGAAGCGCACGCTGAGACTGTCAGCCGGCATACCTAGGGCCGATGCCGCGATTTCCCTGATGATGGAGGTGTCCGGGTCGGACGGCCAGATGGGGGATGAATTGGCATGAATAGTCCATTTGATCCTGGAATCGGGGAGGTATGTTTGCTGAGCCATCGTTCGTGCAAGAAGCAGCCCAGGCTGCAGCTGGGGAAGATAGCCAGGGAAGAGAGGGTTGAAAAGATACTGATGAGAAACCAAAGGCCAAGCTGGTGGCCGATATCCTCAGTCGTTGGCAGGTAGGTTCGTAAATCGATGGTAGATAATTTCTTCAATCGTGAACGGGATGTTTCGTCAGAGTTTGGCAGGTGAACCGTCAGTGTTTGGCGGGAGATTTCCTCGACGCGGTTGTTGTGTGCCTGTCACGTGCTTCAGGTGCCGCGAAGTGAGGTGATGAGGAAAGCGCGTTGCAGGTACGTACCTACCTACCTACCTGCACGACAATGAATGTCAAGAAGCTTGATACATGTAGCCGTGCAGATGCTAAGCTTGTCTGAAGAGGCGTAGCATGAGAGGAAGCAAGCTAGATATCTCCTGCAAATACCTGTATCTAGTGGCTAAATAGGCATGAAGTACTCGCTGCTACGTTGCTCGAAGAGGCCCCACACACTCACACACACCTCTTTGATGACGCAGTACATGTCGATACTTTCAAAATAAATAATTACAGTGGTCTTAACGCCTAGAAACACATTACAGCACTCGTACTGGTACAATGGAAGTACCTCAAGATCAAGCTTTAGAGCCAACCTGTGTACTCACTTTTCACGATGCCTTGGCAAGATCCCACTTGTAGAACCTGGCCGTCTGCGTTTTCCTTTGCCATGTCTGTAGCCTTGAGCTAACATAGATCTTGATAAGAGAGGTGAGCTACAAGAGCTTGAATGAGCCTCGGGACTGTTCTGGAAAGCAAGTAGTATTTATACGGGTTTTTGAAGATATTATACCTTCCAGGTTCGTCCCTTACAATTGAATCTGGGCCCTTGCATATACCAACTCTCTTCTATATCCTATGCATACGTAGCCAGCTGATTAGGTATCAGTAGTCACGCAATGTTTCTGCCGTGATTATCCTCACGGGCCTTTTCTCAACCTTCATTATTGGCAGAACGCTTCCACTACAGCCTGCAGCAGCTTCATCCTAGACATCTGCACTCTTATGCGCCTTGTTAATGTGCGCCCTTAGTATACAGCATAGTGATGTGCTATTGTTTAATTATTGTGGCCATTGTCTAATGATTGTTGCTATTGTTCAATGATTATGAATAACATGGGAATGATCAAGGCTATTGATTAGGATAAGCACCAATGAGCTACAATGGTAAGCAGCTGATATAAAATATAGCACACCCAGAACCTCCAGGGTGAAATTTCAATATAGTATTTAACAATCAACCTACTAGTAAATACAATATTAGGCAAAATATCATAGAACAATTGATTATTTTCTTATTATTGTGTTTCGTATTGTTAACAAGAAATTGAGGTATAGCATTGCAGTATGCACATCCAGCCATGATTCAGTGACGATCCAGTTACCATTCAACCACGCGGTTGGCATCTTTTATACGTGAATCATGCGTATTCCAACGTTTAATATCATGATTTACATCAAGTTCTTAGTATAAATATGTAGGCAAATAAATCGAGATTCGATCCTAACCTCCCAAATTCACCCCAGCTTCACCTCAGTGCAAATAAACCTATCCTCTCAAGTTTGGCACTCTATCGTTTCTCTTATCCTTCGAAGCTTCATCATGCCATCGTGCAAACCGAGCATTCCCGAGGCATTTCTTGCCAGCATCCCTGATGAAAAGCTCAAGAATTTCAACGAAGGGGAATATACTATTGCGCAAGATTACAACTATGGATTCCGCCTGGATCACCAAGGGGTATGTTGCCGAGATTTGAAGATAGCATACAAGATCAAGCATTGCTGACATTATGTGCTGTTTATTAGATGAACGTCGACAAGAACCAGGGCCCGTACGTACATCGGCTGTATGTGCAACTTGTAGGAGGCTCAAACTCCAAAGCTGTTGCAAGAAGGAACGGACCCAAGAAGAATAATGGCTACGAGGCTCGGTGCCATGCAACCAACACAGCCGAACCAGACGAGATAAGGGCAGCGCTCATGAGGAGCTATCGGGACAAGAAGTACAAATCGATCGGCTATGCACCCTCAAAGTGATAGCAAGGAGGGGAGAAGAGCCAGGGCCAGGGATGCGTGGGGGATACTTAAGTGGCGGATGAGCTCACACTTCTCCATGTATTCATCACGGGCAGCGACGTACTCACCGTGGACGATCTGGGAGACCTTGCGGTGGGAGAGATCGACGTACTCGGCATACTGCGCAGCAGCGAAGCTAGCGAGGGCCACAAGGGAGACGAGGGACTTGATGAAGTGCAATTTTGCAAATCTTGCCCACTTTATCATATCAAAAGGGCAAATGTATGTATGTTCAGTGCGTAAACAAGGCCCTTCACATCGATGGCTGAGAACTCCATAGCCCTCTCACGAATCTCTAAGAAGCGTGTCTTCCTTAGCCAGACAATGAGGTTATCCAAACCCGAAGACCTTGCCCGACCCGTCTTCTTTGTTGCACACCGAGGAGTACAGTCAAATCCATGCAATGGTCCGTCTGAGTTATGGCCACTTGTACATCTTTAGATAGATTATTACCCTACAAACTGTATGAGGTTAGTACACTAAGAGAGACTCCTTTTGATATATTAAGACATGCTATCTGCCGCCGCGACATATGAGTGCTTTGACGCTGACCAGCGCATCTACTGTCAAGACGAGCGATCCTACGGGCCTGGCCCGGCTGTCTCTCGTAAAAACAGATGATCGCCGTGTACTTGCTCTTGCTGTCCGTTATGAAGATAGGCGATCGCTGGATGGCTGGCCTATGCGTCTACTGTTAAGGCGAGTAATCATTGTGTAGCTGACTTAGCTGTCTGTATATTGCTAATAAACGATTTTTACAATAATCACATGGTCTATACGTCAGCTATTCGACAATAATTTCTGTGCTCCTGACTGGTCTATCTACTAATAAGATAAATAGTCATTACAGCCTCGACCAAGCTGTCTTCCGATGCGATGAGCGACTGCTATGGCCCTTAGCAGCCTCTCTTCTAGCGCGATAATCAGTTGCTGCAGCCCTGAATAACCTGTCTTCTGACACGATGAGTAATTACTGTGAAGCTAACATGGCTGTCTGCTGTTATGATGGGTGATCTGTTGTGATAGTGTTATTAATAGATTAAAGGAACACAATTTGGGTAGACCCGCTACGCTCAAAGATATACTAGGCAGTGGGCGTGAAACAAACAGGCCAGGTCATGGATTTGACTGTACTCGACACCAAGGTTATTCGAACCCGAAAACCTGTCCGAGCTATCTTCGTTAGTGAGACAGAGTCGTTAGGTTCGCGACAACTATATCGCGAACCTAGTCCGGGCCCCCTTACTAGCCGGACAGCTAGATTAACAACTATATCGCGACCCTGACGACCCTGCCCGTGCTCCCTTACTATTCGGACAGCTAGGTTAATAACTTGCAAGTAAACTTAGCTAGTCTTACTAAGTAGAGTAGAAGCCCGCTCTGCTGGGTGGTATAGGATATTTATAGCTCCTTAGAGTACAGGTTTTAAATTTAGCTTACTCGATATCAAGTGGATAAAACTTTTCCAGGGAACATGTTCTCGTCCCTTCAGTATTTAACATTTTACTTGGCATTAGTATCTTATAATCCTGTCTTGCTTTACACTTTTCATTAACTTTATAACATCACCCCCTATTCCGTTTCTAACTCTTCATAATGCATTTCATCAGGACTGTCGTCTCTCTTTTCGCCCTCTCCAGCTTTGCTGCTGCGCAGTATGCTGAGGATGAGCACGCCGGCCTCTCCCGTCGCCAACTGGCTGAGGCCCGGGAGGATTTTCTCGCCGCTCGTGACGAGTACCTTGCCGCTCGAGACGAGTATATTGAGAAGCGCGATCTCTTCCGCCGTGTAAGAAATGGTGTTCCCGCCCAATTTGTCTATTTTCTAACAGTGACTCCAGGGGCCTCTCTATGGCAAGTGCGGGATAGTCCTCAATCCCAAACCATCCTCACTTCCAGCCACTAAACCACCTGGAGTCAAGGTCGAGGACCTGATTTGCGTTTCCGGGAGAAACAACCCTATAGGTACATGCGATGAACCTAAGAAGTGGGGTGAACGATGCACAAGCGACCAAGGTAAACGTGCAGACCAAAAAAAACCGCCAAAGGTTTAGTCACCCACCACTTGTGGCTTGACACGCCCAATACATCCTATACCGTAAATAATCAAGTCATGTGGTCTCTCGCGTGTCACGACCAACAGCCGGCACACTGTTGAGCTGTGATGCAGGTAGCTGATGTACCAGCTTGCCCTATACTCACGTGGCTACGATCTGTGTCAATGGCCTTGATAAAAGCTGTACAATTAGACTAGTAGCTAGATCTTGTTCAATCAATCAAGCTACTGATCTCTCATACACTTATTTCAACATATACAGGGCGTTGGGTGAACGCGTGTCAGCCCATTTAACCACAATTGAAGCTTAAAAAAAGTTTCTATCTAGTTCTGGGGTCAAGTGTGACCCGGGAAGTCGGTTAATCAAAGCATGTCGTGCGAGGAGATGCAGGTAGATGCTTTATCAAGAAACTATACCATTAGTGCCATCAGCTTAGAGCGAGCTGAAAGTACCTCAGTGTATGCTTGTCTGTATATAATTCCATACATATACATGTCAAGCTTGTTTCTTTTATTTCTTTGTATTACGTGAACATCGGGATTACAACAAAGAACACCGCCAGAACAAGCCCTACCAACGTGGTGTTGCTCAACAAAGTGACATTATTCAGCTAACTAAATATGCGAACATTGCCCAAAGTCGTTCCAAGTAATATGCAATTCAGGGGCTAGATCACCCTAGGGGAAAAGGATTATGGAAGCCAAGTAGCAGATTCTGCCTTGCGTGTTACCGCAACTTCCGCTTGTCTCTCCGCTTGTCTCTCCGCTGTCTGCACAAATCAGTAATTACTTCAATGTTGCTTGGTAGTCAGGTCTTGTATGTAAAACGCTGACATACACTTCTATCATGTACGCTCTCGATGCAATGATCTGACTTGTCATCCTTGGTGACATTATTACGACGTTAGGATTGCCCTCTCGTGAGTCTAGATGGCGAAACGTTCATCATCGATTGAGACCCAAAGAGTCTGGAAACTCGATCGGTTATTGAGGCATGAAAGCTACATTTAATTCAGGAATCCCACTCGCCGTCTGGTTTTATATACCCGGCCCCAAATTCTCTACTCGGCTATAGTCTGTCAATCAAATAGCTTACCACAGCGAAGCATATATTAAGCTCTGTGTAGATATCTATCTTATCTTAGATACTGCTATTCTGCTCTACCTCAGTTTTGTCCATACTGTCCAGAGCACGCTTTATCAGCTCTTGCGTATCCTTGTCGGAAAACTCCTCTGATGATGCGTTCTGGCAATCTTGCAAAACCTGCTTCCATTTAGGCCAGTGCTCGGGTGTAAATTTCTCAACAACATTGAGATATTTACGGGTATGGTTCAGCTGAATATTGAGCCAAAGCTTTGCGGGTGCATAAATGAGCCATATACAGGCCAGCCGCATGTCCTTTTTTCTGACATTGCGGTTCACATTGAGGATGCTTGTCAGGGCACCATAACTCCAGCCGAGATCCTCTTTCCAGTTCAAAAATCCGGCCTCGGATAGCTGAGCAACGAAGGCTGTGCAATTCTCAAAGTACCGATCATTCTCCTCCTGAGTACCAAATCTAGCTGCACTGGGGTTAGACCAGGTCGGGTTCTATATGCCACAATACATGACAGGTTGCACTTACGAACTGCAGCGTGATAGTCGGCCAAGTGTAATGAGAGCATGGGCATGCCGGACCAGAACTCTTCAACTTCATCTCCTCCCCCGAGCGCCAATACCCCGCCATCGTGAGGGCGGGGTATGGTGACTCTTTGAAGACGCTGAGTAAAGTCAATTAACTTTGATTGCTGGTCAGGTGTTAAAAGTCTTGCGGCGCGAATGATGCAACCAGTTACAGCACTGGAATGTCTCTGCAAGGTGGAATACTCGGCATCTCCAACCGCCGTGGTGAGCGCTGTGACTTCTTCAACTGCCTGGGCCGTGGAGATGGTATCTTGGTTGATCATTTTGATTATGGCGTCAGTTTCAGGCCGTTGACCGAGCTGTCTGAATGTTATTCTTCCTCCTTATTTACAAGAGGGGAATGCCAGAAATTACCTGATCAAGCATGACAGCTGGCCTTGATGCATCTGGGGCTGTAGAGGTGCTGGCCATGACGGTGACTTTGTTTGAAGGACTTGGACTTAGACAGGAAGCGAGAGAGTGTGCTGCAATGGGTCAGCTGTGTTCAAGTGACCACAGGGCTATATTAATGGTGGGAGATTGAAGGAACCGGGAAGCTGACTGATGTAGGATTGTGGCTTGCGGCTGGGATTACACAATACGTACTAAAGTTCTTCCCTCAGCCGTACCATATGGTGGGGTAAGTTACGAATTACCCGATAATTGTGGGTGCCTAATCAACTTCATGCACCTCTCGTTCAGCTGAGCGGAGCGATGTGGTCATACTCGTTACGAAAGATCAGGTCGTGCCGTTAGGAAGAGTGATGGCACAAGGCAATATTGATCACGCCGACAGCGGAATTAGAAACCAAGGTCTCATTTTGAGTAACACGCGACGGGTCTATGAGCTGAAGGAGCCGTGTACATACTCTATTAGCAATGAAATAGCTGCGTGGGACAATGGATATGTCCAAAGAAAAGGGATTTGGCACGCTCATGGTTGTTTGAATTACTGTCTCAGCCGTATGCCTGCTTACACCGCATGTCCGAAGATATGCATCACTAGTGATCTAGAGCGCCAAAAATAAAATAATAGAATCAGTAGCACGAGAGCAAAAATGGCACCCAAAAAGAAAGGACTTGTGTAGTTTATGCCCCTCGCCGATCGGCTCAGGGCCACTGCTTACATCTAATAGCTTCTCGGTTAGTTTGGGTATGAGACGAAATTGAATCTAAAAATTTAAAAATAGGCTGTCCTGAGAGGGCAACCATATCTAGTAGATGAAGGAAGATAAAATGGCTCCGAGTGCCTGTTCCAATCGAACAACAAAACCATGAATATCTCTGATAATTTCGCATAGAGTACCAATTCCACCAGCCATGCGTCTCCGCAACATCGTGTACTCCTTTTTCTGTTTGGCCCTGGTGGTCGAATCAGGAAAAACCAAGAAGAAAAAGAAAATCGACATTACTCAAGAGATCTTGGGATCTGGACCCTCATCAAGTACTCCAGACTATCCTGCTGACGGCATTCAGATGGGGCCTGCTGTCGGCGTTACAGCACAACAGCTACAAGATAAATTTCACGATGCTGGACAGCAGACACCATACGCGATGAACCATCCAGACCCAGTGGTGCCAGGGACTGCATATCCTGAGCCCGCGGGTGATGGCATCAGGCAATCCCTTAATATCCCCGCGGGGGGAGTGCCGTACATGCATCCCCTTCACCCTGGAGATCAGCTTCATGAAGGTATGTGCAGCTTTGGCCCTCTAAATCTTGCTTAGTAGGCTAACTTACAGCGAAAAAAAGACTTGAAACACCCGGGACGGTACCGAATGGTATATGATCAAGTGACCAAACAGCCTTATGGTGTCGTCAGCCATCGCCCAGGCCACGGTACGCAGCATTTTCCTGAATGGATAGCCAATCCTCCTTGCACTGGTACACAGAAAAGAAGTGCAGGAGGATCCTGCGGACCAAATCCAGAGAACAATGGTGCACAAAGAACCGAGAAAGGCACCAACAAGAACATCAACAACAAGAGCGCTAGCAATAGGAAGTCTCCTGTCAAGGGCGCCAACAAGAAGGGTCATAATAAGAAGGGCATCAACAAGAAGGGTTCCAACAAAAAGGGCTCCAACAAGAAGGGCGTTAACAAGAAAGGCTCCAACAAGAAGGGTCCCAACAGGAAAGGCATTAATAAAAAGGGTGTCAACAAGAAAGGTTCCAATAAAAAGACCTCCAACAAGAAGGGTCCTGCTAAGAAGGGCATCAACAAGAAGGGCTCCAACAAGAAAGGCATCAACAAGAAGGGCTCCAACAAGAAGGGTTCCAACAAGAAGGGTTCCAACAAGAAGCCCTCTAATAAGAAGATATCCAACAAGAAAAGCTCCCACAAGAAGACCTCCAATAAGAAGGGCATCAACAAGAAGGGCTCCAACAAGAAGGGTCCTAACACCAAAGGTATTAATAAAAAGGGTATCAACAAGAAAGGTCCTAATAAGAAGACCTCCAATAAGAAGGGCATCAACAAGAAGGGTCCTAATAAGAAGGGTCCTAACAAGAAGCCCTCTAATAAGAAGATATCCAACAAGAAGAGCGTTAACAAGAAAACCTCCCACAAGAAAACCTCCAACAAGAAGGGCTTCAACAAGAAGGGCTCCAACAAGAAGGGTCCCAACAAGAAAGGCGTCAATATGAAGAGCCCCAATAAGAAGGGTACGAACAAGGGCAGTAACAAGCATGGCGTTAATAAGAAGGGCTCCAACAGGAAACCTTCAAATATAAGAAAGACCTCTGCAAAAGGCGACAATGGGAAGAACGCCCATGGCAAGAAGGCTGGTGCGCGAAAAGGCCAGGGCACCCCTAGGGGAAAGGTTAAGCCCGTATCAAAAGCCAAATCTGTCCCTAAGGCTAAAAGCGCCCCTAAGGGCAAAGGCGCCTCTCAGAGCAAACCTGCACGGAAATCGAAGACGAGCCCTAAGGGAAAGGGTACCCCCAAGGGGAAAGCTACTCCTAAGGGAAAAGGTGTGTCTAAGGGGAAAACTACTCCTAAGGGAAAAGGTGTCTCTAAGGGGAAAGCTACTCCCAAGGGAAAAGGTGTCTCTAAGGGGAAGACTACTCCTAAGGGAAAGGTTACCCCCAAAGGGAAAACTACTCCAAAGAGCAAAGGTACTGCTCCTAAGGGCAAAAGTACCGCTCCTAAGGGAAAAGTTGCTCCCAAGGGCAAGCCTTCTCCAAAGGTGAAAGCTGTTCCAAAAGCAAAAGCTCCCCATAAACCAGCAAAGAAGGTAGCTCCGAAAGGAGGAAAGAAGGGGAAATAAGGCTTGCAAGTAAGATTTCATGATGTAGTTCGAGGTAGTGACTTTTATATTTGTTTTTGTGACGGAGGTTTTTGTGACGGGGGTTAATGATGTACCAAACATTGAAGGGGCAGCACGCTTTAGTGAGGTGGTTCACACGAACAGTCGATATCAGGGAAGGTTGTCTACGCTTGTTTTGGGCTTCGATGTTATTGGGTACCTTAAGTATCGGCTTTCTATCTCCTGAGTGTTTAGAATATACTATAAAATACAAACAAGTCCGTCTAAAAATACTGCATATCACAGTCGATATCCCCTCGCCGAGCAGCAATTATAATACATGGCATTGACTATGCCGAGATTTAGAGAAGTTATGGCGCGTCTGAAGAACCCCGGGATACTTTTTCCTAGAAGGACCCTAGGCAACACCAACCAATCTGTCGAAAGAAATGGTGTCCCTCCTGCGAAAGGATAGCCTGAGGAAACCTTAAAGTGCGATGAGAACTATTTAAGATGGCTTCTATGTTCTGGTGGCCGGGGCGGAAGATCTCTCGGCGGAGAGTTGGTGGTCAGGACAGTCCCTGGGTCCTGAATGATTAGATCTACAAGACTAACTTCGCAGTAGGCAGTTATATCTGCGCACTGGAATTGAAGACAAGTGACCTCATTGCGAGAAAGGCTTAGATTATGCTTATAACAAGATAAACAACACCCCGCCCCCTCTTCCCTACCAGCCTAGTATTGAGTTTACTATTACTGAGTATAATGTTGATCTATACTATAAACCCTTCTGATTCTGAGTGACTCTCATCAAGTATGTACTAAGTATCTCGTCGCTGTACTCGCCAAGTTCATTTCCCTAAGCGGTATGCCACAGCCTGTTGAGTATTCGTAATAGTATATTTCACGTATAAATCAACAAGATATGTCTATCGCAACAAGTCGCCGGGTTGCCATTGAAAGGCGGATTCCCAAATCATTACCCGTCGACCTTTCTTATTTCTATTTCACGGCCAATCCCCATCTGTGGCGTGCCCCCAGTTCCAAAACTTGTGTATCCATACCTCAGTCGCTCACTCTTCAGCATCCTTGAGAGATCTTCCCCATTCATATGATCAACATCGGTAGGAATCTTGATATATCGTGAGTCCCTTACAATGGCAGATACAAACCCTAGTACTTCTGGGCTGTTACCACGATGTACCAAAATGATTCCCATGATTCCGCACGTAGCCAAAACCCCACACGAAGCAAAACAAGCAGCCATCCAGGGCCAGGAAACACGGTATACCCTAGTAAGATGAGTTGTCTCGGCTGACACGAGGCTCCAATCCTTGCTAGTCTCTCCCATTTTAAGGTCACGCAGGGGAGTCGTGCTTAATTTCTTTGGTAGCAGATTCAGCCATGTCTGATCCACCAACATGTAAGAGTTGATTACCTGGGTCAGCCCGCGGCTCAACTGTGACGCTGAGATATTGGTGGAGTCCTTGACCATAGGTCCAGGGAGAAAGTCCGGTTGACCAATCTTCGGCTCGGTGTAAAAAGCCGTCTGGTTGGCCGAAATTGCGGTTGGAAGATTGTTTGACAAATGCGCAAACACATATGGGTGTGAGAGGTCAGAAAGGTTCTCTGACGGGTGCGGCTTCTGTGATGGGCGTTGTGACTTCACTATGCAGTCTGTCAGGGACTCATGGCTCGCTCGGGAGCAGGCGACGCGGGATTCCACGTATTTCTGAAGAACCAGGCATTTTGCCTTCTGAACCTCAATAGATACGACCTGAACACTTTGAGTAGCATAATTAAAACGGGTGAGGTTTCGTCTTGCCTGGAACAGCAGATAAGTCGGGCCGGCCTCAATTGCGGTTTCGTTTTCGAAAACACCCATGCTAGGGAGATTGTAGAGATCGTACTTGTTTTTGTTCGAAAAATGTCTCATTCTGAATGCAATGGACCAACACTTGTCAACGAACCGATTAATCGCAATATTCCACCACACACGCTGAGATCGAGCGTGTTGAAACCCGTACCAAGAACCATTCACGAATGGGTAGGTTCGATTCTCACCAAAGACACTAGGTATGCTTTTAGCAAATTCTAGTTCTAGTTCGCTAATGGGGGTTTCGACTTCCGAAAACGAGTCTGTGCTCTTGTTCTTGTCCAGTATGTGGCTCGTGATGGGATCACAATTCAGTTGTAAGTAATTTGACTCAAGATAAAACGTGCTATTCCCAACTGATACGTTACGTATGGGCAATCCAATGAATGCTGAATAGTGCGCCGTATCATGGTCGATTTCATGCCAGACATCAGACTTGTTATCAACATCTAAGAGTGGAATCTTGATGTTACCCCATAGATCTCTCGGTCCAGGTCGGCCAGAATCACTTAAATGAAAGGCAGACGCGTAGGACGAATCTTTAAAAATATCATCGTGGAAAGCAAGGCGCGTCTTCAGTGTGTTCATGTAGAACAAAGATGTGTTGGTTGGTGGATAAGCTATGTCGAGAACACGGAGGAAGGATTGTCCCCCAAGCGGAGAAAATACCCAAATAAAGAGTATCAAAACGCCAAGCATATTAAACGCACGGAGTTCAAAATGTGTTGCTACTGCGGAGCCAACCGTTCGACTTCCCATTAACTGTTCAAGTGCCCCAAGTGAAGCGCCATTCTCCAGTCGGTAGCGAGCGGCATGATACAAAAACCGACTAACGATGAAAGCAAACACCATGGGGAATATTGGTCCGATCTGAGATAGGTAGTCAGTTAAAACTTTCGGTTGGAAAACGCCACAATATCATTTCTTCGTACAGTGGTCAGAATGGATTGAAGAGTATTGTAGCTCGCGTCAACAGGGCGACCATTGTAACACATGAGAACAATGGTAAGCGCAAGGTGACCTAGGCTCAAAACCAAGACTGCCGCATCCGTTAATAAAACTATGACTTGTGGCGATCTTCGTCGTCCTTTCGGACCGTCGCCAGACCCTTCAGCGGAGGATCTTTCAGAACAGTAGTCTTCGGCGGAGGAGGCATCAACAGGCCCCAAGTCTTCAAAAGTAAGGAACAGTGAGGATTCACGCGATGTTTCTCCGGGCTGAGTTGTCATTTTGTCTAATGTTATTACAAGCGAGAAAATCTAAGTCGATTATTGAGGCGCAGAGGGGCTCGAGCCGGCATCTAGGGCAGCTCTGGGAGATTCTGATTTACATATGCCACGTCAGCTGTGCAATTCCTTCTCAGCTGCACCACTCCATCTTAAGACATCAGGGGAATGGATCAGGATGAGGCTTGAGCAAAAAGCACTTTTGAATGTGTAACTCATCCAGCCGTCAGCCGCCTTCCCCAATATAGACAGTCAACTCGCACTCCAGCGGCGTTGACCGCAGTAAAGCGGTGCAGATCATTCACTACTTAGGTGACTGAAATGAAACATGACGTTCACCATTAGAACAGCTCTTGCAGCCTCGCTCAAAAAGGTAAAGACAAAGACTCCTAGCCACGAGCCCCCTGAAACACTCAATCTGCCTTACTCGACGCCTTAGTGGGACTTGGTCATAGATCACCGAGACATCACTTATACCCTTACACCGGCGATAGTCATCGTTTTTAAGGCAGTGGCGGCTTAGTGAGAGCATTGGATACTAATCTGTCATTTCGAAACACATCGTCATTTGCGTGAGGCCTCACTGTCTACTGTGCGGATTCCTCTCTATCTTTTCATCAGACATCTATCAACAGCTCATTTTCTGTCCATTTTCCACTCCAATTCTCTCAGTCTACCAATCTAAGCCTCCTTGACCCGGAGAGCCTCGGGGAGCTCCGCAACCTTCTCGTTGAACAGCTTGGCCGCATCGGTCCACACCCTGTAGGTGTCCTTCTGGTGCAGCTGGAGGAGCGCCTCCCTCAGGCCATCACTGAACGATATCGAGCTCTCACGCGGCAGCATAGAGGGGAGGTGGTCAATGCTAATGACCGACAGAGGCGTCTTGTTCTGGTCGTTCTCGACGACGACGGGGACGGTGGGCTTGTCGAAGGTGGTGTTGATGCTGTAAATGGGGAGCGGGTTGTGGGGGTTGGTGGTGTCGCATGAAACGTCGCAGACGACTCCGAGCTTGCGGCCAGGCTGGGCAAGAAGCTCCTGGTTGACGAAGGGAGGGATAGGCTCTGATAGGTAAATCTGCGAGGGGGGAGGGTCAGCTGGTGGAAATACGGAACTCTTTGGAAGGTGCCCTGGGCTCACCGCATTCAGGAAAATGTCATGTTCCACGATGGTCTTGTAAGGACCGGGTGTTCGCGTTTCCTGTATGTCCCACTTGGTGGTCCTATTCTAGTTAATATCATCATGGAACTCCGTCGTGCCACTCTTCTTGGGGTCTTCTCGGCACTTAGAAAACGGAAAGAGAGCAGAAACTCACTCCAGTCCAACAGCAGCGAACAGATCGCAGGCACCTCTTCCGCAGCGTCCAAGCGCACCCAGAACCATAGTAGTGGGCTTGCGGCCCAACTCCTTCTCAATCACAGCAACGTCGCCTCGGATCTGCTCGACCAGCTCGTCCTGATTAAGGTAGTAGCCTCGGCCATCGGTGTAACTCGCGACGGAGGGCAGTGGCTCGCCATTCGGGTGGGTCAGGTTCCAGGACAAGGTCTTAACTCCCAACGCCGCGCCGGTCTGCGATCAAAAGTTAGATATATTCTCGAGTACGAGCCATTGGCGAAAAATTTACAAATCCCGCATGATAACCGAATGCCGAGATGCGTCTACCATCTCCATCGACGACTATCCGAGATTGAAAAGTCAGTTACAAGTTGTCGGCCTGTAGTGTCGACAGAGGGAAGTGCCATTGAGTGACGGGGGTGGGGGTGGGGGTGGAGGGGGCTCCTACGAAATTCAAGGTCGTACAGGGTCGAGCCGCCGCGGGGGAATCGGCTCAGGACCTGCTCCCATCCACCTTGACGCTTATAACAGTGCGCAAAGCTCTGACCGCGTCGCGTCAGCACAGTTAATATATCCCTCGATTAGGGGTCTAGCATACGAGATGGTCGTTCTTGAGGGCGAAGTCCTCCTCGGGGATCTCCTTGAGGCCGACGATGAGGGTGCCCGGGGCGGCATTGGGCCACGTCCCGGTGGGGACGAGGGTGGCGCCGACGGCCTCGTACTCCTCGTCGTCGAAGATGCGGCGGAAGTTGGGGTCGGTGGACGAGCGCTCGACGGAGACGGGGTGGCCGGCCTTGACGAGGGAGCCGATGACGGACGGCGAGAAGGATCGGTGCTCGAGGGGCTTCTGCTCCGCGCGGAGGAGGATGGGGAAGTAGGACATGATGAGGGAGATTCGTCGGCTGGATCTGAAGGGGAGCCACATGCGGCAAGGTTAGAAACTGGCGATGCAATTGCCCGTACGGCGGAGAAGTGGTCGTGGGTGATGCAAGACTCACCAAAACGCGATGGAAGGAGGGGCAGAAAATTGCGACCGGGATGCTGCACCGCGGGGTACTTGTCAGCTGAGGCTCGCAGCCAGAAGGATGGCGGGTGGTGCCAGCGGGGGTTTTTCTATTGGGGTCAGGGAATACGTGCCTTGGGGAATTCGCAATCAGAAAGCAGTATTGCGATGATAAAGAAACAATTGAAGGCGTTGCTGAGAGATCAAGCTGGGTGGACCATTTCTTTTCTGCCCCTTCACCGCCGTAGAAGATGAGCTGTTGATTGGCCAGCAGCTCCAGGTGCACGGCCTGAGTCAGACTTTCAGGGTCCGATGCCGCTGGTGGGGGGAGGGGTAACAATAGCTACCCTATAGTCATCCAAGGAGGACAATGATTCAAGTCTATGGTGATTTATTCGCGTTGCAAGAATAGAATTTCGGTTATCTTGAGGATGGACATTGATTTTTGCAGGGAATTCGCGCTGATGAAGGAGTTATGGCATATGTTGATGCGTTCAGATCTTCGCTGTTGTTGGTTTGGTTAGGTCATGTTCGACCTGGTTTTGCTAGGTTTACCAACACTTTGACCCCAACAGAGGAGACCGTAGCATCGCTTCCGTAAGTCGTGCATGACAACGACTAATTCCCCCAGCACATACAAGTCCGATACAGACGCGTATCATAATGTTACAGCAAGGTCTGCCATTGTTGACAAGTGTCCATAAACCCTGATTGCAGCAAACGAGGGTGTGGACGCGGTCGCGACGGCTCGAACTACTACCAGGGACTGTCCCAGCCCTGTGGGAGCAAGTCGCGATCGCACAATACTGCACCCACCAATGGAGGCACGCACAAATATCGAGCGCATGTTAGGCTTACTGTAAATTTATTTAGGTGCCGTCTTGTATCCTCAATAATCGCCGACGCGGCCAGAGCTTTCAATTGCTCTCGAGTTCAGCTAACTAACGCGGGACAAAACCCGTCATGGCCATTACGTCACCCATTCTGGCCATACTTTGCCAACAGACGCGCAGCAAATCGCGGAACAAACCCCAAATCAATTCGCTTGCTGACAATGTGATTCCCCCATTAATGCCTTTTTCTCGGAGGAAATAAGGAAACAAAGTAAAGCTAAAGTAGACACGCTGCAGTTTTGTCAAGTACGAAGTCGCTCGCCTGGATGTGTGCGCCCCGGCCCCTTCCCCAAAGAGGTCAATCCCGTCAATTTCAAACAAACCCTGCAAAGTCGTAATCGCATCATGGCTCGTATATCGTGTCGCTGATCAAGATGAGCGTAATCAACCAAGGAAGCAGCTTGTAGAACATCCCTCCTTCCTAAACTAACCAGAACCGTGGCCCGGCTTCCGACCATATACGATCCAGAAGTTCCAATATGCGTGTATTCTCCTGTTCTTCAAATCTTGGCGGACCTGGGTCATAAAGACTCGCAGCTCGTCAATTGACCACCCCAGCGCCCGCGTGAACAGCGCCTGGCTCATCGACTCGCAGCCCATGGTGAAGTTTTCCATCGCCCATCTGCCAACTTCCTTGTGCTTCGGGTCCCTGGGCCAGGTGTTGATGGGCCATGGGAATGGGATTGCGACGACGTCGGCGAAGCCTGCGTCGCGCATCATGTCGGGGACTTTGCTGATCGCGTCGAGGGGGAAGCCCGCGAGGGTGGCGCCCTCGTGCATTTTCTCATGCCAGACGTTGAGGGCTGACTCTTTCTCGAGGGTGTTGTCGTCGCATTTGATCACGAAGTCGATATCGGCCACTTCGAGGTATCCGCCCTCTTCCAGGTTCCTGGGATTAATTGGTGAGTAGCTGATTGGGACAACACAGGCCGAGGCAGGGCCAGGTTATTGACGAGGGGGAACTGTCATATGGGAGACGTACTCGAAGCTCTGTTTGAAGAAATTTGGCCAATCTTGAAAGGCGCCAATCATCAACTGGCTGTGGATGTAGTCGAACTTGCTGGTAAAGGTCCATTCGCGTTCTAGATCGTCGAGCTCGAAACGTAGATTCGGAGGTGTCCTGTAGGAGGAGCAAGCATCGCGTTAGCCTGGTTATACTCCCCAACCCGAGGCACATCGACATATTCGCGTGGGGAGTGAAGCCATAGAAACGTACATATTTGGTTGTGTTGGTGCAATGTCAACGCCCACGACATCTGTTCCAGGATACGCATCGGCTATATGCATGTGAGAAATTAGTATGAATGGATTGCGGGATTGCGCCCGTGAAGGCAAGCCGGGACGAGGGAAGGGCGATACGTACCAAAATCAATAGCCCACATACCCGTGCCACAACCCACGTCCATTGCGCGACGAGGGTTCTTGATGGGGGCAATGGCAAGGCGTTTGTCTAATGTGAGCCATACGAGATGGCATTGGAGATCTGAAGCCAGCCACTTTCGTTAGACATACGTACACAGCTGTGTTGAATGACTTGATGAGCTGGATGGATGGTGGGGCGGAGGTTGCTAAAAATGTGAATTATGATGAGAGGGCGGCCACGTACCTAGGCGTTCCATCTCTTGCTATGTCGAGTAAGCCAGGCTTGGTTAGCATTGCGTTTATCATGCTGTGGAATCCCGTTTTGTGTGTCCAACGTGATCAATCGTCCAACACGTTTCGCTGCAGAGAGCGTGTGTGTGGGTCGTTGGGCGTGTTTGAGATGAGGGCGAAGGGGGGATGGGGAAGAAAACAGAGATGGCGGAATACCTCGTCCATCGGGAGCACGTATTCTAGTTAATTGGCTCTAGGTCAGCTCCAAGCATGCAGTAGAGAGAGGGAGGGGAGAGGAAAGGGTGGCACAAACTTGCTCCTAGGTAGCCTTTGTACTGGCGGCCATGTTCCTTGACCTGCTCAATCATGGCCTCGCTGATTGACGTCGTCGATGAGTGTGTCTGGGTGAAGGCCGCTGCAGTTAGCATCATGGTATTGCGCTTCGGATTCTGTTTCGCTGGTCGGCAGCTTGCTGGCCCGGCCAACTTACACTATCAAAAGCGGAATCTGCATCGTCAAAAAGCTGGTCTCTGTCTGATTCCGAGTCCTGTTTGACATGCGGTTAGCGACGCCACCAATACACCACCGCCCATCCATAGCTGGCTGGAACAAAGCTGATCGAGGTGGAAGAAGCTCGTACATCGGGTTCAAGTAGGGCAGGAGCGGCCGCCATCGCGTCCTCGCCCGGGATCAAGATGGGAGCATCGGCGTCGGGTGGATGATTTGGAGGGCTGCGCGTTGGGCTTTGTTTGGGGCTGCTCTTCTGCTGGGTCTTCTCAGGATGCTCGTCCTTGGGGCTGTCACCGGCGCCCATTTTGTCTCATTCCGCGGCTGGGTGCTAAGTCATGAACAAGGGGTGCTGCTGGTTTGCGCCTGGCGGGACTGGAAAGGAGTTGAGGACTTGGTCGTCGTCGGATTTGGCGATCGGTCGATGAGGTAGTTTGGTGGGTTGTTTGAAGAGGAAGGAAAGGATCGCAAATGGGAATTGAAAGAATAAATGGCATAAGACGAGGAACCCGAGTACGGACCGTTGAGCAATGAAAAGAAAGTACAGATAGACTTTGGGAGGGGAAAATGGCAGATCAGTGCGCCAGTGGGTGATCCTCAGGTGGACGGTGGGGCAGGAGCCACCAGACCAGTTGGACGGCTGGAGATGAAGTGCCTGCCTTTTGCTGTCGAGAGTCGACTTGCGGCAAGCTCCATCGGCCGCCTCTGGTTGCTTATTGGGGGCTGTTGCAGTGATGCAGTGAGACCTTCATCCACCGGCGTGTGATAGCGCCTGCATCGTCACGGAAGGCACGCCTGGACTCGCCCATCGCCCCTGACGTGGTTAGCTGCCGTCCCTTAGAGCGTGCGCTAGAGCCCTGGCCCCCTGCCACACAGAGCCATGGCCCCCCAATAGATCGCCCACACTGGCTCGCATCTCTCACCCAGCACAGCTCAGCGCCCAAGCACAGTGGTTGAGTGGCTAAAGTGACCCGCATGAGACAAGCACCGACCAAGTTGCCAAGCTGAGCTCTCCTCCGCCACACAAAATCAATCCCTCCACCACCGCTCGGGATGGCGCCCATCAATCATCAGCGCTGCTTGTCTTCGTCCCTGGTTGCATATCCATCCGTTTCCATTGGACCGTCCGTCTCCTCGAATCCACATTCGTCCCCAGCGCCGCCGCAGCGACCGTTGAACCTTACGCGACGGGCGAGATCAGCCCACGGCAATGGACATACCCCGCCTCCCCTTTGCGCGCATTCCAACGGTGCAGAGGCGTTAAATGTACACATTGCATCTGCATCATGTCATGTATGCACCTTGTGTGCAGGTCAGCCCGTTGCAACGCACCAGAATGACACAACAGCTGGCACGAAAACCGTCGCAGAGGACTGTACGGATACTGTGAGGAGACACGGTGGAGCGAAATCCATCCCACAAATCTACAGCGCCAAATGCCAAATTCCGCTGCGAGACCCGTCCCGCCATCCAACAGCTTTCCCAGCTCGCCCCTATTTGCGTGCCAGAGCTCTGAAGCTCACGCCCGGCGCCTAGCTTTGCTACTACAGCTTGCCTTTCCCTCGCCTCGTTTTCTTTAGCCTTTGCCTGCGACATGAAGGCCGCCAGCAAACAAGACGGATCGGATGTTGGCTGCCAGCACTAGCAAGAGTCAAGACAAGACACAACAAGGGAGGCAGGGCAGGGGTGAACCACATGTTTTTTTGTGTTTTGCATGAACCTTGGACCTGGGACTGGGTACATTGCTGGACACTAACCGCGATATGATGTACGTACGTACATGTGATTGCACCTGCTCAGCAAATAAAACAGAGGTTTGCGTCGTGGCCCACATTCTTGAGTGATTGGCACGACGATCCAATCCCGCTACCAGGACCAGGACCAGGACCAGGCCGCCGTGAAAATGGGTGGCAGGGCCCAGTCCAGCGCATTCAGACAGACAATTGCCTTCTCCCCTCCCAATGGTATGGTTACCACGTTACCACCGACCAGTCCGTCGGATCCTCGAGGCCAACTGGCGCCCAAGGAGATATCCTGGCGGCGGCAAATGGATCAGACGCGGCCGTTGAAACTTAATCACTGTTCTCTTGCCCTTGCTATTGCATCCTACTCCATGGGCCTCCTTCCATCTTCCCTCCAGCTCTCAACGCTAGTGGGTTGCTGGCAAACATCCTGCCAGTTCCGCGCTCCTAGCCCGTCCGCTAACGACTAGATACATGATGCAATGAGCTGGCCTGCGGCTATCCGCCCGCCTTGCCGTCGTCTTCTGGCTGGGGTTGAGTCTCCAGAGTCCAGGCGGCCGGGCTGGTTCTCTGCTTGCCTGCCTCCATACCCCTGCCGCGAAACAAGATCCCCCGTCCCATCAACTGTCCTCACTCGCGCATGGGTGGCCTCTCCTCCTTCTCCTCCCCTTTCGTCCCCTTGTCTCCCAAGCCCATCCCCAATGCCAGTTCTCCTTTTGCTTATTATTGTCGGAAGTTGCCAAATAAATTCGCTGTAGCCCAGGTGGTTCCGCCTCTCCCCTCCGTATTCCCTTCTCCACCAGGAATCTTGCAAACCAGCAATGGATTCCCTCCCCACATCGCCGTCCTTCAGTATCATGTCGACCACAGGAGCTCTGCTGACCACTGTCGTGACCATTGGTTGCGGAGCGATCCTGGTCCAGACGCTGGTCCAATGGTACCGTCTTTCCCACGTCCCCGGGCCCTTCTGGGCGGCATTCTCCAAAGCCTGGATGGTGAGGGAGTCGCTCAAGGGCCGCCAGCCGCAGTCCATCAAAGCTGCCAATGACAAGTACGGTACGTGCCTCGAGGGGGCAATGTGCGCCCCCTGCGCATCAATTGACGTGTCGGCGACCGTTCCCGGGTCGTCTGTCTCAACGACTGTTGACGGTGCGACATGGCTGACAACGGTCATACACTACAGGCTCGCTTGTGCGCATCGGTCCCAACGAGCTGGTCACCGACGATCCGGAAGTGTTGAGACGAATGAACTCGGTCCGTGGCGCCTACGAACGAGGTCCCTGTAAGCCGCGCCCGCCCCCATGATCCATCTGGCCCCCTCCCTTCCCTTCCCTTTCCCGCTCCTCGTCCCAGTTCCGTGTTGTCGGGTTCGCTCGGCGCATATTGGTTCTAGAAGCAATGACCGCTGAGACAGATCATACGTGCCCTTGACCAGGGTATGATGCCATGCGCTTTGATCCCACCCGGGACAATCTGTTCTGCATGCGCGACGGAGAGGCCCACGCCAAGCTGCGCAACAAGATGACCGCCGGGGTAATTACTCTCTTTCTTTCTTATGATTGCTTTTTTCTCGAGATTGTTGTATATGTTTCTTTTCTATTTCTTCATCTTCTGGCCGGTTCATCTGGCACTTTCAATCCTCGCATGATGATTGAAAGGGGCCCTGTAAACAATTGCGTTTCCCTCGATTCACCCAACCATGGTCCATCCGCTCACACATATCTAGTATGCTGGCAAGGAGAATGAATCAATGGAGGCCACCATTGAGCACGAGATCGCCAAGCTCGTCGATCTCATTGAGACCAAGTACATCTCTTCCGCGTCCGATTATCGACCAATGGACTTTGGACAAAAGGGCCAGTTCTTCACCCTCGACGTCATCAGCCATCTCGCCTTCGGCCATGCCTTTGGCTACCTGCAGACCGACGACGATGTCTACGACTACATTAAGATCACCACCTCCTTCATCCCCATCATGTTGGTCCTGGCCAACATCCCCACCCTCGCCCGGATGCTCCAGTCCCCGATGCTGAGAGGGTTGTTGCCGAAAGAGAGCGACAAGCTCGGCTTCGGCGCCTTCATAGGGTAAACCTCTCCTAACCGCCTCTGCTTCACCCCCCGAGTACTCTTCTCGGACATTCAGAAAACTGACAAAATCTACAGCGTCGCCAAGAGCGTAGTAGCCAAGCGCTTCGGCCCCTACGCTGTCCCCCAATCTGACATGCTCGGCTCCTTCATCCGCAATGGCCTCACACAGGAAGAAGCGTCAGGCGAGGCCCTCCTCCAGGTTGTCGCCGGCAGCGATACCTCCGCAACTACCATCCGCATCGTCATCCTCCACCTACTCACCAACGTCAACGCCTACCGCAAGCTGCAGGCCGAGATCGACGCTGGCATCGCCGCGGGCACAATCTCGTCGCCCATCACCAACGCCGAGGCACGTAAGCTGCCCTACCTGCAGGCTGTCATCAAGGAGGGTCTGCGGATCAAGCCCCCCGCTGGCGGAGCCTTCTTCAAGACAGTGCCGCCTGGAGGCGACACAATCGATGGCAAGTTCATCCCCGGCGGCACGCAGCTCGGTGTCTCCCCCCTGAGCATCCACCACAGCAAGAAGATGTTCGGCGAGGACGCGGAGATGTTCCGCCCGGAGCGGTGGCTGGAGGCCAAGGGAGAGAAGTTGGAGGAAATGAGTAGCACGGTCGACCTGGTGTTCCACTCGGGGAAGTGGCAGTGTCTCGGGAAGACGGTGGCGCTGATGGAGTTCAACAAGATCTTCGTGGAGGTGAGACCGTTGCAACCTGTGCTGCGTTGAGAGGGTATGGACTAACATGGCATTTGTAGTTGCTCCGGCGGTTTGACTTTCAGATTGCGAACCCTGAGCGACCTGCGCAGATTGTCAATGCGGTAAGTTGTGGGCAAATGGGTATATTTGTTGTCTGAGGACCAGCTAACATTCTGTCTAGGGCATTTGGCTAATCGACGAGTTCTGGGTGCGAGTCACGCGGCGTAGTGGATCTTGATAGGTTCTAAGCTTTTCATCTGTCTACTTATGGCCTCAAGCCTGATTCTAACAACCAGAAGAACGCGAAAAGAAATACGATGCTGGTGATAATGATGAGAGGGGCAGCATCAAAGCAGGGCGACGCCCTAATAGTCTTCATATGCCCAGATTGGATACCCAGAAACGCCTCGAATACAATGCGACGACCCTCCCCATATCTCTTATGATGCAGTCCCCGAGAACTAGCTTTCAATAAACATAATTTTCAGCAGGCGCTGGCTAATCTGATCGCCACAGTGTCGTGACTGTCTTGGTGTTGGTGAAGAACTGCCATCGCGCAGCGCCCATGCCTCGAATGTCTAACGTTATATAGAAAATCAGCCACAATCTTCTTTCAATTGGTTACCAAGGGGGAGGAAGACTCACCTCCCATGAAGGACTCCTTATTTGAAGTTCGCGGTATTGCGCCTGATGGAGCTGCACTGCCTGTTAGCTCGACCGATACGACATGCGAAGACGGACTCCCTACCCAAGTTGGGGACGTTGATACCGATCTGTCCCACGTTCACCTCGTCCTGGAATGATTTGGCTGCGGCCGGACTCGACGTAAACAGCGTACAACCGTTGCCATCTAAAATTGTCAGCAATCGCTCAACAGCACAGCAGCATCTTCGGAAGGTCTCACAGCGGTTCTCGTTGATCAGCTCGATGGCCTCGTTCAGCGTGTTCACCTGCAGGCAGACCAGCACCGGCCCAAACAGCTCCTCCTGATAACACTGCATATACGGCTCGACATTGGTCAATATCGTCGGCCCAACAAAGTTCCCGTGCGGGTACCCCTCGACATAGCAATCCCTCCCATCCAGCACGACGTGCGCGCCATCCTGCTCCGCCTCGTTAATCACACCGACCACCCTCTCCTTGGCCGCGGCCGAGATGAGGGGGCCCATGCCCACCGCCGGGTCCGCGCCGTTGCCCACGACGAGCGAGCCGGCGATCTCAGTCAGCTCGGCGAGCCACTCGCTCGAGGAACCCACAAAGACGACGACGCTCAGCGCCATACACCGCTGGCCAGAGGCGCCGAACGCGCTGCCCGCAATGGCGTAGAGCGTCGACCGCTTGGCGGCGTCGGGGAGAACGACGGCGTGGTTCTTGCCGCCGCACTCGACCTGGACGCGCTTGCGGTTTGCGCGGGCGTGCTCGAAGACCCTTTCGCCGCCAATCTCTGACCCGACGTGGTGGACTGCCGCGACGGCGGGCTGGGAGAGGAGGACGCCCACGACGCCGCCGCCGCCGTGGACGATGGAGAAGACTCCCGGGGGGAAGCCGGCGTGGAGGAAGCAGTCTGCAAGGAGCATGGAGGTGCTGGGCGCGCGCTCCGAGGGCTTGAGGATGGCGGTGTTTCCCGTGACGAGGGCTAGCGGGATTGTCCAGAGGGGGATCATGAAGGGGAAGTTGAAGGGGGTGACGGAGACGCATACCCCCAACGCCTCGTGGGTGGTGTGCGTGGAGGAAGGGTGGCCCGGCCACGCGCTCCCCGTCATCTCGCTCCCCACGCCCGTGGCGGCGATGATGGCGTCGAGGCCGCGCTCGACCTCGTTCTCGGCATCCTGGGTCGTCTTGCCGATCTCGGTGACGAGGCAGTGGACGATGCGGGCGTGGTGGGCCTGGATGGCGTGGACGAGGTCGAGGAGTTTGAGGCGGCGGTGCTGGAAGGGGATGGCGGCCCAGTGAGGCTGGGCGACGGCGGCGGCGGCGACGGCCTGCTGGACCTCGAGGACGGTGGACTCGGGGACGCGGGTGAGGAAGGACTGGGTGGAGGGGTCGTAGGTCTTTGTCCAGACGCGGGTCTTGGACTGGATCAGGGCATTGTTGATGAAGTTGTGGGCGATGGGGATGATGCCGTCGACCTGCGGGGGAGGGTTGGAGGTGGAGATGGACTGGCTGCGGTGGTGGTGATTCTGGTTCTGGTGGTTATTCTGGTATTGATATTGCGAGGAGGAGGAGTGGTGGTGGCCTTGGGAGGAGGGCGAGTGTGATGGCTGAGGGTTGTTGTCGGAGCCGTTGCACGACATGCATGTGTCGGACAGGGGGATCTGCGGGATGGCGGATGAGGACGAGGTGGACACTGACGAACGGGTGAGTATGTCATTGGTAGGGGATATGATTATATGGTCAACAGGGCAGTCTGGCTTACAGTTATAGTACTGGTCCGAGGGGTCAGTCTGCGCGTGCGGACTGGCGATGAAGCTCAGGTCCGGCGGCAGATCCACGACTGCGATTGGGGCTGGAGAGGCCATCAACGGGTCAACTGACAATCACCACAGCGGCAGTCAGGCAGTCATCAATGAGGCAGTCAGGTGTATCTACGTCTAAAGTGTTGGGAACTACGGCAAGACTGAAAGGAAAGGTTGGCAGTGTGAATTGGGTTGAGGGACTTGGAGGATTAACAATTGGCTTCACTGCGATGTCGCTGTGGCCAGTTGCCCTTCTCGCTATCGGCCCCTGTCGCTGGCGCTGGCCCCCTGTAATGGAGGGGCAGCCCCACCATTTGCAGTTCGCGAGTCGCTGTAATGCCCCGACGTTTAGTGGTCGCCTATTGCCGACGGCTCCCGTCGGAAGCACTGTACATTCACTGTCCAATACTCTTCCTCAGTGCATGTTTCTGGACGTAATTTCTTCGTGTCATGATCCACCGTGCTGGCCATTCTATCCTATGGCAGCCAGGCGGGAGAGGCGCTCAAAGACTGATGATATTTCCCCGGATTCTTGAGGCGTGCGACTCAACCAATGGATCGTCTAAAATGCCGGTTTGTCTATCAATCAATCGTTCTCAAGGCCAACTCAGTGGTTGCGCCAACGTGTTGAAGCAGCGAGTCTAAAGTACGCCACACACAAATTGTTCAATTCGATCGATAACACTGGTTAGCGGATAAGATAAGACTGGCGGAATCCGTTGATTTCCCCCGCACTTGAACAATCAACCCACTGCGGGACTCATCCATTAGAATGCACCCCTCCTCCACCCTTATCTCGCTGCACCGACCCCTCCCACGATTCATCCATCTCACCTACACTCGCTAGGCTTGAAACGAAGAGTGTCCAGTGCGGGGAGGGACACCATAAGGAAGACTACTTCGTGTCGTTGAGCTTGGTTGACGCTTAGGCCTGGAAGTTTGCTAATCCGAATAGTCCAATAGCCTCTCATCATGGACACATACTCTCCTTGGATTGGCGGCAAGGCCGTCTCGGGAAGCGGCGAGGTGTGAGTTCTCATGCCTCCATCCATATTTTGAAGATTTCTAACACATGCAGGCTGTCAATCAAAAACCCCGCGACAGGTGAGATCTTTGCACAGTGAGTCAAGCCCGGGATGATCAATGACTCGACAGACTGACCAAACCTATTAGATGCCAAACCGCCTCGATAGATGAGATCAATGCCGCCGTGCAATCAGGGCAGGACGTCCACAAATCCGGCGTCTGGTCACGCCTCCCGCGCCACACAAGAGCCGATGTCCTCGACAAGGCCGCCGACCTCCTCATCGCCAGGCTCGATGGCCTCATCACCCTCGAGGTCCAGCAAACCGGCCGCGCCATCAGGGAGATGAAGGCTCAGGTCCCGTCCCTCGTCCGCTGGTTCAGATACTACGCCGCGCTTCTCCGCACCGAGGAGCGATCCGTCCTGCCCACCTCAGGCAAGTTGCACAACTGGATCGACCGCATCCCGCTCGGTGTTGTGGTTCTGATTACCTCCTTCAACCATCCCCTTCTCATTGCTGTCAAGAAGCTTGCCCCGGCCCTCGCGGCGGGTAACACCGTCTTGCTCAAGCCTAGTGAGCTCACACCATTGACGAGTCTGCTCCTTGGTCCTATCCTCAAGGAAGCTGGCTTGCCCGACGGTGTGTTCAATGTCATACCTGGTTACGGCGTCACCACCGGCAAGGCGCTGGTTAGCCATCCTCTGGTGCGCAAGGTGGATATCACGGGCGGCACGGCAGCTGGTCGGGCCATCGGATCTATCGTAGGCGGCAACCTCGCGCGTTTGACGGCGGAGCTGGGAGGAAAAGCCCCTGTCGTTGTATTCGAAGATGCAGATCTAGAGGCTGCCGTGAACGGAGTGGCGTTTGGAGCCTTCATCGCCAGCGGCCAGACATGCGTCGCTGCCACGAGGATCATTGTCGAGAAGTCGATACTGCCCAGGTTCCTGGAGCTGCTGACCAAGAAGGCGCAGAGCATCCAGAAACGGATGGGGGCGCCTACCAACGTGGCTTCTATGATGGGCCCGATCATCTCCGAGAAGCAGATGAAGAACCTTGAGGGTCTTGTCGAGGAGTCCGTATCTGGGGGCTTCGCTACTGCAGCATGTGGAGGTGCGCGTCTGACTGGGCTCTCGGAGCTCGACCAGGCCGATTTCGATAAAGGCTTCTACTACCCTCCTACCGTGCTGGTGTCAGCCGCGGACGGAAACAGTATCTTGAAGAGCAAGATCTGGAAAGAGGAGGCGTTTGGGCCCGTGATTGTCGTCGCTGAGTTCTCTGCTGAGCAAGAAGCGATCGACCTCGCCAACGACAGCGAGTTTGGTCTTGGGGCTGCTTTCTGGACAAAGGATCTCAGCCGAGCCTACAGGGTCTCTGAAAGCATCAACACAGGGATAGTGTGGGTTAACACACACCATCGCAACGACCCCAGCAGCCCGTGGGGGGGAGCAACAAGCTCGAGTGGTGTTGGGAGCGAGAACGGAGTGGATTCGTATAATGCTTACACAACGACGAAGAGCACCATTATCAACTATGCCTCTAGTGAGGAGATGAAGGCTGAGGACTGGTTTGGAGAGGAGCAGAAGCAAGTAAGATATGGATAGGCGGTCAAGTACTCAAATATTCAAAAATGGCTATTGAAATACACAAATGGCTAGTATCTTTCCTTCATTCTTCCTTTTTTTTTTTTTTTTTTTTTTTTTCGTACCGGATAGAAATTTTGTATTCTGATGAGATTTACTTGATATTGAAGTGTTGTTTATGCATGCGCTACGAGAGGCGGTACTACACGTCGAATTTTCGGCATGAGTCTAGTAAGTGGCAGTGAGTCTCTGAACCAAATACTCGCCCGTCTGAATGCCCTTGTACTTTTTTGAGTCCTCCGTCGCAAAGGTACCAGGCAATGCCTCGATGAAACTGGAGTGATTCGGGTTGCAGAAATATCTATTGGCAGTCAGTTTCCAGTCCATCCCGCGCCAAGGAAGACAAACACATACGCAATGCTGTATCGAGGAGGGTAGCTATCGGCCTCCTTCACCGGCGGCTCTACCACACGGTGGATAGTGCTCTTGATGGTGTCGTTGCTCCATCTGGCGAGCAAGTCACCCGCGTTTACAACGATGGCTCCCTCCACGGGGGTGGCATCAACGAAGTCTCCGGATGGGCTTTGGACCTGCAGCCCTCCCCTCCCATCTTGGAAAAGAAGAGTGAGGGAGCCATAGTCCTGGAGGAAGGTCAGTGACATTTCCCATCAATTGTCATCTCAAGGGGAAACTCACACTATGAGCACCGGCTCTAACAGCATTGGCGTTCTTCCAAACACTGGCATCAACACCAGGATAATGCAGCAGCCTCAAAGTATTATCCCCCGAACTAATGAACCTCTCAAAGTACGTGGCATCAAGCCCCATGCCGACAGCAATCGCACTCATCACATTCCCATGAAGCTGTCTACACAGCCCATAGAACCCCAACATGGTATCCTTGAACCCCTCCACCATCGTCCCGTCCCTCGGCCACTGGTTCGGAAACGCGGGGTCACCCTCGCGTCCAATCTCGAAACTCTCCTTCATGTCGGGCGGCGCGTCATCTTTGCCATTATCGCCCACCCGCTTCAGCTTCTCGCGCCCAGGCGCCGAGTAGCCGCGGTTCGACTCCGGGCTGAGCCACGAGAGGTTCAGTTTGTCCTCGTCGGGCTCGGCGAAGAAGCTGGCCGAGGTGGCGAAGGCGGTGCGGACGGCGGAGGGGGCGATGCCGTGGTTCTGGAGGTAGATGAAGCCGGCGTTTTGGAAGCCGCTTAGGATCTCGGCGGCGATTTGTTTACGCTCTGGTTCTGAGCCGTGGATGAATTTTGAGAAGTCAATCAACTGTATTTTAAATTAGCGAGTGTATTTTAAGTTTGCTAACAGGAGGTTGACGTACTGGGATGAAGGAATCGAGCTTCTTCTGCACAACTGGGCTTGTTGTTGCTAGTTTGATGGAAGATGTCCTTAGGCTTCGTTTTGAGGTCATAGACAAGGGTCTTGTGACAATTGGTGCAGCCTTGTGAGACACTAATGACAGTGCGGCTGGTCTGAGAGTCCTTGGGGCATACAGAACCCTCGGCCGGGCGATGTTTGTGAGGGCTGTTCGAGACATGATCGGTTTTGGTGAATAATTCTCTTGACACACCACGGAATAGTCTTCCAGCCCAGTCTAGTGTCGTGAAGGAAGGTTAGTGACATTGGACGGAGAAATAGACTGTCTATCGGCGGGTTCCGACGGCCGCCGCCTGTTAAGGCCATGAGGTATATCTGCTTATCAGTTTTCATGCAGGGGAAACACGGCAAACCTCTCACTGCTCGTAGAACAGCCGAGGGACCTTTGTGCCTGGTTATCGGCGGTGGGCGTGGGATTATGAATAGCCAAGACCGTTATCAATGGGCCTTTGTTGAGTTGTGGTGTGTCATTAAAAAGGCCTTATCAGTGGCATTACAACTACCCTACACCATCAAATTGAGAAGGGGACGCAGTGTAGGAATCGGTTGTCAAAATATGGTATTGAGACAGAAGAATATTTTGTGATTAGTAGACCATAGGATTTGTTCATTGGGACGTGGTTCCTCTTAATAATTTGCTGTTATGTTGATGGAAATGTGATGCTAGAGATAATTGGCTTGAACCATCAACTAGACGTCTTATAGTTTGGATCGGTAATTGACGTAAATGACTTGATATTTGATTTCCATGTTGAATTCAATTTTGTAGTAAATAACATTATGACTTGGGAAAGAAAAACGGAATACTTCCGTGGTAAACTACATGATGACCCCGCCACAAAGCTTAAGCTCTTCACCCATCCGCATGAAATGGTTCCATGTTCTACCTAAAGAGCACCGATATTCTAGTACATGTTAGTCTGGGCAACATGTTCGGTGAGTTGTGGCACGAGGAAACTCACGATTCTCCGTTATAAGTCCTTCTAATAGCCTCGGCGATGGTATAGCTGATATCCATCTGTTGAATCTTCTTACATGACATGGCATGTGGTGGCAGCGGTAGCGTGTTGGAAACGACCAATCGATCAAGCTGGCTGCTCTCAATCACCTCGACCGAAGGCCCGCTGAGAAAGCCGTGGGTCACCACCGCGTTGCTCGTGGCCGCACCGTGGTCTTTGAGGACCTGCGCGGCGAGGGCCAGGGTTCCGCAGGTGTCGGCGATATCGTCCACGAGAACAGCGTTGCGGCCCTGGACGTCGCCTACCAGCACCATCCGACTTACTTTGTTGGCCACCTTGCGTTCCTTGTGGATGATGGCTAGTTCTACCCCGAGCTTGTCGGCAATGGCTGCGGCTCTGCCTCACAATGTTGGTCGGCTGGAGCGTAAGATGGAAAGGGCAAGAATACTATACCTTTTGGCGCCACCGGCATCTGGGGACACGATAACAAGGTCGGTGGTTGTGAACTCGCGTTCAATATAGTCAATCATGGCTCTTTCGGCGTAAAGCTATGTTTCGTTAGTTAAGGCCTGCTTCTAATCGGAATTACATTACGCACACTATTGAATATTGAAAGTTAGTCTTGAACTTTATCAAAGCGGTTTCAACTGAATAGTTCCTTACTTGTCTACAGGTATATTGAAGAAGCCTTGGATCTGAGAAGCATGTAAATCCATAGTCTGTGAGGAATGTTAGTCATTAAAATGTTAAGGCGTGAAAAATAAAGGCAAAACATACTATGACATGGTCACATCCAGCCACTTCGAGCATATTTGCGATGAGTTTGGCGGTGATGGGGGCTCTACTCCTGTCTTTCTTGTCTTGCCGTGAGTATGGGAAACAGGGCAACACGGCTGTGATCCTCCTCGCGGATGCCATCTTGCATGCACTAATGGCAATAAGCAACTCCATCAAGACATTGTTGACGGGTTCGCATGCGGTTTGAAGGATATAGACATCGTTGTCTCGGACGGACGTTGCGATGGTCACGGACGTCTCCCCATTGGAAAAGCGACTAGTCTCAATCCCTTGGGAGATATCGCAGTCGATTCTGAGAGTAGCACAAATGAGCTTATTGTTTCATCTGAATAGGAAATGAAAACTCAAGGAAGGACATACTGTAGACTGATTGCTTTGGCAAACTCCGGATGGCTAGTGCCTATGATTGAATGAGTATACACACGTGTATTCGTAGCCTCAATTGCTTGAAATAGGGAATCAAGGTCTTTACCACTAAGGAGATGTAACCTCTTTCCAGTCATGTCGCTTGCAGATTATAGGCTCCGAATATCTTTAGCTGATTGCTCAACTCTGTTGAATGTTGCCTCGAACCCTATCTCAGGAGGACACTTCATCCTCTTCCCGTATATTTACGACACAACCAAAGCAAAACTCGATGAACAACGCTCTGTTCATCTCGACCCATCATCACTATCCAGCGTACTGGTCGAGGCGGTTGATTAGATAATAGGAGGCGTGTGTGGTGGTGTGGAGTCCTGCGTACAAACACGCCCCCAGGTCTGCCGCAAAGGAGATCACGCTTATCTACAACCTGGGGAAATCTTCACGGCAATCAGCCACAAGATAACCAATGATTGCAAAGATGCCATTTCGTACACGCCTCTTTCGCCACTTGGGGATGCTAGGTCAGAGGCTTTGTCTATAGAAATGCCGGCGGTCACGTTGTTAGATTGACGGTTAGTGAACAGTTTACGAAGTTTAGACGCCCAGAGTTTTACACAAGATCCCATCAATATGACTGCAACGAACACAAACGGCTACTCTCCCACGGTTACCGTCCTGCCTCAGACGAAGTATCTGGTGAGCTTGATGACGGTGATCAGGGATGCACAGACCGGCTGCCCCGCGTTTGTCAATGCCTTCGAGAAGGTCTGCACCCAGTTGATGCCTGCAGGTACCGTAACCCATGCCACGCTATATCCCGTCATCTATAGACTGACAATATTTGGTTAGCGTTGGAGTTGCTACCAACAGAAAGCCGAGATGTGACCACGCCGACGGGGACTGTCTTCTCGGGGCTGTCCCACTTCCAGCCAATCTGCGGCGTCAGCATCTTGCGTGCTGGTGCTAGCATGGAGAACTCTCTCCGAAACTCGTACTTGTGAGTAGACAATAATTATTTATTCCTTATCGTATGTTGTCTTGTATAACATTCCGATTGCTGATTAATTCTTCAAATTATTCTAGAGGCCCATTGAGCTACGGCAAGATTCTGATACAGAGAGACGAGGAAACTTCTCTCCCGCACTTTGTCTACTGCAAACTCCCGAAAGATCTCGCCAACAAGAGTAAGTATTGCTGGGAAACGAGCCCAGGGAGTGTGGCTAACTATGTTGCTAGAGGTATTGATTCTTGAGCCCATGCTGGCCACGGGCGGTTCGGCCGCCAAGGCCATTGAAGTCCTCAAGGACAATGGAGTGCAAGAGTCCAACATCATTTTCGTGAACCTGGTGGCTTCAAGAAAGGGGCTGGATGTTGTGACGAAGAAGTTCCCGGCCATGCAGATCGTGACGGCTGCAGTTGATGAGGACCTGACGGCATCAAAGTGAGTATAATACTATTGACATCGTTTGCCGAGGATCTGGTGCTAATTGATTATTCACTTCTAGCCATATTGCCCCTGGATTGGGTGACTTTGGTGACCGGTTCTATGGGACGACTGACTGATTCCGATGGGCGAGTTCAGATACAGGATTGTTTGATAGGTACATGTAGTCATCGGGATTTGGGTATTGCATCTGTTTCACTGTTTGTACATAGTATTGGCCAGGAGATGAATGAATCAACTGAAAGCACTGCTACCCCATGCTCTCCTTTGACCAGCCTCTTTGGGCTGGAATCAAGTCGGTGACGAAAAGGCGGGCGCTATGAGTAATGAAAAATGCCAGATGTCACGAGACTCGACGGGATTGGTGTGTTGATGAGCCTCTGCTTCCAATCGCTGCCCGAAGTAATGGCCGTTGTGGGGTAATAGAGACATGTCGGCTCACACTCACAGACAGCGAGGGCCTGCACAACTTGTTGGCAAGGCATCACCGTACACCAGCTGCATTTCTTGGGCAGCAATCGAACATGACTGACTGGTCGTCTCAACGAAAAGCGATTTGCCTGGTTGGCTTGTTGGGAGTGCTTCAGGTACCGCTCAGGGGCGTGAGGTTAATTAGTGGATGCAGATAACGCTGTAGCGCGGCTGCTCAGGGCCTCCACCGCTAAGCACCCCTCTGTCCGGGCTCACGCGACAGTGGACACCCCGCTGTGCCGGGAGATAAGATAGCCCCGCCCACTGTAGCGTGCCACCCCTCTCCCCTGTAGCTGCCTGTAATTGGCATCAGAACGACAGACGTGATCCACTTGCCCATTCTCCTCCTCGCATCCAGATCTCTTGCGCTACGCGGAGAATAAAACCCAACTTCGCGAGAATCTCCTGGCCTTTCTTTCACACGAGGGAGTCTTTCCACGATCTTGAGCGTCCTTGACAGATCCTTTGTCTCCTTTCCGTCGTTACATCACCTCACAATGGCAGTCAATACCCAGTCCCCGGTGTCGCTGCCGACAACCACCACCGAGTTCCCCAACAGCCACGAAGTCGGTGAAGCCTCCATCACGCCATGGTTCCTCGACAACAAGTTCTATGTCTCTTCCAGCACAGACTTCATCGATGTCTACGACCCGTCCACCAACAAGCTCGTCACCCGCGTGCCCGAGAGCACCGATGCTGAGCTCCTCGCCGCCGTCGACTCTGCCGAGAAGGCCTTCCCCGCATGGAGTGCGACATCGGTCCTTACCCGCCAGCAAATCATGTTCAAGCTGGTGGCCCTCATCCGCGAAAACTGGGACCGTCTCGCTGCCGTGATTACCATCGAGCAGGGCAAGACTGTTGCCGATGCCAAGGGCGATGTCCTTCGTGGGCTGCAGGTGGCAGAGGCTGCTTGCGGTGCTCCTGAGCTGCTCAAGGGCGAGGTCCTGAGTCTTGGAAAGGATCTCGAGACGAGGACCTATCTCGAGCCATTAGGTGTTGTTGGAGTCATTTGCCCTTTCAGTACGTCTTTCCATGATCACAGCATATGTGCACTACCCTTGCTAACTACAGACTATTATAGACTTCCCTGCCATGATTCCTTTATGGTCACTCCCGGTTGCCACCGTTACAGGAAACACAGTTGTTATGAAGCCTTCAGAGAGGGATCCCGGTGCCGCAATGATTATTGCCGAGCTCTGCCAAAAGGCAGGCTTCCCCGAGGGTGTTGTCAACGTCATCCATGGAGCGCACAAGGCCGTCAACTTTATCCTTGACGAGCCCAGAATTAAGGCCATCAGTTTTGTTGGAAGCAATAAGGCTGGCGAGTACGTCTATACCCGTGGCTCTGCCAACGGCAAGCGAGTGCAGGCCAATCTTGGTGCCAAGAACCACGCCTTGGTACTTCCTGACTCCGACAAGGCTCAAGCCCTCAATGCCATTGCTGGAGCCGCCTTTGGAGCTGCTGGGCAGCGCTGCATGGCACTGAGTGTGCTTTTGCTGCAAGGAGAGGCCACCACGTGGCTGCCCGACCTGGTCGAGATTGCCAAGAAGCTGTCCGTCAACGGCGGGTTCGAGGCTGGTGCTGAACTAGGCCCCGTCATTTCTCCCCAGAGCAAGGCGCGGATCGAGGAGTTGATTGCATCAGCCGAGAAGGAGGGCGCCACGATCCTCCTTGATGGCCGTGGATTCAAGCCCCAAGGCGAGCAGTTCGCCAACGGAAACTGGGTTGGTCCAACAATCATCACTGGCGTGAAGCCGCACATGCAGTGCTATAAGGAGGAGATCTTCGGGCCGGTTCTTGTCTGTGCTGACGTGGCATCACTGGATGAGGGTATCGAGTTCATTAACGCCAACGAGTACGGTAACGGTGTGGCCATCTTCACATCTTCCGGCCCCGCGGCTGACTACTTCCGACGTGGCATCCAGGCTGGTCAAGTCGGCATCAATGTGCCCATTCCAGTGCCCCTGCCCATGTTTTCGTTCACCGGCAACAAGCGAAGTGTCGCTGGAGGCGGTGCAACTACCTTCTACGGGCGTCCTGGTGTCCGATTCTACACCCAGCAACAGACTGTGACATCCAGATGGGCAATCAGCCAGGCCCTCAAGTCAGGCAAGGCCGAGGTCGTCATGCCTACTCATTCATAAGTAGCCAATATCAATGAAAAAATCTCCATACTGTCTCTTTCTGAAATGTACGCTGGTGGAGGCTTGGTGATCTTTGATCGAATTCTGCGTTGTGAGACAGTGGCTGAGTCGAAAAGGGGGCGGACCATGGCGCCTTACGGGCGGATTTTGATCTTGCCTTGTTATGTAGGTCATCACTATACTCACGTACATGCTTAAGCCAACAGACAAAAGGATGCGTTCAGTTATATGAATAGTTTGTTCATATCGGCTTTCAATGTTAGCCAACGAGGCCTGTCAGAGGGGCGTACAACCTCGCGACGGCAAGTCCGATTAGTTCGGTTGCCGCTAGGTAGATATCATGACATTAGGCCTCGGAGAAAGTAATATTAGGGGCCAACTGTCTCGCCAAGATATTCATGCAATCGGCCGGTAAGTAGTGAGACCTTGCTCTCCCTAATCGTGGTTGGTTTGTCTCCATATCATCATATCCAATTTTCATGTATGGCTTAGTTGTTTCACACAGCCCGATTGAGTTTCATATATTCTCAAATGGTATGTTCTTGCTCGCCCTTGGTTGATTTAAAAGCGGTACAAGGGCACCTTGCGTTCAATTCATGGAAGAAGTGAGGTATAAATCACTTCAGTCCATGTCTTTCTTTCTTGCCCTTTCCAAACCCGTCCTCATCTAAAATTCCCTCCCATATCAAAGAATACTTTGAAGACATTTTCAGAGTTACCATGCTTCCTCCTGATGCTTGCACAACGCTGCCACCTCCCCTGGAGCTAGACCAAGACATTGCAGGTTTTGGCGTATGCTATTTCTACGCCTTGACTCCAAAATTACAAGAAATAGTGAATGGTCATAATGCTAATCAAAGAGGTTCTGAATAACAGGTATATCTGAGTTTTGTTATCTCGGGATGGTTCACAATTTTCATGGTATTGCTATACTACCTGCTCGCCTTCAATCCGACTCTTGATCCGTTCCGACTCGAGGGTTGTCATATGGAGTCAACTCACAGACCAAATCCAATCGACCTTGTGATCTATAACCGCTTCTCCTATTTTACCAAGCGCTTACAGTTGAGACAAGAACATACCAGGCAATTAATCGACAAGGCATTCACAAAGGTTAGTGCTATTCGGCGCCATAGATCGCACTGATCTTCAAGATTAATTGTCTCATAGTGTCTCCTGGTGCTTGCCGATACACAAATTATCACTGGAATGGCCATTCTCACCAGTGGATATTACGCCATGTCTAATGGATTGCCAACCCATTACTGGTCTATAATTGTGTACCTCGCTTGGTTCTCTTGCCTAACGCATCTGTCAGTCTTGACGTTCCTCCGGAATCATCTCTACCGTCATCCAGCTTCAAGGTCTTGGAGGTTAACAATGATGCTTATTTTAATGATTCTTCTGATAATTGCGATTTTCCCCACTGGCTATTTCGCAATAAGCACAAGTGACATGACCTATTTTAAACCGGACGTCTTGATAACTTTAAGTTGCGAAAAATATCACGAAAATAATCATCGGAGAAAGGTACTTGATCTGGGATACCAAAAAGTCGAATTTTGCAATGGCAGCATTTTCCCTTCCACCAACTCCACGATACCGACATTTGTCTTGCCTTCGTCGCCAGCTGCGTGTTTCTTCAAAGGCGGGATGCATTTCAACGGGCCTGAACCGGTCTCGATGTTGATTTCAATGCTATTGCTGATATACGGATCCTCAGTTAGAGCATGCAAAATTTTCAAGACTGTCTCGGACAAGCTTTCAAAGACTTTCCAGCAGGATGTAGATCATATCTATATCTATTTCATCGGCACAATAGACAGGCAGTTATCAAAATTACAACCTAGCCTCAAATTCTGGATATTATCAATTACTCTGCCCTTAATTTCCGGACTTTATTGCATTCTGAGGTTATTTTTGGACCTCTACTCATCTATGGCCATGGAGGTGAGTCATGATTCTATCATCCTGAGATAGTTCCCATCTAACGATTTAGATCGTATCCATCTCCTTATCGGGATTTTGGGGTATCTTACGTCTGAATGAACTTCGAAGCAGAACGTTTTTCGTTCTTGGGGAAGAAAAGACTTGGTCATTCGGACAAGTATTGCCCCTCGTAATGCTGGGGTCGCCTCTTCTAGCAATGTGTGAGCTAGTGTACAAAAGCTGTTTCCCGAACCAGGCCCTGACCACTCTAACTCCCGGCGGTACGAATATTGCGACAACTACTCCATGTGTGGGGATCATTGGGGATGAGACCAATTCTAACATTCCTGGTAAGCCCTGTCAAATGCAAATGCATATCGTAATGCTCAAATCCAAACCATTGCAAGACCACCACCCCATTACCTCCTACCGCACGGAAGGTCAGATAAATAGCTGGTTGCTGGCTTTCAGTTGTAGTGTCACTATTCAACTAATTTGCATATCCAGGGGACCCATCAGATCAAGGGTTGACACCCGCCCAGATTGGAAACAGCAGGAATACAATGATTAGAAAATCGAACTATCTGATTCAGCAAGCTAAGAACGGCTACAGTCTTACCCTTGGCCTTTCGCTTTTGATTGTGCCTTGCCCTTCACTATTGATTTTTGCCCTCCTTTTTCTCTCTCGTGGTGTGGAGCGATACATGGGTTCTTATGCGCCAAGCAACTCATCCGAAATTGTAGGAAGTGATTGCGAGGATTTTTTCGCTATTCTCCTTGAGACGTACGTGTGTATCATCATCCTCATCCGGATCGAGCATTGCAGCTTTCGGAAGGGCCTCAGATCTGCTGCTAGGGCTTTGACTGGTCTTGGGTTTGCACTGGTTGCGGCTGGGACGACAGTTTTTGGAGCCCTGGAGCCTGTCATCACCTTAGGAGAAATCAAAATTGGGCTCCAGGGGGAGTATGGTGGCAGCGTGATAGGAGGGTCATTTGGTTTTTATCTTGTCATTACATTGATATGGACCTATATAAAGTTTCGGGCTTGAAAGAACAAAATAAGGGAGAGTGTCCTTGTTCATCTTTAACGACTTGCTTCAGAACCCATACGAAGGGCAAATTAGAGATGGGAATCGAGCCATTTCTGTTTAGATGGGTCCGCATTGTCAAAGGGATTCTCTATTCGAAGCTCAAGTGGACGCGAAGTGGAATCTAGAAATCCCACCTTCTAAATAGAGTACGAAAACCATGCTCGGGGTTGGCGTATCCATCATTAAGCATCATCTTCAAATTGAAACCAGGGATGTCTGAGGACATCTTCCGCCGAAGGCCGCTTCTCCGGTTCATACACCAAAACCTTGGATACCAAGTCGTACAAAAGGTCAGCCTCATGCTTGGAGATTTTGGGAAGTGATTTTATAATCTCGTCCACTTTGTCGTTGTACCCTCGTAGATACTCCCCGTCAATGTTGATGGACCCCGGCATCCAGAATTTGGTCTCGTAACACGGAGGATATGGATCTTCTCGCCTGTACTCGGGCACGACAGGAGGGTTCTGGCAATGCAAATGGTCGGGGGGACGATCAAAGATTTTGCTGATCCAGTCACTCAAAGACAGCTTCTCAGAACGAAGGAAATCCGATAGACGATCACCAGCCGTGCCGTCTTTGATAGGGAGCCCATGCTTGTTGAATACCGGATCTCCCCATGAAGTTGGTAGAGGACCAAGATATTGAGCAATAGGCACCATTTGGTCAGCAGGTGCATCCATGGCAAACTCGGCAAATGGAGAAGCCCCAGATCTGAGATGCAGGAGCGTGCCTGTAAGAGCCCAGACATCGCTTGCGGGGCCGGCGGGCTTTCCGACAGCAACCTCTGGGGCGAGAAATCCTGGAGGAGTTCCGAGGACTTTCTGGGGTGGCTTCGATGTCAGAAATGCTTGGTCGAAGTCGATCAAGCAGACCTCGTCGCAGATGATATCTTCTCCAGAGGCCATAAAGTCAAGATATCCAACAACATAACGCGGAGCCTCTAGTCCAGGAGGCCCACCTGACTCTAGCTCTAACGGCCCGGTCCTCGGCTCACCGAATAGACGATAGATGCCCTGGTCATCGAGATGATCGAGGTTTCGGAGGCGAAAGACAATGTTGCTTGGGGTTATATCTAGTAAACAGGTCAGAATCGGAATCATGAATTATGAAAAGTTCCAATGGATAACTTACCTCCATGGCAGAGGCCATGAGAATGCAGATCCGCAACCGTTCGCGCAATTTGGCTAATGACGGAACGAACTTCTTTTGGATGCATTCTGCTTCGGAGAAAGTTCGACATAGCATACGCCGATGGGCCCATGAAGGGAAGAACTAGGCATAGATGACGACCATTTGGACCATCTATGTGGAAAAGCTCGCTGTAGGTGAGAATCCTGCCATCTGCCCAAGCGGAGGTGAAGTCGTGACACATTTTGACTTTTTCTTCGAAAACCGCCGAGTGGTCCGCCACGACGATTTTCAGAGCCACCCAGGTCGAAAGCTGAGAGTCACGGGCTAGCCAAACGGTCGAATATCCTCCAGAGCCAATCTTGTGGACGATGCGATAGCGGCCGTCATTGTAGAGATCGCCAAGATGGACGGTATGAAACCCGCCTTTTTCATAGCGTTCCACTTCCTCGGAGTCGCCGACTTGAGGCAGAAGGTAGCGAAACGAGTCATCTGAACGAACAGATTCGCAGTCGAGGTCAGTCGCCATGCTTGGTTATTCAAGGTAGGGCGATTGAGCGAGGGACGGGTGATGATGGAAAGAAGTGGTTGCCTGAATGTTCATGTTGGTTCTAACTTTGAGCTTGCCGAAGTTTGAGCGGTACGCGCCAATATGTACATAATGGGAGACGCGCTTCGCGGCTGCTGCGCGCCTGAAACTACATACAATGTTGTACCTTAAACACCCGAACTTCAGTGATACGCATGCACATATGCTTCGCCTGAAATGCAGCTCATGGACATGCTTAACCGCCAAGGCATCCCCGCCGAACAAATCTTTCTACCCTCCTGTTAGTCATTGCTTGTCTAAACTAATTATTTGGATATATACAGACTTGTCTGCGAGCTTGGAGGAAGAAGCATCCAGAGCAGCGTTCTGAGGCTGACCAACATGCAATCCAAACAAGACCGTTGATGCTGCCAGGGCATCATAGGGGTAGGCAAAACTGACGAAGCCGGGGCTTGAGTAGGCTATGGCTAGTTTTATCATGAATAGGCACAGCAGCTATTGATCGCATTCATCATCATCGCAGCAAATAGGATCTGACTAACCTGCTCAAAGCAGCCCGAGGCTACGGCTATTGTTTACATTCACAATGGCCAGGGTGAATAGGATCGAGAAGGGCTCTGACTCACCTACTCAAGGCTATGGCTGTTAATCGTATTCATGAGGGCTGCAGTGGATAGGATCAGGCCTACCTGCCCGAAGCTGCAGCTATTGATCGTATTCATCAATATCACAGTGAATAGGATCGAAATTACCTGCTCGAGGCTGCGGCTGTTGATTATATTCATAAGGCTCATAAAATACGCACGTACACTTCCTCGCTTTACTACAAAACGCCTTCCTCGAACTTTACCATCGCATCATCATAAACAGGATAACCCGAGGGCGGATTTTCTCTCGACCAATATCCGATTATTTAAGAATCCAGCAGCTATAACCCATCGACGTAAAGAGCGACCTACCCTCACAGAAATACACAAAGCTGGAAGCTGCATCCAACCCCTGAAGGGGTCAGATAACACCTTCTCTTTTCCAGCTTTGCCAAACAAGGCGGTTGCGACTATCTCTCACTGTATGTATTCAAGGCTACCATGATTGTACTCTTGGGAGATGTTCATCTTCTGCTCCATCTTCTCCTCAGTTCATCTCCTCTCAGCCTGACCTTTACAGCTCGCAGGGCTCACACGATTGCTAATGAACTTTTATTAGCATATACCCCACTTCCGATTCCTTTTCCCGATCTTTCCAAGCACAATGGTCCTGGTCGAATGGCATTGCACTCCTATTGGTGGTCTTAGAGAAGCAATGCTTAGACTGTCCCTTGAAGCTGCTGAAGCGGGCGAGTATGATGAGGTCGATATATTGTGAGTCTAATCTTCGTGCTTCTGAAACCGATGCCATTATATGTTGTATTGAAGCTATCGACCTATGAAGCTGTTCTTTCTACACACATCATGCTGATAATATTTGATGGGCAGGAGTACCCCGAAAACGACAACGGCGTTTCGAAGCGCCAGCCCTCACTTCAAGATTATGCTTCGCGGCGACGACAATGGACGAAGGGTGTCACACGAGCACCATGTCAAGATAGCGCATAGAGATGCCTCCGGACGAACATGGCGCTACCAGATCCAAAAACGAAACCGCGAGGAAAGCTATGACTACACAACCCTCGTGGCAACGAACTCCCACCGAAGTAACTCCCCGCGCCGGCGTCGGGAGCAAAGGGAAGCTGAGGCCGCAAGATTGGCTGCAGCTGCTTCACAACAGGCACAGCCTGATGGCTGGTATGCCGACCCATGGGCTGGAGACACCGGGAAAACGTGGAGATGGTTTCAGAATGGCCAGTGGTCAGGGCATACGCGCTGATTTTCGGTTCTTTCTCCGACACCAAGTGTCGATTCGTTGCAATAAGGGCGCGGAATACCTAAGATACGTGGTATGTCGAAGGCACAGGCTTTTGTGGTGTGCGCAGACGGATGACGAGTCGAGGATAACTCGCCAAGTGGGTGGAACAAAACATCAATGATGGCACAACAAACCTCTTTCTGCGTGAGCTAGGGACCTCGTTTTTAACTAACTAAATACAATAACAAGAGAAGAGTAAGAGAATAGCAAGAGAATAATAAACTATTCTATAATATTGAGCTTGATATTGTATTCAGTACGAGATTGTTTATAGTGATATTGTGTTGAAATTTAATGCTAAATTATCTCGATGGGCCATGTTTTATTCCACCCATTTGCTCGCCTCATGTATGTAATTGAGGACTCTAATACAGTTGCAAGCAACCATATACAGTAGTGCTTTTGCTAGCTAATTAGGTACATTAAAACTTTTTCTTACTTTCGATTACTGCGGATAAAACTCATTCTAATATTCTCGGTAAATCCTGTCAAATACAATTGTGTCAAATTTCCTACGCCAGATCGAGCTCTGTGGTTTTGAGAAGATTTCTAGAGTTCACGACTAGAATCATGGTTGGTGATCTTATATCCTTACCCGCAATTAAACTTAGAGTCTTCGAATATTCTTGTGAAGCTTGGTAGGCTTCTTGGGCATGGGGTGTAGCATGGAAAATTGTAGCCCGTAAAGCTCGCTAAACATTCTTTAAAAGGTTCTGGAGCCCTCAAATACTCAGCCACCTGTCTACATGTTCCAGTGCAGTACCACAGCTGAACTCCCTTGGGAATATACACCAGTAGTAAGCGCGCGCGATCTGACGTGGCAAGGGTTGATTGGCTTTGAAATCGAGAACGCCCTCGGCTGCGCAACCGCCTCGTTGCTTTGCAAGTGGATCTTTTCAATACGGACCGCTTATGGGTCGCATCTGTTGTGGCTGAGCCGCTGAGGCAAAAGAGCAGCCTTCAATCCTTTGTCCATTCCCCGCATGACCGACTAGTCGAAGAGTTCTCCCACAACGAACCTGAAAGCACGGAGTAAAAAATCGCATTGAATCCGGGATCAAGAACACCTTCCCACCCCTCAATGAGCGAAACGCGCTGGGACGCGCTGCAGGACTATCGGCTGGAAACGCAACAAGCCCAAAACTCGCGCTATGTGACGCACATTGTTGAAGACCCAGACCAGCCACCCTCGGCTCCCTCACGAGTTGAGGTCTGGAAGACATCTAGGGTTCCGATTGGAGAGGGCGGCCAGGGAAAGGTGTATTTACAAACCTGCGTGAGCGGTGGTAGGCACCATAAACTACGAGCCCTGAAAACGATACAGTGCGACGGAGAGGCTGGAAAGAAGCGACAAGTACGGGAATTGGAAACGATGGTCAAGTTCTCACACGAAAGGGTACCAAATTCTATGTTATTTGCAGCAAGAATGAGTTGGGTAGGCTAATTTCGAGCTAGTATTCCAAATATTTCGTCCGGATGTTGGGGTGGTACGAATTCGACAGGAACCTGTGTATTGCGATGGAGTATTTCCCCGAAGGTGATTTGCAATCCTACCTCCGTGATCGAGCACGGTTAAACGAGGGAGAGACCCGGGAAGTGATAAGCCAAGTGCTACAAGGTCTGGCTATTATGCACAAGTCTGGGCTTGCGCACCGAGATATCAAACCACAAGTGAGAAACGTGAACAAAACCAGATAAAGGATAACAATCTAATGCCAATATCTAGAACATTCTGATTCAACAGTGCCCGAAGCCGAACGCTCCTGCTTCGTGGTGGGTCAAACTGGCGGACTTTGGCATCAGCAAGAGAACGGACTCAATGTTTACCGTAGCCGGGGGGGCAGTTGGCACTCTCCAGTACATGGCCCCTGAAATCGTCGATAGGTCCGAGACAGATTCGGACCTGAATTACCAATCAACCGATATATGGGCTGTTGGGGCCATGACTATGTATATATTGACGGGTGTACGCGATTTCCGGAAGCGGCGTCTTGAATGCAAAGAGATACAGGACGCAGGCAACATCCTACCGCAGGGATACGAAATGAGCTTAGATGGGTTGGATTTCGTTTTCAAATCATCGTTTAAAAGCCCGAGCGAGAGACCGAAAATCGACGAGATGATAGCGCATCAGTGGGTGAACCAACTCATGCCCAGGTTGGCTATTCCGGCTGTACCATTCACGAACAATGATGAGTACGAATTTCCAATTCCATGGCAAGTTCATAGAGCTAATGTTTATAGCTCTGTGCCCTCATCTCCCGATAGCTTGTTAGGCAGTGAAGAAGAAATAACGGACCTGGCAACGAAGCTCACCGAGACGGGCTTGGAGTATAAGCCCGCCATTGAGACTCCCGATAAACTTGATAAAGGCAAAACCGTCGAGAAGATCACAAAGCCTGCCGCGTTAGACTATCTAATTACGCCTGAGGAGAATACGATAAAAAGTGAATTGGCCAATTCTCTTCTCTCCGCGGTTAACAAGGGACACTGTGAGCTGGCCGAGCAGCTCCTGGATATGGGAGCTGACCTGGAAGCTCGAGATAAACGCTCGAGCTCACCGCTATATATCGCCGCATACCGTGGGCATGCAAAGATAGTCGAGCTTCTTCTTGGCAGAGGAGCCAGCGTTGCAGCCGCCAATATCGAACGATGGACGCCTATCAATGTGGCAGCCTCATTTGGGCGTCTGCAAATTGTGAGAGTTCTATGGGAGAACGGGGCCAACATAACCACGCCCAATCAGGATGGATGGACTCCTATATATTCAGCGTCTCGGTATGGGCATATCAACGTGGTAGAGTTTCTCGCTGATAAGGGGGCTGACATCGGCAAACGAGACAATTACGGAATGCCCCCTCTACTGGCAGCTGCCAGTCACAACTATGTTAATATAGTAGCACTCTTATCTGACAGAGGGGCTGATTTCATCAGTTCAGATGACCAGGGGCAGACCCCTCTGTTTGTGGCAGCTCTCAATGGATATGTTGAGCTTGTCCAACTACTGATTGGCAAAGGTGCTGCCACAGTGTCAACGGGGGCTGGCGCATCGATCCCTCTTTACGCGGCGGCCCATAACGGACATATTGATGTCGTGGAGCTGCTTTGTGAGGCAGGGGCTGATATCAAGGTGTGCGATGAGGCAGGGCAGACTCCCTTCACTGCAGCAGCCTCGAATGGGCACAAGGACACAGTCAAGTTACTGAACCACGCACAAACATCGCGCTTGATCAGACATAACAACTTCCAGACCTTGACTAGCAAATGCGCCAAGGTGCGCTTGGCTAATATACCGCGAAGGTTAATCTACCACTCCACGTCATCCAAGTCCTCCACCGAATACCTCAGCGATGCGTCGAAGCGTAAATTGTTCGCTGTGTCCATATCAGAAGATGAGTCCAGCAAGGGAGCAGACCGGATATTTTGGGTTCTGCACAGCGGCGCGTCAAAAACTGGCGCTGTCCTCGCGGCTGGAGGCGAGATCGCGAAGGGAATCCAAACAACCACACTGGATACAATAATCAATGTTGCGGCCCTCCGAGGGACAAAGGAGGCAAAGAAGGAAATACCCGCTACTATGATATTACGAGCAGGTCTAACGGAGGATGGGCTGACCGTCATATTCCGTTTCACGGTGAATCACGTCTTTGAGTGGAGACGGGTAGTGAAGGATGAAGGAGTTCTAGGCAGCCCAAGAGAATTCAAGCTCTATCGCCTGGACGAGCCGGGAATAGAAATGACAGATCCCAGAGTCCTCGACAAGGCGAGCGCTGAATCAGTGAAAAGTGATCCGTTGGCGTCCTTCCGCATGGATGGCGAGCCTGGTGACTTCAAAGCGTTCAATCTTAAGATTTTAACGGCTTTGAGTAACCGTGAGGCTTTGATGGCTCTCAGCACATCTTTGTCTATTAGGAGCCTTACGAAAAAGGGGCGGGCATCAGTCAACTATTTGAGGGCCATCATTGGTTTCGATCTGATTTAAATTGAAATTATTCACCTTTGGGGCTTGTTGATGGCCATATCATGGTGTCTGTCAGTGGTCTTCTTTTGCTCATACTTGAGGCTGAGTATCAGAAGAAGTGAAATCTATGAGCCTAGACTTTAATGGATTTATAAGCCATCAAGTATCAATACAAATGAAGATTCAAGGACTCTTGCCATAACACCTATCTACAGCCTAACAGCGCTGTAGTTTGTAGGTTCCAAATTTTCGCTATGTTATGCGCTAAGAGGAATCGAGCGAAAACCTCCCTTCAACACACAACTCTGGAGATGCTGAGCAATATCCGAAAATTGCTTCAAGCACCCTCAGGCGCACGCGTGCAAGTACTCTCTGACCTTCACCTAGAGGTCGGCAGCCAATACGCGACGTACAGATTTCCCGTCGCGGCGCCCTTCCTCCTGCTGGCAGGGGACATTGGCCGCCTCATCGACTACGACAGCTATCTCGAATTTCTCGCCGCCCAAGTGTCACGATTCGACAAGGTGTTCTTGATATTGGGAAACCACGAGTTCTACGGCCTGGAACATCAAGCTGGAATTGAAGAGGCACAGCGACTCTCCAAGGAGCCGGCATTACAAGAAAAGCTGGTCCTTCTGCACAAGTCACGTTGGGACGATCCCGACTCAAGCCTCACCATTCTCGGCTGCACCCTCTGGTCGTCCGTCCCAGAGACAGCAATGGAGATTGTCGAATACAAGATTAGCGATTTCAAAAAGATCCAAAACTGGACTGTCCACGACCACAACCGCGTTCACGCAGACGAACTTGGGTGGCTTCGTGACCAGGTTTCCCAGGCGAAGCAGAACAATCGGACGATTCTAGTTGCAACGCACCACGCGCCATGCATAGAGGGAAGCTCGCGACCGGAACATGCGCAGAATCCGTGGACATCGGCCTTCGCCAGTGAACTACTAGGCGACAAGAGCTGGGAAGGAGTCAAGTTCTGGGTATTTGGTCACACCCACTACACGACGAGGTTTACAAGACAAGGAATTGAATTGGTGGCGAATCAGCGAGGATATGTGCTTCCAGGCGGCTCAGCGCAAGGAGAAGGAGGAGCTTCAACGACGAAGGCGAAGAGGCAGAGGAATACGTTTGATCCATCTTGTACCATTAAAATATAGAATCGCGAGTTATAAACGAATCATCCATGGGTCTATCACAAGGTAATTTATATTAGAAGGCCATGCTTTATACAACTGCTGCTAAGGATACTATCTAATACAATGCCTCTATAGATCTTATCCACGAGCTCTGCCGATCCAAGGGAGTGCCAAGGCCTGGGAAGAAGACAACCTCTTGTCTGGGGGCGTGGAAAGCAACTGGTCCAATAAATCGATACACGCCTCACTTGCTCCGAGATCAATAAGCATCTGGCGAGGGAACTGCTCACTGGTTGAATCGCCGTCAACAACTTCAGGCAGAGTCTGGTTGGTGAGAAGTTGAAAGGCAAGGGCTCCGGTTGCCCACACATCTATCATCTTCCCACGCGTAGCCTCGCGCATGGCCTCAACCTCGGCGAAATCCGGGTCAACACTCTTTGGGGGCAGAAGTTGCTTTTTGCGTTCCTCGGGCGGCAGGTAGAGAAGGCTCTTCTCATTCGTGCGGAAGGATTCAACCTCTGCAGCCTTCTTTGAGAGACCAAAGTCGCCGAGTTTGACCCACCACCGTGGTGCCGTGTCTACCACGAAGATGTTCTTTAAGGTAAAGTCAGCTTTTGGCAAATAGGAAAAGGTTTCAATCTTGAGATATGACTTACTGATGGTTCGAGCGCTCCATACACGAACCCACTCTCGTGCACCAAGTCGAGGGCCACGAGGATTTGAGATATGATCAGCCGGACATGTTCTTCGGGGAACTTGAACCACATAAAGTGCCGCAAGTCTCCGAAGAGGTGAAACTCCATGGATACTAGTATGGAATCCTCGTTTTCGTACCATCCGTAGGATTGCACGAAACGGGCCCTGTGCTAATCCGCGTGTTAGGCTTGTTGGATTCGGATTATCAGGGTGTGCGATGAGAAACTACTTACTTCTTCTTGCGAGAACTTGGCAATAGCTTCGAGCTGTTTAGTATAGTCCACAAATTCCGAAGCATCGGCGGCTCTGCTTGAGATCCTTTTGGGGATCTCCTTCACAGCGCGGAGTTGGCCGCCTTCTTCTCCGCTGATGCACTTCTCAAGCCAAGTGCTGCTGGACGCTGATGACCCGATCTTGCGCTCCCTTGTCCACCTAGATTCTCTTCTCACCTGCCGCTGCTGGTTTCCAGCATCGGCCACATAAGAGACATGATAGAAGCTGCGGTTATCGTCGCCAAAGGTCGTTTGTAGCATCGAATCCTTAACGAGGGTGGGAGCTTTGCGTCGCGAGCTGAGGAAGACGTCTTGGCTGCTCGGCCTCCCCGCGATCGTCTCAGGCAAATCCACAACCGGGCTCGCAGATGACTCTCCAGCAGAGTGGTCCAAGGGCGCGTACGGCGGAGGAGGAGCCGCGCCGTCCGGCACATCCCGCACGTTGACAAAGTCGCCCGCCCCCCACGGCCTGAGAATCCTCCTGTTCATCCTATGCTTCCAGATGGTCGAGCCCACCTGCTCTGAATGGAGGGCCGCCTCGTCGCGCAGCAGGGCGGCCAGCTCCGCGGCGTACTTCTTGATGCGCACGAACTGCACCGCCTTCTCGTCGTCTTTGCCTTCGCCCTCGCCGCCCTCCTCCTCCGACGCCTTGTCCTCCACGACGGTGTCCAGGGAGCCGGGGAGCTGGCTCGCCCATTCCTTGAACCGGGGGGAGCCCTCGTGCGCGCAGTAGTCAATCACCTGCATCGACTTGAACGCCTGGACTGGGCTGTCGCGCCACTTGAGTACGTCCGAGTAGAGGACGTCGCAGAGGTTGTCGACTTGGACCTGCCTTGAGAAGAGTCAGTGGCCGATTGGATGCGACGGGATGAGAATTAGTACGTACGGTTTGTGGGTGTATTCTGCCACCTTTTTGAGCTTCTTTTCGAGGACCACCTCATCGGCATAGAGGGGAGCGACGATGTCGCCCAGCACCCAGGCGGCCTTGCCCGCGTACCAGATTGAAGACATGGGCATTCTAGTGCGCGTATCGCGTATGTGTTGGATGGAGAATGAAGGGTTCGCGATGGCGGCGATGAGGTATATGAAGAGGGTTGATTGCGGCTATGTTGGTGGCCAAACTGCTGCCTGTCTTCACCCCTGTCCCTTTGAACTCACCAACAGCTCAATTCCAGGGCGGATTGCCCAGTGGGATGATCTTGGCCAAGGGTCTTTGGTTGGTTGCCCCATTTTACCAAGCCCACGTGCCGTTTCATTTGTCCTTGATCCAAGAGGAGCCGGGCGTCAGAGCGTCAGAACGTCATAACTCACTGAAAGCGGGATCCCCGGACGAGACAATAGAAACAGGGCAACTGTTCAACAATGCTGGGACAATAGCGCGTGTTGGTGAAAAGGGGATGATGAACCGAATTGCTGTTAGTTGGCCCTCGGGCAAAGGCTTATTGTAAGCAGCCACACTGAGCCTCGCAACAGGCGTTCTTCTGGGCTTCTGGCGATAGTTACATGCCCGTCCGAGAATAGCTACCCTTTGTGGCCGATGACCCTTGCTCGGTTTAAAACATGTTACATTATATATTAACATAGAAGAGACAAAGTAGAATCAACTAAAAGGCGATTTCAAATACCTTTTGTATTTATCTCCAACGAAGCATAGAAGCAATCGGTGGACATTGTGGTAGGGAGTGAAACCCCAGTCTAGGGTAGCCTCAACTCTTTGGCTAAACGATCCAAAGCTTTACTCGTAAAACCGCGGGAAAAGTGCTTTGGAAGAAAGACCGGACATCTCGTTCATATCAATCTTTGAATCTGGTCATATTGATAATTAAACTATGGTGAGACTCTCATATAACGTGCTCATTAGTATTCAATTATGTTTGGTCATGAATATAAACCGACCGATTTTGGTTGTTCAACGCGCGCAATAAAGCTAGGAAGAAAGAAATAGAATAAAACAAAAGCCCATCGAGATTTTTTGCTCGTTGTTATCCAAAAAGTCTTATTAAAGGTATTAGTCGTCATTATGAAATACTTTTTTCTTAAAAAAAAAACGAATAGCTAGAAAGGATGGTAACCCAACGTGTGTTTTCCCCTGTCATACCCTCCATATGCATGTGGACGTTTGCGATAGATGAAGTCACTTTCATCTCTTCTGCACTTTTTAGATTTTTCATCATGCCCTCTTACGCGAGTCCCACACTCAAACCATGTTTTTGCATTATGAAATGTAGCCCATAAGGCCCATACGCCCTTGGATCTGGATCATCCCACAGCAGCTGCAGAACATCCCCAACAATAGCCATGTGTTTCATACCGTATTTCATCGAGTATATCTCCTGCAAGAGTACATTCTGTTCGTCGGGAATGAGCGTGCAGGACCCCGCAATCACGACGGGCCACAGCAAGATGACTGTATATTGCGAAGGGAGGACCACATGCGCGTAGTTGTATAGCTGGCTTATATACTCCTGGATGGCGCACAGGTCGGCCGCGTCTGAGATGACTGAGCCGGCGAGCGCCGATCTGAGGTAGATGTACAAGCCGAGTCGTATCATCTCGGCCACCCGGCTGATTTGCTCGCGTCTGTCGGTGTCTCCCTCCTGGTACCGGGGATCAAGTCGCCAGGATTGGATACGGTTGTAGAGATCATCACCCATCCTAATGAGATTTGGTGATGGCGAATCTAGACCTTGTGACTCTTCGTTGAGCCTCTGCGAAGCTATCACGCTTATCAACGGCACGAGTCTGAATAGCCCGCAGGTTCCGGCAAATATAGGCTCAAAGCTCAAAGGTCCTGTCATTTGAGGCTCCTCGATGTCGGTTAGAAATGGGTCCAAAGGAAAGGAACGCTCTGAGGTGATTCCATATGGCGTGAGCGTGTTCGAAAATACTAGATATCTGTACAGCTCAATGCTGAAGCTCAGTCTTTCGGAATTAATTTTGGAAGACGTAGATTTAGTCGATCCATCACCGAGGAGTGACAATATAAGTCTTCGGCTAGCATGGAGGTGTTTGAACGTTGCTCCTTGGGTATCACCAGAGACAATCTTCAATTCGATGTTAGTTCACCCACAGTTTAACGGACGGGTGGGCTCAACTCACCTCGTAAAGACATGTGATTCCCAAAACACTCAATAGTCTTTCTTTACACTCTAGATCATTGTCCTCGAGGCGTGCAACTTCGACTCTCAAGCCTCTGATGAGATTTGCATAATGTAGCCTAGTCGAATCTGCCAATACCATGTTGGTAGGGTTTTTGTGTGCCAGATGGGCGCCGCCGAGGGCCAAGAGGCTATGCATGAGCAAATCGTCTATGCATCCGAGAGGCATGAGAAGCATGAGGAGAGGATTATTTCGAAGAGGGGTCATGGCGAAGAAGGACACGGTCTCCCTGGCGAAATGTCCAAGCAGGAGGACAGAGTGAGGCGTGAGTGCGCATGCCCGATCATCTCCGGTGAAAATGTTCGGATAAGGGCCAGGGCCAGGGGAGGCTTGTCCTTGTGCCTGATTATCGGTGCGATCATCATCCTTGGGTCGCGGGTATATCGCATCTGTCTGACTGCCTCCGTTCCAGGCAACGTATGCTGGCCATTTGCACTCAAGTAGATTCCGTCGACATCCTGCGCATCGCGGCCTGACTTCGTCGCACTTCTTCTTCCGAGAGCGGCAGGTCAAGCACCCGGTTCTCGTTCGAGAATGGCGTGGGCCTCTATTCGACTCCATGATGGACACGATGTGGGAAGATTTCCCGCGAGCGCGGTTGGGATGGGTCCAAGTCGCGGGAAGGAGATCTTGGTCCATGCTTAATATTGGTCCCAGGGGCCCGCGGACACCCCGCGTAATCTGCCAAGGATTACCAGCATCGAGGATGGTGAGATGGAGAGAACTTTGGATGAGGTTTAGCGTCATGCAGAGCGCGGTTGGAACGGAGCCCGCCTCTTGCACAGCCAGGAAAGCCGCGTGCCGGCATCCAGAATAGGGAATGATGGTCGCTGTGCCACGATGGACGAAAACTATCGTCATTGTCAGATTCATCTTGGCGAGACTGCAAAAGAGAATTCATAATCAGATGGAAGATGAAGGCTATAAAAGGGCTGATGATGTCTCCTTAACTGTGTTGCGGATATTCTCAACTCCTCATCACACAGTCACAATCAACAATTAGCACGCATCTAATCATTTGAGCTTCTCTACTCATGAAGTCACTTTTCCATATTCCATCTCTCGCAACAACACTGCGAACAATGGCCACCATTTCCCTGATCGGTGCTGATGTCGCAGCCTGCGAGAAACCACCCACTGAAGTTGATGTTGTCGTCGTCGGTGGTGGATTCTCAGGCCTCAAGTCGGCCTATGATCTGCAGCAAGCCGGCCTGAGCACCGTCGTCCTCGAAGCCAAGGAGGCAATTGGCGGCAGGTCTCGTTCAATACACCGACAGAGCGGCGATGGCATTATTGAACTTGGCGCCACTTGGATCAACAACACCACCCAGCCGAGAGTGACAGCCCTCGTTGACAAGTTTGGATTGGACACCGCGGTGCAATACACTGCGGGTGATGCGGTCTTTCAAGGACCCGACGGCCAAGCCAGAAGGATTCCTCCAGGTAGTCCAAATGTAAGATAGCCAAACACCCAGCATGGTGCATAATCTAACAGCTTTGTGCCATAGGCCGGTAACGAGGAGGACGCGGCGATAGAAATCAGCCTCCTCGGCAAAGTTGACGCGGCAGCCGAGGCGGTAAATATCACGTACTGGAAAGACTATCCCGAAGACCAGGACGTCACACTTGATGAGTGGCTTGCCAAGAGTGGCTATGGGAACTCTTCGCATGCTCGCGGTCTCGCAGGTCACCTAGCTAGAGCTCTCGTGGGGCGGGAGTCTCATGAAACCGGTGTTCACTATCTGCTCGACTACATCAAATCCGGCCTCGGATTGGTGAGTCTGAATAGTGAGGACGAAGGCGGAGCTCAGTATCTCAAGATCAAACAAGGTATGCAGAGCCCATCCCATGATTTATGGCTTAAGCGTGTTGAAACCTCTGCTGACACACCTGATAGGAACCACTTCAATCGCGACGAATCTGGCAAAGGCCATGACCCCTGGAAGCGTCTTGGTCAACACGCCCGTCAAGGCAATCAAGCAGCACAAAGATGTCTCGATCGTCACAGCGCAGACCGGGCAAGTTTTCAAAGCGAAGAAGGTCATCATCGCCATCCCGACCAACACCTACCGCGAAATCACATTCTCCCCACCCCTGCCCAAGAAGAAGGAGACTCTCGTATCCAACACGAAGCCAGGTATCTACGGAAAGATGATCCTCTCCTACAACGAGCCTTGGTGGAGAGACGCAGGCCTGGTTGGCAAATTCACGTCCGTCTCGGGACCGCTCTGCTTCAGCTGGGACACGTCGGACCCTTCAAAGTCCCAGTACAGTCTTGCTGCGTTTATCGCCGGCGACATTGCAACAAAATGGCACGCCCTTACCGATGAGGAGAGGAAGAGTTCCATCATCAGCCATTTGGAGTCGCTTGTCGGCGAGGACCTTGCAGGTAAAGCGCGTGATGTGCTGGAGATCAACTATGCCGAGTGGACAAAGGAAGAATTCATATGGGGGGCACCAACCAGCGCCATGGGCCCTGGATTGCTGAGGAAGTATGGGGATGCCCTGAGAGAGTCCTATGGCAATCTCCATTTCGGAGGCGGAGAGACTGCCTATGAGTGGAAGGGGTATCTGGAGGGGGCCGTCAGGGCAGGTGAACGAGTTGCGGCAGAAGTCATTGAAGCTCTTGGTAAGGGGCAGAAGTAGATTCCAGTACGTCTGCCGGCACACCGAAGGCGGTGTCATTTTATCTGACAATGGCTGGAAAGATGTTATAGTATTTGATGATTTGGTAACTGGGGGAGATTGAAACACCTAAGATCAAACACCATCCATATACATTTCTCAAGTCTGTTTGGGAAATATCTAGGGAAATACGAGCTAAATTCTGATTCATTCATTTTTACATCAATTGTCTATTAACACTACATTAATGAAATTTAAGCGCCAGTGCCGTACAAACGATCTCCGATATCGCCAATGCCAGGCTGAATGTGGCCCTTGGCATCAACCTCCGGGTCTATCGCCCCGACAATGAAATTTGTGCTCTCTGGCCATACGCCCGAGGCGGCGGCGAGGCCGACTTTGCTGGCGAGGATGTTGACGACAGTGACCTTTGGGACGCCCCAATCTCTACGCGTGATGGGTTAGCATTGCAACAATGGAGTGTACATGTAAGTATGCGAGTGTAGCAGGGTGGTAGAACGTACTTTAGAATGTTGATAGCTGCTGTGACGGTGCCACCAGTAGCAAGTACGGGGTCAAGGACATATGCGTGCTTGATCTTGGGGTCTTTGGCGGGCAACTTGTTGTAGTACTCGACAGGCTGGAGTGAGGTCTTGTCTCGGAACAGACCGAGGTGGTAGATAGAGACGTCTGCGTCGGCCGGGAGCTGAGACACAAAGGAGTCGCTCATGGCCATGCCGGACCGGAGGATGACGATAATGGCAAGCTTCTCGTCGGCATCGGGGGCTGTGATGGCATCTTGGACGATTGACTTGGTGAGCTCGCTGACGAGCTGGCGGACCTTGGTGGGCTTGATGGAGCGGTCGCGGAGGGATTCGAGATCAGATGCGAACTCGCTCTTGGAGCATGTTACGATCTTGGAAGCCATTTTAATGTGTGCGTGTGTGATTGGAGCCGGCGACTTGGATGACAGTGATGGCTCAAATCTGGGATGGGATCAAAGGCAGGTAATATGTTCAACGGTGTAGATTGACGCACGTACGGATGGTAGAGATGGTCGATTGTCCCAAGTGACTTATAGAGAGCGTGAAGGTAACAAGTGTCTCATCCTGTGTGTGCCATCGGGTTGGTGTGGCATTACTACTGACTGCTGCCAGTTGCGATAGTGAGAGAGGAGGAGGGGTGCGATAACAGTGGATGAGATTGGCCCTGCGCTTGTTATCGGGCTGCTGCTATCGACACACTGGGAAGGGGGTGTAGCTAGCCGAGATAGAGTGTGGAATTGACCAGGAGAATCCGATTGCTGCTATCCACTGCTATCCGTCTGGAGTGTGGACATACCTTGGACAGATTGAGTTCATCGAGAGGACTCCTGAAGGTGATTGAGGTGAGTGAATTGACAGAGGGGTGCGGGTTGAATAGATCATTGGGAGGTAAACACTCACCCCGCGTTAGAGGGCAGGCAACTGTAATTAGTGCATCGGCCGCTGGAGGATAGGCGTTGCAGCCCCTGTGAGTTAGCAGTAGATCACTGGCTTCTGGCCACTGACTTGCGGTGTGTGTCTGCCCAACGAGCATCTTCCTCCCATTTGCCTCTGGCTCGAGCAGCACGAGAAAATCTTCCCCTCATCCATTAAAAAACAGAGACAGAGGCCTGAGTCTCTCCATCCCGCATTGGACTGACATCGCGCGTGACGTGACGTGGCTCCAGACAATCGCCCACCGCCATCTCCATCCTACATCATCACCATTCCATCCTTCCCACGCATCTCTGACGGACATTGCATCCATCACAGTCAATCATAATCGCAATCATGGCATCCGACAGAGACTACATCCTCTCCCTCCAGGCCGTGCGGGCACAGGCATCCGTCGTCCTCGACGCCGCCAAACAAGGCGGTCTGAACCACTTCAACTTTGATGCCGCCAAAATGGACGATGCCGCCAAGTATGTCGTCGGGCTGATTGAGGTAACCTATTTGTGTGTGTTCATTAAGAAATAATCATACTGACATCTGGCAGCGCGACTTTGGCCCAGACAAGTTCGACCAGATCCCCCCTCACGGCCGCTGGCAGCATTTCGAGATTGGCGGCGTGCCCCGCGTCAGTACCCTGATCAAGGGCTGGACCGACGAGGGCGTCGACAAGGTCGAGATCACCCGCCGCCTCATCGATCTCTTCTTCGTGTCGGTCCTTCTCGACGCCGGTGCTGGCGATGTCTGGAGCTTCAAGGAGCCCGGGACGGACCAGAGCTACGTCCGCAGTGAAGGCATCGCCGTCGCCTCCCTGTACATGTTTGTCGCCGGCGAGTTCTCCTCGGGCGCCATCTCCAAGACTTCCGTTGATGGTAAGGATGTTATTTTGGGATCATAAACAGTTTGGTCGCTAATCCTTTGTAGCAAAGGGATTGATATCTCTCCAAGAGTCTGTCTTCTCCAAGTCCTTCCAGATCTCCGAATCAAACCCAATGGTCGGAGTGTCATCCAGAATTGAACTGCTCCAGTCTGTCGGGCGGTCTTTGGCATCGCTTCCTGAGATCTTTGGAGAAGCTGGACGACCCGGAAAGCTTGTTGGTATGTACATTCCTCGCTTCAATTAATCAAAGCCCCTGCTAATATTTCCACAGACTACTTGATTGCTCAGGCTGGAGACAAGAAAGCTCTTGATTATGAGACCTTGTGGTCCTGCCTGCAGAAGCTTCTCATTCCATCCTGGCCCAGCGACCGCACCGTTGTGGACGGCCAGCCTGTGGGAGACGCCTGGCCGCTCGCTATTCTCACAGCCAAGGCGGATAAGGAGGGCAACTCAAGCTCCAGGAGCCGCATCCAGCCCTTCCACAAGCTGACCCAGTGGCTCGGCTACTCACTCGTGGTGCCCTTCACACGCCAACTTGGCTACAGCTGGGATAACCTCACCCTTGGCACCGGTCTGCCTGAATACCGCAACGGTGGATTGTTCGTCGATCTCAAGGTACTCACTCTGAAGGACGACGACTTGAAGGAGGGTCTCAAGGCTTCTGGGGAGGCTCTGCCCAAATTCGACGCCTCCTCCGATGTCATTGTCGAGTGGCGAGCGATGACGGTGGCACTGCTAGATGGACTACACAAGATTGTATCCAAGACTTTTGAAGCACGCGGGGTCAGCTTGAGCATGGCCCAGATGCTCGAGGCTGGGACGTGGAAGTCTGGGCGCGAGCTGGCAGCCAGTCTGCGGCCGAACACCAAGTCGAGCCCCATTCTCGTGGTCAGCGACGGAACGCTGTATTAGTTAGAACCATAGTCGGATTACAAAATACATCAATCAATGAGAGTAGTTTCAGGTCAACACAAAGTTCGTTTTACCAAGTAAAAGCCCATTGACCAATGTCTGTATACCTCTGTTGCTTAACCAGGGTAACCAACCCGAACGACGCTCTAAATGCTACCACCACGGGCTTAACATGACCCGACATTCCGATCTCCAGCTTGAGTAATCAGATAATCGGTAGAAACTTTAGCAGCGGCATTTAGAGCGGTGCCTGAAATGAGGCTCTGACAAGAAGAATCTTCGAATATTTCTGTTCACCCTTCACCCCATTCTACCTGCAGGTTATCGACACCCCTACCGACGGCTCCCTACGGATCCCGTCGCGCGTGTTTGCTGGAGGCTAGTATCGACCCCGGAGGCAAAGGTTGAGTGATGATTGCCAGGGGAAATGCACACCAGGCCGGACAGATAGATAGCAGGGAGGGGAGGAGTGTATCTAAGCCGCTGGGGTATGACTCCAGGAAGCTAAGGATGGGTGGCAGACGGGGGTCTCGGGAAGTGGGTAAATATTGTATCTCGCTCTGCTTGGATCTGCCCCTCCTCCTTCATCACACACCCCTTTGCTCACTATCACAGTGAGGTGCTCTTATCAAACCGATAGTGACGGTTCAGGGAATTAAGTGAATGCGGTCCAGGGAAGGGCCTTTGTAAAATGTCCCATCTTCGAGAGCATACATCTTAAAGCCTTCGTTCGAACGTGTCTTTCTCAGGCATCTTCATCCATCTATTTCATTGTCGTTGTGTTTGTCGTCTTTAGCTGGATCATCCATCCATCTCTCCCTTCATCACACTCTCCCCCTCTCAAAGATACAATGGCTGCCACCAACGGGTCGGAGCCCTGGGCCAACGCCCTCAGCGAAAAGTTCAAAGATCGCATCGTGGTAAGTCGACCAGAAGTGAAAACACCACTCCTGAACCAGATACTCACCAACCTCCAGCTCACGACATACCCCGGCCAAAGCGTCGTCGACCCCGTAGAGCTCAACTGGGGCAACGCAGACCCCGAGAAGCGAGGCCCCATCCTCGTCTCCCGCTCCAAGGAGACCCTCAAGAAGCGCAACGCCATCGGCGCCCACGGCGGCAGCTACGCCATCTACAACGCCCTCGCCATCGCCGCGGGAGACCTGCCGCCCAACTTCCGCCCCAACTTCGAGAACACGCAGCCCACGTTCCAGCCGCCCCAGCAGGAGGCGTGGGGTGACTTCTCCAAGATCGTCTCCATGGACGCCTTTGGGCACAATGTCTCGACGTATTTCAAGAAGCACCTGGACCAGGGGATTGATGTGAGGCCGACCATCGCCATCACCCGCGCCCACATGCGCGTGGCCGAGATCGTTGACTCCATCAAGTCGGGCAGCCTCCCTGTCGACGGCGACGTTGTGATCAACAGCACGGGCGACGTCAAGGTCACCAAGATCGCCGTCGAGCCCGTCTGGCACCTACCCGGGGTGGCGTCCCGCTTCAACGTCGACGAGGGGATCCTCCGCCGCGCGCTGTTCGAGTACACGGGCGGCAGCTACCCGGAGCTCGTCACCCGTCCCGATATGAAGGTCTTCCTCCCTCCCATCGGCGGTCTGACCGTGTACATCTTCGGTCCCCCCGAGAGGGTGTCGGATCCCAATGTGAAGCTGGCGCTGAGGATCCACGATGAGTGCAACGGATCGGACGTGTTCCAGTCTGATATCTGCACCTGCCGGCCGTATCTTACGTTTGGTATCGAGGAGGCCATCAAGGAGGCGCAGAATGGCGGATCGGGTGTGGTAATTTACTTCCGAAAGGAAGGGCGTGCTCTGGGCGAGGTGGTCAAGTATCTCGTCTATAATTCTCGCAAGCGTGGAGGTGATACTGCCGACAAGTATTTTACCAGGACGGAGAACATTGCCGGTGTTCGCGATGTAAGTTGTAAATGATCTTTTGGGCGTGTATGTGGTCCTTAATGCTGACGATATTGTACAGATGCGCTTCCAGGCACTGATGCCCGACATTCTGCACTGGCTCGGCATAAAGAAGATTGACAAGATGCTGTCCATGTCCAACATGAAGCACGATGCGATTGTCGAGCAGGGCATCCCCATCTACGAGCGAATCCCTATCCCAGACCGTCAGTTTTCCTCCACTCTCCAGCTTGTTATTATGTGCTAACTCAGAGTAGACCTTATTCCCTCCGACTCAAGAGTCGAGATCGACGCCAAGATCAACGCTGGATACTTCACAACAGGCAGTAAAATCACAGAGGAGGAGCTGAAGAATGTGGAAGGCCGGGGTTGGCAGAGCTGGGAGGATGTGACGCATTGATGCAGACCAGGATACCAATCTCATAGAAGCTTAATCATTTTCATAAAAGAAATAAAATGAACATTTACGAATTAAATGATGAATTTATTCTGAGACCTTGCTAATATGTTGCGTCAACATCTACACGATCGACGTGAAGGCTTTTCACCAAAAGCGGATTCACTGAAGATCCATGCAACGCTGACATGGCATGCAGGAATATTTTAATCGCTCAATTCTACCGTGAAGAGACAACTGCATGATCTGTGTCTCAGTAGACTGCCACTTTGAGAAGTCGCGTTGATAATGCCTGCTCCCCTGAAGTCTACGGCTTGCGCAAATTGCAAGGCAAAGAGAACGAAGGTAAATGCGTACTGAGAACAACAACCGACAGAACCAGCGCTCACCACCCTGTTCTCTGTAGTGCGATCAATTATGGCCTACTTGCACTCAATGTGTACGCAAAGGCATAGAATGCTCGGGCCCTTCAGCCTTGATCAAGTTTATGCCCCGAGACCGAGGCCACGCTGCTACTAATTTAGACAATGCCGTGGTGTTGGCCAACACCCAAGACTCCTCCACTCAACAGCCATTGGCCATGGTAACTCGGACGCCATTGAGGCAGTATGGTGCGAGAAATAGTGGTGCTTTGACCGGGAGCTTTCGACTCAAGGTTCCCGGGCCAAGCTTTGTCACAGCTGCGGATCGGGTTTCCGGTCAGTTGGTGCGTCTATTGGGATCTGACCTGCAGGCTACTTTTGCGGTTCTTGGTGAGCTTCCTGAGCTCCCCCAGAGGCTATCTCATAGCCCCATTTTACTCAACTGTGTGACGCTTTACTGCCATGCTTGGAGCCAATGTGAGGATCCCCAGCTGCGTTTTCATCAGCTGCTGCAGACGAGCCTGTACACAAAGGCGATCCAAGGCCTGCAACGTGCCGTGCAGAGTGAGAAGGTATATACGCTCGAGACACTCGCGTCAATGGTCATGATGGAATTCCTTCTTTGCAAGTGCGACATGGTCACGCCTCAGAATATACGACCACATCGACTCGCCATCCGCCATGTGGTCAAGAAGCTGGGGATGCCGGACCCAAGAAGTGCCAATTACTGGCTTCACCTGTCACTAGTTCGCATAACCGGATTCATGATGGTTAGTGCCTCGATCTTGATATTCTATTTTCACGTATGCCGTTTGAATTACTGATTTGCCGACCAGCGCAACCTTGCGCACTTTGACAATCTGGATGCTAGTGCCTACTACGACTCTCCCTGGTCAGACATTCTTAGCAATCACAACTCGTTCTGGGCAGACGATAGTCAGAACGACGATAGAGAATTCTCAACTCAATGGCTCGAAGATGACCCGGATGAAGATTGGAATGAGAGAACTAAAGTAGACGCCACGTTTGAACTCGCAAACGACATTTGGGTTGTTTTCACCAGTCGCTGGTGCCAAAGAGTGCGGCAGATCAAAGCGAACCCGAGCGACATGGAGAACGAGAGAGCATTACTCATCCATCGCATGTCGAAGGCCGAGAGAATTCTTGGGGCTTTGGGCGAGAACCTCTGGAGAAGGTTGCTATCCACTGGCTCCATCACAGAGCATCTTGATCTCACCTTTTTCGTCGGTCGCAGATACAAGTTCACCACGTACAAAGTTACTAGAGTGGCCATCCACTTGATTGCGCTACGGGCATTACTCCTACGAGTTCTCTTCGATCTCTACGGCCTGGCCGATGTCTATGATGGCGCAATATATAACACCTACCGGGGCCTGTGTTTCCAGGTATGGGCTTGTTTGCCGCATTTGAAGACGGTGCATGCTCTATCCGCCAAAGACACGCTCCTGATGGTGGCGCCGTTATATGAAGCTGCGGACAGCGATGAACTCCGCCATCTCTACGATATTAAGATCAATTGGACTGTGTTCGGGGCAGCCGATAACATGAGCATAGAAGCCTTCCAGAACTGGATCGTCGCAAGGTCCGCGCAGTGGATTTAATTTACGCATGATAATTCGAATTCCACTGAGATGATGAGTATACTCCAATATACGGAGACTAGAAATACCCATCGGACCACAACATCAACTAGCGCAGCTACACATCTGTTGCTTCGCTCATACTGAACAGCACCCGATTTAATACACACCCTGGCTGGTGCTGGTGCCGACACCGGATGGCGAGTAGAGGGGTGGTATCACAGCCATCACCATGACCATCAGCATTGACTGGGGCATGTGGAGAAGTAATATGGAGAATCTGGGGGCGTGTAACTAGATGATAAGAAAGACCTGAGAGCAATTGCCGTGTGGAGAACCCCCGCTTTGCCTCGAGTTTGCCTGTCCCTCTCTGCTCCTCTCGCCCTCGCCTTTGTCGTGACTAGCCCGAGTCTAGGATCGTGAAGTGACCCGAGCTATATCATCTATTCAAATTAAGACGTTCTTTGAATCGACTGCCATCTTCTATTCAATTCCCCAATTCATTCAAGGCGTCAAATCGCTAGTCCCGTGGCTATTCCATCCCCTCCCTCCACACCATCACCATTCTGCCCAAGATGGCCTCCCCAACATCAGGCATCGTGGACATCCACACGCACATGTACCCTCCCAGCTATGTAGAAATCATGGAGAAGCGTACCACGATCCCCATCGTGCGCAAGTTCCCGCAGGCCTCAGACCCCCGTCTCATCCTGCTCGAGGAAGAGGTCAAATCTCTCGAGGACGCCCTCAAAGACCCCCAGGCCAAAGTCCCCGGCCGCCCCCTCACAACGCACTACAGCTCCGTGCAGCAAAAGATCCATTTCATGGACACGCACGGCATCCGAAAGTCGGTCGTCTCCCTCGCCAACCCCTGGCTCGACTTCCTCGACGCCTCCGAGTCCCCCGCCATCGCAAAGAAGATCAACGACGAGTTCTCCGACCTGTGCGGCCAGTACCCGCGGCGCCTATTCTTCTTCGCCGCCCTGCCCCTCACAGCCAGCCTCGAGGACATCCTCAGCTCCGTCGAGCACGTGCGCGGCCTCAAGTACTGCCGGGGCGTCATCCTGGGCACGTCCGGTCTGGGCAAGGGCCTCGACGACCCTCGCCTGCTCCCCGTCTACAAGGCGCTGGCGGAGGCCAAGCTGCCCATCTTCCTGCACCCGCACTACGGCCTGCCGAGCGAGGTCTGGGGCGACCGCGCGGGCGAGTACGGCCACGTGCTGCCCCTGGCGCTGGGCTTCCCGATGGAGACGACCATCGCCGTCACGCGCATGTTCCTGTCGGGCGTGTTCGACGAGGTGAGGGAGCTGCAAATCATCCTGGCCCACAGCGGCGGCACGCTGCCCTTCCTCGCGGGGCGGATCGAGAGCTGCGTCGTGCACGACGGGCAGCTGCTGCGGGAGGGGAAGCTGGCCAAGTCGCGGCGGACGGTGTGGGATGTACTGAAGGAGCAGATCTACCTCGACGCGGTCGTCTACTCGCCCACTTCTCTCAAGCTGGCGGCCGAGTCGAGCGGCGCTGATCGGGTCATGTTTGGGACTGACCACCCGTTCTTCCCGCCGCTGGAGACGGACGAGCAGGGAGAGTGGGAGAGTGTGACGTGGAACACGGCGGCCATCAGGAAGGCCACGGAGGGGAAGTCGGCGGAGACTGAGGCCATTCTGGGGGGGAATGCTACCAGAGTGCTGCGGTTAGACGAGGAGTTCTAGCCTCTTGACGAAAGTAACGATAACAAATAATGATCACTTTGTGCGCCCTCATGGTTGCTTGCGTGATGATGTTATGTCACCATAGCGAAAGCAATTAACCAGAAATGGATGTCATCCCGTGGTCCTCGGAGCTGAATGAGATGGCGTCCTTCGAGATGCATGAGGAGGTTAGGATTGGGATGCTTATCTCTCTTGGCGGCAATGAAGTATTGTTATATCTGGCTGGGTCCCGGGGAAGCAAAGTAATACGTAAAAAGATCTCGGTCTTTTAACCAGGGGTCGCTTATCATCTTCAATATCGCTGAAGGGCAAAGGCTGCCTCAATGGCGGGAGTGGCGTTGATTTCGACACCAGAAAGGCCTAGAGAGTCAGGATATCGTGCTTGTCTTACGATTGAGATAAAGTGGCGCGATTACTCGATCAGATTAGAAGAATCTTTTTGTTCTCTGAGAGGCCTCGAGCTAGCGGAGAATTCAGGAGACAGTCGATGATAAGCAACGCTCCAACTTACGAGATGTACCAATGACAGTGCGTCAAATACTTATCTCCCGCCGGGGTTTTGAAGATAAATGCCTAGTCTGGCTGATAATCTGCCCCGGGATTCCCGCTGCCTGGCCTGTCTTAGGCTGTACATGGGCTCGGTCTCCCCCAGAGTGAGTCTTATCTCCCGCCTCTGGCTGACCAGTAGCATTGAGCCTGTTTTACGACGGCGCTGAGACCAGCCTGTAAGCAATCCAGCCCGTGTGGAGAGGGAATTGATTGCCGGTTCGATTATGGTTCATGCCGGGCTTGAGGAGCGACAGAGACACTTCCCGAAATATAAGTACCCCAACCACCCTCCCTTGTCAGACGTTGGGCTTGCTTGCATTGAGTTTCATTTCTGCGTTGCAACCGTTCATCTGTGCCGTTGGGGAAATTCCCAATTCCTACAATACCACGCACACCCGACGCAGCGGGCACACCTGAAGCTTCACCTACTCCCACCCTTCGTGGTCTTCTCCTCATCGAATAAGCATTCAGCTAGATTGTCAGTATCGAAAGACTGCCAAAATGGCTGGCGGTTCGGCCCTCACCAAAGTGGTGGACTTTGTGTCCGTCAAGGCCGACCCGGGAGAATTTGCTGAAGGCAATCCTATGGTCAGTATCCTCCTCCGTTGATTGACATTGTCGCTATGACATAGAATTCCATCCATTATAGAATCTAGTATCTGACAATGCTCCAATTACTCTAGCTCAACAACTATGATTTGAAGCCCGTCGAGAAAGAACGCCGTCAATGGGGAGCATGGAACTTTGTCGGATTCTGGATTGCCGATTCTTTCAACATTAACACCTGGATGATCTCGTCATCTATGATCATTGGAGGCCTCTCCTGGTGGCAAGCCTGGCTTTGTGTTTGGATTGGTTATGCCATCGCCGCGTGCTTCATCTGCCTGACGGGCCACATCGGAGCCACATATCACATCGGTTTTCCTGTACGTATATTCAATCATCAGCAATGGCCGCCCGAGAGAGTTATTGGAACTAACAGAAATACACAGATTGTTGCTCGATCGTCATTCGGTATCTGGGGAAGCTTATGGCCTGTATTCAACAGAGCCGCAATGGGTATGCATATCCATCCTTGTTACATGAAACAAGTCACTGACACTTTCTAGCGTGTATTTGGTACGGAACACAGTGCTATATCGGTGGCCACTGCGTTTACATCATGATTCGATCTATTTGGCTATCCTGGGACCGTGACAAGATCCCAGACACGTTCAACAGTTCCTCCACCAGCACGGCCGACTTCGTTTCATTCTTCATCTTTTGGCTTGTCTCGCTGCCCGCGATCTGGTTTCCCGTCCACAAGATCCGACATTTGTTCACCGTCAAGGCCTACTTCGTGCCCATTGCCGGTATCGCGTTTTTGGGCTGGTCCTGCTCTCGTGCTGGAGGCATCGGTCCCATTATCAGACAGGGACACACAGTCCACGGATCAAAACTTGCATGGGCTATGATTGCTGGTATCATGTCTTCTATCGCGAACTTCGCGACACTCGTGGTAAATGACCCTGACTTTACTCGCTTTGCCCGCAAGCCGAGAGACCAGCTGTGGTCCCAGTTGATCACTATCCCTATGGGCTTTGCAGTGACCTCGTTCATTGGTATCATTGTGTCATCATCTGCAACAATCATCTATGGCGAGACCATCTGGAATCCCCTGGACCTTCTCGACAGGTTCATTGATGATGCTTCATCTGGTCAAAGATTCGGCACCTTCGTTATTGCGCTTGCTTTTGCCCTGGCGCAACTCGGAACCAACATTGCTGCCAACTCCATTTCAGCCGGCACTGATCTGACTGCCTTACTGCCCAAGTTCATCAACATCCGCCGCGGCGGCTACATCTGTGCTGCCGTGGGCTTGGCCATGTGCCCGTGGAACCTGCTCAGCGACTCGAACAAGTTCACGACCTATCTGTCCGCCTACAGCGTGTTCCTCAGCTCCATTGCCGGTGTGATGGTGTCGGATTACTACTTTGTCCGCAAGGGGTACCTTGAAATCTCGGAGCTTTACCACTCTCGCGACAATGGCCCGTACTACTACACCTTTGGAATCCACTGGCGCGCCTATACCGCCTACATCTGCGGCATCCTCATCAATGTGGTCGGCTTTGCTGGGGCTGTTGGCGCTACCGTCCCTATTGGCGCGACCTATATTTACAACCTGAACTTTTTCTGCGGATTTATTGTTGCTTCTAGCGTGTATTGGGGTTTGTGCAAGATCTCTCCTATTCCCGCTACGAGCGATGTGTGGATGGAGGTCATCACGGATAATGAACTCGACGAGGAGATGGGGGGCGACGATTCTGGGAAGCCGGATGATGTTGTCAAAGATCCAGCCAAGAGCTCGAAGTGGTTTTCTAAGTTTTAGAGGGGATTTCCCCGACTAGAAGTATGACTTATTTCCATATCACTTGAATGTTTAATGAAATTCTGTGAACAGTCTGTTATTTACAATGTGTTATTAAATAAACTACAGTAAACCTGGGCTATAACGATCAGGGATATAATAATATTTTAACTATAATAATATAATATATATATATATATATATTTTTTTTTTATAGTTATTACTATATATAAGGGAGATATCCTGAGATCAGACTATATATAACTGGATCTATATAACTTATTTTTACTTATTTCTAATCTATATCTAACTTTTAACTCTATTTTTTACTTTCTATCTATATAAGCTATAGTAAGATAATAGCTTTATTAAAAAGTTAAAGAAACCCTTATTAAGTATATAACTTAGTTATAAAT